AGCTGCCGCACCTTTAATTGTTCATTCATTTCGTTTCATTTTTCCACTGCCTTTCATGTAGCTCGTCACACACCAGCTGAAATTCCCTCTTGTACACAACTAACAATGGGGCAGAAACCCTGTTCGCTTTTTTCATCATAATCTAAATTTGACATTTGAATCTCAGGGCAAAAACTCCTTGATAAATAAACCTATACATGTGACGTGTGCCACATTCACTTTTATCCCATGTTTCAAAGAGCCATGCCTGGAAAGAGTGGATAAGCCCAGAGTCTCTTTGAAGCTGATGTATCCTGAAGTTGATTGACAGCACAATCCTACCATACTTGGCTAAGTGGGTACAGTACTACAACCTTCGAGGGTCTGATACCTTATTTACTTTGAGAGCAACTTAAATCCTCAAAATAAAAATACAAAGTATATATAAGAAGCATAACTATGTTGCAACAAAACATGATGAAAACCTTACTCCTGGGGATGTCAGGTGCAAAAAAGGACCTGACTTGAAGACCTTTCATAGATGTGTAGAAGAGGGAATTTTAGCAGGTGTAGCTTATGCTATTTCTCCAGTCTGCTGCAGGAGTCTTACTATCGTCATCTTAGAAACTATTCATACAAAATAATACCTTTGGAAATCAACTGCAATGAGAAAATGGCCAATAGGCTTACTTGTGGGGTGGGGGAGAGATATGAGATTTAAGTACATAGCAACAGCAAAACAGCTTTGATGCAAACAAGAGAATTAACCAAAAGAAAAGGGAAAGAATTCATTTCAAGAACAAAACTTACTTCAGGGAGGTCCTGTTATTAGAATTTTTTACTTTAACTAGCAGCGGGTGGACTTCAAATGCTTTGGAATCTAGATAATCCACTACTTGTTTGAATATTTGTGGATTATTTCCATAATGAATATTTCCATAAATACTCCCTCCTTCCCCCGATGAGTAAGCTTGACTCCCAACATACGAACTAATCCTTTGCTTTCGTCCGATTCCCAACAGGCCACTGTTTTTGTCACATTTCCAGGTGCACTGATTCAAGCCACCTTTTGCAACAAGTGGATTATGAACTGACACTTCCTTTGACAATCTGGGTAACTCTTATGAGTACTGGAATCAAAGTTAGCACCTCGTAATGTTAGGGTTCCTTTTATGTGCATGGAAGCTCAACACTTGAACCACAAAGGCTTCCCTGCTCACTTCAGCAGCACAAGTAACTAACTCCATGTATGCTCTCCTCTGCATGCACCAAGCCAACACACATGGGAGCTTCATATGTGTATAGGAGCCCAAATGGAGGTTTGCTTAGAAAATATGATTTGCCCCACACAATTTGCTAAATTGCCCCACTATATTCCATGAGACTTAAACACAACTGACCTCTTCCAGATTTCTAATCACATGTACAACCTGGGTTACAGAGTGATATATTTGAAAGGAACCCTCAGAGGTCACCTAATCCAATCTGCTGCTGATGCTGGAAATCCACTACTTACAGCAGGTGAAGGGAACCTTTGGCTGCTGAACTACAACTCCCATCACCCCTTCTGCATGTGAACCACACACCCAACTTGTTCAGCCTTTGCTTGTGGGGCTTTGCTTGTGTTTCTAGGACTCCTTTGTCGCCCTGTACACATTCTGCTTTGGCAATAGCTTTATTAAACTGTGGTGCCCAGAACTGGATACAAGATTCTGGACGAGGTCTGACCAAAGCAGAATAGAGCAGCACCATTGCTTCTCATGATATAGGAACTATACACCTATTCATATAACCTAGAATTACACTGTCCTTTTTTGCTGCCACATCACACTGTTGACACATGTTTAGATTAAGCTCTGCTAAACCCTCCAAGACCTTTTACATGTACCGCCCATCCTATATTTGTGCATCTGGTCTGACATAAGTGTGGACGTTTACATGTATCCCTGTTTAAGAACATAAGAAGAACCTGCTGGATCAGGCCAATGACTCATCTAGTCTCACAGTGGCCAACCAGATGCCTATGCAAAGCCCACCTGAGCATAAGAACTCTCCCCCATCCTGTGGTTTCTAACATACTCCCTCCATCTTTGTGGCAGAGCAGAGCCATCATGGCTACTAGCTGTTCATAGCCTTCCCTCCTTGAATGTCTCTTATCCTACTTTGGCCAACTCCAAAATTTAGCTAGTTTTGTCTGGTTCGCCAGCCTGTCAAGATCATCTTGGATCCTGTTTCTGGTTCTACTTGCATCAGCACACCCAAACCAAGCCCCAGTAAAAGCCCCAGTTCAGAATATGCTCACCCACATTGAATCACTGGAGCTTATGTTAGTCATAAACAAAACTTACTCCACAGATTTCAACAGGGTGTAAGCTCAGCCAGTTTTCTATCTGGTCCATATATAATCCAACCAGATGTGTATTTATAACACATCAGTGTTAGGAAACAAAAATGGGTCTGATATTTTTAAGGGAATATTTTAAGTGGAAAGGACTAAAGTGTCAGACTGAAGACTTACATATACGAACATTAAAGCTGGCGGCAAATACTCAGTGATAGCATATCATAAAATTTAAGAGCCCTGCTGAGTCAGCTCAAAGGCCCACCAAGTCCAGCAATATATGTACACAAGCATGCAAGTGTTGTCCAGTGCTCTGGTTTTCAGAGGTTCAAAGAGCAGCAAAAGGGCTTTCAAACAGCCCTGCACTGAGTTTTGGCTGTGCACGCCTGCTTCAAGCAGGGGAACAGGCATGCACAGCCAAAGGCAGCAGGCACTAAATCCTGCTGCCATGGCTGTGTGCACTATTTTCCAGCAGGGCAACTGGTATGAGCAGCTAATGCTGAACCAATCCCCGCTACCATGCCAATCTGCTGCTGTCGCCCTCCATTGGAGTGATGTCGCAGGCAGCCACTGTTTCCTGAAAAAGGCCTTGTGAGCCAAATTTGACCCCTTGGTGGGAGCTAAAGTTCCTCCACCCCTACATTACATGATGTGCTAAGCAACACAGAAGGGAAAAAAGAAAAGGGGCGGGAGGTGGAAAAGGGAGTCTTCCATACCCTCCAACATTTCTCTGATGAAAATAGGGATGTTCTATTCTTTAGCAACAACAATAATATTTTTGTTTATACCCCACGCATCTGACAAGGTAGCCCCAGCCACTCTGGGCAGCTTCCAACACATATAAAAACACAGTAAAATATTAAACATTAAAAAAACCTTCCCTATACAGATATCTTCTAAAGGTTATAGAGTTACTTATCTCCTTGGCTCTGGGGTCACATAACTCCATAGCCTTCCACATTTCTCCAATGAAAACAGGGGCGTTGTGTAGAATCCTGCAGGATTTCTGCAAGAGAAGGATTGCTGTTTGTTAGCTGCAACTGATCTACAGCAGACGAAGTGAAGCTGGGCCATGAGCAGCTGTGCTGAAAGCCAGCTCTGTTGGGCCTCCCATCCCTCAGCTATCATATGGAGAGCAGCCATTGCATCAGACTACAGGAGAGAGAGGGGTAAGGGAAGCAGGGCCACCGTCAGCTGATAAGCCAGCTCCATCAGGGTCCTCCCTTCATCAATGTCACCTGGCAGCAGGCTGCCATCAAGCTATAGCAGAGAGAGAGAGGAAGGGAGGGAGGGAGGGAGAGAAGCAGCATTGCTCTATCAACTCTGCTGAAAGACCAACACCTGATAGCTCTACCTTTACTTAAACCTTTTCAGTTCCAGCTGGCCATTATAAGCACATTGTGACTAAGATCTAGTACTCAAGTTTGCTTTCTTTCTCATTCCTCCAAATCTGCTGTCTTATAGAGAGTAAGGATTGTCTTATTATTGAAGCTCAGAAGTTGCTTTAGGAGCCCTTTTTGGTTAAATATTGGAGTTAAAATACTTCAAATAAATAATGTTATAACCACAAATACGTATTGGTTATCACTGAATCATCTGACTCTACATGGGAGATTATAGAAGGAAGGCCTGTGACATAACTATGCTTCTTCTGTCAGGACCTAAGCAATTTGAGAAATGGGCTATGTTCTCTATGTTTGTACAGCCGTATGATGAATTTTATTTACTGTAAGCTTATATAAGTATTGTACAATAACTTTTTTAAAAAATAATTCAAAATATGATAAAGGCCTAGCTTGATGTTGAGCCTTTAATAACAACTTGATCTACAAAATCATCAGCTGGAGCTTTTCACAGCATGTAAATAACCATTATCACCTGCTAGCAGCAGCAGCAACAGCGCAAGATGCTGTTTAACTGCAGTGGATCAAGAGAGTAGTTGCTAATTATAGGACATGGAGAAAGAGTTCCATTGTCCATGGCAGGAGAATCTTTCTGAGTAAGTCTCAGCAGCATTCTGCATCGCAGGCAACACATATCTTCTACACATTAGACTTCACCCCATGTGTGCTACAGATTGGCACTAATGGAGACACACGGCCACAATCAGTTCATCATTGCTTTGGTGGGGGTAACTGTCAGCTTCTGCAATGCAGACTGCTTCCTAATGTGAATGATCAGGTACTAAAACAGTTAGACATCTTGCAGTGACAAGCCCCAAGGAGAACCCCAGAATTTTATAGAATGGGAGATAGGAATCATGACAGTACTTGGCGCACTGCAGAAAAGCAAGATCTATCGTGCCCAAATGGCCCATTACAGGTAAAAATGCAAGGAAGACTGACTCCCAAGTTGGATATTTCCACAAGCAATGGACATTCTGTGGCCCGTAAAATAAAAGCAAACAACAGTTGCTTAACAGTTCCCTGCCCCCCACAACACCAACACACACACTTATGTCCAAACATCCTAATCCCAATAGGCAAGGTTCATGTTTGTGTGGGTTACTCATTGGCTTACTCACAGTGCCTGTGGAGTCTTTCCTTCCATATACTATAATCCCATGGATTTCTGCAAAAGGCCAATGGATGGAAGTACTGCCCAGCTGGATTGCTTACTAAGTAAATAATCAGAATCAGCAGGTTTAAAGTCATACGGGCACTTGATAAGTAGGCTGTTTTGCAGAACGATGGAGTATAAAAACTCAAACCTCACTGGCCTATAGCTGTTGGCAGGGTTTTGCTGATTGCACACACACATATAACACCATGGCCTCCTCCTCTCTGCTTCTGGTTTGCTTGGCTGCAATGGTGTACATCACTGAAGCTACGCCACTGGTAAGTATTGCATTAGTGGTACAGCAGTTTCTCGGGCAGGGGGGAGTACAATCTTCTTGCAAGCTTATTACCAAATTTGTACCACATATGCTGATCCATGGTGAACTGTCCATATCTTCTGATGGCTGCATCGTTTACCAAGGTACTTTAGAATGGCTTTCAGGTTGCTGGAGACACATTCTATTTGTGAAATAATACGTACCAAACTGCTAACAACTGGTAATTTAATCATGCTGAAGAAATTAAAATAGTAGCCCAAGATATTGTCACATGCCTGCCACAGTGTGATACATGGCTGTCTCTTAGGAATTGCAGACCATTTCACGTTTCAAGATATCGGTTGTTTGGAGGAAAGGTACCCATAAATTCCAATGTTTCTTACTATACAATGCAGAAAATTTTAGCACATGCCATTTATAGTTAGAAAACTAGATCTGTTAGTTAAGTTTGTCATTAAAAAAATAATAGCTCTCTATTTGTTCTTCATATATGCATAGTCTAAATGTATGTTACCATAAAATCTTACAAGGCTATTGCTGTTGGTGCAATTCTGTTCATACATGTCTACTCAGAAGTAAGTCCCATTGAGTTCAAGGGGATTTACGCACAGGTAAGTGTTTGTAAGAGGTCTGTTCCGTTTTACTACACTATTCATTATTTTTTATCATTATTTAAAAACATGCAATATGTCACCATATACAGCAAATGCCTCAAGGCAATTTGTGACAGTGGCAAATCTGATAATTATTTGCAGCTCATCTGCTTACTCTGTAAAATGAAAATCATTTTTACTTTTATTTACAGTGAGTTGTAAAGTTTGATTCTCAATTGACTACAGTTAATAATTAAAAATTAATAGTGCAATGCTCAAATGTATGTCAACTTCAAGAATATTGCTGTGCTAGCTGAATATTCATTAATAATGATAGACCCACTGAACCTTTAAATCAGAGTAAAGTGTGGAGGGAGGAATAAGAGGAATATCTGTTAAAAGCAAAGCTTGAACTGGCATAACATTTTCTTTTGTGCTTGCTTTTAAATACTCTTAACAGACCATTTCTCAAAGCTGCATCCCATGTCTATGTGTATATAAATGATGTTTGCAGTAACTCCTAGCCCAAGTTAATTTGTTTGTTTGTTTGACAGCTCTTGGATGTGTACAGGCTGTTGAAGAATTTGTAATGTGTTCCTTATGCCCATGAAATAGGCTATGGACCACAGAAACTCTGATAGATATTTTCTTCTGCCAGGTCAAGGTTTCCCATGGCTCCATTGACTCAAAGTGTCCTCTTATGGTGAAAGTCCTGGATGCAGTTAAAGGAAGACCAGCTACCAGCCTACTGGTAAAAGTGTCCAAAAGAGCTGAAGATGGCACCTGGAAGGAGTTTGCTACTGGGTAAGTTGCTCTGCATGCAAAGTGCCTTGAGAAGCAAATCAGCCTTGCTGAGACGGCACCTCCAAATTGTGTGAACCCACACCACTACCACCAACCAAGTTTCTGTTCCAAGCCTCTCTGTTATTTCCAAGGCTTTATACAGATAATATATGTTTACTCACAGCAACAGGAACAACTTTCGGCCTTATCACTGTGGGAGCACCATCACACCCATCCTGTATTTGTAAAGTGAACTTATTTGTTACATGACCTACCACAGAACGCCTTCCTAGGAACATGACTAGTACTATAGTCTGCATTTGAAAGCCATATGTCTCTGCAGCTATGAAGACTAGATGCTTGCTCTCTTAAAAAGAATCAAAACTAACCTTTTCAATATCCTCACAGGAAGCTAGTATGGAGACAGGGCTGCAAACTGCTCACCCACTCTAGAACACCTAGAGCCTTGTCAGCTGATAAGAGGGAGATGCAGTGCTTTTCTTCTAGTAAAAAAAGGTGCCAGTACTGCGCATATCCCTGACATCTGGCTAGTTATGAAATGAAGGTGAATGAATTTCCAAGGGAACTTTGAATTGCAACTTAAAGCAGTCTTATACATGACTACACAGAAGTCTTGTTGAGAAAATCTGGTGCTCCATAAGAGCCCCAACCCACTTCTTGTATGGGAAAAAAATGTACATAAAAAGATACCATCCTTACTACTTTTACGCACCTGTATTACAGGGAAACAAATGAATTTGGGGAAATCCATGAGCTTACAACAGATGAACAATTTACAGAAGGCTTGTACAAGGTCCAGTTTGACACCAATACATACTGGAAGGCAGCTGGCGTTGCTCCATTTCATGAATATGCTGATGTGAGTATTTGGGTCGTCGTCGTCGTCGTCCCCCCCCCCAATAATGCAAACCACTGGCAGAGTTTTTAAAATCCCACAATATAGTAAGTTTTCGGAGTCAAATATTATCATGGGACCAATTGATTGGGTAATTACTGCTATCGACTATGCAGCAGGACTGGGGAGAGAAGAGGATGCAAGCTGAAGGTTTTAGTATGTGTAGACTACAGGAGTGGCTGCATTTTAAGTGTCCGATCCCCTAAACAAGCCACATCCAAATCTGCCCTTAAATCTATCAGAACTTCACCCTGTACAAAAACCATAAATCTTGCATTTTTATACATGAACCTCCAGCTGAACTAGAAGTATACTTTCCTTAAACAGTGAACAAACTTTTTAAAAAAATTAAAACAATTTTACAATCCAACTTCTGTTGGTTAGACATTGTAAGCTTACAGGCTTACCTTAACTTTCTCACACATGCATAAGGAAAGGCTCAGTGCCTGAAAAATGTAGACAAATTAGGCCATCATGACTTAACAAGTGGATTCTGCCAAATCAATTTTTCTGCTGGTTCTCAAAGTGCAAAACATTAGGAAAGCCCCCAAGTCATAATATCCTTTGCATTGCATAATATTCCTGCGTTGCAGGGGGTTGGACTAGATGACCCTTGGGTCCCTTCCAGCTCTAAGATTCTAAGGTGCTTCTTGTTAACCAGCATAAATATTTTTAGTGCCTCTCTAATTTCACATGCATCTTTAGAAAGAAACAATATGTATATTGGTTAAAGCTGTGCACTCCTTAAAACTTCTATAAAAACAACTTGTTTTTTTGTGCAATGCATTCAGTGGTTTTTAATTAACTAACCACATAAAAAGCATATCTTCACCGATCAATGACAAGATGATTCTCAGCACTAAAAAGTCGCTTTAAATTTTGCAACCAAATTTAGCATGCTTATGGAGTCACCGTATCACACTGAATGTCTTCCGGCATTTTCATTAACTTCTTAACTGAAATCTAAACAAAGCTGTCCCTACCCAATGATTATTTCTCAAGTACATGTATGTGCACATAATGATTCCCAAATTGCAAAGTCATTGCCATTCATTTTAACAGGTGAAGTCAATCTTTTTTGGTATACAGATGTGTTCCTTCTATTGAAATGAATTGGCCTGTCCAAGGATACCAGACAAATCAGAGCACTTGGACAGTTTGTAGGCAACTTATGATGAATCAATATTTTTAATACAGGTTTTTACAGAAAAAAAGCATTGTATGACCAACTTAAGTATTTTCCTCTTGCAGGTGGTTTTTACTGCTAACGATTCTGGTCATCGCCATTACACCATTGCTGCTCTTCTTAGTCCCTATTCTTATTCAACCACAGCTGTTGTCAGCGACCCAAAGGAATGACATCATACTTTATTCTCACAACATTCTCTCTACTATTCCACTTTTGTAGGATTATATTAGAGGCAGCAGTTAATTTGCATAACCCATGGCTTGTTTGCTAAAGTAGCATCTAGCATTAACATCTTGGCTAAAACTTTTTTTTTTAAATGCATCAATAAATATTTCTTCTCTAAATAGTTTCAGTGTCATTTTCTGTGTTACAAAACAAGATCCAGTTTTGTTTAACAAAAGCTCACGAGGCACCCACGGTCCTTTCTCAATTTTTATAGGGTCTATACCCATTGCACATCAAGCTGCTGGCACACCTATGCTCACTCCAGGAAGCCTGGAGAAATGCAGTGCCATTGGCACATAAGTACACTTAAGGCAGAGGGAAGTGGCAGGGAAGGAGACATTGTACTGAAGATCTCACTCAGTGCTCTTAGTGATGCGCATGCACACATGCGCACACATGCACACACGAGAATGGAATGTGTTCTTAAAATAGTTTCCCCTATGAGTGCAACTTGCCTTCTTTGAAAGGAGCAAAAATGTAGGGTCCAAGCCGTTACAGTGGTAGCTTGGTTCCCAAATTTAATCCATTCCAGAAGTCTGTTCCAAAACCAAGGCACGCTTTCCCATAGAAAGGAATGCAAAATGGATTAATCCGTTCCAGACTTTTAAAAACAACCCCTAAAACAGCAATTTAACATGAATTTTACTATCTAACGACACCACTGATCCATAAAATGAAAGCAATAATCAATGTACTGTACTATAAAATAAATAAGACCAGTATTGTAGATTATAAAAATTAAAATTATTATTTTTTCTTATGTGCACTGATGTGCACAAAGAACAAGTCATAGTCAAAAAACCCCCACAAAAACACAAAAAATAGCAAAAACATAAGCTCCAAATATCACCTCTGTGTTGCGTGGGTGCTCGGGACTCAACAGCCGACAGACTCAACAGGAAGCCTCTGATTAGCAGCAGGGGACTCAATTTACAAACAGAACACACTCAACAGGAAGCGGAACATGTTCCACTTCCAAGGCAACGTTCACAAACTGAAACACCTTCTTCCGAGTTTGCAGTGTTCTATTTCCAAGTTGTTCATAAACTAAGCTGTCCTAAAACCAAGGTACCACTGTATTCCCATGTAAAATCAGTGATCAAACTACCAGTAGTTTAGGAAAAGCTAACCTGAAAAGCACCTTCAGGAACCTGAAGATAGCTAGGTGTGCATGCACAGAGAAATTGCATGAGCAATGAGCTGAATTGTATATTAGGTAATTAAGGGCATGTTTCGAAAACCAGGCACTAAGTGTTGTTGCTTGCACTGACTTAGTTAGAAATCAAGAGACGTAAGGTAAAAATGACTCACATAAGAACACATGTTTCAGTGGATCTACTCTGAATATGACTTAGTCGGATTCCACTCTAAGGAAAAATAATAATAACAAAAGATTAAAACCTCTTTTCATTTAAACTTTGTACAATATAATGATGCAGAGCTCTCCTAAAACCTGTGCTTTAAAAGAGAAGAAATTGAAGGAATACACTTTGTAAGCTATATCAAAACTATTTCAAACAAAACGAATGCAATACTAAAAGTAACAGTACATCAGTTTTTAGCACACTACATTTCAAGAGACAATGTATTTTAAAAGTACAAACATTTTAATGTGCAAAATAAAATGTCATAGCATGATTCTTTACAATTTCAAACATTAGTTTTCAGTGCATTAAATGAGCATCTCACAGCTGGAACAGTAAAATAATGTTAAGTACACTTCCCTCTGATATGCTGCAAGTACATTTTTTTTAACAATTCACCTAGTTTACATGAAAAAATACAAGCTCAACTCTTTAACATGATTCTGAAATAGACCCAGAGATCCAAGGGGGAAAGTATGTTTTATTATCCATATATCAATTACCTCTAATTTTAGCCCCAAATATTAAAGGACCAAGTAAGATGGGGTATAATTTGTATTCTCAGCAGACTTCAAAGTGACATGATTATCATTACTTTGTTTAATTATAATTTCTCTTTTTAATCTTAAAAATCATATTTCCAATTATAGGCATTTTTAATTGTCAACTATTGGAAATTCTTAATTGTCAACTACTGGAAACCAGAGACCAAATTCAACTTTTTAGGGGTTTTACAAGAGGCCATGGATAAAGAATATGAATGGCTCCCAGCTCCAGTCTTATGCTACTTTAAAGGCACATGGCATATTAAGATCTGCTCTAGAATGGTGTCTTCAACCAGGAAATAATGTACAATGTATCTTGGATTATTTTTTTTTGATAGATTAAAAATGAAGGCATAATATATATATATAAATATATACCTATATAAAAGTTATGCAACAAGCTGACAACATTTTGAAGTTAAGCATTTGCATTCAAATAATGTGGCCATATTAAATCTGGTAAACGTGAGGCATGTTTAACTTCGTAAAAGTCCACTAATAAATTGGGGGTGAGGGGAAGAAGAACACCCAATGTAGAGATCTAGATAAAGTTTAAATACTCTTTTAAATGCCCAATTTACATCATGTCTTCCTGACATCATTGGTTTTTCAGCAAGAACTCTTCATATTTAACTGTGTAAAATGCCTAGTTGAATTTTGCATACTATTCAGAATGATAGGTGACTCTTGCCACATCTACATAAGGAAATAACGTAAGAAAAGCCTGCTGGATCAGGCCAATGGCCCGTCTAGTTCAGTTTCCTGCTCTCAGAGAGGCCAACCAGATGTTTTTCAGAAACGGACAAGTGGGATTCAAGCACAAAAGCTCTCTCCCTTCTTGTAGTTTCTAGCAGCTGGCAATCAGAAGCACTGCTGCCACCAACTCTGGATGTTGAGCATAGCCGTCATGACTAGTAGCCATTGACAGCCCTCTCCTCCATACATTGGTTTAATCTTCTTTTAAAGCCATCTAAGTTGGTGGACATCATTGCCTCCTGGGAGAGCAAGTGCCACAGTTTAACTATGCACAGCATATAATAAAAAAATTATGCTGAGGCTCTAAAGAAGTAATTTCATGTGGTATTAACTGCACTAATATAAGAATATACTAAATAATAGCACATAATATGGTGATCTTCACCCATTCCACAAAAACTGGTTAAATTAGAGAACACAGAGAATGCTCATTCTTTCTAGAGGTCATGAAGGAAAGAGTTTTAGGTTGTTGCAGAAAATGCACACAACTTTAAAAAGAGAAGCTTTTGACACTAATGCCAATTATTACGTGAGAAATCTTCAAAACATTCCCCCTTGGGGTAACTCCAGCTCCAGCGACTTTAATGTAAAGAAATTTGAACCAATGGCAAATGTTCTGAAAATTTCATTCTGTTCATATTAAGTCTTTCTGCCATCATTCCCCTTCTATTATCACTCATTAATCTCTTCTAATGAGCACATATATCTGCACTTTCCATTGAGGAGGGAAGGAGTTGTTTTAAAAAGAAATCTACAAGCAGCAATATCTTAATAAATAGACTGACTAGGCATAAATCTGATACCAACACTATTGGCACACAGTAACATCCTTGATGGATTCCCAAAATGTACATGCAATATGCATAAACAATATTATTTCAAGCGTAATCAGGGAATCATGGCATTGCCTAAGTAATAAATAGAATAAAAAATTAAAGATTATTCACAGAAAAATTAGTGGTAAAATCACGTATGTAGGTATATAGGAGCTCAAAATAGTTTACAACCATAAGTAGCAAATTGGTCCTTCATTGAAAACCAATCAAAGTCTTTGTCTAGAATTAACTGCTTACATGTTATCTCATGCCAATAAACAAAATCCAAGAGACTGAACACAAGTATTCTCAAGCACATACAGAACTCTTGAATGCTGCCATGTTCAAAAGCATGTTAATTTAAAAGATATTTACATAACATGAAAAATATTAAAAACTTCATTTTAACTGTGATTTCTTGAAAGCATATTTCCTGGGTGAAAATGATTTTTCTTGGCTTCTAAACAAGCAACACGACTGTTAATTACAGTTGAGATGAGTGGTTGCTGTTGTGAAAAACGTGCCCAAACAAGGCTTGAATAGTGTTGGTTTCATGACGTAAACATTTTAAGTAGCAGCCACTAGGCGGGTTTCTTTTCACAAACTGGCACATAGTCATACATACAATCATTTGACTTCTTTTGTTAAGTCTTCAGAAATATCTGATTTGATGTCTTTAACTTGCGGTTTTAAATCAATATTTTCAAATGTTTGATCCATTTATTCTGCTGTTCCATTAATAATCTTGGACAGGAGCTAGTTCTGGCATAAGGTTTACTGTTACATTTGTATACAATTTGCTGACTAAAACAGTAGGTGTATATAGCAGATTATTCAACCCATCAATGTACTGACGCTCTCGGGAATATCTTAATAGTTTATACCTGTGGAGAGCAAAAGTAAGGAGCATTGCTAAAAGCTATGGAAAGTCATGTTTAATTGGCTACAATCTGAAAGTGATTTTCAGCCTTTAAACAAGCAGATAATTGTTTATCAAATGTAAACATATTCAAAATAAAAAAACTTTGACGATATATAAACATACACAGCGCAACAACTTCAACAGTGCAACCATATACATCTCTATTGGGAAGTACCGTATTTTTTGCTCTATAAGACTCACTTTTTCCCTCCTAAAAAGTAAGGGGAAATGTGTGTGCGTCTTATGGAGCGAATGCAGGCTGCACAGCTATCCCAGAAGCCAGAACAGCAAGAGGGATTGCTGCTTTCACTGCGCAGCGATCCCTCTTGCTGTTCTGGTTTGAGATTCAGAATATTTTTTTTCTTGTTTTCCTCCTCCAAAAGCTAGGTGTGTCTTGTGGTCTGGTGCGTCTTATAGAGCAAAAAATACGGTAAGTCCTCTTGAATTCAATGGGGCTTACTTCCAGATATAGGCTAGTGGCCTATGGCTCGGAATATGCGAACACAAAATAAGCTAATGCTATTTAGTGCTTATTTTGACATCAGAACCAACCAATTCAAATCCTAGACCAACCATGGTGTTACTCAAGACGTAAACCCCACTTGGATATTTGTCCACACACCCAAGAGCACGGGAGGTCCTGTCATGCCATCTTTGTTGTGCTGACAGCCCTCCATGAGTCTGAGTTCCACTCATGTGAAGAGGAGGTCCTCCTCTGCTCATGAAAGATCACCACAGGAATTAGAACTGTGATCATTCAGGGTTCTAAATCATATGTTTATCATATTGGGAATAACAATGATATATATTCCACAATGATAAACTTGAGACATGTTTTGCATGTGAAGAAACTATATACATGAATAGTTGCAACTGTTATGTTTTGCAGCTAACAGCATAATGTGCTGAAAACAAAATCTCCTGTGAGCCTTTTGACACTAAGCCATTTTTCTTACCGTCCTAAGAATTGAACTTCTCCTCGGTGATGATGAGGAATAGACTTATACTTCCCTAGCTCTCCTTCTGGTCTTGATACGTTGTATCCTACATAGTGAACCCTACAATTGAAATAGTTAACATGTGTAAGAAAAACTTAAGATTTGTAAAGCCATTTTGACTGTGGTTGCAATCCTACGAACAATTTGCACAAATGGGAGTAAATCTTGTGGATGCATGGTATCTTTGAGATATTCACCACAGTCAGACATTTTTAAACTGAACATAGCTTATCTGGTCAGCTATGCAAAACATCAGAATGTGCAAAATTCATCCTGCCACATGTCTGCTTGTCTCTGACCTATACAGAACATGTATGTCTTTATTTTTATTTATTTTTAAGCTGTTAGGGAAGGGTAATAAACTTTGATTTACTTGTTCACTCTCGGATTATACTGAAAATCACATAAATGTTTTTAGACAACCTACTAAAGAGGAAATGTCATGAGAGAAACATTGGAAAGAGTCTTTAAAAACGCACATCTTCCAACTGACTGCAACTGCAAACTGGAAAAACAATAGTGAGACAGCAGGAACACTCAAAAGAATGGAAGAGTTTTCCAACATGCTGGCATCAGTTCCATCAGGCAGATCCAGTCACACTTTTCAAAACACGAGCAGAGGAGACATTTCTTTTGTTTATAGCCTACTTATTAACTAAAGAAAATTCTCCCAAACATATACTGAGTTTACTTCACTTTTAAAACTTATCCTTATCCTAGTTATGTTTCTTTGAAGTTCTTGAAAAGAGACTACCATCTGGACTGCCTAATAGGATGCCTTGTATGTAGAATGTTGTGTGTCGTGCCCCATCCTCAGATTGCTTTATAATGAAGGGCATCATATAAATTTTAATAACAAATAACTTAATAGAAAATGCTTTGATGTGCCATTAAAGTGACAGGAATTAGCATGATGTTAAATGACTGTTAGATACTAATTTACAAGTGTCTAATAGGCACCTGCACATCTGAATAAATCTTCTATCTCAATGCCAGAAGATAACTTGAAAGTCACTTCCATCTAGGCGATCAACCTATACATTCTATAAACACTCACCTATTCCAGAGATCATCATCTTCTCCACCCCATCCCCAGAAAGCATTTGGAAATCCATTGATTTTTTTGAATTGTTCTATTGTTAGTCCACTTACACCACCAAAGAACTCATTGTATGGAAGACTGAAAATGACAGCAGGCAAATTTCATTTTCTTTAGTGCATTTAGGTAAAAATAATTATTTCTTCCTACAACTTTCCACATTTGGCAAACAATTAACCTTTTTGAAGAAATGAATACACCTTTTAAAATCAAAGCCTTCACAATTTTGTTAAATCAATTCAATAAACGCAGAAGCCAAGTGTATTTCTATAAGGTCATCTTACAGCTGTGTACAAAGACACCATCTCATAGAAATCACACAAGGAAAACACTAACCACATAGTCAGGAGGCTGGATTTAGGCATACAAGTGTAAAATAAAGCTTTGGAAATATGGGCTGGGATTCATAGAATGGCACAACTAGCTCCATGAAACCAAATGATGTTTTAGGAGCAGCCCCTATTCACATAACAATGTATTTAAAACAAAAATAAAGAGACTTTCAAAAGCAGGTTGTGATATGGCATGAGAATCTACTTTAGAAAGCATAGGGGAGGAAGCAAAAATCATATTGGGTGTGCACCTATAGAACCCAACCATAATCTTTTGATGCTGTATTTTTTCTAGACAAAAGCAGTGACTATCTGTAAAGTGCAAGAAAATAAAAGCAAGGAGGTATGATATAAAGCAGCTGAGCAATAAACATATGCAAGGTGTGAGGGAAAATGTAGGCTGAGAGCCATAGGAATAAAAGACAGCCATGGAGTAAATGGGCAGCTGAATCACAAAGACCAGGAGCTTTAGAAGATAGAAACTAAATCTGCCGTGGCCATTGCGAGATTAAGCTACGGGAACAGGTTTTAGGTAAGGGAGAAATTTAGTCAGAAGTGCATACATCACTGAGAAGAGATAGTTTTTTTGTGATTTCATCTATTAAGCAAGTTTTATTATGGGAGGGTTGTTTGTCAAAGAATGGTAGGGAGTGACTTTCAGCCTGTTTGCACAAACGTAACTACATAGCTATGCCAATGCAATACATGTCAATAAGGTTAACAAGGAAACATCTTAGAAAGCCCAATTTCATAGAAAGGAAACTGCCTCAGTAGAAGGGCTAGGTAATAAAACTGTACGCATTTTGTTAATTAAAAGTGTTTTAAAACCTTCACATTTGCAAGTTAATGCTGAACTTTTGAGATATGAGATGTAACTCAAAGTAGTTACAGTCCAAAACTTTTTCACTGCCATATCCATATTTATAATTACCAAATTCTATGCCAAAGCTTAAAAACCCATAGTCATATATGGAAGTTATACGGAATGCATGAGCCTTTTAATCCATAGATCGTTTGCATGAACTGCTTAACTTTTGTTATACACAAATACTAATTTTTCTGTTTTATACTGTTTCAAGGAATGTCTAGTAGTACTAAATTTAACCCATACTTGTGGGACAGCAGGGGGAATGACTGACTTAAATATTTATTTTCCAATGTTGTGCCATTTCCTAATGGCAAAGCTTTGTCTAATTGTAAACATTGGTTATAACTATAGAGATTCAGAATGAATTTTCTACAATCACAAATTAATTGAATTCATTACTTACATGTACATATATTTGTCCAGCTTTGCGGCGAAATGTCGTGGCATCTCACCACATCCATAATAATTTCGATCGTTTTCAGGTAAGTGATCCACATCATGAAAAATTACACAGTCCCAGTCACCATCCTTCATGGCTTCTTTAAAACCAATGTTGAAGAGCATTGCTCGGTTAAATGGCTGTGTTCCAGTCTTAATAAGAGGAAAAAACAAGACGTTAAGACTGTAATCCTCACCCAGGAGTAAGCCCCTTTGAATTCTATGGCACTTCTAGGCAATATGGTTAGGATAGTGCTGTAAATGTGTTAAATAAGAACTGACATAAAAGGATTGACTATTGACATAAGCTAGATATATACAAAACTTTAACATAAAAAGTTTTCTTAATATATAATGTTTGCTACTTCATAGCAAACGTTTCCCCCCCCCCAATAAAATATTTGAGAAGGCCAAGCCCCCCAAAGTTGATGGGCATTGCAATTTGAATGGTGTGTAAGACATGTCATGTGATTGATTGGGCTTACCTGGGCCCCCCGCCCAAATATTTTAATCAAGTTGGCACCCCTGGCTACATTCCTTCTAACAGCAGAGTAGCAGAAACATTGTTAAAGTCATAGTATGATATCATCATAAATTTGTAGAGTTGAAAGGGACTACGAGGGTCATCTAGTCCAACCCCACTGCAATGTAGGAATCTTTTGCCCAATGCCGATCTCGAACCCATGACCCTGAGAGAGACTCATGCTCTACTGACTGAGTGATCACAGCTGATTTGGAACAACCCACAAAACCAGATATGCAATGCCACAGTTAAAATTATATAAACTAAGATGCAATCTTTTGAAGCAAAATAATTAGTTTTTAATTCACCTGATTAAAGGAAACATTTTAAGGAATTTTGCCCAAACCTTGCAAGAGTAATATTTCTTGGGATTCAGCTAAAAGGTAAAGGTAAAGGACCCCTGACAGTTAAGTCCAGTCTTGAACGACTCTGGGGTTGCGGCGCTCATCTCGCTTTACTGGCCGAGGGAGCTGGCGTTTGTTCACAGATAGTTTTTCTGGGTCATGTGGCCAGCATGACTAAGCCACTTCTGGCGAAACCAGAGCAGCGCACTGAAACACTGTTTACCTTCCCACTGGAGTGGTACCTATTTATCTACTTGCACTTTGACGTGCTTTCAAACTGCTAGTTTGGCAGGAGCTGGGACCGAGCAATGGGAGCTCACCCCATCGCGGAGATTCAAACCGCCGACCTTCCGATCGGCAAGCCCTAGGCTCAGTGGTTTAGACCACAGCGCCACCTGGGACTCAGCTACACAGCTGCAAATAAAACGTTTTAAATGTGTTGTAAAGTGCAATATACAAATCTGACACTAGATGGTGACATTTATTTTAAAACATTTATTTTAAAAAAGCATTTTCATAGCGTTTTTTATATGTGTGTAGATTCTACCTTGGAAACCATGATTAACATAGATACAATGCATTATTTACAATAATATATTTGAATTCATTCTAAAACAAATATAAAGCCGCTCACCTGTTCAACAACATAAAAAGCAAATTCCAGCCTTTGGTTTTGTAACACTGGTATCAGGTGTCGGAAAAATATTGGAAGATGTTCATGGCGATTCCGAAAAGGAATGAGTATTGCAACCTTCAAATACAATAAGTATGTGTGTATGAGTATGTGTGTATTTGTTACCCTGCATCTATCATACATACAGTATTACTTTTAAACTACATTTCAATGTCAGCTTCTGGTCTGAAAAACACAAATTACACATATACATAACATATATATTTTATATCATTTTGAAGATGTGTTCCAGTATTGCAAAAGAAAAACCATGCCAAGACTTTGAAAAAATCACCTAGCTTTATTAGATCATGCTGCACATAGAGTGAAACATTTAAGAAGTATTTTTAGACGTTAAGAAAATATCATCTTCACCTTCACCTCACCTTCCACCGTGGTTTACAGTCCTTGGGCCTCCAATGACCACCTGGTTCAATGTCTAAATCTTTTGAAAATATCTTCTGAATTTCATCCAAACCAATTTCACTCATATTGACATCAATAAAGCCTCCTGGGTTGTGAAAAGAATGAAGTATTAATGTGAATTTCAAAAAACAAACCTGAAGTTATTCATAATTATCACTTAAAATAAAACACTACTGTGATAAAACTAAAATATATAAACTCCATAGGTCAGGCATGGGGAACCTCTGAAATACTGGCCAAATTAAGTGCGGGGCAGGTAAAAATGCAGCTACAAACGGAACAATTGGGAGCCTTTAAGAGCACTCCTCATTTTTCTTTGACATTTCTAATGTTTGGCACCAAATGCAAGCCCTGCTAGAATTGGATCCACCTCAGAGCTTCCAAGAGCTTATTGCCACCAACTGCAACCCCCTTAAGCAGGGATCTTCCTTTGCAGTCCCCATTTGAGTTCAAGCTATTAGTGTCATTGGCCCAGTCTTGTGGAACACTCTTCCAATAGAGATTCAACAGGATCATTCTATTTCAGAATGTTTCAATCTTGAAAAGTGGGCTGAAAACTTTTCTATTCCATCAGGCAATTTCCATAATAATTAGCTGATTTCTGATTAAAAATAAATAAATCATATGGTTTTCACTGTATGGCCTTCCTTACATATAACTTTTGTAAACCACTCTGATATTTTTCATGAATAGTGGTTTATACTGTATTTTTCGCTCTATAAGACACACTTTTTCCCTCCTAAAAAGTAAGGGGAAATGTGTGTGTGTGTTATGGAGCGAATGCTGACAGGCATGCTGACAGGGCTTCTCCCACCTCGTAGAAAAGCCCACAAGAGCCGCACTCCCTTTAAAGAGCGCACGGCTCTTGCCTGGTTTTTGCAGGAGGTGGGGGAAGGAACAGAGGGCAGCTGCCCGGGAGAGGCTTCGGCGGCTATCCCAGAAGCCAGAACAGCAAGAGGCTATCCCAGAAGCCATATCCCTCTTACTGTTCTGGCTTCTGGGATTCAGAATATATTTTTTTCTTGCTTTCCTCCTCCAAAAACTAGGTGCGTCTTATCGTCTGGTGCGTCTTACAGAGCGAAAAATACGGTAAATGTTTTTATTAATAAATAAAATAAATTGTGGTTAATTGCAGCAATGGGTAAAAGTTCTCTCCTGCAAGATGACAGAATCCTCTAACTGAAAAGAACACTGCACCTGAATGCACTGCTTTCAAAAAATGCATTCTTATAGCCAGCTCTGAACTGTGGTATGAACTTCCAAAACTTATTTTTCTACTAAACAGTTTTCTGTTTATTAAAAATAAATAAATCTAACCTGTTTTTCTTCTACTTTGAGGATTCTAGTTATATAAATTATAACCATATTCATCTAAGAAATAGTTTTAATATAAATTATATCCATACTCATCTAGGAAATAATTTCAATACACTTTATTGAAAGAGACTATTTCAAAGCAATCTGTAGCAAAACAGATCATATGTCAATGTGAACTTACTCATGTAGGGCAACTTTTCCGGACAAGGTTGGCTAGGAGAATAAGTGAAATTTTCTGGAAGGTACATCACAGTTTGTGCAAGGTTATCACTTGAATTGTTGCCTTCAGGGTAATCTTCATAGAAAGAAATACAATTTGAATTTAAAAGAGAAAGAAAAAACACAATTGTTTCTATGTTTATAAGGTAGCATTGCCATCTGCATATTATTTAATTTTAAAACATCTCTCTCATATACTTTCTGAGGAACTCAGAAAGATACAATAGAAAAACAGTATTTCAAGAACGCCAATGGAGTGATAAAGGGTTATGTCCTGAGCATGATGTTGTTCAATATATTTATAAATGACTTGGATGAAGGCATTTTGACATCAACGACACCAAACTGGGAGGGGTAGCTAATACTGTAGAACACAGAATTAGAATTAATAAAATATTATTACTGACTATAGCAGTATTCCACCTGGAATACTTTGTCCAGTTCTGGGCACCACAGTTTAAAAAGAATATCAACAAGCTGGAATGTGTACAAAGGACAGCAACCAAAATGGTTAAGCCTTATGAAAAATGGTTGCGAGAGTTGAGTACGGTTAGCCTAGAAAATAGAAGCCTGAGAGGTGATATGATAGCCATGTTCAAATATCTGAAGGGCTGTCCCATGGAAGATGGAGCAAGCATATTTTCTGGTGTTCCAAACCAATGGATTCAAATTACAAGAAAGGAGATCCCAACTAAATGTTAGGAAGAACATTCCAATGGTAAGAGCTGTTCAACAGTGGGAAAAGTTACCTCTGAAGGTGATAGATTCTCCTTCATTGGGGTTTTTTTAAACAGAGGTTGAGAAGCCATTTGTCATGTATTCTTTAGCTATGATTCCTGCATTGTAGGGGGTTGGATGAACCTCGAGGTTCCTCCCAAAGCTACAAGTCTATGGCTCTAAGATTCTAAGATATAAAACAATCTCCAAGTGAAAAACAATCCCCACCCCAAAAGCCCACAGCACAATACTAATTTCAGAACAGCCAGGCAGAACAAAAAAATAATCAGCCACGTCCTTTTTGAACAATCATGTTTCAACAACTGCCTGAAACCATATGGTGATATGGCCTGAATAACAAAGTGGATTCCACAAAGTGGAATACCCTAGCCCAGTTTGCCATCAGCTGTGCTTCACAACTTCAAGAGATCTGGAGCAGAGCCTCAGATGATGATTGGTGAATGCTGGGAGAAACATACAGAACAAGGCAGTCCTTAGATTTCCCAGACCCCAAACCACTTTCAGGTTAACACCAGTTCCTTGAATTCAGCCCATAAACAAACCTGCAGTCAAATTAGTGTGCTGGAATCAAAATGTCTAGCTCCCATCAACAATTTCCTTTCTATTAATCATCTGATTCTGACATTACAATGTTTTTGGTGCCAGATTAAGGTTTTTCTGATTGTCTGGACATTTTAAAAGGGTTACATTTGTCTTTAGTTTGTCTTTGTTTGTTTTCAGCTGCTGTTGTTTGTATTCTTTTATGTTTTGCATTTATTGGGTTCTATTCTTGCTGCTCTTATTCTATTCTTATTCCAATCTTATTGTATCCTAGGATCTATTTCAAGGGCATTTTAGAAATTTTTACAATAAACAAATGCATTGTAATCTACGGTTCACTCAACAGATGGTTATAAGATTTTATAAGATTAAAAAATGAAAAGCATAACGTTCTTACCTGTGCCATTTAAAGTAGCATTTTTATTAGTGTACAGCCTGATCATATGCCCTATTGTTTTCACATTTTCTTTCAGCATTATACCTCGTGCTTGAACCATAAATAGATACGTATTTGCTGTTGAGAGATGAAAAATCATTCAAAATTGGCTTCAATTTGAAACTGAAACTATAAATGTTACTCATTATTGCACAATTACATGATTGACAAATATAATATAATAATATATACAGTCATTGCCAAATATGAATTAAGGCACTAAAAAAAAGGGGGGGAAAGCTGTGGGACCTCAATAACAGTTGGAAGTGAAATGTACAAAGTTCAATATTCAGTGTAGAGTACCTGTCTTTTTCTTCACTAACTCTGAAAAAAATCAATTAAATATGAGAACATGGTAATATCTTTTTTGAACTTACTTTATGCAAAGGGAAGAAGGAAGATGGAGGAATTACTTATAAGCCTGACATCTGGCATCTCTCTGTTTTAACAAGTGATGGATGCAGTCAGCATTGACAATGCTGGCACGTTCTGTCAAATAATATGCCGTATTTTTTGCTCTATAAGATGCACTTTTTACCTCCTAAAAAGTAAGGGGAAATGTGTGTGCGTCTTATGGAGTGAATGCAGGCTGCGCAGCTATCCCAGAAGCCAGAACAGTGAGAGGGATCGCTGTGCAGCGCTCCATCTCGCTGTTCTAGCTTCTGGCATAGCCACGCGCAGCCTCTTCAGGGCAGCGGGGAGCCTTCATCCCGCTGCCCTGAAGAGGCTGCACAGCTATCCCAGAAGCCAGAACAGTGAGAGGGAGCACTGCGCAACAATCCCTCTTGCTGTTCTGGCTTCCGGGATTCAGAATATTTTTTTTCTTGTTTTCCTCCTCCAAAAACTAGGTGCGTCTTATGGTCTAGTGCATCTTATAGAGCGAAAAATACGGTATATGCAAGCAGAGAAGAGAGCCATACCATCAGATGTGCTTCTGCATGCCTCTGTATCATGATACAACAGTTACATTATAATGAGGAAGCATGAGAATATGAAAAGAGCCTGCTGGATCAGGCCAATGGGTCCATCTTGTCTGGCATCCTGCTCTCACAGTGGTCAACCAGATGCTTATGGGAAACCTGCATAATAAGTTTGCCAACCCGCTGTCATGATTTCTTCTTATGCCATTTTCTCTTCCCAAGTGGAAAAAACACATTGTTGCTTGATTTATGTGGCTGCTGGCATGCCACAGGACAACCATGCAAAAGCTGGATATGAATCAGACCCGACTGTACATAAAAATATTATTTACCCAAAGCAGCCTTTGTTGTAACATAAATTGTAAGAAGAACTCAAACTGTGTTTTCAGCTAGCTGAAATGTCAATGCTAGTACAGTATCAAGAATGCAAACTATCACATAAACCAGTTGGACATGTGTAAGTTTGGTCCATGTCATTTTAGATATCCTGTAATACAGAATTATTATCCCGAATGTAAACAAATTTAGGTCTGGATTCAACTCACGAGTCACGTGAATGGAAGCCTGCACAAGGATTTCCATTAGTGTGACAGGGCTTTCCCCCCTTTCCCCTGTGAGCCCCCTGTACACACACCTCAAATTAGTTTGAGGGGGTCAGGAGAACCCCCAGAACAGCACACAGTGGGAGGAGACAGAGGATCACTCCATCTGGCAAACTGAAACGCTTGTGCTGATAGAACTTTTGCCATAGCACTACAATGAATTTCTTCCTTAGTTACCACAGTAAAACACTTCAATATGGTAACCAAATCACACATCACAACCAAAGAAAAGGTAAGGAGGTATTATAAAGTCATGAGGCTTTCACAACTAGATTATTGTTACTTAAATCAATTAAACTTGTTATTGCACCATCCTCTAAGGAAACATATTCCCTTTGAAACCAACATGAAATCAATTTTGTTCAATTAGTAATTAAAGGGTGCTGTATAAAGAAATGTGAACTTGATTGTAAAAATAGGTAGCCATTCCACAATATGAAAGTTCAGTGCAAGTAAATATTAGGACTTACACCAGAAAAGATTCATTTTCCTACTGAACACTATGCACTATCATGAATACTGATACATCCTAAATCATATAGGATCTTCTCAATTTTATAGTCTCTCTTTTTGAGACAAGTTCATATCCAAATCTATTTCCAGATTTCCTACTTAACTGTACCAAGAAGCATATGAAGTAATCACTTCTGTTTGAAGGTAGTTTATGTCCATCCCCCCCCCCTTTTTTTAAGTGTCAACTAGTGGATGTTCTCCTGATGTTAGTTATCCTCTGCTGCAGGTGTGTAGTCTAATTTGTGGTGTTGGGCCAGAGATAAGGGATTTTTTTGGTGTGCCATCCGCCCCACTGCTCTTCAACCTTCCTAACTAAACTCACAGAGCTTGTCTGACACGTGGTGCTGGAGAACCCTTTTATGGTGGTGTTGGGAAACTTAATATTCAGGCTAAGGCTGCCACAAATGGGCCAGCTAAGGACCACATGGCCTCTGTGACAACCATGGAGCTGTCTCACTGCATCAGTGGTCCAACAAATGTGGGTGGGCATACTCTCAACCTAGTCTTGCCACAGAGCAGGTTGGGGGCTTGCTGTTAGTCTGTTGTCATGGGTGAATCATTCTCTGGTTGAGCTAAATGTAGTAACTCCACTCCGCAAGGGTTAGTTCACCCTCAGAGACCAATGGAACCAGATGGATTCCTGAGTGCCCTGGGGGATTTTCTGGCTGACATGGCTGGTGCCCCTTTCAAGGCTCTTGTCTTACTGTAGAATAATGAGAAGTAGAACCACCAAAACAATCACTCCTGAATGCCCTTGCCATTACTGTGGGGCATGTAGATCACCTTGGTATTTCAGGTACACAGGAGGATTGGTGACTAGAGTTAAAACCTGAATTTCAGAGTTGGAGCCACTCCAATGGAGGCATCTAGAGCACTGTCAGTTCCATCTATACTGGATCAGTTTAGATTATTGTACTGTGAGAAGGTGGCCCATCTTAGCTTCTTAGAGCTAGCCTTAGGGCAGCGTTGGCCAAACTTGGGTCTCCAGCTGTTTCTGAACAACAACTCCCATCATCCCTAGATAACAGGACCAGTGGTCAGGAATGATGGGAACTGTAGTCCCAAAACAGCTGCAGACCCAAGTTTGGCCAATACTGCCCTAGGGGGTTGATAGGGTGGATCCATGGAGTGACAAATACTTCATTGGAGAAGGGAGAGAAAGCAATTGCCTTTAAGGAGAGAGTGGCGCACCACCTCTTTAAAAAGACCCTCATCTAATATGCCAAAAGCCAGGTTAAACAGGTATGCCTTCAGCACTCACCAAAAGCTGTACAATGAAGATGCAGGATGCACCTCTGTGGACAGTTCCACAACTTAGGTGCTGCTACATAGAATGTCCTCTCTTGGGGGACTACATCCAGAAGCAATATGGCCCCTCTGTTGATCTTAACACCTGAAGGGGGGTCTGTAGGGAAGGAGGTGGTCTTTCAGGTATTTGGTGCCCAAGTCATTTAGGGCAGAGCTGGCCCAGATGGCTCCCGGAACCGTTCAAAAACCAAGGCGCAGATTCCAATTGGCTGCATGAGCGTCCTGCAGCCAATCAGAAGCTGCAGAAGCCACGCCAAATGTTCAGCTTCCCAAAACCGGAACACTCACTTCGTTCAAGAGCCGAAACATACGAGTTCCAAGGCATTCGGCAACCAAGGTATGACTGTACCTTGAAATGAGTCCAGAAGAGGAGGAGGAGTTTGGATTTGATATCCCGCCTTTCACTCCCTTTAAGGAGTCTCAAAGCGGCTAACATTCTCCTTTCCCTTCCTCCCCCACAACAAGCACTCTGTGAGGTGAGTGGGGCTGAGAGACTTCAAAGAAGTGTGACTAGCCCAAGGTCACCCAGCAGCTGCATGTGGAGGAGCGGAGACGCGAACCCGGTTCCCCAGATTACGAGACTACCACTATTAACCACTACACCACACTGGCTCTCAAGAAGTGAAATGGCAACCAGTGCAGCTGTTTTAAAACAGGAGTTATGAGAGATCTAAATGGAACCCCACCCAGTAATCTTGCTGTTGTAATTTGGACCAAGTGAAGTTTTCAAATCATCTACAAGTGGATTAATGTAGTAGATGTGGCCACAATATTTTTTGCAGGAGGAATTGTTTTTAAATGACTGCTATAGAGTATTTGTGTGGAAAGGCTGAGAACTCAGGCTTTATAGAAATAAAATGTAAAATTGTCCAAAGCTCTCTCAGCATAATTGCATGGGCTGTTCGCATTAGAAACTATGTCACAAGCACTGTCCAACATACTCCCATAACTCACAAGTCTTACATATTCAAGTGTCATAATGAGCACAAGAGTGGATCTGATTTCATCACCAACTAGAATTACCAAACGGAATGCAGGTAAAACTGGTATTTTCTTTTGTTAGAAGCCCTACTCCTGTAATAGCATGTTATAACAGACAAGTGTGCATCTCTCACAACACAAGGACAAGAACAATCCATCCCTTTGAAAACATATGTACTTCCAAAATGCATTTATTGACTGTGTACACACAGGAATGTTTGACCACCGTATGCTTTGCCATTCACCCAACACAATGAAACTGCATCTATGTAGCATGTCAATTTATGAGTTCACACTTGTGCATTTCTCACTCAACACCTGCAGCATCAGGTAATAATGACTTGCAAGTGTGAGATCAGCCACCACAAGATCAAACAACATAGACTTTTTGATCATCGGCTCCTAGTACAATCTCAAACATAATGTTTTTCAATGGAGAATCGCATGTGAGGAGGAAAGAAAAAACACGCAGGTGCACATGTATGAATGAACCAAGTCCCTGGTGAATCCTTGGAGCCGTTTTGGAACAACATGCCCTTTAATCCCACCCACCGACCTTGAAAAAACGCAAGCCGGGGATCCCTTCTTACCTATTCCGGGAGCCACATAAATGAAATACAGGCAAGAGGAGGAGAAGGAAAAGAAGAAGAGGAAGACGAAAATCGAGCGGTTGGAGACTCGCAGCGCCTTCGTGAAGAGAGACATCCTCCTATTCCGGGGCAGAGAGGCAGGCCACCCCCCTCCCTCCCCCCGGCTGCAAGTGGCGGCTGCGCTTCCCAGGCTTGAAGGTGCAAACCCCACCCCCACCAAAATAAAAATAAATAAAAAGCAGGCTGCCCACGGACTGGATGCCAAGCCAAACCAGCTGCTAAGACAGACCACGAAGCCAAGAGCGAGGCCTCGGGAGAGCAGGAAGCCCCACCAGCGGGGACGGACTCCCAGGCATGGTCAATAGGGCGAGGTTATCCCACACAGGATGGGCCAACCTGGGGAGGGAGAGAAGGTCCGGCGCGGCGGGGGGGGGCACAGAACGGAGCAGAAGGCGGGAAGGGGGCAGCGCGCGCCACCCCAAAGGGAGGCGTCAAGGAAAAGGGCGAGCGCCCGCAGCCGTGAAGGGAGGAGGGCGATGCTTCATGACGCAGGTGAAAGACGCTGAGGAAAGTGTGGGAGGGGGTGTCGCTGTGGTCCCTCTAGGCCGCCCCCACCTCCCTGCAGTCCGAACTTGGCGCTCCCCCTGTGAGGCGGGAAGGAGAGGTGTTTCAGCAACGCCTCCTGAGGGGAAGCTGCTGCCGTTTGGCTCCGGGTCCTCTCAGCCCACCGGAAGCCCCCGCTGCTGGTTCCTTGGCCGACGCTGCCCGCCTCGCCATCCTGCCGCAGGCTGGGAGCGGTTGCCGTCCGGGCATCCCTAGCCGCTTTCTCTCCGCTCGGCTTGCTGCTCTTGCTCTTTTCCCGAGACCTGCCTCCTCCCACCAGCAGGTCTCTCTCGGACTGCGGCGGTGGAGGGAAAGTGCGGGGTGCCCGGGCTGGCGCGCGCGCGGGCTCCACGGCGTGACGAAGGGGAACTGCAGAACTCCGTGTCGCGCGGGTGGCGGCGGGGGATGATTGGGGGGGGAGCGCGCGCCGCTCACGGTGGCGTGGGTTGGAAAGGCGGGCAGGCGCGAGGAGGGGAGCGCGCGCCGGCCCGCTCCCTGAGCCAATGCGGAACCCGGGACGAAGGGACAGCCCTTCTTAGTCCAGCATCCCGTTCTCGCATTGGCGAACCAGATGCGAACCCGGCACAAGATTTTGCAGAGGCACTAAAAACTACTTAAAAAAAGAATAGGGAAAAGAAAACCTTAGAAGGGGTGGGGACCCAAACGTCACAGTGAGGACTAAGCATACTCAGTATGCATGAGTATGCAAAGCTCACTGACTGGGGAGGATGCAATGGAAAACCAGAAGGTTTTCACATATACTACTGGCAAGCCAGGTGTCCCCCCCCCCCCCAATCTTATATTTTTGCTGCTGGTTCTTCCAGCCTAAATGCAGAACCTTGTTTTTGTCCATATTTAAATTCATTTGGTTACTTTTGACTCAGTTCTCCAGTCTGTTAATGTCACCTTGAATCCTGTTTCTGTCTTCTGAGGCATTAGCTACCCCTTCCAGTTTGCTGTCATCTGGAAATTTGATGAACATCCCTTCAATTATTTCTTTTATAAAGCAGCTGAACAACAATGGGTGCAGGACAGAACCCTATGGCACCCCACTTGTCATACTTTTTTTTTACTCTTCCCATGCGCTATCAGGGTTTCAATTTCTGGGAGATTCAACAGAACACACTTTAAAACCCTTTTCAGATCTTAGTGATAAATACACAAAGGTCTGACAAGCGCTTTGTATGCCCAAGGATGTTGGGGATAGGATTTGCATGAGTGCCTTTGCTCTCATTTCTATTTTAACACCCTATGTGTGCAGGCGAATGCCTAAGCATGACTATAACCAACAAAAAAATGTGTGTGGAGCCCCCACAGATAGAAAAGTTTCCCCACTGAAGATAGGCTCCTCATACTAGACAAGAATTAACTCGCTGATTCCCATTGCCTACCTATCATGTGTTTAACCCCATTTGGAAGACTTGAAGAGGGGTATACTTGAAGAGTGCTTAAGATGTCGATCTGATCGATCTACCTTTTCTAATTAGAAGGAGAGGGAAGAACAGACTGAAACATCACAGAAACTGGGCAGCTAGGATTGGAAGCATTGCTAATATTTGATACTACCACTAGATGTCACCGTTTTAACATACTCCAAAGTTTTATAAATAACAATATGTTTTGTTTTACCTTTGAAAACTTGCAGTAATCTTTTCTGTAGTTATCAAAGCAGTACTATTGTCAGCACGTACAAATGAAGATCAGCTCTATATAGTTTGATAATCATTTTCGAAATATGCAGCCCTCCTTTTTCGCATGCTGCTGATAAGAAATGCAACTCTTAAGAAATGATGTGACAGGACAGGAGGGAGATAGAGACTGACACAGACAGTTCTGCAACCCAAAGTCCTCTGGTTACTCTGCACTAAGAAGAGATAATAGACGTTCTGGAATTTTGAGCAGGGGAAATTTGTGTTTTTCATTGAAGAAAACAGAGCTTTTATCTATTGGGGTGTGAACATGGCAGCACTCACTTTTTGTAAGGCCCTGTAAGTCCATTCAAAAGGAATGGTAATGCGCAGTGCATTTCCCCCTTTTTTCTTTTTAAAGAGGTGCAGGACTCACCATGAACACCTCCCTTGTTCTCTGATAATGGCAATGGCATTGAAGTCAGCAGTACCTGAACTACTGCGGTCAAGGAACTCAGTTCAGGAACAGTTGCAGCTGTCACACCAGGCACAACTGGTAAAGGACATGTCTAGCCACTGAGGCCACATCAGCCCTGTACACAACCTATTCCTTGAAAACCTGGAAAGAGAACCGTCAGACAAGATGCACTCATTTATTCTAAGCACGGCTCTAAACTAAAGTTTCACATCTGCAACATCCTTCGTACTTCCCAACTCCACGTGAGCTTTGCAATTGGATATCATCAGCTAGTCCCTAGTGGAGTGCTAAAAAAAGAAAGCAAATTCCTGAAGGCTTTTATTTTCCACTGAGAGCAGACATCTCTGGGTGCTCATGACAGTATCCCATAATTGCCTACACGTGAGATTTCACTGACATGCAAGTGAGAGGCAGGGTATAAATAACCTTTTTTCTACCAAGAACACTTATTATCCATGAGGAGAAATGTAGGTTGAGCATGTGCCTTGACTTCATAGGCTGTGACGTTCATTCAGCAGCCACCGTCCGACACGAGTGACAGGTGGCTCCACGTGCTGGCCTGAAATGTTCCTCCAGCAGAGTACATGTTGTGGATAAAAGTAATGCAAGAACCGGAAGGCAACTTTTAAATTCATGAGTGGGAGGAGAGAAAATACAACCTTCCTTAACATGAAAGAGGCAAGGCCTTTCCTGGTAGCAAATTCATTCAGCTTTTATCCACATCAATTCAGAAGCAGAGTTTCTATTAATAGCCTTTTGTGCTCTTCGGAGCACTAGAAGGCTAGGGTCTGCTTCACCCTGCATTAAATATCTGACAGATATTTTACCACACAAATAGCACAGTGTGCATAGTGAAATAGATGCACATGGATTTGTCACCTGTGATCAGTCTTCACCTATGAGTCCTGCAGTTTCCTACATAGAAGTGTCTTCACTGCAGGAAATTAATCTTATGTGAAGTGGCACAGTAGAACACTGAAGAAACAATAAAATAATCTTGTCAGATTTAAGGATACTCTTTCCATCTCTACAAGGCGCTGAATTATGCCATGATTTCTCACCCCTCCTTGTTGCATGAATAGTGGAATTTATATAAATTGTGGGCTGTTTGTTTCAATTGGCTACAAAGCTAAGTTGATATGAAGTCAGGGGTTTCTGGACTTAGGGAGTGGGTGTGGCTGAGCCAGCCCAGGATCCACTGTTTGCCAAAGAAATCCCACTACCACCACATGATGGCATTAGGCAAGAATAACCTACTTCACAGGGCTGTTGTGAAGAGAAAATGGGGAGAAGCATGTACTGTACACCACTTTGAGCTCCTTGGATGGAAGGCTGGATATATATATAATAATAATAATCTTAAATAAATATTGTTAATATTTTGCCAAAGTACTTAATACGTTTAGATCGAGTCATTCCATACTAGAATCTCCCTCTGAAAATCCTTTGTTAAAAAAATGGCAGCTTTCAGGTCAGTTTTGGTGTGTACTGGGATGCTGAAATCATCTCACCATGCTTTCTTGATATTACCATTTACATTGTGAGATTTGTGTCTTACTCTTTTGACTTGTATCTTTTTATTCTGTTTAATGCAGGCTAGCATGTATTCCATCTGAAAGTGAATAAACAGTGTTGTATCAGATATTACTAGATCCTGTAGCAGAGTTGTCTGGGTACATATGAGGACAGAGTTAGCATGTAGGCTTGTTGCTAGGTTTAGTCCCTGTGTTTGTTAGTCTGCTGTGTGACTGAGTGGCTGTTGCTTGTAAGTATTGTAAATTAGGAATATATGTATAACCATGTCCTAAATAAATAAATAAATAAATAATCTATAGATCAGATCGGATCCAGCTATTGAGCTGGTAACCCATGCCTCAGCAATGGCCCTTCAGACTGTGAAGGTTCACATGTTCCCCCACGAAAAACAGCATTGCCGCCTGATCTGCTGTTTATTGCTGTGTACGCAACACAAAGCACATTTGAAGCACATTCTTTAGCTCAAAGCAGGGGTGCCAACTTGAACAAAACACTGGGGGGCCCAGGTAACCCTCACCATACATAATGGATCACGTGACACAGTGCATGCACACCATTTCAATGGCAATGTCCATCAACTTTGGGGGCCTCAACTCCCTCAAATATTTTATTGGGAGAGCAGAGCTCCCTTGGCTCCTGGGAGTTGGCTCCTATGCCTCAAAGAATTTTGGGCAATGTAGTTTGTTGCTGGGAATTGTAACTATGTGACAGGTGAACTAGAGTGCCCAGAATTCTTAAAGGGGGTGGGGGAAATATCTTGAATGCACTTTAAAGGTATAGTGTATACATAGCCTATCTGTAGATCAGAAAGGTTTTGGGTTGGGGGGGCGGGTTGTGTGGTTTTTTTTGCTTATTTCTGCATAAAGTTTTCTCTTTGCCCTTCTGGACCCTGGTGCCTGATCAAGTTAGGAAGTATATGCTCACAAAAGACACTTCTGTGGGCATATTCCTAGGTGGAAGAATAACCGGCCAATGGAGATAGGTGCCGTGTTTATAGTTCCTCCCCTTATTCTGTTATTACGGTTGTCCACATGTGGTGTAGTGTGGTGTAGTGGTTAAGAGCGGTAGACTCATAATCTGGTGAACCGGGTTCGCGTCTCTGCTCCTCCACATGCAGCTGCTGGGTGACCTTGGGCTAGTCACACTTCTCTGAAGTCTCTCAGCCCCACTCAGCTCACAGAGTGTTTGTTGTGAGAGAGGAAGGGAAAGGAGAATGTTAGCTGCTTTGAGACTCCTTCGGGTAGTGATAAAGTGGGATATCAAATCCAAACTCTTCTTCTTCTGTTAGAGAATATGTGCTAACACTGAGCTAATTCAGGCAGAAGAGCTGGGTTTAGTCTCCCCTATGCCACACCAGATTGTTTATTGGTATGAATACCAAACAGGGCTATGTGTATGTATCCCTTTTCAGTTGATGCAATCATTTGTACCAGGATGTGTCTCTTTGCAACATTCCTTTTGAGTTTTTCCCTTTCGTTGGGCCAAAAAAATGTGGAAAATGCAACATACAATTGTGATATAAATCAACACAACTCCACTGAAGAACCTCTCTTTAATTTAGCAAGACTGCAGAATCAGTACATGGCAGATCAAATTAGATCAATCACAAGAATCATGACTACTGGAATTTAGGAAAGGGCTAGTTTCCATGCCCTTAGCACAATTTCTAGCACTTATAGCCTCTAACTGTCACAGTTAATTCTCAAGTTTTGAGCAACTAAACATTCATGCCATATTTTTTCTGGCTTTCATGGTCGGCATCTCCTGCTTCTTAATAAAAACAAATGATACATATCAACCTTTTTGCAAACCTCTCTCAGTTGACCATCTGGCTAAGATTAGTAACAAGTTCAAAATCAAGTCACATGAGGCCTCACTTTCACACACAGTGCATCTCTCCAGAAAAAGGAAGACAATCATAATAAACATCTTCTTGTTGGAAATGAGTACAGTCATGCTCCAACTGAATTCATTTTGCGTGATCTCCCCTGTTCATTGCCAAAGATAAACAAGAAGTCAAGCAGCCTTGAGAACACAAGGCAGTTTTAAGCATGATGATCTATCGGACTTCTCTTATCTGAAAGGCTTTCAGGAGTACTTGTTGGGACCTGATCGAAAGTGTACAAAAATAAATGGGGCATTTCTCATTGCGACTTATCAGATTTGAAGAATGTATATTTTGTAGCTTTCTTAGTGAAAAATTAGTGAGCTTCAAGTCAGCTGGGAAAAATATAACAGAGTAGGGAAAATTTTTGAGAATAATAATTACTATTAAGAACTTATTATAGAATCTATTTCTCAGAAGTGCACTACATAGACTGGGGATCCCGTGGCCCTCCATATATTGGGGGTCCTCTCATCACTCCTGACCATTGGCCATGCTGACTGGGGATGAATGTAGTTTGAGTCAAGCAACATGTGGATCCCCCAACCCCTCTAGCTATAATACTATTTTTTAATTAGCCAGACTTTTTCATCCACAGCTGTTTCCACATGTCATTTGTGAAGAACAAACAAGCCAGAGTGTCCTTCCCCTGACTTCCAAAGTTACAGCACAGCTAGAAGTTGGAGAAGAGTTATTTCTGGTAAGCTTTTTATTGTTAATGTTACATGCTGCCCCAGTCTCCAAGTGGTGAGAGATTCCAGAGGTTTCAAGTGCTTAGCCAGGGTTTGGTTTCCTTGGAATGAGGGAAAGTGGAGACTGTGGTGTCTTTAGACTATATGGATTATTTAGACTTATAGACAACCTAAACCTAAGGTGAAAGGGCTCACAGCATTAACACCCCAAATGGTATTGCTTCCCCATTAGGCTTTGGATCCCAGTATAAATCAAGCATGGTTCTGTCTCTCTAGTTTCTGCCTGCTTCTAGTTCAGCTCTCCCACACCAGCTATTGTTCTTTATCTACCAGCTAGGTGAAGAGGGGTGTAAGGCCCACTTGTTTGCAAAGAGAGTACCTTCACTTAGTTGTATCTCTTGCATCTCAACCCATTCTTTTTGGATGCTGATCATGGTGCTTAGGTCAAGAGCCATTGCTCATAGTCCAACACACATGCAGACCTTGATACCTTTTTTGTGGCCCTCGACAACATTTGATGCTTCCCCTGCCCTCGTGTTGCCTTCCAAAAACTGAGTAAGTGAGGCTTTGGGAAGCAGGCTTGAGGGCTCTGACAAGGTTCTAGTCTTGCCTCCATCCAAAAGCCTACTTAGCGCTTTCCCAGCTTTGGGAAGGCAGCACAAGGACTGGGGGGCACCAAATTTTGCTGAGGGCCACCAAAAAAAGCACCAAGGGCCGCATGTGCCCCTTTGGCCACACACTGAACCACCCTGTGGTGCATCTTATAGTGCAAGCTATTAACTTGCTGCTCACATCACAATAGTTTGCAACCTCCTGCTGGTTAATGCAATGCTGTATATACAAAATTGCTTGGGGGGCTCAATGCTTTGTGACTGGCTCCATGATCCTGCCCTCTCATCTCAGACCAACAGAAATCTTATTGCTATGAGTGTGGAATGTTTAATCATTTTTTTAAAAATAATTGTTCCTCGCATCTCAAAAATACAAGTATTCTGTATTTTTGTTCAAGTCCTTTACGAAGAAAATTGAAACCATATTGTTCCTCCAATTTCCTAAAAAAGGAAAGATATTCCCTTTAGCAACCCAAGCTACATTTTATTAGGCATGACTAATGATATATGTCGTTATTATTCAGGGTTCCAATTGTCTCATAATACTCAGCTTTAACAACAAGAACAAAAATTGGCACACTTTTTTCGGTTGTTCTGCCAAACATAGATTTAAAGGGAGAATGATGTGATCACAAATAAATAAATAATATCCCGTATATTATTGGCTTGCTGAAATGGAATAGGTCAGGTGTTCCATAACTATGTATGTTAGTCCGTGAGCTTTATTTGGGTGGTACTTGACATGTCTGTGGATTTGTGATTGAAAATGAAAGCTGGAAAATCCATCACAGCAAATATGTATTATGTTTAATTGTATTTGTATTGTTTATATCTTATATTTTATTGTATTACAATTTGAATGCAATGGAATTACAACTGCTGTAACAGTCAGGCGGGGATCATTTCCATGGTTCATCAAGACCCTCAGCAATTTTCAAGTGATCTGTGGGGGAGTGGAAGTTTGGGAACCACTGAAATAGAAGTGAAAAGGAATTAGGGGGTTGCAAGGGTGGGGAAACCACACAGGTAACGTGCATTAGGTAGAGACACCCCTGCCCCCTCTCTGGTGTGTACAACAGTGTGCAAACCTGAGATACATTGGGGAAAATGGCCTTGCTACATTTTAAGCTGCTAATTCATAGCCTCCGTTCAGAACCAGCTCATTATTTCTGACCTTATCTCAGCATGCAGACATCCATTTAAAAAGTCCATCTGTTTCAGAGAGCTGTCTCCGAGTTTCTAATATTGGCACATGCAAGCTGACGGTGCTGTATGCCATGTTGCCCTTCAGAATTAGAGCTCCCAGTGCCATCCAAAGCTATTTTGAAATCCACCCCCACTCCTTCCCAAAATAAATACAGAAGTCAGTTCTAGATCTTGGTCAAAGGTCTAGATCTGGGTCAGAATGTGAGCTGCAAGCCCAAAAGTCTCAACTTCAAACCTTCCCTCAGCCATGAACTAAGTAGTCTTAGGCTCATATCCTAAATGGGGAGTACTTCTGAGACCATGCATTGATCTCGCTTAGCCTCAGTTTTGAAATTAGGAGAACATAATAATAATATACCTGCTGTGCTGCTCCTTCAAAGGAATAGATAAATGCAATTGTTAAGAAAGCATCTGTGACTACATAGTCATGCACCACTCTCCAAATTGCATTAATTAGGGAAAGCAACTTGCAGCACTTGAGTCCCTCCTGTATATCCCGTAGGCTCTTGTTAGAATCCAGAGAATCCCAGCCTTCATTAAAAAAGAAAGAAACTTACATTCTCTATGTTGCTGAGCTGCAGTTGAGGGCCAGCTGGAACCTCATCAGGGTAACCTTTCTGGGAGACTCTGAGCATAAAGATAGTGAAGGGGCTTGACAAGCTTTTGACAGATAGCAATGGATGGGGAAGGGTGGCCCAGCAAAAGAGCTCCAGGATCTGATGCAAGGGGGAAATTTACTTCACTTTGCCAAAATGCCTAAGGCTGCAATCCTAGACCCACTTAGTAGAGAATAAGCCCCCTTGAAATTGAGTTATAAATTACTTCTGAGTAGACATATATAGGCGTGTACTGCGAGGCTCCTATGGGCCTGCGTAATTTAATAACGACTTCTTCGTAAGGGATGAGGAACAACTATAAATCTGCTGCTATGGCCCAGACAAGAAAAGACTTCTTTCTCATGCTCCAAGTATTCATGATGTTACAAAGCAAACAAGACAATTCTGAACAACACAGATTCTGATTTTTTAAAAGTTTGTAAAATCTGTTAACATTAGGCAAAATGATACTTTTCTCTAAATTCATGTTTTCATGGAAGGTCCTCTTGTCAGTTGCCTAAAGGAAATGTTGGCATAAGAACAATTTATCAATGTAGTGATGACATACACAGATCATGTATGGTTTTACTAGCTAAAACTACCTGTAGTTGCTCAGGAATTATAAGAAAAGGGGGGGGGAATCAGTGTTATTTTGAAATCAGTGTAACATTTCAATGTAATTTTAAAATGTTCAGTCTGCCATCTTGATTCAAAATTGTGTCCAGTTGTAACCAAACAGACAAAAAACTTTCTCCTTGATATCAGGAACCATAATGCACACTTTGCTTATGGTGCCTTAAGTATATATAGGACAGACAAAAAGACAAATAAATTTCCAAAATATATAGTACATGAAGCTGAAAGCCTGAATGCACAAGGCTGATACGTTCCATAGGTTCACAAAATAGTTTTGTGGGTCTCGTTGATAATGTTGCTACGTTGTGCACAATTGTAATGATTTTTAACTGCATCGCTTTTCCTGCAAGTCTCACGTTGTCACTTCTGCATTTGTTTGTAGTATGGAGTTGATGACTGGTTCCAAGTTCCCAGGAAGCCAAATCACTGTGTCACTATCACTTTTCTCCAGGGCTGGAACATCCAGTTCATCCATTTGTCTCTCTCCCAAGCCAAACTTACCCACACAGTAATACCATCCTTAAAGGCTAATACTACAAGCTTGCAGAGTTCTCAAGTGAAACAAGTGAAACTATTTAAACAGGTCAAGAACCTGCAGTAGCAGCTACTCCCCCAGCCCTCCTCCAGAGGTTATTCTGTTTGATGAGAATTTTTGTGCTCTGCTGGCTAAAAATTGCTTCTGATTGTTGAGGACTGTTTGGCTTATTTTATTTTCCACTATTTTGTTTTTACATCGGTTTTTATTATTTGCATTCCTCTCTTTAACTTTTTTATTGTTATAAGCTTCCACAAGAGCCAATAAAATAAAAGTTTAAAAAAAATGAACACTAAATATATTTGTATGAGTCTTTAAAAAAAGCTGTGTACAAAAGAGAGTGATGAGAGATCTGCAAATGTAAAGTTACATCCTTTTCCATACTCAGCAATGGGGAAGCCCTACTTCTGTACTAGGAATGCAATCCTGTACACACACTTGCTTAGGAATAAGCCCCATTGAACAAGCAGGATTACTTCTGGGTAAACAAGGACAGGACCTGTTGTAGGTAACCAGCTATCTAGAGCCGCAATCCAAAGGAAAGCTAGTCATCCTTCAGCCATGACCAGTGGTACAGTTAGGTAACTTCAGACTCTAGACTCAATTGGTATTACAATGGGGCAGGGATTCTCTTTATATGGTGATGTGTACTGCTTGCATTTGGGCAATCTCTTGGTCATTCTGCTGAGTGGGGCCCGTAGACATCTGCTCCAAAGTTCTAGCCTGATGGTTTTGTAATGGTTTTGTTACGCCTATAAGGAAGAACAGAACTTTAAAATACATAATTTCAATATATTTGTGCCTGTCTAGCAGCTGCTCAGATCTTTGTCAATGGCATACAACCTTTGGCAATCCTCACAGAACTCTAGCCCAATGGTTGCCATTAATTTGATCTGAACTGATTTTATAATGAAATGATTTTAGAATGTTGTATTATTATTTATTATTACTATCACTGTGCCATTGAGAGCGTGCTCACTTATGGCTTATGTGTGTGGTACGGAAGCTGTACTACCCAGGACAGGATGGGGTTGTGCAGGGTTGTTAAGGCAGCAGAGAGCATTGTTGGCTGCCCACTCTCCACCTTAGAGCAGATTTATGCCACAAGGTGCCATAGGAAGGCACTGGACATAGTAAAAGATCCATCGCATCCTGGTCACTGTCTCTTCGAGCTCTTGCCGTCGGGACGGAGATACAGGACGATGAAGACAAGAACGAGCCGCCTTAAGAACAGCTTCTTCTCAGAGCGATCTCAGCCCAGAATGTGAAGCCCGGACTTTGAAAGTCATCTAATCTCCCTTGCTTTATTATACTGTATTGATTAATTAGTGTTTTTATGGAGCAGTCAAGTAATTTCGTTGTCCCCGAAGGGGGCAATGACAATAAAGATATTATTATTATTATTATTATTTTACTGTTGTTAGCCGCTCTGAGCCCGGCTTCGGCTGGGGAGGGCGGGATGTAAATAATTTTTTTATTATTTATTATTATTGTGGTACACAGCAGCAGCTAATGCAGTGTCCCTGATTAAACTGTTTTTAAAATGTTTCTGGGCTGCACCAGGAATGTCTGAGGATCCATCGGATGCCGGGCTTCACCACTGTAATTTTGCTGCCTGATATTGTGTGAGAATCAAAGTTCTGTTCTCTCTCAGGACTGGAGAAAGTTATATGTCATCTGGAGTTCATTATTTGAACTGTGTGTGATAGGGCAGCATGGAACGAGTTCTATTTTCACATCAAACAATGTTTTGGGAAGTTTTAGCCAGTACTTCTCATTTGAATTCATGAAAGTGAGAAGGCAGATTCACACATCAGCCTCTCTGCAGCATTCAGAAGTCTCCTGCAGAGTTGTGTACTTGGAAAAATGTAACCTGCAAAAAGGTAGCACACCAATGGTAAACCTGTTGTTTTAGAAGTCAATTTTGTACAGAATCAGAACGAGATTTCTGCGTAACTAGTTCATCTAAAATTGGCTGCTTATGGGGTTGCATCCCATAATTGGTGCCATTTAAGCCCATGTTTAAATCTTCTATTGAAATCACTGGGACTTGTAGCTCAGTCCTGTGCATATTTACTAAGGAGCAAACCCCACTGTGTTCAAGGCACTTACTCCCAGCAAAGTGTACATAGGACTTCAGATATATGGTGCAATCTCACATGCAAGATCTCATGAGCCAATATTGCAAGAGGTGAGATATGTTTTCACTGGGAATATTGGAACAAATGCTTTTATGCTCATGTGCCCCCACAATGGACTATCCTCTTTTCAATAACAGATGGATACGATTAAAGGGGGGAACGTTCCCACATGGACATCTTAAACCAACAACTTCCTAACCATGGCTGTGCCCACTTTGCAGACTATGCTGCATAACCTTGCTTGTTGCTGCCACCTGATTTTATGTCTTTCTTCAGTTGTGGGTTGTGGGGATGTTTTACCCACTAAGAGATTTGAATGAGTGATGTCCTGAATGTTTCTGTTTAATCACAGTACCACAGGGCACCATTGGTGGCAACACAGCATACATGTTTCCAGTTCATATTGTGTGTGCTAGCTCATTACGTATCCATGTGGTGTTTGGACACCATCACTGGCATGGTACATGGTGGTGAGCACTGGCATTTACATTTTGTCATTTTCCTATATTCCCGCTGTATTTTGTATTCTCTGAGTTGTGGGTTTTCCCCTCCCACTTTTCTAGGTTGAAAGTCTATCGGCTATGGTGGTTGTCCTACCTGGACAGCTGTGGCATATCTCTGGACCTGCTGTGAGCATAGAATTGCTTGTGTAACTATGGCTGAACTAACTTCATAGTATGTTAATTGTCCTTCAGAGTAAATACTGCAAAATACAACAGCCATGGAATATTTGGCATGCATTAACTGAAAGCTAAAAAGAAATTCTAATGTTCTCTTAGCAACAATGTTGGATATAGTGGTACTCCTCACGATCTGTGTAAAGATACTGCTACAGGCCATCCCAATTTCTACCCTGGAGGTTAATAGGGGGTGTTATGTCACCACAGGAAAAAAGGTGTCCTTTGAAACTAAGATTTCTGAACAATGGTCTTAAGGAAGGAGAAAAGAGGGGCCTGAACTCCATACACTAGCTGGGTGAGGCTACACACAGAGACCTGGGAGAAGGGCTGACTGCTGTTTTGGACCCAAGCTTGCTGGTGCTGAGAGAAGCAATGAGAGACACTCTTGGAGTATAATGTTCTTCACTCTCTCCATCAAGCTGTGTAAAATAAACCATATTTCATAAAGACACCAGCTTCCACTGTGCCTCATTCCAAAGGAACACAAACCTTGGTTCACTGCCAAGACCCCTGGAATCTCACTACTGCTCAGCAGAGGTTGAGGTGGCCAGTAACAACACATTTCCAGAGCCTGCTTGATAAACTTGGATTTATTTTTCTTTTCTTTTTTGCTTTATAATATAAAATTTATATCAACCTTGACAAAACAGGCAATTGCAGCAGCTAATTAAAAAAACACAAGCAGATGGAATATGCAGAGTTATCTGAAAACAGGGAGAAATCTGCAGCATTACAAAACGAGTTTTGTATTAAATCAAGCTGATTTACCAATGATTAGAAAACAAGAGTTTTATTTTATAATTTTATAATGTAGCAAACCATCTAGTAAGGTAAATGACCCCTGGATGCTTAAGTCCAGTCAAAGGTGACTATGGGGTGCTGCGCTCATCTCACTTCAGGCTGAGGGAGCTGGCATTTGTCCACAGGTAGGTTTCTGGGTCATGTGGCCAGCACTTCTGGCACAATGGAAATGCTGTTTGCCTTCCTGCTGCAGCAGTACCTATTTATGTACTTGCACTGGTGTGCTTTCAAACTGCTAGGTTGGCAGAAGCTGGGACAAAGCAACGGGAGCTCACCCCATCGCATGGATTTGAACTGCCGACCTTCTGATCAGGAAGCCCAAGAGGCTCAGTGGTTTAGACCACAGCGCCACCCGTGTCCCTTAAAAACCATCTAGTATGCAAATGCAAGCAGATTAGTGAATAACTTGTTCCAGAGTTTTGCAGTTGCTACTGCACATATGGTAGTGATTGTTTTAAGAACAAAGACACATAATTAAGTCACAGAGCTCAGTACAAAAAAGCATTTTCATGGTTGTGACTTGGAAGTCTTCTGCTCAAATCCCATTTGATCTGCAAATTAATTTAAACACTTTGGTTAAAAGCTCCCTGCCTTCCTAATATCACATTTCTGAGGACTCAAATATCTTCCTGTTTTTTTCCCTCCAATGTCCTGAGACATAGATTCTCAAAGGGCCAAACCTCCGCCATGTGCGAATGTGATAAGGAGATGCCGGAGTCGCTTCAGCACATTATGTTCACTTGCCCCTTATTTAAGGTGCCACGGGCAAATTTGTTGGGATCAATCATACAGAAATTAGAGGGTACTCCACCAAAATTCCACCTTGCCCAAATCTTGCAGGATAAGGATGCCCATACGACCCTGAAAGTGGCTAGGTTCCTGGTCGCTGTCCTTACCCAAAAGCGTTGCCAAGGAGCACCACAAGCTAATTAAGGCGTAGTATGCCATTCCATCTTATAGTAGTTTATTGTTATAGTAGTGTTTTAGCGGCTGTTTTTTCCCATGTGCACAGGCTGTTATTTATGTCTTGTTTTTATCTGTATGGGCCTACGGCCGTAATAAATTATTATTATTATCTTCCTGTTTTAAAATTCCTCTTCTCCTTCCATCTGAAGTAAAGCATAATACCACAATTGGCTGTATATATGTTACATCAGGAATGATAAAGCCTGTGGGAATACCTAACAGTATTAAGGTTAAATTACACAAAATGCAGGAGCTCCATGAGTGGGTCTCCTGATGTTTTCGTCTTTCCCAAGTATCATTAGAGCAGTAACACCAGAGGAAGGTTTAACCCTTCTCCTCATAATAGATTTTTCCCATCTAAAGTGTTCTCTCTGGTTCTGTTAGGTCCACAGCAAGTGCTGTGGCACATGGCTAATAATACTTTAAACTTCCTTCCACTCAGCTACACAACTGAGTTGCTGTCCTGTGGTTGCTTAAATGGACAAAAGAAAATATTGGCCCATAGTTTTTCTATTAGATTATAAACATGGAAAAACAACAGGAGCACAATGGCTGCTTGATCACTAGTTGTGGGCCGCAAGACATACTTGTGACCCCTTTAGTTAGAGTACATTTTCTTTTTGACCAGTGCTTTGTTGTGTGGTATTGTAAAATCTATGGGTGGTCAAGATCCAAAAGGTTGGTGCCATAGGAGCCAGCTCCTAGGGGCTAAGTTCCCTTTGCGCCTCCCCATAAAATATTTGAGGGAGCCAGGCCCTCCCAAAGTTAATGGGCATTGCCATTCAAATGGTGGGCGGGTGCTGTGTCATGTGACTGGTTATGTGGGGCAGGGTTTACCTGTCCCCCACCCCCATTATTTTATTCAAGTTGGCACCGCTGGGTAGTGTTGCCCAAATGAAAAACACTTTTGCTAATGCATGGAGGTTGCTGATTTCCCATGCCACTTCCAATCATGCCCTGTGTCACTCTATTGCATAGAGCCCTTCAACTCTCAGGAGATTTGGAGAGGGCACACAGGGGTCTTCAGCAGGCAGGGAAGCTAAGCCAAGCCAAGCCAAGCCACCCCACCCCACCCCACATTAATAATTCTGTTCTGTTCATGGGAACAAAAATTGGGATCCAAGCCATAGTCTTCATTTTAGTGCAGTACTGGAGAGAGGAGCCTCAAAGCACATAGTCATATTACTATATGGATCAGTGTATAGGTATTTATTGATATTATTTTTCCATATTCATCTGGTGCAGCACAGTTCTAGGTCACATTCACACTATGCATTTGAAGCACTGTGATGCCAATTTAAACAGTCATGGCTTTCCCCCAAAGAATTCTGGGAGTTGTAGTTTGTTAAAGGTGCTGAGAGTTGTTGGGAGATGTCCCATTACCTCCCAGAGCTACAATTCCCATAAATCAAATTCACTTCTTTATCTATTTGCCTCGGTGATTCTGAATGGCTACCAAATAGAATCTTAGAACCAAAGAGGCCTTGTGAAGCATCTAACCAAGCCCTGCTTGATGGAGAAAATCCAAACCTAGAGCACCTTCAGCTTTTCCTTCAAGGCTTCTGACAAGGAAGAACCCATCACCACTGCAAGTAACTGATTCCACAGTCAAACTGCTCCTACTGTTAAGTTTATTTTAATGTTCAGCTGAAAACTGTCCTTAAGTCCTGCCCTCCAGGGCACCAGAGAACAAGTATTATGTATCAGTCCTTTGAATCTTTGATGTTCCTCTCAGTCTTCTCTTGTTCATGCTAAAGATACCCAATTTTTTCAACCTTCTCTGAGAGAACTTGTTTTCTACATCTCTAACCACCCATTCTTCTTCTCTGAACCATTTCTGATTCATCCACAACCTTCCTGTGTCACAGCACTCAAAACTGAACAAAGTACTCCAGATGAGGTATGATTAGTGCAGAATATTAGCCTTGTTTGAAGATGCATCACCTTATCAACTCATTTTCAGCAGCTAATAGTTTATAATCTTGAGATCCAATCCTGGGGTCCTTTTCACATGTCAAGTCAGGTATCCCCCATCCTATACGTCTACATTTGATTATATTGCTTTTTGCCTAGATGAAGAGTCTGAATGTGTCACTATTGTATTTAAATCTCTCTAATCCCACCCCCTTCTCCAGCTTTTGCAAAGCAAAACGGCTATGGGGGAGAGGGACAGAAGGTTAAAAGAGTAGCAGGCCTTTGGCAAGAGCAACCTTTCCCAAATAATTTCTTGCGATTAGAGGGGCAGGCACTATCTGTCTTCAGGTCAGGCACTGACAACTCAGTGACACTAATTACCTGCTTCAGGTAAGTATGGTAGCAGAAAATGTTTTTAAGAGCAGGGTGCCAGTTCTAGGGTGGACAGAGTATAAAGTGATCCTCTTGTGTGTGGATAAGCTCCTTCCCTGGCTAGAGCCCAGGGGCAGCTAATATCTTCTGCACCTTGTCCCAAGTGGCTCAGCTTCTGAGTTTTGTTGTGGGAGATGTAGGTGCCTCGTTGAAAGAAGTAATGATAGCCTTATAATGCTTCTCATGCTGTAAGTTCAGAAATACAGGAAACATCTGGCCCCTCACAAGTTTGTTCTTGAAAGGCCAGGCTGGGGCACTCATGCATGAGTGGAACTGACTGTAAGTGCTCCAAGAGCAACATGGGAATGTACCAGAGAAAGGAAAATTTCCCACTCCCTCTCCTAGAAAGAAAACTGCATGAGAAAGGAGCTGTGAACAGTAGCCTAAGCTGAAAATGGAAAAAAACTGTTCATAGCCTCCGGGGGGGGGGTACCATATGCCTTGTGGAACTATTAACAGTTCAATGGACATTACCTCTCTGAAAGGGCTCTCAGAAAACCTAGACCAAGCTTTTTGATGAATATGCAGCATATAAAATTTATTTACCAAGCATCTGAAGAATTAATGTTTTGCAGAAAAGCCTCACAAGTATGAAGTGGTTTGCTTCTGTGAAGCAAAGGACATAAGTTCTGAAACTCAAAAAATCAGAAGCGAATGAAATGCAGTAGTACACAATTTGTTCTGAATGCACATAGGTATGGTTGTGGACATGATGAAAGTCAAATACACTTTTAAACATATTTATGCTGCATTACTTCGTCCTCCCATGGGTAATAAGGAAATAAAAATAACTGTATAAAAATAGGGTAGTGCTTAGAAAAGTTTTACATTCGTTAAGTCTGGTGCAATTAAATTATTACCTGGAGCATTTGATTAAACATACTCTAGAGGTTGACAAACCTAGTATCCATAGGTATGTTTTCTAATGTTACTTCCAAACTATCAATCTCACTGTTTTTTTCTCCTCGGACAACAACCTTTACATATTTTTCAGAAGCATGCTTTGCGTTCGATTGAATTTTATTTTCCAAGGGTATGTTTTCTTGAAGTGTGTGTTCCATGGTGCTTAGCCTGTCCTGGCAGCACTTTGGGTAGTTCTTGAAGCATTCAAAGGTATCGTTGCACTTTTCACAGGGAAAATAAGAACATCCTTCTACTATCTGCATGGAGTTACTGCTGGATTCATGTCTTCCCTTAAATGATTTCGAGTGGACTTCCAGAACTGATCTGTAAGAACAGCTCTGTACATGCTTGAGACAAAAACAAGTTTTGATGCATAATTGTTGGAGAACAGCAAAATCTTTGGCAATAGTGCTTCGGAAATTAGGCTTTAGCATAAGATACATAACTGGGTTATAGAGTGTTGAAGACTTGGCAAAAACAGCAGGTACAGCAAAGGCTAGTGGAGGAATCCTCTCTATTGACCCAAAGGCTGCCCACATGGCAATGACGGCATATGGGCTCCAGGCAGCAAAAAATCCAATGCATACAGCAATGCTCAGCTGCAAAGTTAAAAGAAGAAAAGAAAGTTTGTGCTATTCAAAACAAAACAGTAGGTGGGTTAGACCAATAGATTGCCTAATTCACTGTCCCACCTCCAAGCAACAACTGCCTAGGAGTGATGACATGACTGTCAGTCAATTTCAGGGCCATTAACAGATCTGGTTTGGCTTTTAGTCTATTTAATTACAGTTTGCAGTTCTAACAATTACGGTGTCATCATTTATACTCTCATTGGCTTTATTGTTTTAAATAAGATGTGCTTTGTTTTTAATAATGTTAACCAGATGAATTCATTTGGTGGAGATTTGTCTAATACTTGGCCCTTTTCCACATGCATACTTGCCACCACAATAACCAAGTGGCCATAGCTACTAAACATGCATTTAGCTCCTTCAGTCCCCTAGACTTTGTGATATGGTCCCTCCCAAGAGTTTATAACCTACACTGGGCAGCCAAGATTGCAAATAGGCTACAAATGGCTATGAATATATTCAAAGAGCATAGCATCCAATCATAGTCAAGGAGATCCAGGTGCATCTTGCAAGCTAAATGGCAGACAAAATAGATATTATTTCTATTCTTATTTGTTTTATTTGTGAGTTTATTGGTTGCTTCCTATACCCTGAAGTGATTTAACAATAAAAGCACTAACAATAAAAGCATGCTTAAAAATGATTTCACACTTCAATGATGGATCCACAGCAGGAGAACTGAGACAGTCTCTGCAGTTGGCTGCATAGCTCAGGTCCCATATCTTCCCCTCTGCTAGTGCAATAGGAATCCCATCATACAAAACAAACACTATGGCTTTGCTACCAAAGCATAGCAATGGTTCTTCCATTTTCCAAGGTTAAAACCTGGAAGCAGTCAGCCTGCAAACAGCATTTCCATGCTCACAAAAGTGGTGTTCTTACATTTGATCATACATTCACATACCCATACCCACACCCACACAGAGAGAGAGAGAGAGTTCAGAGAGTATGCAAACTCTTTATTTGAGGCAACTTAAGTCTTTACTTAAATTGCCTTGTTGCTGCATCCTGCCCAACACTTTGACCGTTACAAAGCACTCAAGAATTATGCCATTTCATGCAATCTTACATTCAGTCCAAAAATGGAAGAGGAAAGAAGCACCAGTCACAAAGCCTCAAAAATTGAGGTGATCCTTAAAAGGTGCTTCATATTTTAGTCTTTATGGCAGGGGTAGCCAATGTTGGGTCCTCCAGATGCTGTGGACGCCAACTCCCATCATCCCTGAACATTGGCCATACAAGCTAGGTCCACTTTTACCATACCTGCTTCCACTTCTGGATGCATATGCAAAGCTTCAAACAACTTTGTGAGGCTCAATAAAGATAAAAGCCAATAAAGACCATTTCACCTCCACTATAAATGTGCTTTATAATATCAAGAGAATGTCAACATCAAAGCCAGCATATCTGCTCTGTTTATCTCCTGCTGCTCTCCTCCATTTTTCGGAAGCATTTATCAAATGGGGTATATAATAGTTCTGAAATAGGAAGGTTCTTTTTTTATATTAGCACTTAAGAATATTGGTTGCGACTATAAATAAAGCAAGGATATATAATCATTTGCTTTGACAACCAATTACCTATACATATTTCATAGTGCCAGCATCTGTTCTTTTTAGTGGAGCTAAAAGCTCTCACAGATTAAAAGATTGATCAGCTGCAGTTAATCACAGGCTACCTCCCCACCATTATCTGCTGTCACAATCCTCCTAGGGGTGAAGGGGAGGTCCTAAGAATGCACTCAGTGAGTCCCAATCTTTCTTCAAAGGAGGCTTGGCAAGTCATCCCCCCCCCGAACAAGCGAGTCCAGATTTCATCTGCCTACATTCGCTTTTAATAAAGCATGATGCACACCTGATTCCAATCACTCCTCCATTGAAGAATGCACTGGGGGGAAGGTACAATGAACGCCACACCCCTGGTGTGTCTCTATCACTCTATTGTCACTCTTCCCCTTTATGGCCTGGCATGAGAGACAAGATCATCCTGAGTGAGCAGGCCATAAACATCACTTCTGGCCTGCCCATGCTTACTTCCAATTGGGCCAAAACTGCTGGAGCATGGAGGCCACATTATGAATTAGAGTGACATGTATGCTACTACACTGGCCATAGAAACAAGGCGGCTCCCTCCATCTCAGTGGGTGGCACAAGGCAAACTTCAGCTTGGAGATCCAGGTGTGAGCACTAATTCCCTTCCCCATGAACTTTAATGAAACGTTAACATTTTTAAGATTCCTACAAGCCCAGGTACTAGAAAATCAAGGGTCTGGTTATAGCACCAACCCTAAATCTAGCATTAGTGTAAAAGCTGGTAAGACTCCTGTTTACAAGCCAAAATTTCCACAAGTGTAAAATGTGGACCAACAAGCAGTCTTTGGCACCATGAAAAGTATTAGGAACAGAAGTCAGAAGAACTGGATTCTTTATTCTTAGACAGGAAACTCAGTGCCAAACACAATTCCTGTTCATGCTTCAGTATAATTTCAGAATATCATAGCCCTCTTCTCTTGCTTCTTCTATCCACAGATTCCATTAAAGGCAAAAGGCTGTCAACATAAGTGCACAGCAGCCATGGAAACCAACTTGTTCAGCACCAGTGACCACATCAGGAAGACTAGATGGCAATTATGATGCTTTGCTTATGCAGCCTGGGGATAGCGACAGGGTGCTTGGAGTGAGTGGGCACCCTGCCACTGGTATGCTCAAGCCTATATTCCAGTACAACTTATCACTTCTAAAGGGAAGTGACTTGTTGAGTCCAGGAGACAGTTAATGATAGGACATTTCCCTAAGTTAAACTAGTATTGCTGCAACAGATGTGTATATTTGGTGAGATTATCATGGGCTCCTACTTGACAGGGCCTACAGCAAGACAAACCCTTTCCTCCTGCCTTCACCCTTGCAGAGTTTACACAAATTGCATCTATTTTTATATTTGTTTTCTAAAATATACTCATGTAGCCTTTAAAATGGGAGAGACTAACTGCTAAAGATTGCTTTAGGACTGAATTTAAATCAAAAGCTGTTTAGCAATCTGGTCATCAGTTTTACCACTCCATTGATAAATACATGATATATGTTGGACTAGATTCAGAAGAATACAAAATGAACTAAGTTTTCCCCTCTTGCAGCAAGGCTTACCTCCTCCATGACATTAGATAGTACAATAGTACTATGCTAGCAGCATAATAACAGAAAGATGGAGGTTCTATAGACTGCATGAATTAACAGTGAACACATTGACAGATTGCAGGCCAGAATCGATGTAGTCTCTGATTGTTCAATCATTAAACAGAAACTCTGCAGGCATTAATCAACAGGACAATGAACCTTGCATCTAAAATGTACTTTGATGATATATTGCACTTAACACTTCTGGCAAACAAGTTATGGTGCTGTGATATACGGCAAAGAGCTTCATTGCCTAAAACACACCATAATTTACAGGCTATATAGAATCGTGTGGCTTCATTGATCTCAGTGGAACTACAGCTGAGCAAATGGTTTGTAAATTACCCATAAGCAACTCTTAAGATTCTAGCTACCATTGGTCTGATCCTGAATAATCTCGGCCTTCCTGAAATGTTGACTGAGCCAGCAGCCCAAAAGCTAAACAACTTCCTCCCTAGAATGTCCTTGCAAAAACGTCAGATTTGTCCCATCAGGGCAATCTCCGTCCATTTGTCTCCAGAAGATACACATTTTCTAACTTAGTTTTCTTACATTTTAGTACCACCTCAGTAAAGAGGTAGAGACACAAAGATATCTGAAGGATTATTTCCCTAATCTAATTTTCCAAAATGCTGCCATGTAAATTTTTAATTTGAATCAGATTTAGAGTCAACAAATATGTATAAAGGAAAGTATAATACCACAACAAACTACATTAAAACTGGTTTGTTGTATTGTGGATGTCTCCATTTTGATAAAATATGTAAATAGCCTGCATTGATTCCCCCACATTTTGATTTTTAGTCATGGGACTAGTCCTGTATGTTATTCCCATGACCCAAATTGCAGAGTAGTAGAAAAAGGTCTCATCTGTTCCCCTTGCTAGAATGCCAATGGCAAGAGTGTCCTCCCCTCTGATAAGCTCTCTCCCCCATCCAAGTTCTTCATGAACTGCAGAGACTGTGAGAGGGGCAAGGGGCAACTTGTCTCCCTTCATGACAGGGGAAAGAGAAAGTGGGAACGGGTGCAGAAGTTAGTGGTTTAGTCATCACTGCTATTCTGGACTTAGGGTTCTCTGCATGCTTACTGGAGGGTAAACCTCGTTGAACTCAATGGGATTTTGCTTTTGACTATGTATAGCTCAGGCAATTAGTAATTTTGGGGTGAGCGCAAGAGCCTGTTGGACCCATTAGACTAAGGACTAAGTTTAAATTCTTTTGGCAAAGCATGCTTTGTTTCTTTCCCCTGCAGAGCTAGGCAGAGTCTCAGCAAAGTTTCATATCTAGAGTAGAGAGTCAGACCTATCATTCCTGGCTTAAAAGAACCCCATTTTATTAAGCAGGGAACAAGTGCCAGGCTCAATAGCTGTGCCCTCCCCTGATCCCTGGCTTCAGCACTTTGATCCTGATCTCTTTAAACCACAGTTCCCTACTATGATCAATTGAAACAACCTCAACGGATCCATGGAAACATCTGGCAAGACCTATTAAATTAGAGTATTTAATATGCATTATAAACTGTTTCTGATTTTGAGCTGCTGCTATGCCTTTCCCCAAGAAATGGCAGACTAGTTGCTATTGTTGTTGTTTATGGGGCTTTGAATTATGTTTATTACATGTGAAAAAGCAATAAAATACTTTTTAAAAAACCGTGAAAATCAATAGGTGAAGAAAAAAGAACACGGCTTTTTAAATACCTTGGCTGTAACAGCCTGCACGTTGCTCATCCTGGTGGGTCCCAGGACGTGTTGCTCCACTGCTTTTCTGGAGTCTTTCACCGTAATCAGAATAAGAGTATAGGAGGTAACAATTACTCCACAGGGGATAATGAAACAGAAGACAAAAAGGACAATCGTGTAAGACATTGCTGTTGTGTTTATATTTGATGAATACCAGTCAATGCAACATGCTGTACCATAAGGTTCGGCTCCATATTCTCCCCAGTGAGCCAGTGGGGAAAGGGCAAAAATGGCTGCATAGGCCCAACTGCATCCTATCAAGATCCAACCATGTTCTCTCCTAAATCTATTCCCTGAAATACAAAATATTCACATTTAAGATACATGGGTGAGATGTTGCTTGTAATAATACTGCAGCTGGTTTTAAGTCTACAAATCAAAATACAGGTCTCTCTGTTTATTGTCTACAGAGAAGTGGTGACTAGCTTATGGCCTTCCAGAATTTATTGGATTCTAACTCTCATTAGCTACAACTAGTATGCCCAACCCAATAGTTACTCAAACCAACCATGACCAGTGTGAGGAGCAAAACATAGTGTTATGTCCAAACCAAAGGAACAAAGCAACCCAGGTTGGCCTATACAAGGGACATCCAACTTCCTAGAGACTACAATCTACTCACATGATTAAAATCTGGCAGTGATCTACCCCTTTTGGTTGAGCTTTTTTTAGGGAGAAATTATTTGTTAATTTAGGGGCTCAGGTCTAATAAATAACCTGTTGAACATCCCTGACCTATACATAGTAAGCAAGTAATTATGTTCTGTCATGACATGTACATTGTGTTGCTATTCAACAGCCCTCCAATGCACGTTATAACAGCATAATTCACAAAAAGGAGGGAACCCTTCTACAGAGAGAGAGACAGAAAGAAAGACAGAGAAAGAGAGAGAGATCATGCTCCCTAGCACTCCGTTTCCTGAGACTCAATGGCCATACTAGAACTGCCACAATGATAACCTCGCCAAAGCATTTAGTACCAAAATTAGTGTTGCATAACTCTTGGTTCTTCTAAATTTGTGCAGAAGGAAAGAAAAAAATATATTTACCATAAGTTGGGAAGCAAATTTTTAGGCAGCACACAGTACTCAGTAATGTTAGTGTAGACAGACTGCAGATTCCAAAAAATACTCCACAAAATGCATAGAACAAGCAAACCTGTTGGCCAAATAACCACCTAGGAAGAAAAATGAAACAGTTATTAATATCAAAAAATACTCTTCTCAGTCATATATTCAAAAGTAACTTTCAAGGGTCACTACTGTACTGAGATAGCAATACTGATTATAGTCCATGCTCATTCTGAGCCAAGAGGAACCTTAATGTATCTTTATTTGTCTATAAAAAATTAATGCACGTAAATGCTTGTAACCATCCCATGAAAGAAATTATGTTGCTTCATATTTTAAAAACATAACTGAAAACACAGCATGCATCTGGAAGGATTCTGACCAATATATAAACTCATTAAAGAAATAACACACCATTCTATAAAAGCGTTCAGTATCTTGCCTGTATCACTGGCAAGTAGTGTCTGCTTGATACCATTTAACTTGAAAAATGGCTGCTTGAAGTTGGGTGGAGAAAAGGCACATTTGAAAATTGTGGATGTGCAGATTTAATATTCTTACATATTGAGAGAGAACTGAAGTCTAAAGAAAAGGAAACTCCAGTGTAATGCTCTCTCACACAAGTTATGGGAGTACTGCAATTGTTTGCTTATTTGTCCTGACACCCTGTCATCAGATACTTTACTGGGCCCCTTCCCATTTTGACAGCAGTACATAGAAGAACGAGGTATTTAAATTAAAGAAAATTACTTTTATAATAAGCCATATTAATAATAATATCTACCTTGTACTAATTGCCCCCATCAACTTGAGTCCCAAAGATGAACTCTTAAATCTGTGTCTATCTCCTGACATAGACCATCCAAGTCTCAGTGCCAAAAGCCTGACTGAAATTGATCTCCCCCAAGAGTACCTAGAGCTGGTCAAAAGTGGCATGAGCAACTGTTCAAATCTTCCGAGTACAAGGGGGGATTTTTCAACCACTCATAGGCTGTGCAAAAGATTTACAATTACAACTAATGGCAGGGAATACTGGGGAGCACAACTCTGACTTTTTTTCAAAGCAGGACTGATGTCACCATCTGCAAGAGTGCCAGGTAATTAAGAGAAGCCTTGCTCTGGCAAGTGAATGAGACAGTAATGAGGCTTTTACATTTCTTTGTGACAAGCATAGCATAGAGGAAGCCAGATAATGAGGAAAATAACAGAGCAGATGCTGGATGCTTCTTTCTTTTTCTTTGATGGAATTCCTACTTTTCTACCAGTAATTTAAACAGTAACACTTATTTGCAAAATTGTATGCATTTCAACTGGGATGCGGGTGGCGCTGTGGTCTGAACCACTGAGCCTGGGGCTTGCTGATTGGAAGGTCGGGGTTCCCCGCGACGGGGTAAGCTCCCGTTGCTCGGTCCCAGCTCCTGCCAACCTAGCAGTTCAAAAGCACATCAAAGTGCAAGTAGATAAATAGGTACTGCTCTTGCAGGAAGGTAAACGGTGTTTCTGTGCGCTGCTCTGGTTTTGCCAGAAGTGGCTTAGTCATGCTGGCCACATGACCCGGAAAAACTGTCTGCAGACAAACGTCAGCTCCCTCAGCCAGTAAAGTGAGATGAGCACCGCAACCCCAGAGTCGTTCATGACTGGACTTAACTGTCAGGGGTCCTTTACCTTTTTATGCATTTCAAATTAAAAGCTAAAAGTTTTATTTCTGCTGGATAAATATTTTTAGTTAAAGCTCAATGTGTTTTACAGTGGTACCTTGGGTTAAGAACTTAATTCTTTCCGAGGTCCGTTCTTAACCTGAAACGGTTCTTAACCTGAGGCACGCTTTCGATGATGGGGCCTTCTGCTGCCACTGGCTCACGATTTCCTTTCTTATCCTAGGGCAAAGTTCTTAAACTGGAGCAAGCACTTCCTGGTTAGCGAAGTTTGTAACCCGAAGCGTCTGTAACCCGAAGCATCTGTAACCCGAGGTACCACTGTACAAGTTAAATGTATGCAGTCATTGGAGCTTACTCCCAGGTAACAATGTATAATTGCACTTGTGTGTGTGTATAATGGATCCACACAACTCCTTGGAGGCATGGCTAGGGATTATCCCTGGGGAGTGGCTACAGCAGTTTTCATGATGAGGTCATGAGCGTCAGAACACATAACCTTGAAAAAGAAACATAAGCAATTCCATTAATGTATTCCTTTCATTTCAATTGTAACTGAATTTCACTCTGTAAAAAAAATAAAAATCATTTGTAACTAAGTAACAATGACATGTATTACTGTAGAAAGGGAAGCTGGATCTTTTGTTATTCCTTCCACCGAAAATTAGGAAACCAGGTGGAGTAATTGTACTGAATGAATGCAACTTTCCCCCCAAAGGTATCCTAAGTGACCACAGTGTTGTGCAGCTCAGAATACTAATTACTGCCAGCAGCTTGAAAGACTGCTTTTCTCAGCCCTTGGAATTATTCATCACTATAGTAATAAAAAAATGTGGAAGAAGAAAAGTTTAGTTACTGTTTCCTACTAACAGAGAACTTCAGTGGATGCACATTGAACACACCTGTGTGAAAGGCTGGATGTAACAGCTAGAGGGTACAAGGTCAGAGTCATACCAAGGTCACTGATGGCCAAATTGATCATGAAGTACTCTGCTGGTTTCAATATGTTCTTTTTCTTGTAGGAAACATAGAGGAGGATACTGTTCCCACAAAAGGAGCATATGCCTGTAGGACAAAACAAAAAAGGGTTAACTGTTTTCACTCTCATTCGCATTTTGACTTTGCGTGAAAGTAGCATGTTGTCCCTTTCTCCAGTGGCTTTAAAGGGAAAAGCATACAAGGATGACTAATCATGATTTTTATATAGGTGTTTTTACAAAAAATAGTAATTTTGCAGCATGATTTCCAAATTGTTCTCTTTCCTTCAGTGCCAGTTGATTCTTATCACCCTCGCCTCCAAAGTGGTTGAGCACTTTGTAAAAATTAATGAATATGAACCATATAATAAAAAGTATACTATCTGTACAGAAAAATTTCGACATAAAACAAGGCAGCAGGGAACTAATGGCACCTTACCATGAACCAAATTTAGTTCAAGTTAAGCTGACCCAGACTGCAGCCCACTCCACAAAATGCTAAAAAGCCACTCAAGCTTTTTATATATTGCCAATCAGGTTTTCATGATGACCGCAGCTAACCTAGCTATTGAGCTCAAAGCTAAAGGCAAATATATCACATCCAGATCAGTCCTCTGAACCATAATGGCTACCATCTTCTTTTGTGCACAGATGCACCATATGGAAAGGTATTATGCTATATCTTTGTGTTTCTGTAAAATAGGGTAAGAACAGCTTTTGAGGCACAACACTGGAGAAACTAAATAGAGGAAAAGGCAAAACAGGTTATATCTCAGCACCTCTCTTCCAATTAAATTTGGAACTCCCTGTGCCTGTTTTAAAGAACACACGCCAAAAGATCCCAAGTCACATGTGATTTGGCCCTAAAACGCTATGAACCTAGGCCAGGGGTGACCAATGTGGTGCCCTCCAAATGCTGTTGAATGATACAAATTGCAATTTGGCAACATTTAGAAGGTACCACATTGGCTGTCCCTGTCCTGGACTGTCTCAGAGATATTTAGTCTTAATGTTTAGTTCATCAAGTACTTGAGTTAGTTGATTTGCCAGGAAAGTCACCAGATTCAGATTCAGTAAAGTCCAATATAAATTTCTGCTAGCTTGCCAGGAAACAATAAACATTATTCCCACAGTAATTGTAATCTGTGTTCTTTATCTGTGAAAGTTCAGCTAAAACACTGCTTCCCACAACACATCAATATGTCTGTGAAAACCTCAATGTGTACTTTGTGCATTATATCATCATTTAACTCCAACTTCTACATTTTCCCCCACCTTAACACCCATGTGTATCTATGCCTACCAATTGAGGATTACACGTCATGCATCTGATGGAATGGGTGCTAGTCCATGAACGCTTGTGCTATAATACATTTGTTAGTCTTCAAAGAAGCAGAAGACCCTATATTGTCATTACTTAAAGATTATTTCCTTCACTAGAAAACACTTCAGTCTCTAAAGGTCTGATGGCACATGAAGGCACCACCTTATTGAAGCTAAGCAAGTGTGGTTAGATGATGGGAGACCTCCTTGGAACCACATGTATTTCACCTTGGGTTCCATGATGCTTCTGTGTAAAAATGGAGTGTAAAATATAAGGAAATACAATAATAAAAAACTCAATTTAAACTAATTTAAACCAATGCAAATGTAATTATTTTATTACACTTACTTATTTAAAAAATGAAATTCTGCATACTGCTTTATGCATTCCAACTACAATACTGTGAAGCAAGTCACTAAAATTCCCATTGTATTGATGGGCGAAACTCAGACTGTAATTTGCCCATTGCTGTCCCAGGAATTCACAGCTGAACAGAAATCTGAATCCAGGTTTGCTGGGGTCCAAGTCTAGCAGAGGCCTCCAGTCTATATATACTACAGTTGGATTCTCCCCTCTAGCAGCTTGTCCAGTTCCATATGTACTTCACACAGGAAAATGTGGCCACCTTCTGGATGGGTTATATTTCAGATTGTGTCACCTACAGCCTTTGCATCTACTACCAAAGCACACATAAGCAATATAAAGCTCAGACTGGGCCGGGAATGAGAAAACAGATACATGGGTAAAAGGTAAGGTAAAGGACTTGCCAATCGCATGGTCGGCGGTTAGAATCCCCGCGGCGGGGTGCGCTCCCGTCGTTCGGTCCCAGCGCCTGCCAACCTAGCAGTTCGAAAGCACCCCCGGGTGCAAGTAGATAAATAGGGACCGCTTACCAGCGGGAAGGTAAACAGCGTTCCGTGTGCTGCGCTGGCTCGCCAGATGCAGCTTGTCACGCTGGCCACGTGACCCGGAAGTGTCTGCGGACAGCGCTGGCTCCCGGCCTACAGAGTGAGATGAGCGCACAACCCTAGAGTCTGGCAAGACTGGCCCATACGGGCAGGGATACCTTTACCTTTAAGGCGACTATGGGGTGTGGCGCTCATCTCACTTCAGGATGAGGGAGCCAGCATTTGTCCACAAACAGCTTCCTGGGTCATGTGGACCAAGGAGTTAAACAGTATCACACACATGCCAGAGACACAGTTATAAAATCTTCTTTTGTTTTCTAGAATGTGAAATACAATCATCATCATATGCAGAGAATATCACAATCATATGTAGAGAATATCAAACAATCACTCTTACCAAATATAATATAGAAGATTCCAACAATAATATCAGCTGCTTCAGTTATTTTGGAATGAAATGTTGCATTCACAAAGTAAGAACCCATCTGGAAAAAAATAGGATGGAAGAAGAGAGAATTCAAGGTAAGTGCATCTCAGGACCCTCAGTTTTCAGGTACAGTGTTTTCAAGCATTGATACATAAATGTGGAGGCATTTTCTTAAGCCTCGCGGTAATTTAAAAACTGACGTTTTGAGACGTTTGACCAGATTCAAACCCTCTGAGAATCTGGGTGGGATCTCCCCCACAACCTGGTTGGGCAAGCACAAGTCTACTCGCCCACTATGCACAGGCTACTTGGAGCAGGGGTCACAAATATGTCACTCATAGGTGCACATACAACATTTTATTGCAGTCAATAGGAAATAGAATAAGATGTGGCTACAGCGTATGTGTGATGCCTACAATAATTTTTCCAATTTGCAAATATGCCAAAGCTTTATCCACACCAATCTAAAAGATGCCATAGAATGACATTGGATTTATGTGTTCCTTCGTGGCACCACAAACATAACGGTAAATGTTTAAAAATAAACTATAAAAATCACAAGTGTCGACATTATTCATTCAAACTTTATTAAGAATGCCCTTCTCACAATTCATCACTTTAATACTGCATACTATGTGCTGAAAAAATATTTTTCAAGTCACAGTAAAAGTATAAATAGCACAGAATATATTCTTCAAATACAGTCCTTATCAACAACCTTTTATGATATTCATAATTCTAATTTCACAGGGCTCAATGCAACTTCTGTATGAAGTCACTATGGAAAAATTGCCCAAATAAAACAATCACTAAGTTATCCAAAGGATACTTTAACAAGATATTTATAACATGAGTAAGCAACCGTGCACTACCAAGGAAAGATGAGCAAAAACAGAAATTTCCATCACAGATTTTACATCAGTGATTGTGAACAGCGGATTGAGAGCCTTCAGAGGGACACACAGACTTCAAACATGTTTCACCAAGCTACGTACTCAAAACAAGGTGGTCTTGTTGTCTTGGCAGCCCAGGACCTCCACACAAGGTCCGGGCTTGCATGTCAAAGAGGTCACATTGATGCTGGTAACGTAGTAAAAACAATGCAGGAGGCAGAAGTTATGAGTTGCCAATTTCTGCAGCCCCAGCAAGAACTGTGAATCTCCAGCTGTTTGACTTCACCCCTGGAAGCGCACTCCATTGTCTCTCAAGAGAGATGGATGCCAACAACACTTAACGGTGCTTCATTTACTTACCACCCAACCTATTCAAATATTTAGTTAAACTACTTTTGACTAGGGCAAAAATTCAGATGCAGCTCCCCGCCCCCGCCCCCAAAAGCCCAGAAAAATTTAAAAAATTTTCATGATTACAGTTGGCCCATGAGTGGTGACTAAAGTTTGGCTTACACCTGCGGTTTGTTCATGGGGCGATTTGGGGAGGGTGGACTATGCACCCAGGTTTTGGGGGGTGGACTATGCATACAGTAAATGCTAATTCAGATCATGTATTGTTTCCCAACAGTGAAGCAGGAACAAAGGAAGTGTGAGCCACCTGTGGTTTCAGCAAAGAGCACCGGCATGATGTACATTCACATTTAAGTTTTAGTTTAACTATGGTTTTAAATTATGTGTGGACCAGACCATTGTGTGGGTGAGCAGCCTTCAGCAAGGGATCCTTCGGGGGGTGGGGCGCCTTCAGATCCATCACTATACTCACTGACCCTTCCACAAAAAAGGATCACTTGATGAAGGCTCTGTATGTGTCTGTATGTGAAAACAGAGCTTATTTTCTTATTTTCACATACACACACACACACACACACACACACACATATCACCTGCCATGATGGTAGACTTTTACTAATTTAATAGGTAATTTTAACTTTCTCTTTTCCCAGAACACATGCTGTAAGTCACTAGCTATTGTTAGTGTTTACTAGGTGATTATTATTATTATATATTTATTTATGCCCTGCCTTTTCCACTAATGGGACTGAATTACTAGTATATTAAATTTATATAATATTAAATGAAAGCTTTTTTTAATTGACAGATAAATACTTAAGTTAAATATATAGATATATGAACTTAACTGAACTTAAAAAAAGTTGATCTAGGACCCGGGGAGACTGGACAATCAGTTCTCAATTATTTTAATGGAAACAGGTCAAACTGAGCCAAAAGAATTGGAAACACTGCTGTGTTTTTATTGGAGAGACCTCATATGACACGATACTGAACAGTTTTATTAATCCCTTATTGTTTTATATCTGGCTTGCACTAGCTACATCATTTTTGGCTTGGAATCAAGAGATATTTATAGCAAGACCCAACAAGCATATGCCAAAAGTTGATGTCTTCAATTGATTAGGACAATGGGTGCCAGCCAAAGTATTCATAAGATATCACCTCTACTTCTCTCTGTAACTTTATGTTCATAACTTTGCTAGAGTGCATCATACCTGTTTGTCACTACCTTGAAGGACTACTGACACTCTTCTTCTTTTTTAACCTTCCTTATTGTGTTGATCTGTCATGGAACAAACCCAGTGAAGAAAATAACAGTGATTACTCAGACCTCATCTCCATCCTTCCTGTTCTCTCTCTTCCTTCCATCACACTTGGCTGGCCACTTCATCAATCATCAATTTCCTCTCTTTCCTTCCTTCTAACTTTCTGTACTAGAGAGTAATTGCTCTAACCTTACTCTCTAACCCAGGGGTCACCAACTTGGTGCCAATGGGTGCCGTGGCACCCACAAATGCCTTCATTGGAACCCCTAACCAAGGGACTCAGGAGGAAGAGAAGATGTAATTTCTGTACTTGTGTTATGCTATGCCCCACACAGCAGCCATTTTGTGACTGGTGCTCACAACACTATCTCAAATTTTGAAATGTGCCACTGGTCAAAAAGGTTGGCAGTCACTGTTTTAACCAGCTCCTGTTCACACATGTGCCTATGCATTGTGCTAGAACAGCTGCTAGCTGGCTTTTGTGCAACTAAAATGCTACACTGCAGAGGCAACACTCAAGTCCACTTGAAAGAATAGAATGGGATTGACTTCTGAATAAATATTACTAGGATTGCTCTCAGACCTGTGCTTTGGCCCCCAGGGAAGCATTGGGGAAGGAGCGAGTATATGACTCTGTGCGTGTGTGTGTTTTTGAGTCTGTCCCCCTTTCTCCTCCAGGTGTAGATGTGTGCAGGATGCTTGTTCCCCCATTCTGCCAAAGTATATGTATATGTGCACTGCTTGTCCTCCTCCACCACCACACACACATATGTGTAAGCTGTGTGTGTGCTTTTTGAGTGTGCAAGTCTGCACATGTACACATGCATGCACATGGGCCTCAGAGGGGTGATGAACCCTCAATCTGGCCCCAAGCCAAAAAAAAAAAAAAATAGCCATCCACATTTCAGAGTATCAAAATCCTTCTAGCATTACTGTTAAACCTGGCAAATGTTTATATTTAATGTTCAATCCTTCTCAGGCCACACGCCTCACAGTCAAATGAATCACTTCATCCGATAAAATATCCTGATTTGCATGTCTAAACACAAGGTAATTGGAAGTATGTGATAGCGTGCATGCAGAAGATGACTCCAGAGATTCTTATTTTTCTTTCTGCAATGCAGCTTGCTTCTACTTTCCTTTTTCCTCTGCTGGGAAACAGGACATCAAAAGGCTTTCAGAGCAATTAGCAACATGAGGAATCAGAGAACATGCCCCAAAGCATAAGTTTTTAATGAAAGTTTGTGTGGAACAAAAAATATTTTCCCAAATTTTATTATGTAATACAATTTACCTAATAATTCTAAGAGTGGTGGTGGCCAATATTTCTCATCCTTGGAATTTAATAGAAGAACCACAGTCAGTTTTGGCTTGAGAAAGCGAGTTACTGATAGACTTGTATCTTGCATACATGTTATTATTACCCTGCAATATCTGAAACTCCTCAGCCTGGATAAAACAAGCACATTGGTAAAGCCCCAACCTTTTGCTTCTTTTGAGAAACCATGAGTCAAGGGGAAAGTTTGTTAAAAATTCCACAAGCACAGTCCACCAGAAATGTGTCTGGCACAAGCTTCAATGAAACTGTCATTTCTGGAAGAAGAAAAAAAACCACCACTTGTAATATACTACTCAAGCTCTTTCATCTCTTCATAATAGGAATTCTGTTGATGCAAAGGCTGCAAATGATGGAATACAGTGTCAAATGCACCACCTGCCCACAATTTGACTGCAACTCTCACATATGTAAAAAGAGTTACATTCCAATGACCAGTAATGAAACCTAAACGTGTTCTCACACTGTGACACTGCTACCTGCACACCCAGACTGTCCATATGCATTCCTGTCACACATCAGAATATTTATTAGAAGTCATTCTAATTATTTATTTTTGACCCAATGAGTCTGACCTTTATTTCCCTATCCCCACTTTAAGGGCCAACTTTGACGTGTGGGTGGGGCCACTGACCTGTCAGTCAGGTGATGCCATGATGACATCAGATGACTGATAGGGGACATACCCACCCACCAGGCAAAGTATAAATAAACAAACAAGTATAAATATGTATGAATAAATAAAAAAATGAAATAAACGCCCAACATCCTAGACTACTGGTCATGCTGGCTTGAGCTGATGGGAGTCCAACACAAAAGGGCTGCACATTTGCCATTCCAGCTCTAGATGTTTAGAGTTCTTGACCTTTAGAGACCTCACTGAAGGTGGAAAATATGTTTCGATCGTACCATCTGCCAAAAAGCGGTATACGATGGACACCTGGGAAGCTAGAAGAAACTATGCAGAACATATCATTGGGAAAACAACCACCTTGGTGTTTAAGCATTCCTAAGTGTCTTTGACTTGTTATGTCTACAGAGAAAGACAAGTACATTGAATTATAGAACAGACACAAATATTTTGTCACACTCCAAACACATGGTTGGAAACAGGCAACTAGCTACTATCCACTCCATCATAGTTTTTAAATAAAGCATATACAATTAGTAACAATTAAAGACAACTCCCTGAACTTACTTTTGAAATTAAAGCTCACCAATAGCAGTATAAAGAAATAGACAAGGGTGATGTGATTGAGGAACATCCTTTCCTTGCTCATAGTAAATGAAAGTTCAAATAGTTAAGATCTATGGAAAGGAAAGGATCCTCCAGAACACCTTGCCCATATTCTGTGTACTCTGGATTTAGCAAGAGCACATAGCACTGCCTTCTTCTAGAGCAGAAGCAGGAAAAAAAGAGCTGTTAGCTAATTTGGTGAGAGATGCAGTTAAAATGAAAGAGCTACACTACAGAGAGCAATCGGCTCCCTTTTACACTACATGAGTACTTGCAACAGAGGGGCCAAAGAACCATAGCTTCACAGCTTGACAGATGCTAATGAATGAATATCATGTTGCCTGTCTCAATACGCACATAAAGTCTGAGCTGTGTTGAGCACCTCTGCTATGGCATTACCTCAGATGCTCTTTGTTGCAGAGTTGCCCCTTATCACACAGCTCGACCGTTCCAAGTTCCCAGCAGGCTAAAAGTAACACCAGCTCCCTTGGAAATTAACAGAGCAGGCATTGCCCCCTTCAAGATGTCCTGCCCTGTGCGTTCTTTTAATCTTCTTTTGCATTCTTAAGAGGACAGATGAATCCACAACAGCAGCTGTAGTGTCAAAGATGTTCAGAATTAGCAAGTGCTGTTGGCAGTTCTTTGTCACAGCAGATGCTGGATAAAATAGCTTGTGGAATTTAAGGCAAGGTAACCAACCACCTTCTGCAATCTTGCATGGCACAAACTATATAGTAAGATCTACCTCACAGGGATCATAAAAGGAGGTTGTGGGCACCCTGCCCATTTGGATTGCTACTTGACCCTCTCAGAAGCTGGACACCTTCACAGCCAACCAAAGGAGTAACAGCACAGAGTAAACTGATAACAACATATAGTTATTGGCCACAACTTTCTTAGACAGTGCTGTAAGACACCACATTCTTGTACTACTGTTATTTGCACTTACGTCTCATTAGGCACAACATAGCTAAGCCTTCATTTTCCACCAGTACCTGACCTCACCTCTCTGAACCCACTGCTTTAGTACTGAACCTGAAAACCCAACAGGACTGCCATCTGTATTTCATTGTTTTTACTGGCAGAACCTTTCTGTCCAATTATAACTGGATGCCTGGCAGAGATTCAACAGGTGTTGCTCTCCACATCAGGACATCTTCATTTTGGCACTGGCCCACCTGCTCAAAATCCAGCCTGGCATGAAGCTATTAGGTTTCAGTCGGGCAGGCAGCGGCGTCCTAGCAGAAAACTGGAGACAGATTAAAGGGGGGGGGGGCGGGACTGCAAATAAATAAATACATAAATAAAAAATCAAGTCATCAGGAACTTTAGAGTCGAGTAGGCAACAAACAGTCCAAGGTTTAGGGACTGCCAGTTTCCCTTCCCACAAGGCGCTCGCTAGAAGCTGCCAGGTGGTCCAGGTGAGCGGGCGCGCAAATTTACCTTGGCTCCGGGCTGGCGCGCGGGGAAGTCGGCGCAGCTGCGCTCGCTCGCTCGCTCGCATTCTCCGCCGCCGACGCTGCCGCTCTGCGAAGCGCCAGAAAGAAACGAAGCGCTTTCGCCAAGGAACCTCCAGCGACTCACGAGGCGGCAAAGGCAATGCCCGCGGGTCTAGAGGGTGAAGGCGCGGATTGGGGCGGGCTTGAGCCGGGGCTGAGGCGAGCCAATCGTTGCTCCAGCATGACGCTACTACTAGCCCCGCTCCACAACTCCCACGGGCGCGAAGCACAAGGAGCCCCTTGCCCTGAGGCGACGGCGCCAAGTTGGGGAGCTCAGGGAGCAGAACTTTCCGCTTCTTCCTCACCTCCGCCCGCTTCTCCCGCTTGCTGAGAGGCCGGAGGAAGGGCCATGGCAACGGCTAAAGGGAGCCGCTCTCTCGGGGGCTCCCTCATCTTATAGCCACGGGCGGGGAACTCGAGGGAGTTTCCCTTTCCTCCACCCCCTGATAGCGACTGGCCCTCCAGCATGAGGCGGCTTCCCAGCAGCCTTCCCGCCTTTTGAGAAACTGGATTGGATGCGGGCGGAAAGACCCTGAAGCGGCGCCTCCAGTCAGAAGAAAGCAGGTCTGCTCCGCATCTTCCCATTGGCCAAAGAAATCTCGGCGGCGTCTCTCCGACGGCACAAGGGCTCTCAAGATCCTGGCGCTAATGGGGGGGGGGGGTGTATTTGATTGCTTGTGTTCGATTATATATTATTCTTATATTCAACTAATAAAATATATATTTATATATAAAAAAAAAAGATCCTGGCGTTCGCCTTGCGATTGCGCTAGGGCGAAGCGCTGGCGCTAAGTAGGGTAGAAAACCCGGAGCCCACAATCAAAACTGAAACCAAGTAGAATTGTTCTTACTTCGTTGGAATCTTGCGGTGGGGCTGCTGGGCGAATTTAAATTCTGCGTTGATTCAGATTTAGGGACAGCCCCCTTTAGACGGCCGTGTCTGTTACTTCAGTTGTGAAGCACATAATTAACGTCTCTCTCATACACACAGCGCCATTCCATGCTTTACCATTGCTTCACGTAAATAATGTTTTTTATTTTATTTCCGTCCACATTTGTATCCCGCTGTTCCCCCAAGGAATGGATCCTACTTTGTTCTCATAACAATCCTGATAGGGACTGTGCGATGGAGATCGGATTTGCCCAAGGCAACCCAGTGAGCTCGCTGGCCGAGACAGGGCTGGGATCCAGGCCTCCTCACTACTTCGCAGCTCACGGCCCTCCGGATGGGTAAGCTAGACACTGCAACACGGCAGAATAGCCACACCCCTCCAGCCACTCAGCACTGATCTTGTGGATATTCGTCTGCTCATGGTGAGAGCCTAAGATAGGATCATCTGTGTCCTAGTGGGAAACAGCAGTTGCATGCAGAGAATGGCTGTTCAGCAGGGGCAAGATGGGCGCGCGAAAGGTGCTCTGCACATGCTCCGTTTTCCCACTATTCACATCGACGCTGACAGCTGAAGCGTGGCTTCTGCGATTCGCTGCCTCGTCTCCGATGCAGCCCGGGCAAGCCGGTCACCACCGCAAGGTTTACATACCCGGCGCAGCAAACCGAGCAGAGAGAGAGGGGAATAGAGAAGGTGGTCAGATTCGCTCGGACATTCACCATGATGGTTTCTGCATTGGAGTCGGAGAAGTGCCAGGTTTTGGAACGGCACATACTTGTAGTGTGCTAATGCAACAATAAAACATGGGTGGTAATTGCAGACTTTCTATGACACCATCGCCCTCTAGGGGCTGATATATGACACCGCGACTAAGGAGCACGGCGCTAACCTAACCGTGGACCAGGAGAGTTGAATAGGATAAGGCTGGGGCAGGATCATCACTCACTCACTGGATCATGACGCTTGTGAGCGAAGCCATCCTGAGTCTCCTACTCCCAGCAGGCTCACCTAAGGTGGTAAGGTCAAAGGGGAGGAGCTAGACAAAGAATGATCCAAGAAGTTCTCAACGGCAGAACAGGCAGAAGATAACAAACGGTATGTTACAACAGCTGTGAAGATGGATGAAGGCTGCAGCAGATAAGAATCTACCGGTCATTGTGATACTCGTGCTATCGGAACAAAGCCTTACTGTGAAGACTGTGCATTGGTCAGCGTGCACTGATTTACACACATAAAACAAATTCACGCACAGGCGTCGTCCGAAAACCCACCCCAAACCCAAAAAAGTCCCATGACGATCTGCAAATGGTAACAGAGGCAGGACCATGAAATCTGGAAGCCCCTAATCATGAACCAGCTCATGGGCGGTGGATACAGATTCAGTCATTCTGACTCAATGAGGCAGTTGAGTAGCTCGGCAGCTGTATCCACAACTGAGCAGTCCTGTTTACGATCCACTCTACCCACCCCAAAAAGGTGGAGGGGCTAGAAAAGGTGCCCTAAACATAGTCTGCCTCACTTTTTCCCCTGACTGGATTACCGCACCCAGTGGGGTCACCACTTAGCAGTCGTAAAAGACAATTGAACTTTGGAACATGGAATATATGGACTTTGCTGGATAACACAGATAATGAGCGTCCCAAATGCAGGACTGTCATCACTGAAAGACAGTTGCGATGTTTTAACATTGATATTGCAGCACTTCAAGAAACTCGAAGAACAGGAGAGGGACAACTGAAAGAATAAAAAATAACTCTACAAATTCTTCTGTAAAGGTCTACCTGAACAAGAACGTCAAATACATGGGGTAGGCTTTGCTATCAAAAACAATCTTGTAAAGCTCTTGTCAGAAGTCCCTACCAGCATTAATGAGCAACTTTCAACCCTTCAAATAAAACTTACCAAAAACCAACAGGCTACTATTTTAAGCGCTTATGCACTGGATGCCAATGAAAACATTAAAGAAAAAAAAAATTATCGGCTGGATGCCATCCTAACAGATAAGCCTAAGGAGGATAAAATTATCCTCCTGGGTGAATTTAATGCAAGAGTTGGGTGAGATTTCGATCTATTGAGAAAGAAGGAATTGGCAACAGCAACCAGAACAGAATCTTACTTTTGACTATATTTGCAGCACACAACCTTGTTATTACCAACACACTATTTCGACCAAAAAAATATTAAAATATCATGGAGGCACCCACGGTTGAACTACTAGCACCTCTTAGACTACAGTGGTAGCTTGGTTTGCAACCGCTTTGGATTACAACCATTTTGGATTACAATCACATCAAACCCGGAAGTGCGTGTCCCTTTTTTTTGGATTACAACCCTTTTTTTAATTACAAACAATTGGGGGGGAGGCCTCATTGGCGAAAGCCCGCCTTGGGTTACAACCTGTTTTGGTTTACAACTGGACCTACAGAACAGATTATGGTTGTAAACCAAGGTACCACTGTATGTCTGAGCTGAAGATCGCCGCGATGTACTCCTTACCAGAGCTATGACAACGACTGATGGACAGATCACTGATTAATACATTCCACGATGGCTATCAAGATTATACCTCAATGCAGGCTTCAAGGAAGGAAACCAAGGCGCAAAATGACCACTCAAGCCCTTAAAGATCCTATTAAGTGGGATTGCTTCCAAACGACTCTTAAGGACCATCTGAAAGGAGATAGGAGAAGCAACCACTCAGCAACTTAATAGAACAGTTGTCTTTTAAAGTAACAACCTAATCGGAATAGGAAAGGCTGGAGCCCAATAATGGAGTAAGATAAAGGTTAATGTCTCTGGCCTGCCACTGGGTAAAGTACACATAGTCCTAGTATCAAACCATCCTAAATAGCTTCACATAAGCTTATGGAAAGCTTGGCCCATCGCTCAACATCCAAGAAACCAAAGTGCTGCACCAACAAGCACAAATAAACCCTCTGCAGCAACACAAATCCAACTCAATGATGTAGCATTGGAAAGTGTCAACCACTTCTCCTACCTGGGCAATTATCTTTCCACAAGGGCGGACTTTGATGCTGAAATCCAGCATTGCCTGAGCTCTGCAAGTGCAATGTGTTTGAGGACTTGGACATTCGCAGGGAAACCAAAATGCTTGTTTACAAAGCTATTGTACTACCAACCTTACTATATGCTTGTGAAACATGGACCACTTATAAACACCATCTCCAGCTCCTCAAAAGAGTCCATCAACGGTGTCTCCGAACAATTTTACATATCAATTGAGAAGACAGGCAAACTAATGCCAGTGTACTGGAAGAAACAAAGATCACCAGTGTGATTCTTCAACATCAACTTTGTTTGACTAGTCATGTTTTGTGGATGCCTGATTATCGTCTTCCAAAGCAACTACTCTATTCTGAACTTAAACATGGAAAGCATAATGCTGGTGGTCAACAAAAACGGTTTAATGATTCTCTCAAGGCAAATCTAAAAAAAAGTAGAACACTGACAATTGGGAAACACTGGCCTAGGAGCATTCCAGTTGGTGAACAGCTTTTACCAAAGGTGTCATGGACTTTGAAGACACTCAAACTCAGGACGAAATGGAGAAACAAGCTATGAGGAAGGCACGTTTGGCAAACCCTCACCATGATCAACCCACCCCGAAACCTACGTTCCCACTGTGGAATGGCCACCTGAATAAGAGCTTAGGAAGAGAGGGAGACAGATGGAGCTGGTCTCTCAGCCAATCCTATGTGGTGGACCCTGCAACCCTCCCCATCCCTCTGATTCAGCCAGGTACAAAAACAAGCAATAGAGGACGGTTCAGGGAGTGGATGTGATATTTTGCATGCACATGCTTGTGGGTGTAGAGAAAGAGAGTGGGGTTTCACTGTTTCCTGGTTAAAATAATCCGTTTTATCATCTTTTATTCAGGAACAAGACAGCACAGAAGCTATCATAGAATCATAGAGTTGGAAGAGACCACAAGGGCCATCGAGTCCAACCCCCTGCCAAGCAGGAAACACCATCAGAGCACTCCTGACATATGGTTGTCAAGCCTCTGCTTAAAGACCTCCAAAGAAGGAGACTCCACCACACTCCTTGGCAGCAAATTCCACGGTCGAACAGCTCTTACTGTCAGGAAGTTCTTCCTAATGTTTAGGTGGAATCTTCTTTCTTGTAGTTTGGATCCATTGCTCCGTGTCCGCTTCTCTGGAGCGGCAGAAAACAACCTTTCTCCCTCCTCTATGTGACATCCTTTTATATATTTGAACATGGCTATCATATCACCACTTAACCTCCTCTTCTCCAGGCTAAACATGCCCAGCTCCCTTAGCCGTTCCTCATAAGGCATCGTTTCCAGGCCTTTGACCATTTTGGTTGCCCTCCTCTGGACACGTTCCAGTTTGTCAGTGTCCTTCTTGAACTGTGGTGCCCAGAACTGGACACAGTACTCCAGGTGAGGTCTGACCAGAGCAGAATACAGTGGCACTATTACTTCCCTTGATCTAGATGCTATACTCCTATTGATGCAGCCCAGAATTGCATTGGCTTTTTTAGCTGCCGCGTCACACTGTTGGCTCATGTCAAGTTTGTGGTCAACCAAGACTCCTAGATCCTTTTCACATGTACTGCTCTCAAGCCAGGTGTCACCCATCTTGTATTTGTGCCTCTCATTTTTTTTGCCCAAGTGCAATACTTTACATTTCTCCCTGTTAAAATTCATCTTGTTTGTTTTGGCCCAGTTCTCTAATCTGTCAAGGTCGTTTTGAAGTGTGATCCTGTCCTCTGGGGCGTTAGCCACCCCTCCCAGTTTGGTGTCATCTGCAAATTTGATCAGGATGCCCTTGAGTCCATCATCCAAGTCGTTGATAAAGATGTTGAATAAGACCGGGCCCAAGACAGAACCCTGTGGCACCCCACTAGTCACTCTTCTCCAGGATGAAGAGGAACCATTGATGAGCACCCTTTGGGTTCGGTCAGTCAGCCAGTTACAAATCCATGGAGTGGTAGCATAGTCAAGACCGCATTTTACCAGCTTCTTTACAAGAATATCATGGGGCACCTTGTCAAATGCCTTGCTGAAATCAAGGTAGGCTACATCCACTGCGTTCCCTTCATCTACCAGGCTTGTAATTCTGTCAAAAACGAGATCAGGTTAGTCTGACATGACTTATTTTTCAGAAATCCATGCTGACTATTGGTGATCACAGCATTCCTTTCTAGGTGCTCACAGACTGTTTGCTTAATGATCTGCTCCAGAATCTTCCCTGGTATTGGACTTCCGGGGTGGCGCCATCGGTAATGGCTGCTTCTCTCTAACTTGGAGGGAACCGGCTCTACGGAATCTGGGTCCTACCGCTACGGCGCAGCGGGGACCCCCAAAAAAATCACAGGCGTGTGAAGCCTGTGACCGTGGGACTCAGCGGGCACCGTTTGCCCCCCCCAACTGTTAAAGGAGCTCGGCAACGGGCTCCGGAGCAGAGCGGGGATGGCGTGGTGCTGTGAGCAAATTGCTTCTTCCGTGGAGCGAAGCCGCGAAGCTGTTACCGGAGAGCGCTGCCTTTTTCCTGGGATAATCAGACTTTGAAAACAACTACCCGTGAGTAGGATTAAATTGGATCTAAAGGAAAAACGTTTAATTTGATACTGAGCGGGGAAGGTACAACCAGGAAGTCTGCCTTCCTTGTATTGTAAATAGATCAAAGCAAAGAGACCCTAAAGCGGAAACACAGAAAGTTACTTAAAAAGAGCTAAATCCTAACATCTTGAAAGTGGTTCCCCTCCGGATTGCAGGAGAGGAGGGGGAAAAAAGACTGATCTGAATTTCCTTGCAAAAAAGAAGGGGAAAGGAAGAAAAAAATTACTGTTTAAGATTTGGAACGGACTGCCTTGAGATAAGGGTTGCATAGTGGAAAGTCTATTTCTGACAGCTAATTCTGCACAAGGGATACAGTGTTTCTGGACTTCTCTTGGCTTGAAAGTAACTGTTTAAGTGCACTGAGACTGTGGTTTTTAAAGTAAATTGGGGGACTTATAAAGACTATCTTTGTTCTTAAAAGTTGCAAGTTCTGGCTGTTACTGTGTCCCCTAGAGGAAGTTGGACATTGTTACAACAACAACTGGCTTAGAGGAAAATTCCATTCTATTCTAAAACAACTGTTTGACTGTGGGAGCGACCTTGAATTTCTATGAGACTCTTATGGCAGATGGCAAAGGGAAGATAGAGAAGACAGAACCGCAGGAAAAACTACTAGGTCTGGCAGACATTATCGGATAGACACTGGGCAGCCGCGAAGGGGTTCAACATCTGGAGCATCTGGAACATCAGGGGCCGCACTCCCACAGGCTAAACCAAAAGTTATGTCGTCGGAAGAAGTTTTGGCACAGGCACTGGCAAAAATTAATGAATCTTTGGAAAGTTTAAGTAAACAGGTAGCTGAGACAAATAGACAAGTAGCTGAGACAAATAGACAAGTTGCGGAAGCATCAAGCAAAATTGATTTAAACACTGCAAGTATTAATACCTTGGGGCAGAAGGTGAATGCCAACACAGAGACCATCGAAAAACTACTACAGGAATCTGCCTCGACTCGAAAGATAGCAGAGGAAGCAAAAGATATTGCAACTGTTACTCAAGAGAAAATTCCACCAGTATATAAGAAATTTGAGGACCATGATGTGACATTTTCTATGATTGAACTGAAAGAGAGACAAAGAAATTTAAGAATCAGGGCTGTTCCAGAACGGGAGAAAGATAACTTGGCTGACTTTCTTACACAGGAATTTACAGATTTTTGGCAACTGGACTTGGGGAAGGAAGAATTTAAGATAGTGAATGCATTTAGACTCGGAAGAAGACAAGGTAAGGACAAGGTGAGAGACTGTTTGATTACTTTTCGAACAAAAGAAGAGAGAGATAAAATTCTGAATCTGCACTATCAAAAACCTTGGAAATTGACGATTCAAGTTTGGTGATCTTTAAGGACATCCCAAAGCATCTGTTGGACTTAAGGTCTAAATACGGAGACCTAGTGACCTTGTTGAAAAGAAATAGAATTATTTTCAGGTGGGAATTTCCTCAAGGCCTGTCCTTTAAATACAAAGGAAGAAAGATAAAAATAAAATCAGTTGAGGATAAAGACAGGTTCTTGAAAGACCACGAGGAAGATCTACTGAAAGAAGTGGAATCTGAAGAAGAACCAAAAGGTATATTAGACATATCAAATCTATCTTTTGGACTGCATGGTCCAGAAAAAGTGATACTACCCACAGAACAAGAACTGACACTCGGAGCAGTTGGAGGTAAAGTGAAGTAGCCCCCATCATGGCTCCGCAACTATTAAGCTGGAATTGTAACGGTTTGAACTCTCCTCGGAGAAAAGTGTTTCATCTATTAAAAAAAGAACAATTGGACTTGATTTGTCTACAAGAAACACATATAACAAGGGCACATAGGAAGCTATTGATTAATAAAAGATTGGGACAGGAGTTTGTTTCATCTGATAAAGTTAAAAAAAGAGGAGTTGTGATTTATGCAAAGGAGAGACTTTCACCAAAACTTATCTTTAAAGATGACCAAGGAAGATTTTTGGCAATTGAAATTCAAGTACAAGGAGAGAAATTTTTGATTGTGGGAATTTATGCACCGAATGAGGGGAAATCTGAATTCTATAAAAAGTTGCATGAGACTTTACTGGATTATTTGGATTACAATTTGATTTTGATGGGGGACATGAATGGAGTAGTATCTACAAACATGGACAAGGCACAAAGACAGGTAGTTACCAAGGATGGTAGATTACCGAAAATATTCTTTGAGATGACAGACAATATGGACTTAGTGGACATTTGGAGGGTAAAGAACCCCTTGGGAAGAGAGGGAACCTTCTTTTCTGAAGCCAAGATGACATGGACTAGAATTGACCAAATATGGATAACTAGAGGAATGGCACCAAAGATAAAGAAAGTAGAAATCTGCCCAAAAACCTGCTCCGACCACAACGCTGTAAGGATGGAGATGAAACAAATAACAACCGGATCCTTTAGATGGAGGATGAATGACACCTTATTTAGAGATGAAGAAGTCTATAAAAAGGCCCAAAAAACTTTGAGAGACTATTTTGAAATAAACATGAACACCAATGTAGAAAAAGAGTAATCTGGGACGCAAGCAAAGCTGTTATGAGAGGGTTTTTGATACAACAGAATGCAATAAAGAAGAGAAGTCAAAATGAAAAGAAAGACAAAATCTTGGAGAAAATAAAAGAGGGCGAGAAGAAATTGAGAGCAAAACCAAAGTCCCAGGAGATTTTGAGAGAAATAAAATTATATCAAGTACAATATATGGAAATGATGAATCAGGAAATAGAATGGAAAATCAAACAAATGAGACAAAAACATTTGAATCAGCTAACAAATGCGGGAAATTGTTGGCCTGGCAAATGAAAAAAAGACAAAAATTAAATACCATTATAAACTTAGAAGTGGAAGGAAAGAGTATACATAACCCAATTGAGATCAGAAATTGCTTCCAGAGGTACTTTAAACAATTATACACACAAGGGCCACAGAAGGAAATGGACATAGACCAATTTTTGAAGACAAATGGCCTACAAAAATCTCTCAAGAAAGCAAATTAATGTTGAACTATAAAATATCTGAACAGGAAGTAGAAGGCGCCATACAAAATATGCAACTGGGCAAATCTCCAGGACCGGATGGGCTGACTTCCAGATACTATAGATCTCTGAAAGAGTGGTTATTACAACCTTTGAAGGAAGTCTGCAATGAAATATTGGAAGGGAAAAGGGCGCCAGAGTCGTGGAAAGAGGCGTATATTACACTTATACCGAAAACAGAGACTGAAAAGACCCAGCTTAAGAACTACCGCCCTATATCATTACTTAATGTGGATTACAAAGTTTTTGCTGATATTTTGGCCAAGAGACTGAAAAAAGTATTGATGGAAGAGATCCATAAAGATCAAGCGGGCTTTCTCCCGGGAAGACATTTGTCTGATAATTTGAGGAATATAATTGATATCTTGGAAAAATTAGAAGTGAATATAAATACTAAAGCAGCTTTGATATTTGTGGACGCGGAGAAAGCCTTTGACAATATCTCTTGGAGTATTATGAAGAAGAACTTACATGGGATGGGGGTAGGCCAAGGTTTGGAAAATGGTATAGGTGCAATATATTTTGAACAAAAGGCCAAATTAATTGTAAATAATGTGGTCACGGAAGAATTTAAGATAGAAAAAGGGACACGACAGGGGTGCCCAATTTCCCCACTGCTTTTTATATCGGTCCTGGAGGTCCTGCTAAACATGATTAGAAAGGACCGGTTGGTTAAAGGTATACAGGTCGGAGCTAAACAGTACAAACTGAGAGCATTTGCAGATGACTTAGTATTGACGTTACAGGAGCCAGAATCTAGCACTAAAAGAGTTTTAGAATTAATTCAAGAATTTGGTCAGGTGGCAGGTTTCAAATTGAACAAGCTAAAAACTAAGGTTTTAGAGAAAAAATTTAACACCGATTGAAAGAGAGAGGTTTCAGAATGAGACAGGATTGACTGTGGTAAAGAAAGTGAAATACTTGGGGATTAATATGACAGCCAAAAATGGGAACTTATTTAAAGATAATTATGAAAAATGTTGGACCGAAGTGAAAAAAGATTTAGAAATCTGGTCAAATTTGAAGCTTTCACTGCTGGGCCGTATTGCTGCGATAAAGATGAATGTATTGCCTAGAATGTTGTTTTTGTTTCAGACACTGCAAATTGTGGACAAGATGGACTGTTTCAAGAAGTGGCAGAGAGATATTTCTAGATTTGTCTGGCAGGGCAAGAAGCCCAGAATAAAATTTAAGATATTAACTGATGCAAAGGAAAGAGGTGGATTTGCCCTGCCAGACTTTAAACTTTACTATGAATCAGCAGCTTTTTGCTGGTTGAAAGAATGGCTACTTCTTGAAAATACAGACATTTTGGATTTAGAAGGTTTTAACAACGTATTTGGATGGCATGCATATTTATGGTATGATAAGGTCAAAGCACATAAAGCATTTAAAAATATTGTCAGGAAAGCACTGTTTAATGTTTGGACAAGATACAAGGATTTATTGGAAAATAAAACTCCAAGGTGGTTGTCACCAATGGAAGCGAAAGCTTTGAAAAGGCTCAATATGGAGGCCAAATGGCCGAAATATTGGGAAATTTTGGAACAAGAAGGAGACAAATTGAAATTGCAGAGTTTTGAGAAACTAAAAAATAAAGTGAGAGATTGGCTTCATTATTATCAGATAATGGAGGCATATAACTTGGATAAGAAAATTGGCTTCCAGGTGGAAAAATCAAAATTAGAAACAGAATTGTTAGAACCCAAAACTAAGAATTTGTCAAGAATGTATAACTTGCTGTTGAAATGGAATACTCAGGATGAAACGGTGAAATCTGCTATGATTAAATGGGCACAAGATGTTGGACATAATATTATGTTTGCTGACTGGGAACAGTTATGGACCACAGGTATGAAGTTTACGGCATGTAATGTCTTAAGAGAGAATATTATGAAAATGATATACAGGTGGTACATGACCCCAGTCAAGCTTGCAAAAATCTATCACTTGCCCGATAACAAATGTTGGAAATGTAAAGAAACAGAAGGTACATTCTTTCACCTTTGGTGGACGTGCCCAAGGATTAAAGCTTTCTGGGAGATGATTTATAATGAAATAAAAAAGGTATTTAAATATACCTTTTTGAAGAAACCAGAGGCCTTTCTTCTGGGCATTGTCGGCCAATTGGTGCCAAAGAAGGATAGAACCTTTTGTATGTATGCCACAACAGCAGCAAGAATACTCATCGCAAAGTATTGGAAGACACAAGATCTACCCACTCTGGAAGAATGGCAGATGAAGGTGATTGACTACATGGAACTGGCGGAAATGACTGGCAGAATCCGAGACCAGAGAGAAGAGTCGGTGAAAGAAGACTGGAAGAAATTTAAAGACTATTTACAGAAATATTGTAAAATTAAGGAATCTTAGAAGGATGTTGGATAGAAACTAAGAGGTTTTTAGCTGTAATGCCTTAAGAGACATGAAAAAAGGTTTGCAATTGGGTAAAAGCTTAATGGTAAGGATTTGCTGAACTAACAAATTGAACTGGAATACAAAAAAGGGAGGTATGAGGAGGTCCGGGGAAATAAGTGTAGGGAAGATAGGTTATGGAAAATTAATGTCTTTTTAACTGTCTTATTTGGTATGTTTCTTTTTATTTTTTACTTTTTTGGTTATATTTTAAAAACTTTATTCTTTTTCTTTTTGTATTCTGTATTTTTTGTATTTTTTGAAACTTTAATAAATATCATTAAAAAACAACAACACAGAATCTTCCCTGGTATTGATGTCAGACTGATTGGGCGGTAATTATTTGGGTCCTCTCTTTTCCCCTTTTTGAAAATAGGGACAAAATTTGCCCTCCTCCAGTCTGCTGGGACTTCGCCTGTTCTCCAGGAATTCTCAAAGATGACTGCCAGTGGTTCTGAGATCACATCTGCCAGTTCTTTTAATACTCTTGGATGCAGTTCATCTGGCCCTGGAGACATCTAAACTAGCCAAGTATTCTTGTACTATCTCCTTAGTTATTCTGGACTGTGTTTCCTCTGCTGAATCATTTGCTCCAAATTCTTCAGGTCGGGCATTGTTTTCTTTATCGGAGAAGACTGAGGCAAAGAAGGCATTGAGGAGTTCAGCCCTTTCTGTGTCCCCTGCTTGCATTTCACCATCTTCTCCTCTGAGTGACCCCACTGTTTCTTTGTTCTTCCTTTTGCTACGAACATACCCATAAAAGCCTTTTTGTTGCTTTTAACCTCTCTAGCAAGCCTGAGTTCATTCTGTGCTTTAGCTTTTCTGACTTTGTGTCTACACGTGCTGGCTATTTGTTTGAATTCCTCTTTGGTGGTTTCCCCCCTTTTCCACTTTTTGTACACATCCTTTTTTAATCTTAACTCAGTTAAAAGTTCTTTAGATAGCCACCCTGGCTTCTTTGGGCACCTTCCATGTTTCTGTCTCATTGGTATTGCCTGAAGTTGTGCTTTTACTATCTCCCTCTTAACAAACTCCCAGCCATCATGAACTCCCTTTCCTTTTAGTATTACTGTCCATGGGATCTCACCCAGCACTTCCCTAAGTTTTATGAAGTCGGCTTTCTTAAAGTCAAGAAATTGAGTCCTAGTATGCTTGGCTGCTCCTTTCCGCTGTATAGTAAACTTCAGAAGAGCATGATCACTCGCGCCTAATGATCCTTCCACTTCTACCCCACCCCATCCACATTGGTTAGGACCAGATGGCTGTTCCTCTTGTTGCTTCTCCCACTTTCTGGACAATGAAGTTGTCTGCAAGGCCAGTGAGGAATCTGTTTGACCTTATGCTCTTGGCTGAGTTTGACATCCAACAAATATCCGGGTAATTGAAGTCCCCCATTACTACTATCTTCCTTCCTTTTGCATGCTTGGCCATCTGTTCCAGGAAGGCATCATCTATGTCCTCCATTTGGCTTGGGGATCTATAGTAAACTCCCACAATGAGGTCACTGTTATTCTTCTCTCCCTTAATTTTGACCCAAATGCTCTCACTTTGGCTTTGAGGTTCTAAATCTTGGATCTCTTCACAGGCATACACATCCCTGACATATAACGCCCCTCCTCCTCCTTTCTTGTCTGGTCTGTTTCTCTGAAATAGATTGTATCCCTCCATTATTACATTCCAATCATGGGACTTATCCCACCAGGTTTCAGTGATGCCTATTATGTCATATTTAGTTTGCTGTACCAAGAGCTCAAGCTCATCTTGTTTATTTTCCATGCTTTGCGCATTAGTGTACAGACATTAGTGTACAGCTAATTAGTGTACATTAGTGTACAGCTATAATGAGCATCATGTGAAATCTCCTCAGGTACCCCATCCCATCTAACAGCCAACTGCCACTTGGAATTCAGAATAACTGAATTAGAATCTGGAACAAAACAGACGTTTAAAAACACTACAGCTAACAGCATTCACACTGAACACATCTGTTCATGCATTATGGGGTTGGCTTAAGAGAATAATTCAGAAATCAGCAATGCGGAAGCCAAGCAGTTCTGTAATCATATTAGTGATTTTTTTGCTGTGTCTGGATAGGGGTGATTCTTGGACATGCACTCATGAACTACTGATTATATCAAGCGTCTCCTTCAATTCAAGTATGGTATCACACGGCACTGTTCTCTCATACAAATATAAGGACCCTCGTCTAATACCACACCCATGTGAGGCATTCTACTTTGGAGGACAGACTCCTCCAGCCATATATCTTGGGGAAAAGGTTTTCCTCAGCCAAGATAATTTTCAGAGCAGTCTTTTGCCATTGACCATTCCAGCTATAATAAAAAGCTCACCAGCTGAAGTCACTAGTGCTCTTTTTGTGCAAAACAATCGAGCACTTTTCGTAATAAATGGAAAGGTCTATTTGTATTTCTATAGCACATGGAAAACCTGGAAAGTGTCAACTGGCATCGATAGCCCCGTTACAGATATCACAAACATGGACTGCTGTTATTCTTTGAAGGACATCAATTGTTACGATACCAGCAATTTCATTGTGGCTTATACAACTGGAAAGCCTGCTGAATCCACTGATGTCTTCACCTCCAAAGATGGGGGATACAGATTTGTAAAAACAAGCCCTGCCGGTTACGAAAATGCACTGATTGGTATCTACAACTTTGTTTCCTTGGCACAACTTGGAGTTATCCTCAATAAAACAGATGGTGATGAGGAAGCTTATTTTACATATACAGATATGAACTTAGCCCATCAAGAAGAAGGTGCAAAATTTGACATGAAACTCTATGCAGATGAATCTGTTATTGGCATAATTCCCCCTGGCCTGAGAGGTTTTATTCTCCTTTGGACAAAAGACACTTTCGCGTTCTCTTTCAACCACGGCCTGAATGTCGCTCTGATAACAGTGCATCCCACTGATAAATATGTTAATGTGACATTACCTTCGCATGGCCTTTGTAATGTAGCTGCCAACAGAAATGAGATTGCAGCCCTCACCAAGAGCCAGAAACTTTTCTATGGAACCCTGGACATGGAATCAACACAGATGGTATACATTGGTGATAAAACCAAGGGCAAACCCACTGACCCTTGTGTGGCGATGATGTTTGAGAATATTGGGGTGCTTTTTTTTGTCAGTGTTATTCCGAGCACGGATTCTGCATTGTATCATTTTCAGAAATGCATTATTAACATACAGGACACACTCATGACTTTACGGCCACCGCTGCAGCCCTGTCCTGTAGAGATCCTCAGTGGTGATTTCCATAACAAAATATATTATATTGATATGAAGCAGGAACTTCATTTTAATGTCACATTTGTGCCCAAGCCGGGCACTGGGACCTATCCATATGTAACTGTGAGCAATCCCCATGCGCTGGCATTTCAAGCACATATTGATCAGGATGGCTTTACCTTTGATGGAAACACTAAATACAGGCTACGTATTAGGCTGCTTCAACAGGCTTTCTCGGGCATGTCTCAACTCGAGTTTCAGGATACTATTTACTCAAGCAGGATATCCACCGTCACGGTGGATATCTACAACAAAGCCATATTCTGTATTGACATGCATCCAATGACAGCCCTTATTGTAGTGGGCTGTTCACCTAAGAAACATATCAAAATTGCTGAGAGTACAACAGCATGCAACAGAGGTCTCTTTCAGGATATTGTGCTGCAGAATAATTTTGTTTATTCAATTGATCGAAAAGTATATGACCCACAGTTCCTTGGCAGAAAAAAATTGTCACAGCCAAACCTTAACATTACCTATCGTTATGATCTTTGGAGATGTCCTATTCTGTTGTACTATGACAGCCCATGGCTCCCCGTTCTTGAGCTGTGGGACAATGATGAATTCATAGAATATGTTTCTGCTGATTTTGTACTGTATGAAATACATGGCATGCATAATTATGATTATCTCCTGAATGAAGTAGAAGCCGAGTGTAGGATAGCAGCGCAGAACTGGATCACTATAATGGCAGAGAATCCTGGAAAAGAGCCAAGTGATATGTGGAACAGATTGCTTTATGAAAATTGTAAGCTTCCCCAAGAAAATGGGCCTTTGCCATCAGCTTCCAGGCCGTATCATGTTCTAAACAGGAATGAGAAGAACAGAATATTATTTCCACAGTACAATGGCATATATGTCTTCAAAGCCATTGTTGTAGATACACACTATAGCTACTGTGACCTAACAACGGTTTTCAGTGTGTATGTACATGGCGCCCTCCCAAAGTCTCAGATCAATGTTGGTAAAACACTTATTAGTTTTCTGGTTCTCATATTTGGCTCTATTTTGATGGTATACTACTTTCCTAAATTAATGAAGGAAAATGCAAGAATGAAAACAGTTTGGGCGTAATATTTTAGTCCTGCAATGTCATGCTCTGAGGAGGGGTAGGCTAATTCTCAACAGCACTGAAAGGAAATACCATTTGGTTTGCAAACCAGTATTTATGGATAAGGGATGCTTTAAAAATGTATGAGTTTTAATAAATACAAGTTGTCAAAAGAAAGTGCTTTGTGGATGGTTCTCTGACTTTAGCAGTATGAGTGCCTGCACTGAGCAAACTCACAGCTCCAAATCCACAGTGGGAGAGAGTAATGCACTGTTGTTTCCACAGTGTCTTAAGCATCCATGCAAGGAGGGGGAACGGGGGGGGGGAGGGCACAGACTCAAGAAAACTTTTTCACATTTCCTTTTTCTTTCTGCACTATCCAAATATGAGCAGAATAGTGCTTCATAGGCAGTAATCGGTGTTAGGTTTGTGTGTGTGTGTGTGTGTGTGTGTGTGTGTGTGTGTGGTGGTTTTGGTTGTTTTTCAGTGTGGGTGGAAACAGTTGTCACATGGGCTTTGGATTTGGGGGGAAAGCTCTCTAATGCACTCTGATGCTACATGGTATGCTGCCTTGAAGGCTGAAATACCAAGCAAGCAGCCCATGTTACTCTCTTCTTGCCCCACTATTTTTAAAAAGTACAAACTTCTCAGTAATTTGAAAAATTGGGGAGAAAAATAGTGGATTAGATTTAGATAGAATATTTATATTGGAGATAAGGGAGTGCTCTCTCTGTGTGTGTGTGTGGCTGCCGTCTTGATAACACAACACACAAGTTGTAATTAGCTTGAAGATTTATTGCAATACAAACAATTAGTCTTGGACATCTAACCAAGCATCCATGCCGGCCCTTCTAAGGAGTGCTTCCTGGTTCTGCAGAATATGCTGAACCTATTACCTTTCTCATAAGTCTACTCCTTGGGCTCAGGGGATTGCTTGCTTGAGCGGGCTGATTTCTCTCCCTCCCACTCTCTCCTGACACCTTATCTACATTCCATTCTGTGTCAGGCGAGGCGGAGGGGGAGGGGCACTGCTCACAGCTGTCCGACTGCTTCCAAACTCATGCTGTGTTTCTATACTTGGGGCAGATAGATGTGCTCATGACATCCTGGATCAGCAGTGCACTGCAGCTCACAAAGTCAGAACTCTGATTCTCAAGTGCCTTACAGAACCATAGTTACACCTGCATTACTGAAGACTCAAAACTGGCTTCAAATTAATCCTGAAAGTCCCTTCTTGAGACAATGTCGAAGGTAGTTTCTGCTTCAATTTGAAGCAGTGTTTTGATGTGTGTGTTACTCTGATTTTCCTCTAGACTCAAACAGAGAAGGGAATGCCTGATTTGTTTGACAGTACCTCTGGCTCATTTTGAAAGGGGTGTTTTGTTTTGTTTTGTTTTGTTCTTTGCTTTGCTTCCCTGGTGGAGAAGGAATTGTTGCCCAGGTGTTGTTCACATTCCCGTTTATTGTGCACCTGCTGCATTTCCTGTGCTGAGATTTTAATCCATGATCATACATTATCCAAAACGCATATGCATCCTGTTCATGTTTGATGTGTTGTTTGTCAAACCAGCTTCACATTGGAGTGCTTTAGATGATCCTAATTTGTCTCCAGCCAACTTGTGAACCCCTTTGCAGAATCCTAATTTTTAGCTGGGGGTGGCCCTACATGGGTGAACTGTCAATCTGAGGATACACAGAACTGGGGCTCTCCACTTCAAACCCCAAACCTACAACTCTGTTTCGCTTAACTTATTATTATTTATTAAACTTGTGTGCTGCCCTTCATCCAAAGATCACAGGGTGATTCACAACATATACAAAATGAAAACACAAAATACATAAAAAGACCCAAAGAAACCATTAACACCTCATCCCACAAACACATTTAAAAGGCTATAGAATGTGTAATCAGCCAAAGGCCTGGTTACAGAGAAACATTTTCACCTAGCACTTAAAGATATGCAGTGAAGACGCAAGGCAAGCCTCCCTGGGGAGATCAGGCAGGGATTTTCTCATGTTGCTACCCTCTAGAACTCTCTCGTGGAGGGCCTCTATGATGATCACGGGGTCCAGGTCAGTTCATATGGGGAGAGATGGTCCTTGAGGTACTGCAGTCCTGAGCCATTTAAGGCTTTATAGGTCAAAAACCAGCATTTTTAATTGCACCCAGAAACTTGCAGTCAGTGCAGCTGGACTAGGATCAATGTTATATGCTCAAACTGTCTTGTCCTGGTGAGCCACCTGGCTGCCAAATTCTGCACCACTTGAGGCTGCCAAACATTCTTCAGAGGCAGCCCCACATATTATGTGAAGCAGTAATGTAACCTAGAGGTTACCAGAACAAAGAATATAGAAGTTAGGCTATTTCTGTCCAGATACTGGTGCAGCTGGGCCACCACACAAAGCTGATGGAAGGCACTCCACACCACCGAGGCCACCTGCACCTCAAGCGACAGCAGTGGATCCAGAAGGATCCCCAAACTACATACCCGTTCCTCCAGAGGGAGTGTTACCCCATCAACAGCAAGCCACCTCCCATCCATCCGGTCTAGGGTACCGCCTACTAACAGTGTCTTGTGTCTCAATCTTGATCTGGACTGAGCTTCAATTTCTTCGCTATCATCTGCTTCAAGACAACGATCCAGAACAAACCATTAACAGGCATCTACTTAATTTCTGTCATCATTTCAGAAACATCATGAAATAAATCAATACAGTGAATATGGTGCACATTTTATTCTATTTACAGCACATTTGTTATAAATATAATACATTTCTCGAAAAGCTTAATTAACTGGTAATTTAAACAGATCATCTGAATTGTTATAGTTACATAATAAAGTGGATGTGTTTACATGACAAACTTTAATGGTTGTGAAATAGTGCATTTTGTACTGAGATGAATGAGAACATATCTAAACTGGGGTTTTCTGTTTTTAAAGGATATTAAGTGGAGTTATATGCAGTTTGCAAAGAGGACTGGCTATCAGAATATGAAAGAAATCCCAATTTCACTTTTTAAAAAGTGGAAAATGAAAAACTGGGTAGGATTTATTTTTGTATCTTATTGAACTTCACAGAAATGTTATGAAAAAATGGTTCATGAACAAACAAACAAATAAAAATGCCAGCAGGGGTCTGTGCCCTAAATTGCTTCCTAATGCAGCCACAAATATTAACACAGGTTTTAACAGCAGTATGGCTGCATTTGACAGGGTCTAAAGTATACAGGAGTTTCCAATTCTGTTACGAAGAGGATGATACCCAATTAAGTTACATGGAGTAGACCCACAGAAATTAAGTCAATTGATTTCATTGGGTTTGTTCTGAGCATGACTAACATTGGATATCACCAGTAATGTTGCGTATTTCCACTTAATTTATGGAATACTTTTTTAAAAATAAATGTTCTGTCAAGTTAATGTACCAGGCATTATGAAACAGAAGGAGACAAGTACTTGTAATAGTTTGGAATTTTATCTACACTATTTTAACAGTTCATATGCCAAGGTTGCAGGTTAAAAGTAATGAAGTAAGTAACAGTACTCAAAACACTTCTTTTCTTTTTGGTTTTAAATAAACCTGCAGCAAGTCAAACATTGCCAATGATGATCAGTGCTGGCATCGAGTTCTGCTGACTTGTTTCAAACAAAGTAACCTGGTCCGAAAGCTTGGCAAAAACTCGTGGGGTTCCAAGATTATAAACTCCTGTGTGGACGAAACAGGCCTTTAACTGCAGGCTGGATACTTCCTGGCTTTTCAGCTGAAGCTTGTATTGTGTTTGCCCAAGCCAAGTAAATGAACCATGGATTTCAAGTGTTTCTGGACTGGAAAAGAGAAAACATGTCATATTCTTCGGCTCATGCCCCAAAGTGTTAGTATAAACCTATGAGTAACTTAGCCAAAGTGACAGTGATTCAATAACTTAATCAAAGCATACTGGGATATAATAAAACCAGTTATATTTATACTAGCTTTTTGCTTATTTATCCAAACCACAAGGAATTTCAGTTTAATGCATTCCAAAGTTTGCAGCCTATTATTACTATTTCAATTCTTACCCACCTTTCACCACAAGGTTCCAGGGCAGGTTCCAGAAGTTTAAAAAGCAACACTGAAATTTCCGAGTAGTTTTCAAGAGTAGTCCCACACAGAGTGAATGGCAAAAATCTAGTCTGGAAGTTACCAGAGCGTGGAGTTGTCATTTCTGTCCAAAAGGTGTTGTATTTCATGAACCCGCTAAAGATGGAAATAGACATTCCTAGCTACCGTATTTTTCGCCCTATAGGACGCACCGTCCCATAAGGCGCACCTAGTTTTTGGGGAGGGAAATAAAGGGAAAAAATTTATTTCCCCCCCAGGCGCAGGGCTGGGGTGGGGGAAGCCCGAGCTTCCCCCGACCCCAGCCCCCAGAACAGGCAACTCTCCGCAAGCAGTGGGAGCCCAGCGCAGGGCTCCCTCGCCTTGCGGAGAGGTGCGCGAAGTCTGGGCGCGCTGGGCTCAGCGCGCCCAGCCTTCGGCATGCAGGCAACTCTCAGCAAGCAGCGGGAGCCCGGCGCGGGCTCCCACGGCTTGTGGAGATCTGCGTGAAGCCTGGCGAGCAAGAGGGGTCGGTGCGCACCAACACCTCTCGCTCTCCAGGCTTCAGCGAAAGCCTGCATTCGCCCCATAGGACGCACACACATTTCCCCTTCACATTTGGAGGGGGGAAAGTGTGTCCTATGGGGCGAAAAATACGGTACCTAAGTTTCCAGTGATGACGCTGGATACCCCCAACCTACAAATCTGCTATTCCAAGGGAAATACAGCCCCATCTAGTTCCACCTCCTAAACTTGGGAACTTGAACACATCAGTAGTTTTCATTTGTTGGCCAACATCCAGTACATCACTGCCTCCAAGCACCAGTCCTGGACTTCAGCCCCCTCTCCTAATTCAGTTGGAACAGAACTATAGAGTTGGGTATCATCTGCAGACTGGTGACACTTCACTTAATATCTCCTTATGACAGCCCCCAGTGGCTACAGAGAGTTGTGAAATATCATGGGGGACAAGGCTGAACCCTGCAGGACCCCACAGGGAAACTCCAATGGTGTTGAGCCGTGCCCCCCACCCCAACTACTTTCTGGAAATGGTCTGGGAGGTAGGAGAAGAAGCACTGAAGTACACTGCTCCAAACCCCACCTTCCCAAAAGGATACTGTGGTCAATGATATCTAAGGCCACCAAGAACTCAAGGAGAACATGTATTTCCTTACTCAATTCAAGGAGCATTACAGTCGGCAACCATTTAATGGGGGGGTTCCGTTCCTGGCCCCTGCATGCATCAGCAGAGCACATATAAATGTGCCCTGCCCCCCTTTTTAGTGACATTTTCTGCCACTTTCAGGTTCAGCGCTGTGCACACAAGCACAATAGCATAATCGGTTGCCATCTATACTACAAACAACGCACAACCTTTTTTTATGTTATGAATTTGGTAAGGGAAAAAAATAGGGAGGGAAGTTTAGGTGCATGAAATAATATTTATGCCCAACATGTTTCAGAACAAATTCTTACTCAGAGACATGTTTTAGCAGCAATTCTTAAATGCAAGAGACCCTCCAAGCAAAGATTTATTCTAATATGTGTTGGGCTTGGAATAAATCTCATTTTAAACACTTGCGAGTTCCCTCCTCCCCTTTTCCTGCCAGTGTTGCTTTCCCAGTTTTGTGGTTGAATTTTGCAACATTTATAATTGCTAAGTGAAACATCAACAGTGTCCAATATGTGGAAACATATTCTGGAACTGTACTGATGTCACTGTGTGTGTGCATGTGTCTGCATGTTAGAGAACCAAAGGAAATAATATGAGGAGTAAAACCAGACACATCTCCCCCAACAGATTATGAATGTCAGAGTCAACAAACTGGATTGACTTTCCTCACAATAATATTTCAGAGTAGGATCTAACAAGGAATCCTCTGAACCACTCCTACATAACACAAAATTATAAATTGGAAAAACATGCGAAGTACTTAGTTACTTACTAATTTATTACACTGTTATCCGCCCCCCCCCCCCAAGGTCTGGGCTGCAAACATGATTCCCAACTCTTTTTATCCAAAGTTTGTGATGAGAGATACTGGCTGAAAGATACTGCTTGCAACAATATCACCCAGGAAGCTTTGCAAGTGAGTAGAGATTTGAAACTGTTGAGCTGAAATTTTAGATAACATTTCTCCTTCATCATTTGTAACCTTTCCACTGCCTTCAATAAACCTTTAGATTGAAGTAAGTGGTTCATACACAGAGAGGAGGTTTCCCTTTTAATTAAGATATGTTGTCTAGAGGTGAATATCTAAATTTGATTTGCTTCATTAATATAAAATTTAGCTTTAGAATATTACCTTGTTGTTTTATGTCGCAAGTCAATGATCACATCAACATCGGCCTGAGAGCAATTTGAAAGTAGAAGAGTGACTGGTACTATACAAAGGCTACAAAAGAAAAGTCTCATTAGAAGCTTTGTTCTGATACTTCTGACTTTGAAAAACACAACTACACAACACAATATGCACCTTTATTAACAAGAATGAAAAATCAGCCAGAGGCCAAACCCTTCAGTTATAATTCCAAAATAAATCACCATCTTAGCTATGTTACCTGTGTTTGTTCACAAACATCTTTCAATTACAAGGTCTCTGGAGCAGGGATTGTCCACTGATGGCAGAATTATCTATAGCACATTATGCTCTTGTGCCAAAATGCTCAGGCAACCTATCAACATGTGGGGCTACTTTTGACTTATCCACAGTTCTTAATAAAGAAAGGAATCATTATTCTTCAGCTAGATGGGAAATTATAATAAAGCTGCTCTGCAACAGCCTCCATTCTCCTTTCTGGGTTCAAATGCAAAGTGACAACATGAGGCTAGAAACAAGTGTTTAACCAAAGAGAATGCAGCACTCTGAAGCAGAGGCTGCTGTACCCTTCTTTGCTGAACTAGACACATGACCATATCTCCACCCCCACCTTACATGGGGTGTTAAAACACAATAAGAGAAGGCAACATTCTGAATGAGGTTGTTCTTAGTTTATGTTGGCTGAAGTTTTGATTAAAAAAATTGATCTTTAGCATGAGAAACTCCCATGGTTCTTTCAGCTCTTGAATTTATTCAAAATTTGAGAATGCAAAGGAAGGAAGCCTAACTCCAGATCTAATTCAATGAGTTAGTTAGGATGTGGTGGATCTTCAGCTTAGCCAGAAGGACCAACAGAATTTACACCAGTATAAGTCCTGAAAATGGGCATCCTGGGGGAGCGGTGGGGGCAGGGTCGACTTATTGTGGATCCTTACACCATTCAGCTTGATCATGTGACCTAGCAACCCAGCAGAATTTATGTCAGCAAAAAAGAGTTACACCAGCTTCCCATACTCAAGATCCCTCCCAAATACTCCGCTTCAAAAGAGGCCTTTGTGATATTATTTAACAGTGATGAAAAATAGCCTTTAAATTTTAAATAACTATTAAAATTAAAGGCTAACTATTACAATGGTCATTTCTTTTTGTTCTTTGTAGTTCAGTGTTGCACTGCATAGTTCTTCCACTGAAGACTACCTGCATCACATTCAACAATATCTAAATTCCTTAAATTAGAACAAAGAAGCATTCAAACCTTTTTTGATGAAATGGGTGGTTATAGGTTTCTGGATAATGAAGACTAGTTTTAATAAGGCTGGAAAACTGATCCAGAGATGGCCTAGCAGGTACCGATGTGTTTTCTGGCCGAAAAAAATTGAAGAGCCCTATCTCTGATGACTCCTGGAATACAAGTGTTAAATACGCAAAGTCGTATAAAATCAAGAAGAACTCAATCCCGCATATGAGAAATACATAAGAGATCTTATTCAAATCATGTAAGAGGAAAAAAACTGTTCATTGATTCTTTCTTTAAAACAAATGCAGAAGAAATGTCCAATACGATCAAACTTCTGCAGGAGATGGAACAACCAAGAGGGCCCCCTCTGCTGATCTTAACACCCAAGAGGAACCATAGGGAAGGAGGCAATCTTTCAGTTATTTGGAGCCTAAGTCATTCAGGGCTTTAAACACTAGCATGAGCAACTTGAATTGGACCCAGAAACAAAGTGGCAATGTGTATGCTTAAGAAAAGTGGTTAGATGATGATAATAATAATAATAATTTATTTATTTATTTATTTATTTATTTATTTATTTATACCCCGCCCATCTGGCTGAGTTTCCCCAGCCACTCTGGGCGGCTCCCAATCGAGTGTTAAAAACAATACAGCATTAAATATTAAAAACTTCCCTAAACAGGGCTGCCTTCAGATGTCTTTTAAAGATAGGATAGCTGCTTATTTCCTTCACATCTGAAGGCAGGGCGTTCCACAGGGTGGGAGCCACTACTGAGAAGGCCCTCTGTCTGGTTCCCTGTAACCTCACTTCTCGCAATGAGGGAACTGCCAGAAGGCCCTCGGCGCTGGATCTCAGTGTCCGGGCTGAACGATGAAGGTGGAGATGCTCCTTCAGGTATACTGGGCCAAGGCTGTTTAGAGCTTTAAAGGTCAGCACCAGCACTTTGAATTGGGCTCAGAAACGTACTGGGAGCCAATGCAGATCTCTCAGGACCAGTGTTATGTGGTACCGGCGGCCACTCCCAGTCACCAGTCTAGCTGCCGCATTCTGGATTAATTGCCGTTTCTGGGTCACCTTCAAAGGCAGCCCCACATAGAGCGCATTGCAGTAGTCCAAGATGAGTTCTAAAGGCAACCCTACCCACAGTTTCCAAGTTATCTACAAGCGCTTCCCTGCATAGGATACATTGCAATAATCATCCAATCTGGAAGTTACCAGAGCATAGAGTACCATGGCCAAACTATCTCTGTCCAAAATGAGCCACAGCAGGCAAAACAGGCAGGGCTGGAAATGGGCACTCCTCACCACTGAGACCACCTGGGCCTCAAGTGACGGCACTGGATCCAGGACTACCCCACAAGCTCCAAACTTGTTCCTTCCAGAGGACTGCAACCGTGTCCATTATGGGCTCTCTTCATACTTCCTGGACTCAAAACACCTAATAACTTTGTCTTTTCAGTGTCACCTTGTGAATGAAGGCCCAGGTGGTTTCAGTGGCTACAAGTGCTTTTTACCAGCTTGGGATGGTAAGACATCTATGACCCATTTTTGGACCGGGACAGCTTGACTACTGTTGTTCATGTGCTAGTAACCTCCAGAGAAAATTACTGATAGGCACTTTATGTGCCTTTGAGGTTAACCTGGAAGTTGCAGATAGTGGAGAATATGGCACCTCTACTGCTCACTGGGACAGATTATCGCCTGTGTTACACTGCCTCTTGAAGAATTGAACAGGCTACCGATAGTTAAGCTTTGTGGGGGGAAATGACACTATAGTTAAGCAAAAGAACAACCTAACCCCAAATACTTTTACTCAATTCTTATTAATCTGGTGTAGGGTCATTCTCTACATCACTTTATGCACAAATTGGGGAGGGGATGGGAAAAGAGCATATATAAATTTCCTACATGGAGAATAGAATTTTAAGAGCAGTGTGAGTGTCAAGCCTCCCAAGAATTTATTCAAAGGCAAGGAAGTCAAAAGCAGAGATCAAGCTATTTGTGGTGACACCCAGCTTGTTTGGTGAGGAGGGAGGATGAGGTAACAGCAGGTTATTAAAACAGATAACAGAAATGGTGACCATACAGCACTATAGAAATGTATCTTTCCCCTGGATTCCCATACCTGTTCCAAGTCTTCCCAGTCAGAATTCCCGAGTATTTTTTTAAAACCCTAAAAAAACAAAGGTATAAGAGCAAGATAATATATTCCACCATGCACAAATATGCTAATTAAAGTTAGTTCAAGATATTTTGCTAAGGGAAATCCTGGCTGGCCTTAATCGCGATTAATATGTGCACCAGGGAGGAAACATTTTCTGAGGTTGAGTCATGATCTATAGGTGGAAGGAAGTCATTATTATGTTTGCACTTGACTCAAAATAACTTTTATTTAGACATGCTTCAAGAAAACAGGTTGATACAATAGCCCATCTTCACATCCCCCCCATGCAGAACTCTAGTCCAACCTTCATTCCAAGCATTTGGCAGTATCTCAGTACTCCCACATTCATTGTGTTCTTAATAATGGAACTTCTAATATATACTATGTTATAGAATTCTGCCTGAGATCCATCTGGTCAAGGAGATTTCCTCCTCCCAAATATTTCTCAAAGTTCATCTATTAAAATGCTAGCAAGGCCGATTTTACACCTTAATAACTGTTGATATATACTATTGTTGTACTGTGTATTTTGGGGTCTATGGACTGCAATAAAGCTTGTATGTAAAAAAACAAACCCTTGCTTTTCTTAAAAACAAAAAAAAGTAATTCTTCCATGATACCTGCTTTTGAGGGAAAGAAAATGCCTCCTTCCCTACGGTATGAAGCACAACGTGATGCTGTCCTTCCAAAATGAGTTGCTTGTTATCCTCCACCACATATGCCTGTTTGAGGAAAAGGTTGAAAAAGATCACAACATAAATGAAATTGTAAGGTGTAAGTTGTAACAGGAATTTTCCAAATATTAACAGCTAAGAATGGACACAAATATGGACAAATATGGTTAAAATAATAACCTATTATAGATCTATTGTAAATTATATTGTTGAGTAGTGTTACCAGAGTATAGCCATCCCAATACTTTTATTTGGTTATTAAACACATTTATAAAGAACCCTTAAAATGACATATTTAAAAACATGTAGTTAAGTGGGCGGTTAGTGGAAACAGTTGAACTTCATCTCCAAATTGTTGAACTTCATCTCCAGACACATTCACCAGGGGCTGATAATGCTATCCTTTAGGAAGTGTTTTAAAATGGCCCCGGTCTCCTAGGTCTGTGTCAGTCAATAACATTAAGCAGCATCTCTACTGTTTTGTATGCTTAGGTTGTACTGATTTGCTTATCTGTGGAAATATTTTATACATACTTTCCAAAGTACAATGATGTTCAAATCCACCTCACTGCACTTCTGTATTAGTCTGACAGCATTGTCAGGAGATGGTTTTGCAGTTCCTTGTGATGTGTGCACACTTTGCTGTGATCGAGTTCTTTTTAAGTCAGAATATAAGCTTCGGAAAAAGAAATCCGCACATGGACTGGTTGAACTGATTATCTATGAAAAAAGGGAACAGAGGTGTTGTTCTTCAGAAATAGCCAGTAAAATATTTGTTTAAAAAACAGACTATAAACTGTAATCCAAGAGTGATGTGCATTCTTCAGAGGTTGCCTCTCAAATTATAATTCCACAGAAACCCTAAATGGTTCATCATGTTCCTCCAGTTCCAAAACAGTCTGGGGATTTACTGCAATAATTTCATTTAAAAAGGCAAATGGTACTACTGTATGTTTGTAATTGTGCACTCGCACACTGCACTTTTAAAAAGCAGTTCAGTTCAGCAGAGTTGTTCTCTGGCCAAGAAATATTTAGACATGCACATTGATTGTGGTCATCTTCTGCTTATGTCTAAAACTGTATATACAATGTGGAAGAGAGAATGTGATTGTACTTGAGTAATTATCACATGTTTTTAAAATGCCTTTAGGCACATTAGAGCTCCTGAGCTTTGTGAGTAACTACATAAAACATATCAATACTTTATTTTTACTTTTATTATTCAGTACATGGGTACTTGGACCATTGACTTTTCTGTGTTTTAGATTTAGCAAGGTTTCTTTTCCATCACCCAAGATCATTTATTGGAATAAATGCTTTGCTGATGTGGTTATATTACACCACTGTATAAACACATTAAAAAAATGACATGTATACCTGTTCACTTCCAAAAACGATATCTGCAAATGTATAATTTTCTACAAATGAAAAGGGAGAAAAATGTTAGCCCATAAAAATGAATGAAGATTTAATTATAGAAATATTATACTCCAAAAAACTGAATACTTACCTACTGAATGCTTGCATCTTACTGCTTTCAAGCACAGTTTTCCTTTCTCTCTGTTAGCCAGCTTAATATCTGATAGAAGGAATGACCAAATATGGATTGCTTCTTATGTCATATAAGTTTACACTTTAACATCATAACTGCTAAGCTCACATATTTTACACACAGCAGCATAATCACAAACTTGTGTGTGTGTCTCTCTGTGTGTGTTTTAGGGTAATACTATTATTATTCTTCAAGTACTTAACAAAAATTCTTCTTGTGCTTCTAAATCTTTTACTTGTGACATGTTACAATTTCTGGTCCAGAACTTTCCCACCACTTCCTAAGCACAACTGCTGTTCCCTTCCTCCCACCCCTACATTAAATAATGTCCTACAGACCCTCAGGAACAGTTTTTGGGGGTGCAGTGAGCTGCAGTCAAAAGGAAGCAGGAAAGTTCCATTTGATGAGCTGAACTTGCAGTTCTTAGGCTCCAAGCCTAAACATTTATACAAAACAGAATTTGAACTACCATATCTACTTCTGCAATTCACAAACCTTTGTCTTCAGACAGATTTATGGATTCCTGTAATTTCCAGTTCTTGCTGTTACTAGATACTTGTACTATGTGAAATTCTTTTACACCAGCTTCACTCTAATAAGCAAGCACCAAAAAGAGAGATAAGAGATGGAAATTTATTTAAGTCATATATTAGAAAATGTTCAATAACTTGATATTACTCAAAATATTTAGTATTTTTATTCATGCATCTTTCTGAAAAGGTTAGATCAGGACAATTCACAAAATGGTGCTTCCAGAACAGAAAAAGGACAGTGTAGGGACAAAAAAAACCTCCAGAAACATTCCATCAAATTTCGCCCACTAGTACTGGACAGCAATCTATGATTGTGGGGTGAGGAACATGTATGTACACAATCTAACATGCCAAACATGCACACAGAAAAATCAAATCTCAATGGCCTGCTTGCCATAAAAGGCCCTGTCAAGAAGCACTTTAAGCCGGTGTATACTTTAAGGATACCTAATTGTCCCTAATTCAACTCTGGCTGCATTTGCTCAATAAAATTTAATACACTGCAAGAGTTAGTAACTCAAGTAAAGTTTACATATAAAAAGAGAGAGTGTGAGTCGTGGCACCTGAAGATCTTCCAGATTTCATCATTCACATTTTCCACACCTATTTTAATCTGTCCACTGAAAAAACGAAATAAACGAAGCCCTGCTTAATCACATTATCTCCACCTGGCCAGGTTCATGCCTGGAGAGAGTCTAGAAGTGGGCCTTAAGGTTGTCAGCTTGTTCCTCTACTCCCTTCGTTGTGGATGAAAGAAAGCAACTCAATCAGAAGATCCTGCATTCATTTGAATGTGGAGATCTCTCTTAACACTGCAAGTTTAAACCCTCTGTATAGAGATTTTAATCTCAGAGGAACAAAGGCACAGAATCTCTTACATCTGGTTATTCACTTCCCTCCATAGCAAACCAAGTGAGGTACAGATATGGAGGCCCATTTGGCAGAAGCACACTCCAATCTCTCCCAAGCTAGACCCCTAGAGAGAAAATGATGTCTGAAGAGGTTCAGAACAGGCCAATTATTTTAATTATGCATAATGAAGCTGAATACTACAAAGTGACATTTTTAAATTTACCCTACCCTAGATACTGTTAGAAGTTAAACATCTGCATCGCCAAAGGTTCAATAGAACAGGGAATGATACTAAAATTACTTTATTCTGAACCAGGCGTAGGCAAACTCCGGCCCTACAGATGTTTGGGACTACAATTCCCATCATCCCTAGCTAACAGGACCAGTGGTCAGGGATGATGGGAACTGTAGTCTCAAAACATCTGGAGGGCCGCGTTTGCCTATGCCTGTTCTGAACTTTCAATCCAGTAAAATTAGTTTTTGAAAATTAGTTTTAAGAGACTATGCACAGATCTATAAATATATATTAAAAAGTCAAAGTTAGAGAAGACAAAGATAAGCAATGTGCTCTGAGCAAACTGAAGCTCCAGGGGAAGGAACAACAACTTCCTTTAAAGGTTCTACGACCCTGCCTTCAAGCAGGGGTGTGTGCATTCTTATCCCACCTGAGGATATCTTACACACTCCCAACATTTTCTTTGAGGACAGCAAGCTTCAGTTTAAAAATACAATCACTGTTGGACCGAGTTCTAAGCAGACTTACGGTATTGATATTTTCCACATCCACAAACACTAGCATATTGTCGCCATCACCTTTTTCATCCTCAAGAGCATTGCTTCGATATACGGTAGCTCGTACAGTCAGTGATCGACTGGTACAAATAACGGCAGTATGTCTCAATACTCTGTGACTGGAAAGAGAAAATATGTAACATTTCACCACCTTTGTATTTCCCTCACATGCACTTCAGCACCAGGAAGTTGTTCACTAACAATTAAGATGGTTTGCATTAAAAATGAGGGGAAATTCGCTCTGATGCATCTATATATCCACTGAAAGGAGCTTTGCATCAAGTTTCATTTCACTCTAAAAAGTTCCACATATCTGATGCCACCTGCCTTACTGGACTCCCTTCCTACTAATAGTAGGCAAGCAATAACCGTTTAGCTTCAGGTGCTTGCTTAATACTTGTTTAAAAAAATCACAGAGGCCTTCCCTGAACTGTGATCCCAGCGGTGTGTGCTGTTGATCATTGTGATTTACCCTTATTCTGAATTTTATATTATTTTATGGTATATTGTTTTTCTATGTGGTACACTGCTGTGTAGTCTGCCATTTTGTGACAAAATGGTATCCACTGGTATCCAAAAATAGACAAAAACCTACTCCATGGCCTCATGCCAAATGTAGCTGAGGTGTTTTAAGAGGTGTCCAAACGTGTAAGTGCATAGAATTCTTTTATTTCAAAATATATAGATTTTTATGTTTTCATTGTGAGTTTGCTTTATGACAACTTTAAAATGCTAATGATTAATATAATCAAACAGTTATTTGGTGGATTGCCATGTTATGTTTTGAAATGATTTGTCATTTTTGACTGCAACATTGTATTGATTTTCATTTTTGTTCTGTTGTGAGCCACTTTAAGCATATGTATATGGAAAAGCAGCATTAAAATTTAAATAATAAATAAATCCAGTTTTCCACGTAGTACATTCATCTGCGTGCTTAGAATTAAACCCAATGACAATACTCAGGTTCATCCAGAATCTGAAGACTATAAGCAGTCATTTGATTAAAAATGGTACAAATTTAATTAAGTATTGAATCTGTTCTACCCCAAAATTTTATAACCTACCCAGACATGTAATTTAAAGGAAGTACTGGCATTACACATTAAATGAATGAAAAGGATATAGGTTTCTGCCCATGCAAAAGTGTCTGCATATAACCAATTGAATGGGATTCAACATTACAGCCAATAATAAAACTGTTGTTATAAGCTAATAGGACACTCTGCAGAAAGATCTTCCAGGCTCACATCCTGCTGTTTGTGGAAGGACATGTCTGGATCCACCCCAACAAAACTCCACTTAACTCAGAAGTAAGGAAGATAGTTAAGCTTACCACATTTTTGAGTGTTTTCTAATACTTTCATAGTAAAACAAGAAGTTTATTTCATGGACACCTTCTTCATCTGGACCACGTAACCACATGGGAAGCTGTACTGAAGCTCCGGGGAGCAGTACAGAATCAGGAAGGGGGACATCTATCACTTCTGGCTGACATCCTGTTCCAACCCCAAAGTCTGAAGAATCAGCCGAGGACGTCAGCGAATATAGGGAGGTAGAATGCTTAACAACAGTCTTGTAAGCGCTACAGTGTTCAGATGCTGAAGGGCTTAGTGGTGTTAAAATAGCGCTACTGCCACCAAAGGTAAAGAATTCTGGCCGTTTAGAGACAACTTTCACTCCAGTCAGAGGACACTTGCCTACATTCATAAACTCTACATATGTCTTTCGGATTTCTCCACAAAGCAGCCCTGTAGGAAAATTTATAAAGAAGACCTGCATTGGAAGAGAAACATAGGAACACATTTTGACAAACTGACAAAGTTCATTATGGTAGGACTATCTTATTTGTCCATATTTATCAACAGAAATAAATTTTGCAGAATCAAGCCCACATAAAGGTGGTTTTCCAAATTCCATTTTCACCTTTACTAAAATTAACATGAGAAGAGTACCACCTAGAAAGTGACAAGCAATCAAAATAGATTTTCTTTTTCTCAGAAAGCTGTTATCAGCCAGCTTTAGAAAAAATACACATTTCAGTGCAATAAGTCTGGGGAAGAAGATGCATCATGCTCTTTTACAGTTTACATTCTTTTCCACTTTAACATTCTTTTACACTCTTTTACACTTGAATTAAATTTAACAGGGCTTCAAATTTCAACTCTATGCACTATAACTTAACAAGTTTAATCTGATACAGAGTAATAAAGGAAAAACTGGAAGAAACACCTATGCATTTCAAAAGCAGCTGTTACATATTTGACAATGTTGTCAATGATTAGCTGTACCTCTAGCAAAGGCATTTCCTCTGTAATGATAGGATCTAAACGTCGATCAGGTCCATATTTAATAGATGTTTTCTCTTCTTTTGTGCTATTCAAACGAGGGCCCTGTATTTCTAAATCTTGTCGACCCCGTACTGACATTCCATTAGAGATAAATTTTCCTGAAAAGAAAACCAACAGGATATTGAGGAACAACAAGTAAGCAGATGATAAAAATTTGAGCTGGTTTTTAAGATCACATTGAGTTGAGCTTACAATTGTTAAAAGTGAATTTGACACTGAAAGAAACCATCTTCATCATCATCCCTCCCCAAACAGGTTTAATGATGAAAATAAATATAGATAATGAAATTATTTTGTTGTCATAAAAGGTATGTGTGCCTGGCTGTTAAAATGATGAGGTTTTAATGTTAAACCTAACTTTACGACATGATCAACAGATTGGCTTGGATTCCATCTTGTATAAGCAGGTGGTGGCTAACACAACAAGGCTTTTACACCTCCTTCCCCTTATTACAGACCTCCACACAACATCCTGTGCCAGTCCTCAGAAGCAGCTTTTTATGGCAGCTGGAAGAGGGGGCAGGATAATCTCACTGCACAGCACCCTGCTGCTTGTACAAGTCCAGATCCAATGGAGCCATTGTTTTCTGGTGACTTTCTTGGTGGCATCCTTTTCATGTTACTTCTGGTAAAGGTGAAGTTGGAATTTGGAAAACCTTTTCTTTCACTAAGTAATATGGGAGTTCAACAGGCAACACTGCAGCAGTAAGAAAATCTCTTTCATGTGGAGCCACCTCATGATGTCAACACATATATTTACAGGTAGTATTTTATTGCCATGTTGGTAATAACACATAAATCCCAGTTTAGCACTATGCACACAATCCTTGGGATTGTATATTCCACCATCCCCTTTCCTGCACCGGTTTCATCGGTGAAAAGGAGATCAGAAGCACTTGCTGAGTTTCCAAATAAGTGTGATTTGTTATTTCTAAACCTAGACTGAAAACAAGTCAATTTGAAACTGCGATTAATAATTCTAATTGTTTCAATAAACCAGCGGTAATGCTAAAACCAGTTCCAGGATGGGCCATAAAGCACAGTTAGTTGAAAATGGAAGTGGATGCTTCTGAGCTACATCTTGTACACAGGAGTGCATGAGCCCACACTATGGTCTAGATATTACAAGGGAACCAGAACTCTAGCTTATCACTCTCATATGGCCTAGGGAAGTATCAAATTTGGTGTTAAGACTATGGTCTAGTCATGATAACAAATCATGAACTGAAATACCTATATCCCATTAGTAGTGGGCAAAACTGAAGGAACCAGCCCTATGGACCACATTCCATGTGTTACTAGACCCTGTGTTAGACATAAAAATACAACAGGCATACCTGTTTGCAGTACAACAGAAGGGTCTACTCCATCTAGCACTGAAGTACTCTGAATGGTGCCAAGATTGTAAACGACTCCCAGAATGTGTAGCTCCCCTGTTTGATGGGGAAAGAGCTTTAGTCTTGCCTGTGGAGATATGTTAAATTTTTGTTGTTGCTAGTGTAGTTATTTTACATTTAAACGCCATTTTAGTTAAACAAAAGCAAGCATCTACATTTACCATTCTAAGAAGCCATCTGCAAGATTAATACAATTTACATATTTCTACAGAAGTGTTTCAGAAAATAAATGCAACGTTGTAGCATAGGCAAACTATTTGCCATTGCTTTTCTTGTGTCTTTACAATTCTACAGAATACTTGTTCAAATATTGTTAAAGGGCTGCCCAGATGCCCCTTACATGGAAAAGAACATCCCCACTGCAATGCTTCTCTACTGCCAAGTACCATCTTAAATAATGTAAGCACTATTAAAGTAGGTATTAAATTCTAGTGAGTTATTTAAAACTGAAAAATAATCCCTCCCCCACAAAGTGCCTCACAAAAGGAATGTTTAAAAGCATTTTATGTCTAACTCCTTTTGTGAGGACCTGGAAAATATTTGCTTTGGGGGGGGGGGGGAGAAAATTAAGTACCCACCATTTTAGTTTCTTCACTGTTCATCAAAAACTCTGATATTACTTCAGCTCCAATCATATCTTTTCCAGATGTTTCCTAAAATAAATTATGAAAAAAATGTTCAATTAAGCACACCATTATTTCTCAGTAGCAAACTGTTCCCAATAGTGGTTCTAAGAACATTATATTTTAATGTATTTCAAGCTTCATAGTTTACAAAAACAAAAACCTAGTTATAGCTGGGGGGCAGGTATCCTATGTAATGGGTTTGACTGGACACAACGTTAAACCAAATTCTGCATTATGAGAAAGAGCCTGGTGCTCTCTGGGGTACTTATGTGCTCCCCGCTTCCTCCTCTGGTGTAGCCGTATGTTTGAAAACTTTTGCTTTCTTTTTAGATTAACCAAAGCTTCCTGTGTTGCCAAACCTATGACTAATATTATGTATCGTTAGTGGAAACAAGCCAACTTCAAACCATAATTTATAATGTTGGCTTGTTTTCACTAAGGTATAGGATTTGGATGACACAATAAACTACAGCTAATATAAAGTAGAAGCCTCCATTCTCCACTGCAAGATGGTGGGGAGTCTCAGTCTCAGTAATTTCAACCATAGTCATTCTCTCTCTAATAATTAGAAGGTAAATTTCCCTTTGATGAGGTGGGACTCTTAGTTCCAAGAGCAGAAACCAAGAGCAGAGGCCATGCATGATTCTAAACCTTGTCCTCTAAGAGGAGGGTGTGAAAAATCTCTGGGGGATTAAAAACTAAGTAGAATGAAAATCAACATATGAAAGCGTGCACTGATTTACTTTTCAATACAAAAGATTTTGAAAGATACAAATATTGCTAGTAGTGTATGAAGTCTTCTTAGAGGACTTGATTAAATCACTTACTACTTCCTTTGTTTCTCCATTATTCTTTGAATTGTAATCCTTTGGTTGAAATTTCCAAAGCAGTGATAAGTCGGTTAACAGAAGTGGAACTTTCAATGGATTTCTAAAAGCTACTTCCACAGTTATTGGCTCTATTAAAAAGAAAAGTCAATGTATGTATTTAGGGAGGTTATTCTTATAAGATGTGAGAATAAACCAAGGCATTCATAATTTAAAAGCTTATCATTGCAATCCTATTCCATAAGCAACTTTGCTGAAATAATATTAGTTTTATGTGCCATTTTTAAAAATGTGTACAAATTTATTACCTTCTACTACACCAAGTGGAAACCTAGAGTTATCTGAATATTTATTCAGACAATACTGTGTTGGCTGGAAATTAGAAAGTGCTGTGCCTTTGTTAGCTGCAGCCACAGCTTGCTCTTCAAGTTCCTTCCATTGATAGGAGAATTCAGAGTCATATTCTTGATCAAGGCTTATGTGTGTTGCTGCCTGTTTTTCGCCTAGTTGTGAATAATAATAAAAAATCACAATCACTTCAGTACACCAGAGAGTACCAAACAAAAAACTTTTTCTGGTTTTTATTACAAATGATGAATCAACTTTCAATTGGAAGACCATACAATTTTCTTAAAACGCCTGTGTCATACATGCATTTTCAAGAGATGGTATGTGTTGCTGGGAGAAGAACTCCAAAGGACTGGGGGAGACAGTGAGATTGAAATCCAGAACAATAAGTGGATAGGGACATGAACAAGCCAGTGGGAGGGGACCAAGGTTCACATATTGAACTAGCCAGCCCAAACTTTTGACTACAGAATCGTTAATCTTTTTTTTCTAACTTATGAACTAATTCTAAACTACAGTCATACATAGAAGGCTCAAAATAGGTTTAAAATCCAGTAGCAGCTGGTGTGAAGCAGCAGAGATGGAAACTGCTCTCCTGACATCAGTGTTGCTGAAGCTTACCAGGACGGGGTTGGGGTGGGTCATGGCTGTGTGGACACACAGATGGAGCCAAGCTTTAAGACAACTGCAACTCCTGACTGTAGTGTTTAGTGCAAGAACTGTTCTAACTCTTGGACTGACTGTTTATAGTTCAAACACATTAGGAGAATGAGCATGATTAGCATAGGAACTGCAGCAGAAAAACTAGCAGCAAAAGGAAAAAATGCCCAGGTACTATTTATTGTCTGGTGCTACCACAGTTAAAGCAGCTTACATGTGAAAGCATCCCAATCACAGCAACCAAAGGCAGCTCAGTTTTTCTGAATCTGTCCATTAGCAAGAACTCCCATTAATCTTAAATCTATTAAAGTGCATTTAGGTGAGGAAGGAAAATGCTGAAATCATTCACTTTCTATATATTTGAATAGCACAGAATTAGGCCTTAAAAAGCAACAGGAATTATTTATTTATTTCATAAAACTTATATACCACCTGATTGTAGGAAAAACCTCAAAGCAGTTTACAAAATGAGGAAGAAGGATGCTGATTTGGTAGAGTAGGTTGCAGCATTTCAGAATGTATTTTAATGCCCATCTAAACTTAAAAATAAAAATTCCTGAAAACAGAAAAAAAACCCCAGCACAACAGGAAAAGGGCTGGGCTTCAACTTTGCTCCCTGATGTGCTAGTTTACTGTTTGCAGGAAGTTTCTGATGCAGAGGTATATACAAAAGCAATATAATATCCAGGTGTAGTATGAAGTGGTACAGGCTAGTCTACCATCTCATTCTGTAGCATGTACACATCCAACCTTATGTTAAGGTATGCTATCCTAATGAACTCAAATGGCTTAAGAACAAATCCCCTTTTTTGTGCTAACCTTCTGATGGCCGTCTGTCATGTCCAAAAAACACTCGTGTTGCAGAACTATTAATATAAGGTAAAGGAAGTTGTGGTAACGGCCCATCAGGTGATAGCTGACTTACATTCTGCAAGAAAGAAAAGCAGAGCTTGGTCAACTTTTGGCAAGTAAAATTAGATATTGAGAATTGGAATATACAAAACTAAAGAAAGCAAGAAGCATTTAGGGGAGTGCAAAAAATAATATCTTGAAATTCCTCCAGTATAAAATGTATAAATAACTAAACAATAATTTATGAACCTGTGCGTCATTTTATAATTGCAATGGTACCATCCAAACAACAGCTTCCAATGTATCTCCTTTACTGTCTATTTATTTTCTTTTACTGAGGAATTTTTTTAATATAATTTTAAAGAAAGCTGCTAAAAGCAGCATGCTTTTATCATATTTTCAGCTAATATTTCATTTAACATAAATATACAAGAAGTCAACATTATGGATTACATAAGCAACAGAATGTACTAATGTACTTTGAATTGGTTTAGTATTAGCCATTCCTGACCCTGACTTTGTGCCTTGGCTTCATCATGCACTCATATTTATCAAGTTGCAGGAACGCTCATAATCTCCATTTTCTTGGGAGTCTTGTAGTAAATTGTTCTTCTTCACCACTTTTATTTCATCTTATGGGATATGTACTCTTATATCTTTAGATTAGGATTTTGAATGTGTTAGGAAATTGGGTTAAATGTACCCACAACTGTATATATAAACTATACCACCTTAATTAATTTGCAATTAAAAATCTCTTCATTATCTCTTTGTAATAAATATTTTACTTGGGGATTCAAAGGAAGCTTTTATGTTGGTGTTTATTTCTGAGGTTCAACTGCTTACAAAGATTTCCAGGGCAGCATATGACTGATACCTGCAAAAGGTCTGCCTCTCACATAAACATGTTTTAGGGGATGCAAATAAGGTGCACACACATGCAGATTCCAACAGACACATGTACTGCCATTCCCCATACAATATCATTTTAAATTTCCACTGTTTCAAGAAAAGGTTTACTAAAAAAAAGAAACTCTTTGACACACCAAAGTCCCATTCAATACATGAAATTAGTCATGCAGTGCTTTGAACCAGGACTAGCGTTTATAGCAATTTACAAGTTTTGAGTAGTGGGATAGAATTTAGAACATCATATTGTGTCCATACTAAATGACCATCTTTTTTGGAACAAACTGCTTAATGCAGAAGCTAGCTGACAGGCATCAGTGAGATGCTAGCCAGACGTGGCCCTACATAAAGTAACATGAGCTGTAAGCATTCAATATAGCATTTCTGTGTACGTCATTAGGTAAGGTTAACTTACATTTTAGGATCAAGCAGGGAAAAGTTAAAAGACAATTTGCAGAACACTGAGGTTAAAAACTGACATCTTACCCTATAAACATAAAGATATTCTCGGAGGAAGGCCCCTTGCTGAGCAGCACTTTGCTTGCTGTCATTGATCAAAATATGCCTGAAGGCAGATACGGCATTGTCAAGCTGCCGAAGTGTAAAAGACTGCCGACCAATAGTGAAATTTATATGATCTTCTGCAAGTGACCATCCTTTCCCTTTATAAACTTGCATGGCTTGACAGTAACATCGTAAAGCATGCTTCTTCTGAAAGATAAAAAGTGAAGCACGGTAAATACAATTCCACCTGCTGATATATTTAGAGCTAAAGAGTAAAAACCCAAAAAGTTCAAAAGGATATTTTATGTCAATATAAGAAGCCATTACCTTAAACAGCTTTCTGAGATTACTGAATACTGGGGAAAATAAGGGCAGGTCAACACAAGCCAACTGTGTCCCTAAACTGATAGTAAGGGTTGCATCAGCAGAATGGCTAGGAAAGCAATTTCCAATAATTTACCTTTCCCCTGTACCACTCCTAATCTGCTCTGAAGGGTTCCCCAATATCTAGCATAAGAATGGTCTTGGTAATTCAGTACAGAGTGCTAATCCCACCTGTGTCAAGGTAGCCAGCACTTGAGATACAACTACCTATGTTCTCTTCAGTAGATGGAATGGGAAACATTTCATTTCTGAGTTTCCCCTCTCAAGATGTAGAATAAAACTTTCCACTCAACTCAAGCAGTATTTAACAATGATAAAGTATTTCAAAGGTGCTAAAACGCTATCAAGAGAACTGGAAAATTACAGAATATGTACTTATTTCCTAACACAGAAAACTTACCTGCCCTGCTTTACTATACCTATGGCCAGCCAGTATCATATGAAAGGCAAATTTTCTAACCATAGGACTTTTCATATTTATAAAACAATGTGCAGCTTGCTCGAGCAACAGTGCACTCCGCAGATCTGAATCCTATTAAAAACAGTGAGTGATAAGAGACAAGTTACAATTACCCAGAAAGCACAGTGATGTCCATATTCTTAAATATAAATTCCCTATTACCAGAGAAGGCTCTGAAGTCTGAAACAATGCAAGGCTCTATAGTATTACTGATGCAGTGAATATATGCCAATTCTATAAATCTTCACTAGCCAACACTGAATACGTTGCATCCAAATTTCACTGCAAAGAGCTACAACAGTACTCTTGATGATTTATTTCTCAAGTAATCACAAACCATGTTTTCTGTACTGCATGTCAAAAAGTGAACTATTTTCTATTTCACTGTTTCTGCTTGACTTTTTAAAGATCAAAGTGAGCTGGTATAAAAAGGAAGTTTTATGGCCTTTGTCCTTGGTTCAGTACTTGTGATGCCTCAAACAAAGGAGCTGAATAAACCCTATGGAAAATGCTTGTAGAAACAATATAAAAATGATTCAAAACTTAAACGTTTTAAGAAGCTTCCTTCCACAGAGCTTGTTGCAAAAATGTAGTGTTCCTTCTAAGTCTCATTTACCAATAGTTCAGCAAATGAGGACTGTTCTCCAATGAGCACAACAGTGCTGTGATGTTCATGTTAGTATCCAGAACCACACACAATCATCAACATGAAAAAATTCTCTTACACTGGTATTTTAATCAATATCCAAATATCAAAACACAGTGGCATACAGATGAGTAAAAACAGATTTAACGCACTACCTAAACCTCCAGCTACTCAGGCTGACATTTCTAACACTCACCATTCCCATCCAAGCGCTCTGCTGCCATTTTTCAACAGAAAAATTAAAGAATAAGAATATAAGCTTTAACATATTTCAATTAAACAAAAAGCAAAAAAGACATGGAACAAGTATGGAATATTACAAGCTAACTTTGAGTTGTAATTCTGAAAGACTAAACAGGAGCTATGTAACCTTTTTAACTTAAAACTGAAACATCTCACATAACTTCAAAATGGTTTCAAAATAATTTCTGGGCAATTCTACAATGACACAGGAATAATTCCTCTTATTCAGTTACCTATACAAAGTAGCCTCACACAATCTTAACAGATCCCCAACAGGAAATAACTGTATTCACTATTGGTCTTTCTAATCTCATGTCTACTAGACGGGGGGGGGGGGGGGGGCTTTATATTGCATCTTGGAAGTTTTATACTTCATTTTAAGACTACTCTGCTGCTATCTAAAAGTGTGATTCTAAGAGACACAAGAAAATGTGAAGAGCAAAACTGTAGCTTAAAGTTTCTTCAATAGTTATACTATCCTACTTGAAAGCATGTGTGCTTCATAACCACAGATTGCAGCATACTGCAAACTATACATTTAACCTCCAGTCAACTTTCCTTCAAGAAAGGCTAGCAGAATGTTTAAAATGAGAGTTTATTCCAGCCTTCATCAACCTGGTGCTGCCCAGATGTTTCAGAGTGGAAGTCCAAAACATATTGAGGGCATCAGGCTGGCAAAGGTTCCTTATTTTGTGGTCATAACAAGAGTTCTGTGGGTTTCCCATAAATTAACAGGTGCAGAGGAGAAGCAGCAGAATAGTTTTATGCAATGGAATGCAAATAGTTAGAATCAACATCTGACATGATAATCTTTTTTCCCCAAGGGCCATTACAACTTTCTATCTAGAAAGCTCTATTTTATAATTTAGTTATTAGAAAAAGAAAGCCTGTCTCATTTCAAAGCACAAGACCAGCTAATAGAAATCTTCTTTACCTCACTGGTTAAACGTATCAGGAGAGCAGCTGCCTCGGAATATTTGCTTTGGCTTTTTAATACTTCAGCACTAAGCAGCACACATCTCTCTGCCAGCATCATGTTCCTAAAAGACATAAAATTTAAGCCCAGTTACATATATCTTATAATGCATGTTTCATCAGTGACGCTTGACAGATTAGTATATGAATGGCACATTTTAATTAAACAGAATTACCACGGTCCTTCCTTTACCAAAAGTGGTCTCACTGTTTGTGTTCAGGGCTAGAAGGACTAACTAGCACTGCAATATATAAGTTATATGGAGCATCTGCACAGGATTTCACCAGGCTTCTTCTTTGATAAGTTAATTATAAAACTTTTGAGTTCTTGTAGAACTAAATACATGATTAATTTTAGAGTATTTGGATTTTCCTCTGGTAGACCAAAAGTAACTTTGTTGCAGCTGGACTGTGCCTAGTCAACCAGAGCAATTTTATTCAAAAGCTGAACTACAACACCACCACCACCAGCACCCTATATTACTGGTATTACCCAGAGTAATCATGAATTACCCATTGAGGAATGAAAACAATATTCAGTAAGACTACAGTCTATCTTCTACCAGGAAGAACTGAAAATAAATAGCCAAGCTTACTTGCAAATATCCCTATATGTTTGAATTGCAGTATCCATGTAATGGGCAGGATACGGTCTAGGTGCTCCTGGCTGCAGAAAAGCAGATACTGCTGCCATTTCCTATAAAACAACAATTGGTCATTATCTACTATTTTTGCTACAAAGCTTTTATTACAAACAAACTGTATTTAAGTAAATTTCACATACACACACTATTATGATTCAACAGCATTTTGCAGCAGGGTGATTTGTGTTTTCACATATGCTTGTATAAAGTTTAAATGGTTCACACACAAAAAACCCCACAAATCTTCAAACCCTCAGAACCTACAAGATGATTCTACAAGGAAATAATGATGGATACTCAACAAGGATGCTCAGATTACCTTTAAAGTCACTTTGAAAAAACTGATTAAAATTGAGTCATTTTTGTTTTGATTTATTTAACCTGGGCTAGTAACAGTCACATGTAACCAAGATAGAAGGGAACGTGGGGAATTTGGAAGGGGCCATATGAAATCTGCATCCTGCTTCCTAAATTCTGGTTCCCTTCTCTGATTGTTCATTTTAATTGCACCATCTAAAATGCCAACAACCCCCTCCTCCAACTCTGGTCACATGCTACAGTTATATGCTTCTCTTTCACAACAGCAGATCAAATACTCTAAACCGTAGAAGGACTAAATAGCTCAGTTGGTAGAACATTAGACTCTTAATCTCAGGGTTATGGGAGCAGCTGCCAAGACCACATAATACCGGTCTTGAAAGACCTACATTGGCTCCCACTACATTTCCGAGCACAATTCAAAGTGATGGTGCTGACCTTTAAAGCCCTAAACGGCCTCGGCCTAGAATACCTGAAGGAGCATCTCCACCCCCATCGTTCTGCCCAGACACTGAGGGCCAGTGCCGAGGGCCTTCTGGTGGTTCCCTCGCTGTGAGAAGCCAAGTTACAGGGAACCAGGCAGAGGGCCTTCTCGGTAGTGGCACCCGCCCTGTGGAACGCCTTCCCACCAGATGTCAAAGAGAAAAACAACTACCAGACTTTTAGAAGACATCTTAAGGCAGCCCTGTTTAGGGAAGCTTTTGATGTTTAATAGACTATTGTATTTTAATATTTTGTTGGAAGCTGCCCAGAGTGGCTGGGGAAACCCAGCCAGATGGGCAGGGCAGGGTACAATAAATTCTTCTTCTTCTTCTTCTTCTTCTTCTTCAGGGTACAATAAATTCTTCTTCTTCTTCTTCTTCTTCTTCTTCTTCTTCTTCTTCTTCTTCTTCTTCTTCTTCTTCTTCTAGGCCCCACACTGGGCAAAAGATTGCTTCATGTGCAGGGGTGTGGACTATATGAACCTACTGGTCTCTTCCAACTCTACAGTTCTATGATTCTATGACACAGATGGTATGCAACATGACCAAAGGTGGGTAAATGCCAACACTACAAATCATCCACATACCCACCCAACCTGTTTGAATTAGAAACATAGGATATGAAGTATCATCTTGTTTCTGTGTGGGAAGGCAGTATGTCAGATAAATCTCCCTATTCTCTCCAATTCTAATTTGCCAGTTCTTTCCAAACCTCATTCCCCTTTGCCCCACCCCTGAAAAAAGTGATAAACACTGTTCTCACCAGATTTTAAAAAATGGCTTGGGATTGAATCAAGCACTACCTGTCTCTGGTCTTCAAGATAACTGAATCAAGGCACTACCTTACTCTGACATCAGCTATTACTAACAAATTAAAAGTCATGGATCTATTAAATTTAGGTCTTATAATTGGCTGGCAATAGATCTGAAATGTTTGACTTTCTGCAAATATGAGCATTGATTTCATATGAGTGTAGAGAATCCCTACTAGACAAGATTGAATAGGTCCATTTAGTTATACCAGTGGCCAACAAGATTCCCTGCCCAAAAACAGGACATGGAAGGCGAAAACATTCCCCTGCCACCATTTGCCTGTAACAATTGGTGTTCAAAGGCATACCGCTTGAATCATTAAACTGTAGAGTAGGAAGGGGCCATGAGTGTCATCTAATCCGCACCCCTGCAATGCAGGAATCTGAACCCACAACGCTGAGATTAAGAGCCTCTTGCTCTACCTACTAGGTTCACTATATCACTCATGGCTATTGGTGACTGATAGACCTCCCTTCTGGGAATCTGCATAATCCCTTTATGCTTGTGACAACAACTTTCAAAGTTTCTGGATAATATTTAGGAATTGTATACCATTCCAAAACAATCAATATTAATGAACTAACCAGTGCTCCTGCTGCATAAAGCATTGCTTGATCATTTAAAAAGTCTTTCTTTGCTGTATGGTAGCAATTGTATGCCAGTTCATAATGTTGCACCAAGAAACACAGATCTGCCATTTTCCTGATCTGAAGCTCTGGCGCTTCTGGAGGATACCTAAAAACGTAAGACATTATGAAAAACAAAATTTGAGGGAAACAGAACATACCGCATTCTTAATAACACAAGACTTAAACCAAGGTACAGATACTCCAACGTTGTGCTTCCCCGAATTACCAACCTCTGAATGCTCAAAAGAAGGGCACTAAAGTGACCACCATCCCTAGTTAGTATCTAGCAGCTGTTTCCAAACACATGGAATGGATGGATGGATTCCATGGATGCGGATGAATTCATCCCATGAACAAAATGAGAGACTCCATGGAAGAAGTCCTCCAGTGACAGGAAGCTCCTTCCAATCACAGAGCAAAAACTTTGGACCCAACTCAGTGACTAAAGGCAAATAGCGTAATTTTTGTAAAGTGTTAAACATCACCTTTAATTTCAACAGTAATCTGAAGGATGGAGTTTTTATAGGCATGCTCAAAAATACAATACAGATTTCCAATGTGGATTAAAATAGCAGGATTCTTGTCAACTTTTGTTGTTTTTTTAAAAATTGCAATAGTTGTACAAGTTAAAAAATGAATAGTTGTTAAATCAGCAGTCCCAGGGCATGTAGATGAACCACACCTACTTATTAAAATGCAGAAGTGTTATGCTTTATATCTAGAAGGCACGCAATGGAGGTAGTTAAGAACACGTATTTAACTGGTGTTACCAGTGTTAATCAATACCTTTTAAGACAATCTTCACACAACCATCACCACTAAAAACAAAAATTATAAGCCTAAGGTGGATGCAAGTTTTTAATCTTTGAACAAATTAGGATACAAACTTAATTGCCTGATGCGAAGGATCATATCTCAGTTTAATAAGCCAAGATGTGCACAGGCCTTCTGTCAATGCATGTAGCCCCTTTCTTCTTAGATGTGCTGCATCTAAATATGGAATTTTTGATTAAGCATAGTTACATCCAAACTTGGAAATTGTTGTCACCAGCTTCTAAAGAAGCCAGGATCTTAAACTACAGTTTGAAGCAAGTCTAATACCCTGATATATTCCAAGCCAGTAATCATAGTTTGTTGGTTCAGATATAATGAGAAACTATGGTTTACTGAAGACTTCCTAGTTTAATCTCAGTGTAAAGTTTATCCTCTGGTTTAATCTCAGAGGGACATGGTTCTGTGCTAACAGAAGGTCTATACACATTTGAGCTTACTAAGAAGAGCTATTATTGTCTGAATACAGCCAATGTGTGAATCAATGACAAGAGAAATCACAAGGAACATATGGAAATCAGCGAGGCAAAACCTAATAGAAATCAAGTACTTGACATTTTTATGGCGAGTAGATCTACTCACAACAAGCCAGAAGTGCTTTTTAGCTCATTTACACTTTTCTCTGGAACTTTGCTGCCACTAAACCATTTTTTGGTTGCAGAAAATAGTGAGCGACTCAGGCCTTTCCTGGATATCAACTGAAAAATAAAATGAAAATCTTATAGTATCACAGAATTGCAACATAGTTTATTATTTTATGAGCAAAGAATGTTACAAAGATTTTTAAACCAATTTAAAGACTGCTTCCCTTGCAAAATCAAGAATTGAAATGTTCAAGTGCACTTCTGATGTAGTCTTCAGAAAACAGCTTTTAATGTTTGTGTGTTGGTACGGGCACAATCTCCAAGTTCAATTAAAAGATCAGAAGAATGGTAACTATCACACAGTCCTTTCCCTCTCACATGCAAATTCATCCCACTATTCCTCAGACAGCCTTAAATATTACATCTGCACCACCCTTCACCAGGGTTAACAAAGCCAGTGTGGTGTAGTGGTTAGATCTCAGCAATGAAGTTCACTGGATGACTCTGGGTCAGTTAGTCTCTTAGCCTAACCTACCTCAGAGGGTTGTTGTGAGGATAAAATGGAGAGAAAGAAAACCATATAGGCCACATTGAGCTCCTTGGAGGAAAGGTGGGGTATAAAAGTGATGACTAAATAATAGAATCAGGTTTACCAATGTAAGTATGACCAGAAATTATGGAGTGAGAGGCTGGATTAGCATTCACCATGCTTGAAGCTAGTGCTGATGTAACCCTTCAACATGCTTCAGTCATTCAGGGGAATGGTGGAGAGAACTGGCACTGGAAATGGGAGGGACTGGGTGAAGGGAGCCGTAAATCTACATGAGGCTCTTCTGATCTCTTAATCAGGGTCAAGAGACCAGGAAATGTTACATTTCATAGCTACTGCTAAGGAAACGAAACTCTTTAGAATAAGCTTTGAATGTCATGCTCTACTCTATGGTTAAGGGTAAGTCTGCAAATGTGAACACAACTCTGAACCCATTTTGCACATGCACTGCAATAAAGCTTTAGTGAAACAACCAAGTGTTATTTTTGAAACAGAGATCTGAGCTGAATCAAAGGTTGTTGTTTTTTAGAAGTCAACACACATTTTCCCTAGTAGGAAATAAACACACAAACATTTTTTATTTATGTGGGTCTTACCTGTCCTCCAAAGGAACAAGATGGTGATTTTTCCTTTGAATGTGGTAAGATTTATGAAAAATTTCCTTTGAATATAAAATATTGAAAAGGATAGGTCTAATAAGGCTGTGTTTGCCATTTTTAAGGCACTATGCACTGCGACTGTTTCATGGTCCTAGTGCTAGAAGCCATTCATGGGCAATTGTAAAGAGAAAGCAGGTTTTGTAGAGTTAGACCCTCTATTATGAAGTTTTTAAATGTTATGAAAAGCTGCAAGGTATGTTCAGAGCTGTATAGATCACCCCAAAAAATGAAGTGTTGCACTTTTTAATACTGAAGCAGGCCTTCATCTAAATATAGCTTTATTCCTAGAGACAAGCTAAGATGATCAGAAGTTATCAATGTCTGTAGCACAGTGATGGAAAACCTCCAGCCCTGGCAAAATTTGGCCTGCCAAGCCTTTCCATTTGCCCTGTAAGTCCAGTTTCCAAAAACAATGCCTACTGCCCACAACTCATATCATATGTGATGCCATGTGCAAGGTAAAGAAGCAGAAAAGTATTACAGTGGTACCTTGGTTGTCCTACTTAATCCGTTCTGGGACTCCGTTCAACTCCCGGAACCATTCAAAAACCAAGGCACGGCTTCCGATTTGCTGCAGGAGCTTCCTGCAATCAATCGGAGGCCGCAGAAGCTGCGTTGGATGTTCAGTTTCCAAAGAAGGTTCGAAAACCGGAACACTTACTTCGGGGTTTTTGGCATTCAGGAGCCAAAACATACAAGTACCAAGGAGTTCGAGAACTAAAGTACGACTGTGTATGGTTCAGATGGGCACACCCAAACCCTGTAGAAAGCAGGCCTGAACTTTCCACTCATCAACCAATACTTAGGCTCTAGCTAACCACACCCAGACAGGCCAACCTTGGCAGGTAAGCAGGACCACCCATCCTCCCACCCATCAATCACATGGCATCATTACGAAATCAGAGGATTACAAGTGGGTGAGATCACCCGTCTGTCAAAGTTGGATCCTGGGTTACGGGAAGATAAAGACCCAGCCTGTCTGGACAAAAAAAGGTTCCCCACCTATGCTGTAGCAAAACACAGGAATTTTTCATCAGACAAGGCGTACTGGGCAGCAATGCTACAAAAATCCCTATTACTACAGAAAAAAATTAAGACGAATTCACAAATTAAAAACCTACCAGCGGGATCACTACCAACTACCTCAAACTGTCTTAATGGAAGAAACTAGAAACAACCAGATTAGGAAACAGGCTGAAGCAGATGTGTCCCAAGGAGCAGTGTCATTTGCAAACCCCAACCCTCATTACTAATTTAGCAATAAAGTTCTGGGATCTGTCTAAACAGGACAGATTTCTGCTGCTGCAGCAGTGGCACTAATTCCATTTTTTTAAAGTAACCCCAAATGGTACCATGGAGAAAGCATTCCACAAATGGCAAGCCACCGCAGAAAATGCTGTTTCTCATGTTGTCACACACACCCTGGACCTCTTGTGGAGGGGGAACACCAAGAAGGGTGTCAATATTATTATTGCAGAGTCTGGGTCAGTTCATATGGGGAGAGGTGGTCCTTGAAGTATTTAGCTTCAAGGCTCAACCTCTGAGTCTCAAGATGGTGATTTTAGAGTATCTGACAACCTCAGTCTTCCTGATTCCTTGATGCATGTGGAAAAAAATTATCCAAAAGCAGTTCTAAGCCTGACACAGGTCCCCTGAGACGGGAGAAGGAAAAGCAAATGACTCACATTCTGTCAGATGGGTTTGGGTTCCTACAAAAAATAACTCAGGGTGACAGATGATCCCCTCTGGAGGCCAGAAGCAAAAATGACAAATGATGGTCAGATCAGAAGCACCACCCAGAGCCACCAGACCAATAGGAGTAACACAAGGCTTTTCTGAAGAAAACACTCAGTTATTTTCCCCAACAGCCTGACTGGAACTGAAGCAAGGAGGGAGGGAGTATCAGGAGGGCATTAACTCCAGAAAACAGGCAGACCACTTTGTTGTAAGCAAGCATAGACGTTGACTACATGCCTGTTACATCTACTATAGATAAAACAGATTAAAGTGCATATCTTGCTGAGTTTATTTATCAGCTAGGCAAAAAGGCTTAGAGGGTGAATGACTTACCTGGTCATTAAGTTGCCTGATCGTTTTCTCTATATGTGGCAAAAGCCCTCTAAAGGTAAATTCCTGTATGAACTGTCGAATTCTATCATGATCTGTGAGTGTCAAACAGGTGCCATGAGGTGTCCATGTATTTGACTTCTTTGATTCATGCATGGATGAATTTGGTTTCACATAATCAGTGCCATCAAAACAACCACTCTCACTAGTGTGATCCAATTGAAGTGGATGACTCTTAAAATTATTTGATAAACCATCTACTGAAAAACAAAATATGTAAACAATTACCCATTTAAATAAGCTCTGATACTAGGGATTGGAATTTTAGCAAGATTTAACCAAGTGATTATGGGTTAATTGATATCCCACCTTTCTAAAATGTACTGAAAGTTACTATAGTTCAGAGTGGTCAATCCTCGGTATACAACATATTTTACAGCTACTATTACTCCATTCCAAATTAGACGAATAGTATTTTAATCAAATAATTATACCAATATGCAAAATAAAATATAAGTGTATGTTAGATTTTCCCAGTCTACATGGATACTATTTAATGACATTTTGCAATGGTTATGCCAAATTATAGTGCATAATATGAAAGTTTGCAAACAAATAATGTACCAACTTACAAGAGGAAAACAATAGAAAATGAAAAGGTATATCTAGCTGGCCACTATCTCTCATTTGACTAGCCTCCCTAGCCATTGGCCAACCTAATATGATTCACAGGAAGTCAGAGCTGTCATGACCTCAAAATATTGAAGGAAACATGCAAATTCTATTCATGGCATCTGAAGGTAACATGGAGATTCCAAGTAAGGGATAAAGTATAAACTTAGAATTCTGACAACTTGGAATTACAACTGGAAAGAGACTAAAGCCAGCTCTCAGCTGGGAGCCAGTGAAATGTCTCTGAGGGAAGCACCAAATCAAATAATAATAAACAAATGTGGTTTTTAAACCCATATATATGCATTATCAAACAACTAGAGAGACCAACAATTGCCAACATTATTATAGTCTCCAGAACAGGCATAGGCAAACTCGGCCCTCCAGATATTTTGAGACTACAATTCCCATCATTCCTGACCACTGGTCCTGTTAGCTAGGGATGATGGGAACTGTAATCCCAAAACATCTGGAGGGCCGAGTTTGCCTATGCCTGCTCCAGAAGTACCACCACCATTTAGGTAGGGCAGTCACATTGCTACTTTCTTCCTCACATTCCTACTCACATGTTCTTAAGCTCCCCTCCTCTCAAAGAAAATCAGAAATCTGAAATGGCACCATCTGCAAAGAACCCTATGGTGATACCAAAGATATATAAACTAGGAACTATATAACAGCATTAAAGGTAAAAGGTAGGTAAAGGTAAAGGACCACTGGATGGTTAAGTCCAGTCAAAGGTGACTATGGGGTGTGGCACTCATCTCACTTTTCAGGCTGAGGGAGCCAGTGTTTGTCCATACAGTAGACAGCTTTCCAGGTCATATGGCCAGCAAGACTAAACTGCTACTGGTGCACAGAGGACCGTGACAAGTGTCAGAGCGCATGGAAACACTGTTTACCTTCCTGCCACAGCAGTACCTATTTTATCCACTCAGACTTGTATGCTTTTGAACTGACAGGTTGGCAGGAGCTGGAACAGAGCAAAGGGAGCTCACCCCGTCATGCAGATTCGAACTGCCGACCTTCCCAAGAGGCTCAGTGGTTTAGACCACAGCGCCACCTGCATACTATAACAGCATGAAAGAATGGTTTGCCCTACAAAATAACTGAAGCAAACAAGTGTCATGTATTTGGTATTTATCATTTATTATGTGTTAATGAAACACATTTGGCAAAAGAGTGTATTTAAGGGAGTGTGGTAAATTGTGAGATCTACAGTACCTGAGGTAACTAAAATCTCAGGACATTCACTAATTCTATTTAGCTTAATTCTAAAATGCATGCATTTCTGAAGTTCCTTTGCATTTTTGTAATGCAACACAACAATATTTGCTTGTTTGCTCCACCTCTGCAATACATTCTTATAAGCTGGCTATGTTTCAACTAGGAGAGGTCTACAAATAAACTTCCCATGTAATAGCCTAGTGAACACAGCTTAGGAAGACAGAGGCTTATCTCTACAAATACAGTGAGCTTCAGAAACACTTCAAAAGGAGCTAGACTTTTACCAATGATTGTAGTCTTTTACTGTTTGCTTAACAACTCCAACAAGCTTTTATTTTATTTTTTAATGGCACCTGACTTGTAAGGTGGAAACCCTTGGTGGAAGGCTAGGGTCATACTAGGTGATCTGATCAGATCAATTTCAGGGGATGGAGAAAGTCACCAATCAGCTTCACTGTAGTGAAGTTTATAGGAAGAGTAAGATACTACTTGAATTATCACTGATACTGCAGCAAATACTTTTCAGCTAATCCTGGAGGAACAAGCATCCCTACATAAGCACTTGATACTTTTATGAAAACTCAAAACCACTTCATATATATTCTTAATAAGCCTTAGAATAATTATGCAAAGTCTGCTAGTATTGTTTCAAAAGGAGACTTAGACAGTGAGTTAGTAGTTTGTAGGTGGCCATCAAAAGAGCTCATAGGAGAACTGAGATTTGAGGTGGGGATTTGCAGCTCATATCCAGTGCTTTTTTTCTAAAAAAAGTTTAGGGATATGCTCATTTTCCTACTAATATTGAAATACTATCCCTCAATGAGGCCAAACTTAGATTCAAAAAAATGTTTAGGGGCATGCGTACACCTGCATCCCCCAAGAAAAAAAACTTCTCATATTACATAATTTTGATGGTAGCTGCCTTATTATACCATGATGAAATAAGGGCACGATCTGGCATGATTGAAATGGGACCTGCAGTTGCAGTATTCTGATAAACCACTGGTTTATTTTTATTTTTTAAACTAAGTTGCGATAAAAAGAAACATACCTTTGGAATCATTACCTAACCCATCCAGTGGTATAAAGTGATCAGAATTCTTATTTGAAATTACTGTATATGGGCCATCTTCAAAAGGTTCCTGTCAGGATAAAACATACAAAAAACAGTTTCAACTTTCTGAAAATATAACATATTTTACACTTCTAGAAATCACTAATTTCTTTCCAACAGAATGTTGCTTGGATACTACTGCAGAGTCTGCCCTGCACTCTCTAAGTTAAGCTGCAGTCTTCAGAGGCAGAAGGGGACATTGAATTTTCATCACCAGTGATGAGGTGAACTGCTAGTTTAGTCAGCTTATGTATGTTGAAAGGGGAAGTGCCTTTCACTTTTCCACTCACCTCAGGCAGCAAATTGTCCTGGGCTAGCTGTGTTGGAAGGTACCAGCCAGCAATCAATCATATTATAAAATAATGCCAAGAAAGAAAAAAAGAAGCTGAAACTTTAGACTTCAACTGGTATGTGGATCTGCTTTCTCAATCAGACATTTAAAAACTGTGACAAAATAATTTATTAAAGGAAATAAACAGACTCACATACAGCAAAAGGAGTGAAGCGACCCTTCAGTATAGTACAGAAAAAGTTTTAAGTAAAAAATTATACCTGGGTTTGGATAGTGTTTTTCTGAAGATATTGGCTCCAGGGATCAGGAATCTGTTCGTCTGCTCCTCGATTAGACCCACGAGAATTTATCTTAAGTAAATAGCACCCCTGAGTCCCATATCTCTGTTTCATTTCTTCATAAATTGAATCAGCCCTAAAGATTGTAAAGTATTGCACAATATTTTCAAACATCATCCTTTCTGACGGGTAATCCAACTTCACCTTTATTCCTGGCATGTTCACGTAGCCATAAGCCATAGACCATAGTTTACCAGGCACAAGCAAACTGCATCCACTCCTCCTCACTTGTACTGGGAAGAAACAAACTACAATTCCTAGCTCAGCATTACACTTGGCCAGTTTGTTCAACTGTAGTTTGGAGTGAAACAATCAAGGTGTAAAACTTAGCCTGGGGTTGTGATTTCTTTCCTCACAGTATCCATGCATGTTAAGTGCATGGTTTATGGCTTACTGTGGCATGTGAATGCAAACTAGTGTATACTGAATGAACAACTTTGCTTCAGCTCAACGTGCAAAGTTTCAGGAAGGAAACATTTCTCTTCATAACTACAGAAACTGAAAAGAGCAGCAATCAGTGTTGCACAGAACAATTTATATGAAGCATTCTTGACAAGAATCCCAGCAGTCAGGAAAAACTAGTGATCCATCAGGAAATATCCATCCCCAACTTAGAAGACTATTTGAAAAAAGATTAAGGATTGAATGAGAAAAAATTGCGAAAAAACAGAAACACTGTTGAAGTGACCAGAGATTTAAAGAGCTGAGGATACAGAAATAAGCAACTGCTGACAAGGAAGATTCTTCACAAGTCAATGCAGCCATATTAATTCCAATTTAACACAGGCAAGGGCTGAAAACAATGGCAAACAGAATTATAATAAAGTCCATCAGGAGAAATCTGAACAAGCAGAAGAGTATTCAGCATGGGTGGGTGGGTGGGTGGGTGTATGTGCGTGCAAAAAAATAATAATATTTCACCAGTTTATGTTTTATATTGTTACGGGCCAATTCTGGTCCTAGTGATTAACTGCCGACAACCATTTGAAAAGTCCAATTTCCTATTTTAAAAATGCACACATCCCAGTTGTACACAATGTTAGCAGAAAGTACTAAATAACAAACTTTTAGAGTGTTTTGCAATATCAAGCACTTGCATTTCCTGACTGCTTCATGGAAGAGCTCATGAATTATTTTGAAAAAGCACCATTCTTTATTCTAAAGGAAAAAACATGTATGACTTAGAACACAAAATCCTAAAAGAATTTCCTTAACATGAGCCCGAGGAATCACACTTTATCTAGGAATCCTCCATGACCAAAATATCTAATTTCACCTACTTACTTTAAAAGAATACAGCTCTCTCTTTTGGGTTATTTATAGCGGCATAGTCCTACAGGATTTATACTTGTTACAGCAAGTTATATTAGACACATAGTTTTTGTACACAAGAAGGAATTACACCTGTATGTCCAAGAACTGAGGATCATGGAATTATCTTAAACTACATAGACATTAGCAAGTTTAAAATCAGCATTTCAGAAATCTTATAAAGTGTCAGAGAAGCCACTTAGACAACCCTACTCACCTTTGTTCCTCTCCTAAACTCACATCATGCAACAACACGTAGTATTTGAGGGTGTTTGGAATGAACCATTTTGGATAAGAGTATTCATTACTATGTTGAATCTGATGCTGCTCTTGTGAAAGCTTTAAAAACTGTTCCACAGGTTCAGGTTCACTAGATGACACCACGAGCATACCTTAGTTGACATTAAGGATGAACCACAAGTTCACAAGTTAACCAAGAACTAGTTAATGCTTGGGTATTGTTCCAGTAACAACTTCAGTGCTTCTTTTAAACCTGTGCCTAAATTACATCTAAAGAAAAGTTACAAGTAAGTCACTTGTGATAAATCATCATCATCATCATCATCATCATCATCATCCACCTTTAGCAAGACAGGTGGCAGCTAACTGAAGATAAAATACTGTATAAAAATAATGTTGTATAAATGATGGGCTCATTGCAGTCTGTTTGCTATGCTACCATTAGCTAAATGACTGCAAGATTATTCTTTGATAAAGTACTAAAAGCTGGTCTGTACCCAAGAATCCTCACCCAGCCACAATCCTCATATTGCAAGCTGTGATTAAACCAGGAAGCCTCCAATTATGTTTACCAGCATCGGAACAAAGTTCAAACCAAGAATTAATATCCTGGCTTGTTCCAAAGCTGAAAACCAGAGTTTACCATTTCAGATAAAATGTGAAACCATAGTTAATTAAGGGCTTCCTGGTGTAATTGTGGCTCGTTCAAAGGGAGGTGCAAAGGGGTTCTGTACAAGCAAGAACACATAAAAATTGAGTAATTTAAGGTTCTGAATAATGCAGGTTTTTGCTGCAATTATTAGCAATTCAATATCAAACAATTCAAACACAAACAAAATGACCTTGAGCACCATATACTCCCAATTAATTCCGATAAAGATTTTGGAAAACAGAATTGTTTTATTGCAGTTTCCCGCTTTTTTAACAAGCTTCTTTACTAGCAGATGTAGGACAGAAGCATCTTATATACAACATACATTTATCTTTCTGTTCCAAAGGATACAGGCTACATAGTGGTTTAGGAATTCATGGTCTGATGATGGCATAGACTGAAGAAAGCTTTCTCGATAAGCCTCAAACCATGGAGTGGTAGCTGAAATAAATTAAAAAGATATCACAGAAACATTTAAAATGAAGAGACAAGCTACTCTGCTGTAAAAAAAAAAAAGTAGACAACTTAACTGCCAGCAGGAGAGGTCTTGGAAAAAGTTATCAAGCTTAACAGTAGTACTAATTAGTTATTGAGCACTTCTGCAGTATGATTTGGACAAAGATTAGAAGAAACTATTTTCAAGATTGCAATTCATAAAGAAAGGGAAGCTAATGAAGATTTCATTCATATGGTTCACAATATATCCCATGGCTGTACTGCAACATCAGAAAGATTTCGCCCCTCTGCTACTCCCATACAATTTGATTCATACTGCCATGCCTGTACAACTACAGCTTATCAGTAGTATAGTTTTGGGAATTTTTCATTTATTTGAACGAAAACAGAATTCACGCTAAAAAAGAAACACAATTTTGGGGTGTCCTGGGTTTTACTTTTTGAAATATGGCAACCCTATCTGTAAGTTACTCAGACGTCAGCTCCACTGAGTTCAATGAGATGTAGTCTGATGTTTGTAGTCTTAAGTGCGTGTATACATAATTTTTATTCAGTTTTCAAATAAACAGAAACAACTAAGACTAAGCGAGACATTGTAACATACAAAGGAGTTGAGGAAATGGCTGGGGAGAAAAAAGGGAAGGAGAGAATTAGGGAGGAGAGGTAACAGCAGGGCCCCAATACAAGATTCACTGATATTTTTTTAAGAACAGAATAATAAAATGTAAAATGGATTGGTGAATTGCATTACAATGCAAGTGTATATATGATTGCAGCCTACATTTTGTTAAGATTCTAAAATCAGTTATATCATTTTTTGCAATTCAAAATTACAAGTAAGCTCCACTTAAGAAACATGATCTAATGCTGAGATTATTCAGAGATCAAAATATATTAAACAAGAAGCAATATAGCTAACATACATTGATCTAACACTGGCAAAGGGAACCTCCAGGCTGCAGAACTCATTAGGCCCGCAAGGCTGTTTTTCCCAGATGCTAGGTATGGGTTTGGCAGGGTCACAACTGGTCATGTACATTCAATGTTACTAAAATCACATGTTCACCATAATGAAAATGGTTATAGGTATAGTATAATTCTAAATTTGAAAAACATAGAAGAGGAATTTGTTTTGTTGTCATGGTTGTGGTTAAATGAGCACATTTCAGGATTTCTTACCACCACAAATATAGTAACCAAGACTACTATTCCCTTATAGTAGACCCATTGTATAGATGTCATCTTTTTTTCTTTTTTTTTAAGACTGTAAATGCATTGCTTTCTTACAAATACCATTAGAAGATCACAGGCACCTCACATTCAAGTAAAGGCCCAATTCATTTGTTAAAGCATAACCCAGTATTTTAATATTTTAATTCTGGAACGTAAACACCACTTTTGTACCATTCAGCATAACCATCATCACTTCTTATATCCAAGACACAAAATATCAGAAAAAGAAGTCCTCCTATGACTTTCAAAAGTAATATTGTTAATCACTAAAGCATCATACTGCTCCTCATTCAAGAAAAGGTATTGTAGCGGTTTCTAATCTCAAAATTTGAATATATTTTACTTATATATTTATTATATTTATATACCACAATCATCTATAACTTATAAGCAGTTTATGTAGAATAAAGAATGCTTGTTAAAATATTGATCAAAGTAAGTTAAAAGCAAGTTTTTGTGTTTTTTAATTTGTTTTTCTGTTATATCTCGTCGTCAACACATACTATGTTACAGTCATACATAAAAATAAATAAATAAATACCATGGATATAGGTCATAAACATATGATAGTAATAATAACATAGCTACATTTTTCCAAGATTCTTTAAATCACATATATCTTGAGTTAAACTTCCCTTCCACTCTTTCCACGGTTTCCTATCTACTATGCTTTTAACTGTGTTTTCTTACTCTACTAAATTATTTTCATTACTTTACACCAGGCATGCCCAAAGTCCGTTTCAGGGGCCTAATCCAGCCCACCAGTCGGTTTAATCCGGCCCCTGTGGCAGTTTATTTCCTGGGGTAAAATCCTAAAAAAACAAACTCAACAAAAAGCCCAACAACTTCAATCCTAAAAAAAAATCTGGCCCTCTTTGAAAAGTTTGGACACCACTGCCTTACATAATCTCACATTATAACATCTACTGCTGAGTGTTTTTTTCAATCCGTTATGTTTATTTTCTTGTTATATTTTTCCATATAATCCCGATATAATATCCAATCCTCTTTCAATCTCTTAGCATCTTTATTTCTTAATCTATCTGTCATACTGGCTATTTCTAAGTATTCAAACATTTTGAGATGTCATTTTTCTCTTGATGGTTGTGTATCTGTTTTCCATTTTTGTGCAAATAGAATTCAAGCAGCTGTAGTCACACACATCCATAGGGTAATTCAGGGGGGGAGGGGTCTGTTGTTACTATTCCCAGAAGAAAAGCCTCTGGATTTTTGGTAAACATTCTTTTAAACATTTTCTTAAGTTCATTATACACTATTGTCCCAAAATTATTTTGTTCTCCTCCACAATCACCTGTTTAGGGAAGCTTTTAATGTTTGATGTATTACAGTATTTTAATATTTTTTGGAAGCCGCGCAGAGTGGCTGGGGAAGCCCAGCCAGACAGGTGGGGTATAAATAATAAATTATTATTATTATTGTTATTATTATTAATGATAGAATGTACCAACTGTATCTTGGCATTTCCAACATTTGTCACTTTTAGATCTAAATATTTTGGCTAGTCTGCTTGGCGTCAGATACCACCTGTGGATCATTTTTAAATAGATCTCTTTTAGCACGTAACATGCAGTAAATTTTAAATTTATTTTCCACAATTGCTCACATAGATTTAAATCAATATTGTGATCCACGTCTTGTGCCAACTGATCATGGATGATTTAACTAATTCTTCTTTCGTTTCCCACTCAAGTAATATTTTATATATTTTAGATAGGTTAGATCTTTGTACAGTGGTGCCCCGCAAGACGAATGCCTCGCAAGACGGAAAACCCGCTAGACGAAAGGGTTTTCCGTTTTTGAGTTGCTTCGCAGGACGAATTTCCCTATGGGCTTGCTTCGCAAGACGAAAATGTCTTGCGAGTCTTGAGATTTGTTTTCCGCTTTCCCCCCCTTTATCTAAGCCGCTAAGCCTTTAATAGCCTTTTAGCAGCTAAGCCGATAAGCCGATAAGCCTTTAATAGCCGCTAAACCGCTAATAGCGCTAATCCGTTAAGCCGCTAATAGGGTTGCTTCGCAAGACGAAAAAACCGCTAGACAAAGACACTCGCGGAACAGATTAATTTCGTCTTGCGAGGCACCACTGTATTTCTTTTTCAAATTGTGATGGTTGTTCTGTGAATCCCACTTTTTTGTCTGCCTTAAATTTGGAGTTAATTTGATAATAATTTAGCCAATTCAACACATAAATTCTTTAATCTCTTCTATTTTTTTTCCATTTTTAGTTCTCCTTCTGAGAAATCTAACAACTCATTGTAGGTACCCCACTTAACCCCCATGTTAATTTTTTTCCTTGTCTCTGCTTCTATCGGGGAAAATCACCTTGGTGTTTTGTTTTCCAATAAGGTTTCATATTTTTCCCCATACTCTAATTAAATTTTTCCTAATAACATGGTTAGAGAAACTTTTGTGTATTCCAGCTTTGCCGTACCAAATACCGTATTTTTTGCTCTATAAGACTCACTTTTTCCCTCAAAAAAAGTAAGGGGAAATGTGTGTGCGTCTTATGGAGCGAATGCAGGCTGCGCAGCTATCACAGAAGCCAGAACAGCAAGAGGGATTGCTGCTTTCACTGCGCAGCGATCCCTCTTGCTGTTCTGGCTTCTGAAATTCAGAATATTTTTTTTTCTTGTTTTCCTCCTCCAAAAACTAGGTGCGTCTTGTGGTCTGGTGTGTCTTATAGAGCGAAAAATACGGTACATGAATGCCAACCATGTCTGATGTCAGGTCCCTCTAAATCTAACAACTGTGTGTTTTCCAGCAGCACCCAATCTTTTATCCAAAATAGGCAGGCCACTTCAAAATACAACTCTAAGTCTGAGAGTGAGAAACCCCCTCTATCTTTTATATCAATAGGAATATTATATTTTATCCTGGGTTTCTTCCTCCATATAAATTTAGATAGGTATTTTTGCCATTCTTTTAGACAGTGTACATCATTAAGTACTGAGATCGTTTGGAACAGAAATAACATTTTTGGGAGGATATTCATTTTTATCACTGAGATTCTCACTATTAAAGAAGACCTAATAGCAAGAAATATAAAAAAGAGAAAAATCCTCTGCACATTCTGGATCTAACCAAAGTCTAAAATGAACTCAAATTCCTAGTGCCTGCTTCCTCCATCTGAGACATACTTAGAAAAGAGTGGAATTGCCAAACACATAATCAATTTAGGGAAGAGGAAACCAGCAGACTTCTCCCTTAGTTTCAGTACCAATGCTTCCTTCCATGCAAGTCCCTTTTTGCAGCCCAAGTGATTTGACAAGGGAGAAAAGAGTAACCACTGATGTCTCGAGCACTGTCAATTAAGTTTCTGTTTATCACACAATCACATTCAAGATTAATCATAACAGCCTTGTTAACAATGAAAAGAACTAACTTTTCCCAGGAATAATGTGCTGGGCAAATGCAATATGTCACAAACAGGAATGCTGTTGTAGTGAAAGACATCCAAATTCCATACAACAAATGAGTAACTATACATTTGTTAAGCTATAAACTACAAGACCCTAAAACAAAATATGATTAACAACAACAAGCCAGCTAAGAAAAATATGGTGGGTAGTGAACAGCAGCTTACAACTCATCTGAACACTACTATTATTTCCATAACAAAAAAGTTATTGTTTAAAAAAGGAAAAGGAGGCAAGCATTTCTGGAAAGTTAAGCAATTTAAAATTCAGCATGCTCAATCAAGTCAATAGAGAATGATTTTCTCTTCATTTTGATCTATGGAATAATCACAATTGGATTTAAAAGAAAAGATAAGATCTCAGCAGCCAACACCAATATTTATTTCTAGGAATGAAATCTATTCTAAGAAAAGTGTAGTAGGGTGGTAAGAAAAGATGGATGGGTTGCATAACAAAGGAATAGAAAGGACTATTTAGGAAACCCACACCAGTCACACAAAATACCTGAATAAAACGTGGATGTGTTCAGTCCCATCAGTGTGTCTTTCCAACTACTGTACCAAGGAACACTAGCTTTAACTGAGAGATCTGACAGAGAAAACATGGAAGTATTAAACTAAGCAGGTAGTTTGTATACATTTCATCTTCGTTCAGGTTTAGGAAGCCTCCTTCATATGCATGTGAAAATCTACTGGATACACGTAAACCCTTAAGCTTCCACTGACGTCTCTGGACATAGGACACTTTCAGAACCAAACATTAAAAATATAAAACCAAGAGCATTTTGTCTTGAGCATACTGCATCATGCTCATTCTCTCCAGAATTAGAATATTTTAAAGCTTCTGAGAAAGCAGGTGTATTTGACAGAATTTATTCAGTAACATTGAATATTTTAAGCATTTGTTATAGGGTAACTGTGCCTTACTAAGAACATAACTGGGTTTAAACATATGGGATGTGTACAGTATCAATCTACAACCGTTGCTTACTGAAAAAAACCCCAAAGTAGCATTTTTGTTTTGGGGCTTATTACAAAAAAGACTTATGCTTAGGGGTATTCACACACCCCTAAGTCTTCATCTTCTTCTTTAAATGCAGATATTGTTCGAAAGAGGAAATGGCATTTCATGGGGGTGGGGGGAGCAGGGAAAATCAGCCAGACGGAGAACATCACTTCAAACACACTTTTAAGGCAATCTCAGCACAATTATGAAAAAGAACTACCTAAACTATATTAACAATCTATATTAACTATATTTTTCTCCATTCAACAGGTACTGGTATCATCACTCATGGGAACACACACACATACACTCATCACAAGCCTGGCAACTCTAAAACTATACTTAATGATATGATAAAGTTGATAGTCTTTCCTTGGACTTTGTTATTTTAACTCATGTGCAATTTTATAGTTTTGTTTTTCATCTTTTAATTTTTGTCTGCTGCTATAATTGTTCTGTTTTTTATACATTATAAAATGAAACAATAATTTTTAAAAAAATTAACTGCAATACAGAAAATAATGTACTTGCAAAACCGAGACATACACCTAAGACAGACAACTGATTACCCAACTAACTATAGCAAGAGACAAGAGTTTTTCAGGAACAAATAATGAAACTTCTCACATGGTCAGTATTCATGCCTTTTGACATGTCCGAAGAATTTCCATTGGCCATGCATTTTTAAATATATTTAATACTCAGAGTAGGATACTTCAGACATGTCAAAGGGCATATAAAATGTTTTTGGGTTTTTTTTAAGTGTTTAAAATATTGGGTGTATTTTAAAATATACTATTCAAAAAGTCTGTTCACACCAGCTTTTCCCCCCTGAGAAATATCTCAGGAACACGAATTGTAGTTCACACCATATCCTCTAAGTGGAGAGTGACATATTAGTGCTCCAGTTCTGGGTTTTACTGGAGTCCTACTTTCAATAAAAGATCCTTTCTCTCCCTCTGTTGGGGTCTCTCCGTGATCTGTTCTTAGCCCCCTGCTATTCATTCTCAAGCTCAAGGCCAAATTCCATCACGACAGGCCTTCCAGAAGCTGCATGCCAGTGGTGGGTCCAAAGCCAAAGAACAACAAACTGTTACAATAGGCTATATTCCAGCCAAACAAAATCAGAGGTTTCACACACACACAAACACACATGCATCTCTCCATTTGGCAAGCAAGAGACATGATCACAGTTGTAGAACACATTCCAGCCGGGCAAAAACACTCAAAGAAAATGAGCAGCAGGGCTAGGGTGGGGGCATCCAGCATAGGCAAAGTCCTGACGGCCAGAAAGGAGCCTGGAGAGATACATTGGGCCAAAGTTCCCAATGCTGGCTCTATAGTCCTTTGGTAATCTCATCAATTTCTATGGCTATCAGTCCTATTTATATGCAGACGACACCCAACTCTCTCTCCCACCAGCAAGCTGTCCCTCCCCACTCCAATCCCATATCTCCAACTGCCTCTTTGATATTTCTCATTGAATGCTTTGTTATAGCCTCAAACTGTTTATGTTTAAAGACCAAACCTATTTTCCCCAAAGCCCTACTTCTTCTAGCCCTTCCTTTCTCACTGGCATTATTACCATCCAGTCACATTTTGATGCCTAGATCATCTATGTTCCTCATATTCAAACCATAGCTTTTCCCCTTGCAACACTGAAAAACTATAATCCTTTCCTTCTGCAAAAACGAAGTAGACTAGTCCTGACCTAGTTTGCTGCAATCTTCTCCTCTCTAGACTTTAATTGTCTCTCAGTCTCATCACATCTATCTAGTACTCTGCTGCCTATGTCATTTGCTCTGATCATGACAAAAGATGGTATATAAATTTAATAAATAAACAGATAAATAGATAAAACACTTCTTAAATCCTATGTCGGTTACCTCTCCACCCCTAGATCCAGTACAAGTTCCTTGTCCTTTTTTTCATGGCCTTGTCCACCCTCACACCCCATTACATCTTCTTTTTTATATCCCAACAGCCCTACCCATGATCTTTCCTTCTAAAGCTCCACCATTTTCTACCACCTGAAGGTCTCCTGCAGCCTCAAAACATGTTGCCCTTTCTCTCTCATGCTGCTCCATGTGCTTCAACAGCCTCCAAGAACATCTGTATGATGTTATATCTCCTTTCCTTCAAATTACACTTTTTCCATGAAGACTTTGGCATAAAGTGTTGGTAGATAAAGTGATAAAACACTTGCTTACACTTTCACAAGCCAGTGCAAGGACTTCCACTAACACAATGGGGTTTCCCACCCTCAAGAAAACCTGCTCTGAAGGGTCGTGAAAACCCCCAGAATAGCACATGAGAGGAGGAAATATAGTTCCATATGCAAGTAGAAATGTTTGCGCTGACAGAACAATTGTATTACAGTGGCACTGAATTCCATTCAAAGTTTCTTGGGTAGACTTGTCCTCATATACTCTGAAAGGTCATGCACACTGGTTACACAATATAAATAAACAAAGAAATAACAATTTTCTCTATGTTTCATTTGCTGCTTATACATACAGTATGATTACATAAAGACATGGGGTAATCTAGAAAAGTGATGCATGTACGGGAGATTTTCAAGCAGAAAGGTTCAGGTAATAAAATTATTTCCACGGAGCTTAATTTCTAGCTAGGTGTTTCTAGAAATACAGCCTTAAAGATAGCCTTTGCATGATTTTTGTCTTCAACTATCAAAATACTGACCATGCAAAAAACAAAAACTCAATAATTTTACTTAATCAGCAGTCAAGTGAATACACAGAACTAAACTTGAGTCATCTAAAGCAACTTACACACATTAACTGGATTTCAACATAGTACAAATAAAGAATGAGGATGTGTTGTATATGAACAGCCACAGACAGAGAGCTACAGCAATACAAGTGTAATAAAAATGAGAGGATGTATTTTAATTTGTACAGATTTCACTCCACACAAAAAGGAACAACTATGATCTGCTTTCACTTACCGTGCATGTTACAAATAGTATGAATAGGAAGGTTGCATTTCTAGAAATATGTTTATATTTTAGTTTTTTGGAACTTCACTTAACTCGCCACCCTTAATCCAGACACTATATAATAATGTTTTTTAGAAAACAATTTTTACTCCCATTAAGCAAAAAGCAGGGAACTTTTAGCTAATAGGAGTAAGAGCTAATGGGCAACATCCAATGGTACCAATCCACCAGCCAAACAAACTTCCACTCAAACAACAGGGCTTTCCCTTCCTCTCCTTCCCCACACCCGTTCCATAATCCCCTCCAAAAAATGTGCTCCAGTCTATTTGGGGGGAAAGGGAAGCACAGGGAGCTGTAAGGAGAAGGGGAAATCCCATTACAAGAGTAGATATCCACTTGCACAACTTTTCTACAGAAAAGTAGTACAGGTTTCAACACTTTTTCCATAAGTAATTATATCTAAGGGCAGAATTGTATGTTACCCTAGAGTTCTCAGCCCTTTCTTAACATACAGTAAAAAATTGTGGCCTGACATAAATGCATTCTGCACTTCCTGGACACTGTCAGTGATGTGGACTGAGGAATCTCATTACATAATATCACATAGGTATGCAGAAAGCTTACGCTGTCTTTTGAAGGGAGGGGCAGAAATCAGGCAAGTTGATCCTTTTATATCTATGGGGTGGAAGCCTCTCACAGAACCAGAACCCTTCCTCACTAGTGACAGCCACTTCACTTGGAGAAATGATGGGGACTGGGGTCTGCAGCTGCTTATTTGTCCATCTGCATTCTATGAGCCAGATGAATATGGATGAGAGGGCAGTAATGGTGAGAAGCAATAATGGGACAATGCTAACTCTGTTGACAGCACTAAGTATATGGCTAAATGTTACAGGGTGGGAAGGATAAAGCTCAACATTTTGGGCAACAACCATTTATCTTACAACATGTACCTCTGCCCTTCAAAGTAATTTGGCTGGGATTAACAATTCCAAAATTGAAAATAAGCAGCAATGGAGAGTGGGAATCAAAGTAGGAGCATTTCTAACACTGTCTGCTGCTTTTAAAAAACCCCAACTCCAACAGTATATATGGAATTTTATCAACATGGCAATAGGCAACAAAACTGAAGAATTCCCAAATTTCCTGCATATGCAGTATTGTATTTTTATCCTGAACAATTCCCAAACTGCCTATGTGTGCAGAACAGTACCTGTTATATTATATTGTATTTTTCTGTAGTAACTAATCACTGTGCAATATCAAGTTTTCAAAGCTGTAAGCTGTATGTCTCTCACTGGGAAAATATAAAACAAAACAAAATATAAAATCATTAACACATTTCAATGTCTTGTTACATACCACTAATGTTGAGATCATAATCTCCCGCAGTAATCACATTAGCTACTAATCCTTCAGCAGGCTGACTAACAGTCACAACATCATTCAGAAGCTTCCGAATGGCTCCTTGTTGAGGTGGCTGTGTAATAATGTTGTTGACAGCAATTTTCAAGTTTTTGATTATGTGAAGTTGGTTGTTGGGATCTCTCATGTGCACTAAAGTAAGAAAATAGCTGTGTTAGACTAGTCTGCTTTGAAGCAATGCTCAATACACAACATTTCTGTAAAAAAAAATCAAAACATATAGTGTCTTCAAAAATTTTGAAAAGGCAAGCAAGATCTCCTCTCACAAAATATTCAAAATGAGAACATTCCTTTAGACTGCAATCTCTCTAAGAAGTAACTCCCACTGGAGTTAGTAGGGTGCACTTTTGATTAAACATGCATGGGATTATACTATTTTACATTATTGAAAGTGCTAGAAGCATTCAACATGGAACCAAGGACAGGGTATTCAGATGTGGGGGGGGGGGGACTTCACAAAGAAACATAATTTCAGTTGTTGCTGTCAGCACAGCATTCCCTCTGAAGTATTCAAGTCATTTTTAAAAGTGATTTATGTTTTCAATAGTAGAAATTTCTGTCAGTGATGTCAAGCACTGGAAAATTTTCTAGTGCTTCTTTTTTGTGGAAAATTTTCTGTTTGAAAAGCTCATTAGTAACAATGAGTTGATGCCAATTGCAAATACTATTTTAGGCATTCCCATTACAATAAACCTATGCTTTATAGGGATAACCAAACAAGCAAAATATCCTTCCCCTATTAAAAAAAAACCTATATCCCTAGCCCTATCTACAACATGCCCTTCTGTTTTGATAAATTTAATGCAGGAAACTATTATGAGTATATTATTTTGCAGTACATATTGTATATGTTATAATAATGGCTTGGATCCATATGAAGGTTGCAATGGCAGCAACATCTCATGATCAGAGTTCCACTAATAGGATGCTCTGTCAGTGGAAGAGGAAAATCATTTTTGCTGTTCTTCACTCCCACCTGAATCCCCTTGAAAATCTTCTCCAAAGAGTTGGAGGAGCCTTCAGAGAAGTAACGCAGGGACTGCAGGGGAAATGGGGTCCGGGAGGGGGGGGGAGGCCACTAACCTCTGCACTCCACTGGAAACCTCCAAAGAGTAAGAACATAAGAGCCTGCTGGATCAGGCGAATGCTCATCTACTCCAGCATCCTGTTCTCACAGTGGCCAACCTGGTGTCTATGGGAAACCTGAAAGCAGGGAACTGAGTACAACAGCACTCTTCCCACTTGTGATTCCCAGCAACCCGCACGCAGGCACATACTGCCTCCAACAGTGGAAGTAACCCAGCTCCCTCAACAAGCAAAAGGAACCCTTTGGTTGCGGTTTGGTGTGTGTGAGATCTACGCCATTATATTTCTCATTTTACAATCACTATATCTAAGCAGTTTTTACCTGTCCTGAACACCTTTGGATGAGTTATAAATCCTAAGAAAAACTGGTATTCACATTCTTAGTTTGTAACTAAAATTGTCGCTTTGACATCCTTCCATTTCTAGTCTCCTATCTGACACTTTTCCAAATTCACAGAAATTGCCCTCAACCTTGTATACTTTTCCTGTTCATTATGTTTCCAAACAGGCACATCTGTGAATTGCAGAAATTCTTGGTAGATCTCCAGCTGAAAATCTTCCTGCCTCTAATTCACATTTCCTAATTCTGGACACATTAAAACAAGGTGCAAATGAAAGGAGCAACTTAAAATACAGTTTGGTAGGCAGCATGCCAACACCCCTGTTTAACATACACCTTACCTACCAATTGTAATTACTTATTGTTTCTATCCATGAAGGTTCAGCACAGGTAAGAAACATAATTAAAGACTGCATCAATATAGTGATTATAATATGAGAAATATAATGGTGTGGATATCATCCCCACTTGCAACTAAAGGGCTCCTTCTGTTTGTGGAGGGAACTGGGATATCTCCACTGTACTCATTCACAAAAGCTGGTATAAAATACAGTACTCAGAAATGCTGGCAGGAAGTGGCCATCACTTATTCTAGCAGAGTGGTTGAAGAATTTATTATTTCTTTGGGGCAGAAAAGTTGTCCACATATGTGTATATTTCAAACGAGCCTAGCATGCGCACAATTAGAATTCCAACAACTTAATCCTAAATGTATGGGCATTTATTTGTTACATTCACATCCTATATTTCCTGCATGATAACAGCATACACTGAGCTCACTGATGGTCCCCCATCTAAGCACTGACCAGATCCAAGCCTGCTTAACTTCAACAAAGATGCTGCTTCATGTGCCTTTAAGCAATGTCCTGCTTACTTGGAGTAATACACTAGCAAAAAAGAAGAACAATACAAAAGCAGTTCTTCTGAAAATTGTTATTTTTCATCAAGATCCATTTCATTACTATCTATAGATGTCATTTTACAGCAGCAGAAAATGTGCATATTTAATAAAAACACTGCTTAACCAGCTAAAATTGTATTTAATGCTTTTAATGTTCAGATAGCATAATAAATACAAAGCAATAATGTATAAAACAAATTAATAATTACTTGATGTTTCTAACTGATTTTCATTTAGCAAAGGTGAGCATTTTGTTAAATGTGCTTTCCTAGGTTGTAACAGCCAAGTTAAAGTAATTTATTCCTTTTTCAAACATCACCTATGTGTAATAGACTTGTTTGAGAAACATATGAAATATTCCTATTGGTACAAAATTATATAATCATTTTGGCAAATCAGTCTAAGTCTCATAGGAAGCAGTCTCCAGTACATAAAACTGAGGTTACAACTGACACATCCATTGTTAATAACCACTCGCATGGCTCACATCAACAGGGTTTAATTTGAGCCAGCACTTGTAAGGCATTCTGTGTCATCTTTTACCTCTGAAGTGTGGAAAAACTGTAAAGGACACCACTTTCACAAAATACAACCAAAACATTGACGAACAGCAGAGCGTAATTCTGCCCACGAGGGTCCCAGTGACTTTAACGCTGATGTCCCTGTCGCTGCAAAGGCCCCTGGACATCACACTTCAGAGACATTTGCCCCGCTGGAGTGAAAGCATAAGCCGGATCCAATGCTCCCCCCTTCAGAGTAAACAAGATGTCATCACCCACGTGAACAAGTACCCTCCTGGCTTTCGCAGAAGGGGGAATTTGGCAAGCGATCTGTATGGGAGGCAGCTGCCTGAAGTCGGAACTTCAGCAAAGGGGGAAGTCAACACAGTGAAAGGGGCTCCTGCCTCGGAGGGCTCTGGAGATGTACATACTGCCCCCGCCCAGCTGTCTCGCAGCACCCACACCCGGAAGGGACGGGGCGGCGGCGGCGGTGGCAGGGGTGCTCCGGCGGCGGCTCTCCCTTCCCCTCCCACCATGTAAACAACCCAGTTCCGCTCCCGCCAGGTGACACCGACCTTCCGAAGTGAGGCGACAGAAAGGCTTTATGAGCTCGCAAAAGCCCAGGTTGTTCTTGCGGGTGACCTTCTCCGCCTCCTCGCTGCACAGCGCGGCCACCAACGGCACGAACGAGTCCTGGAGGAACTCCTGCGCCGACTGCACTCGCTGGGCCATCGCTCCGGCCGACTGACAGGGCGGCCCGCCGCGCTGAGCCCAAGCGAAGGGCCGGCCCCCTCCGGCCGGCTTAGCCCGCTCCTTTCCTCCTGGAGACGCTTCCCCGCTCGAGCGCTGAGGCCGAATCCCCGCCGCAGACGAGCGCAGAGTTGGGCTGCCCGCGCTGACACCCGCCGCCCCGCCAAGCCCCTCAGTGACCGCCCAGACCCGCCATATTGAATCCGGAGAGCCCAGACAACCGGGTCAGCCTGCTCCCGGCAGCCTTTGCGGCTAGTCACGTGATAGCGGAGGGAGAGGGAAGAGGCGAGGCTCCTGGCGTCGGAATCAAGGAGGAGACCGGGGGTGGCGGGGCAGGGAGACAAGTACGCATGCGCAGTGTGCATTTCGCTGAGCTTTTGGGAAAGGCAGGAGGGTTGTGCAGAATCAATGAGCGGAAAAACAATCCGGGGAAAGGATCTGGGTCTGCCGGTGCTACTTTAGATCTGCGCATGCAGGCTGATTTTTCTACCAGGGCTGCTCCTGCAAGGATAAGACACAGCCCAGGCGGTTTCCTGCCGCTTGTGCTCATGCCTATATGAGTTCAGTTTCCATTTACAGGGATTCCGGGAGACGTTTCTGCTTTTGTGGCCAGTTGGCTCTCTGCAGAGTGTAACCAATCATAAAACATTACTCTGAGCAGGTCCCTCCCAAAAATGTCTCAGCCGGAGAACCTGAGCACGTTTTTTAAAACGGGCATTTTGCCTGGGCACCAGATCCATGCAGTTCCCTGAATGCCAGTCCCTGGGAATCACAAGGGTGGAGAGTCCTGTTGCGTTCAGGTCCTGCTTCTGGATTTCCCATAGGCAACTGGTTGGACGGGATGCTGGACTAGATGGACCGGTCGCCTAATCCATCAGGCTTTTATGATCCTAATCTAGCTCTCTTGATTGGCAGCAGGGATGCCAACTTGAATAAAACATTGAGGGGGGCAGGTAAGCCCTGCTCTGCGTAATCGATCACAAGAGTTGGTACATGCACAACATTTGAGTGTCAATGCCCATCAACTGGGGGGGGGGTGTCCAGCACCCTAAAAAAAATGGGGGGGAGGGATCTCAGGCCCAAGGAGTTGACTCCTATGATTAGTAGTACTCGACATTCAGGACAAGGGAATTAGCATATCAGATCACCCACCCTGAATGAAGGTAATAGGGCTGAGCTATGGCCATCCTATCAGCAAGTCAGAATCACGTGTTCTGTTCTGTTCTGGTTCTGAGCCTGTGCAGTGTTGTCCTCTCTCTGAGTTTATCAACAGCAAGTTCTGAAAGTCAGCCAGGCCAGCGTGTCCTGAGCACCCTTTGCTCTACCGTTGGATTGGATTATGTTTGAGGGGGGACACCAGGGGAGGCACCTTGGTGCACTGTGTGAGTCTGGCTTATTTACTAACTAATCTATTTTTTTGTGAAGCAGGGAAATGGAGGAAGAGAATAATGGAGGACCAACCTGCCCTTGCCAATGTTTCTTGGCATTCAGCAGAGGGGTGGACAGTTTCAGAAAGGATGTGTCTGCTCTGCTCCTCATTGGTAGCCCATGTGCAACCTTGAAAGGGCCTCCTGCCATTGTGAAGGATCAGGGGCTTCCAAACCTCCCCGCTCACCTGCCTGCTCCACACACCCCTTGAATACTTTTGGCTGGCTGGAATGCATCGTTGAATTGTGATAACAGATCTTGAGTTTTGCATGGCTGGAATGTAGCCTATTATTACAAAAGTACAATCATTTCCCATTAATCCATCTACCTTTGCCTCCCGCCCCACCCACAACTGGCATGCAGGTCCTGCAGGAGGGAATGCAGTTTTAATGCTGAAAAAAAATCCCCATCCCAGGTGTAGAATCAGGAAAGGGGTAATATAAAAAGACACACCCCATAGCTCCTCCATGATACCTGTGATATTGATGTATATTCCACATGTGAAATCTCATAGGTCTTTAGCTGGGGCCTAGGGAAGGGTGTTTCAAGTCCACAAAAATGTAAGCTCTTGCTTCAAAATATTGTATGCATAGTGTTCATAACATTAAAAGAATAGGTGCTAGAGGTGATTTTGGCCTTTTATTCTGAAATGGAAATGAGATGTGGTGAAGCTATGCACACAATTTATTTGCATATCTTAGTTCATTTAGATTTGACACTTTTCAAATATATTCTCTTTTAAAGCGAATTGAATTAAGGATGGGGACAAAGCCTTGGAGCAATGCAAATCCCTGGTGACTAGGGCTTCAAACAATCAGATGTGACTCTTAGGATGCAATTTTGTAATCCAGGTTTATAAAGATTAGTATGGTTTGGATTTCCTTCCTTTGCAAATAGTATTTTTGTCACATGTGTTCCCAAAGTAATTTTACTTTAGCTACCCTGTCCATTGAAATATAGATACCAAAAGGACTGAAGTCACAGGACACTCTTTTTTTACAGTCAACAAGGTAAAAGTTAAAGATTACACCTGCATTCCAGGAAATTTGGCAGGAACTTGCTCTGTGGCAACATATGTTGACTTCAGGTTCTAGGCTTAAAGAAGCAAATTGCTACAACATCCTTTGTACACTTTGCTTCCTGAGTAGAACCTTGTCCTATATTTTTCTGCAGGATTATATATTTGTTTTTAAGAAGGCAGAGAATCAGGTAAGGAAACTTACTAAAACTGAGTTTCAAATTAAAAACAAAACTAATTGCAGAAACACCAACACCTTGTTTTTATTTGAGGGTGGGAGAATTTGCATGTTTGTTTTGCAACTGCAAGAAAATGGTCATAGGAAATCCCCTGGTATATTATTAGCCTTTTGTGTTGTCATGGGGAGCTGGGAACAAGACAGAGTGGCACCTCAGAATGTCCTGTGTCAATCTTATCACCAATTGTTATTTGAATCTTTGTTGATACACAGATTACCATGTTACTCCTAAAAATTATCTGACTGAAAATGCTAGTTGGAAGTTTTAGTACACATGGGAGAGGAAATAGGAAGTTTTAAAAAACTGAAGTTCTGTTTGAAATAAGAATAATGGTGTGGAAAAGCCACCACAAATCAATTTATTTTGGTAGCTTATTTACAGCAACCCACTTACAGGATCACTTCAAAAAGTCATTCCATAAGATCCAGTCATTCTATCAGAATAGTTTATAGATCTGAATTTCCACATACTCGTGTTATAAGAATTTTAAGGTCTTACATATACTGTATATATAATAGATGTTCATAAATGTACCAAGCAAACACATACAAATATGTAAAGCACATGTCTGAAACCCACAGAAAAGTCCTCAAACCATTTTGTCTTTCCCAAAATGACCTCAAATATTTCTCTGCAAGGTTGAAGGAAATGGGAAAAAACCTCCCCATTGTCTCTGTGCTCACAAATCCTACCTTAAGGGCACATTTAAGGTGTGAACAGGGTGAGTCTGTGACCTGGATTCAGGAATGAAGTAGTTATAATAACAAAAGAGTGGCCAAAACCCAGATACTGTAATGCAATTAGGTAACCTGCTGAGATAATACACTCAGGATTCTATTTTAGACTGCCACTTTGATGTATGTATGATGCATTGGGGGAGGTAGTCCTGGGCTCACCCCTTCTGTGATGGATGTATGATGTTTCTAGGGGTGGTCTAGAGTTTGTGGGTGGGCAATTTCAAAAGTCTATATGAGGGCAGGCACACCTTTGTTCTGGGTTCCTCCTCTTTCCTGCTTGTGGTGAGTGAGGACCCTGTTGCAACAGTTTAATAAAGATCAGGCTTAACAGCTGCTTTGCTTCTCAATATTCTCTGGTTGGCCTCTGTTATTTCTCCTACTGATAGAAAACCTACAAAAGGACTCTATATGGGCTCTTGGGTACCCCATAAGGGAAAAGGAGCAGTTTTTTCTCATAACACTCATTATTTCAGGGGTGGGAACCTGTGGGCTTCCAGGTGCCACTGGCTTAGAATTTCCACAGTCCTTGTCTGAGGCTGAGAGTTGGAGTCCAACTACATCTGAAGGGCCACAGATTCACCAGCACTGCATTATTTGATTTCAATAAAATCCCACAAAAGATTCAGTAAAATAAATTCTGGCTTTAAATTCTGCTATGTCGTTCAGTTTGCTGTCATCTTTTTATTTATTATTTATGAGCATATTAAAGGTAAAGGTACCCCTGCCCGTACGGGCCAGTCGTGTCCGACTCTAGGGTTGTGCGCTCATCTCACTTAAGAGGCCGGGAGCCAGCGCTGTCCGCAGACACTTCCGGGTCACGTGACGAAGCTGCTCTGGCAAGCCAGCACCAGCTCAGCACACGGAAACGCCGTTTACCTTCCCGCTATAAAGCGGTACCTATTTATCTACGTGCACTTAGGGGTGCTTTCGAACTGCTAGGTGGGCAGGAGCTGGGACCGAAAGACGGGAGCTCACCCCGCCGCGGGGATTCGAACCGCCAACCACACGAATGGCAAGTCCTAGGCACAGAGGTTTTACCCACAGCGCCACCCGCGTCCCTGTGAGCATATTAGTCACAATATAAAGCCCATCTGTATGGCAGCCATGAATATTTACCAAACCTCTCCTCAGAAACTCCTGCACTCCCATCTGCATGCCCAACATCTTGGGTGCTCTGACCTTTTCTCACAATTCTTGCACTGCATCTACTACTACATGTTAGGCACTAAATCATGATGTGCAAAGGGAGGAAAGGTGAAAAAATAGGCAGAAGGAGTAATTTCCAAATGTGCACAACTCTGTCAGGGGGATGAATTGTGGGTGGAGGACTAGATGTGTTTCAGATGGGACATATTTGTTCACTGCAACACCAAAATCAGGATGGCTGAAGTGCAGCTGCGACCCATATTTCTGCATGGCCATCAGATGATAAACTGCAGAAGGAAGAGGCTCTAAAACACTTTAAGTGAATTCTGCTTTGTATATGAGTCAACTCTGTATCCCTGTGACATCAGAAGTCTTTACGCAGGCCCAGGATGCCATTTGCTCAAATACGCTTGCACAACTGATGGCCTTGCAAGCCTTTGTTCTCACAGTTGAATCTTTTGGAGCAACAGGAAAAGGTTTTGAGTCATGGAGCAAGACTTAAATAGTAAAGGTAAAGGGACCCCTGACCATTAGGTCCAGTCGTGACCGACTCTGGGGTTACGGCGCTCATCTCGCTTTATTGGCTGAGGGAGCCGGCGTACAGCTTCCGGGTCATGTGGCCAGCATGACTAAGCCGCTTCTGGTGAACCAGAGCAGCACACGGAAACGCCGTTTACCTTCCCACCAGAGCGGTACCTATTTATCTACTTGCACTTTGACGTGCTTTCGAACTGCTAGGTTGGCACTTTTTAAATATAATTTCAGAATTCACACTGGTTTTAATAGTCTTCATATTTATGTGTACAAACATTAGGTGTGGAGGGGGGAAATATCTTGTAACTTTAGGGTAAGAATTTTATATGCTACAGAGGTCAATATAAAGATATAGAATCGATAGATTGCAGTGTGATCGTCCCATATAATCTAGGCGCAGGGAACCTGTGGCTCTCCAGATATTTGCTGGACTACAACTCCCATCAGCCCCAACTAGCATGGTCAATGACTAGGGATGGTGGGAATTGTAGTTAAGCAGCATCTGATAGGCTGCAGGTTACCCATCCCTGCCATAACATGTCAAACAACCAAAGGCAAAGCTGCAGTCCTATGCACACTCACCCAGAGTTAAGTCCAACTGAACTCATTGAGACTTACTTTTGAGTAGACATGCTTAGGATTGCTGTGTAGGCTAGTGGAGCTTCTGAGTAAACCTGCCTAAGTTTGGACTATGAGTGAAAAAAGTTTTTTTTAAAAAAAACTTTCTAAAGTACATTTATATTTGCAAAATATTAATTGAACATCTTGAAATCTATTGCTATGAGCACACCAAAGTTGAAGTAGTAAGAAACTTCAGGAGTGGTAGCACATACATCGGGTTTGGTTTCCTTCGAAGGAAGGTCACTGGAGACACTGGTGTCTTTGTAATAAGACAAATATGCAAGCTGAGCATAAGGTTGAAGGGCTTGAAGCAGTGGTTCTCAAACTTTTTTCTCTGGGGCACACTTTCAGAATAAAAATTTGCTCACACCACACCATTTTTTTTATTGATAAGAAATATGTCAGAAAACACAACTAGGATGTCGTCAGTATCACTTGACACTCTTCTGTGAAAATATATCCATATTCTGCAAATAATAATTATTTTTGATTATACTATACAATACTAAGCTGAAACGTTTAAATGTTTACAGTGGTACCTCCGGTTACGAACGGGATCCGTTCCAGAGGCCTGGCCGTATCCTGAAAATTTCGTAACCGGAGGACCACTTCTGCACACACACGCAGCGCCACAGAGCACTTCTACGCATGTGCGAAGCACGCAGAGTGCTTCTGTGCAAACGCGAGCAGCAAACCCACATCTGGGTTTGCCGCAGCCATAACCCGAAGATTCTGTAACCTGGAAGTTACGCAACACGAGGTACCACTGTATTTTAATGCCCTTGACTCTTCCCGCCACACTTGCAATCCTCTCCTGCCACACTCAGTGTGGCGCACCTTTGAGAACCACAGACTTAAAGCAGTAACACTCCCAACAGAGGCTGCTGTTCCCTTAGGCTCCCAGGGGGCTTCTCAATGTCATATCTTGGGTTTCTGCACAGAGAGCAAGTCAAGCCTCTGTGTCTACCCAGCTCCAGACAAGACTAGCCCAAACTAGCCCCCCCCCCAGGCCTATTGTTCTTCTAATGCTACAATGATGTAGCCTCCAGCTAGGTAAGCAAGGAAGGCCTTCCCAAAACATGCGCACACAAACAGGGAGGGCCAACTCTTTAGTCATGTAAAAAGATATAAAAAAGACTTATCTAGGCCTATTAACATAACAAAGAGACTGGTTTGTCCAGTTCAGTAGTTCCTTCCATTACAGAATCCCATGATGTAAAGCTATAGGCTTGTAGAGGGTCGAAAGATGGCAACCAAAACAACCCCCGCCAATCCTATAACAGTATCCGTATTTGCTAGGCTTCAAGCGATGCTGAACACAGTTTGGAAATGTTAAAATACTCAGAATTACTAGCTAATGAATGAAACAGAACATACACACATAGGAAGTTGCCTTATACTGCTGAGTAGAACCATTAGTCCATCTTACTCTCTCACTGTTGTCTACACTGGCTGGCAGCAGCTCTCCAGGGCTTCAGATAGGGATCTCCTAGCCCAACTTTAAGATGCCAAGGATTGAAGTCAATTGGTTCTTGTGTTACAAGATTCATCCTAAGATTTCCTACTCAGTTTTCAGAAGAATGAATATAATCCACAAAGTGATCATATATACTCAGACTGTAAGAGTTTGTATTCTGATTAGCACTTTACTGGTGGTCACTGTTATTACTGCTGAAAGTGGTGCTGTCATCATCCCATATAGTAGTCTAATTATTATTATGTACCTTGAGACTGTGGCTTAGGCACAGTGATTAATACATTAATTGGAAGAAGAAGAAGAAGCCAAAACAGCTTAATCCACACACAAGATGGTAGTATGGTTTGGAAAGCCAAAGTTTCCAGAACTACAAAAAATCTTTAGAAAAAGAATATTAATGAGAAGGAACTCCAAAAACAGCTGAATGAGTACTGTTCAGTGGTCATGGACCATTGAAGAGAGAGAGGTAAAATAGAATGGAATATCCTGGCAATGGCATGGTTGGTTGTAACAAATCCCGAAGAGAAGTAGTCCTGACTGCAACATTTTGTTGTAAGTCCCACAGATATATACTAATAGCGAACTCGAATGGTGGGTTGTGATGGCTGTAAGATGATGGCAATAAGAGGCTACTGAAAAACAAGAGGGAAGTACAGTATCAGCATGCTAGAGGGAACCCCAAAGCTAGCAGAAGTAGAAACAATCATTAAGCAGGTATGGGGGCATATAGTGTGAACTGCGGGTCCAGTGTGAACTGAGCATATGGACAAGGTACCCTGAAACTATCCAATGAAGATGCAACAGATCAGGCATGTCCAAAGTCTGTTTTGGGGGGCCTAATCCGGCCTTCTGGCCGGTTTAATCTGGCCCCTGTGGCAGTCTATTTCTTGGGGTCAAATCCTACTCAACAACTTCAATCCTAAAAAAAAAAAGCTCAACAACTCTGGTCGGCCCTCACACATGTTCACTTCATCAAATCTGGCCCTCTTTGAAAAAAGTTTAGGCACCCCTGCAACAGATGCTCAGAAGCCAGACTGACCAGCATCTGTGTGGGAGGAGGAAAATAGAATGGAGTATTATGGAGAGGACATGGCTAGCTAAAACCTGGACATGAGCACTCTAAATTTTGTTGTAGTCTCCTTGGTTGCCCCCTAAATCTCAATAAGCGTGCAGGTGCTCCTTTAGCATCTGCTCTCTTAGATTTCAATGGAAAGCCAAAAGAAGATTGGCAAAACAAATTAATGGAATACAGTATGCGGAAATGGCTTTATTAATGGAGAAACTTTGAAATCGAGACAATAACAAATTTAAAAATGAATGGGAAGTTTTTATTGCATATATATCAAAGCAATGTATACAAGTTAACACATTGGCAGGATTTGGGGGGCCCACCAGGGTGCGCATTGGAAGATGGCCGACAATAACATCTCTCCGACCCACACGAGGTAATTAAGAGGCTGATATGGGGAGTATGCAGTCTCCCTTACCCCCCCAAGGAGATGGGGGGGACTGCCTTGCCAGCTGTGTCCATAATTCACCTCCGGACTCGAAAGAAGGGGGTGTGGGCACTTGGCACGAAGCCCTCGAGTGAGGCCAGTCTCCTCTGACACTGTCTCTAATCGCGCACTGGTTCGCATTAGCTCGAAAGATATAATTGGAAATATATAATTGGAAAGAAGCTAATGGACATACATCAAGTGAAGATCGGGAAGACTGCTGATTAATGGATCTCTGTGAGCAGAGCGATGGGCTGGACAAATAAATCAAGTGATGACTCATCATTAAAAGACTGGTATGTTGGAGTGAAACGGAAAGGGGGGGGAGGAAAAAACTTTTCTTTTTTTTTTTTTGCCTTGTGAGTATTAATAACCCTCCCCTCCAGAGAGAAGAATCGTTGCATTTTATTAATCACAAGCAGGATTTTAAGAACTGTGTGGAATGAATTACTGATCAAAGAGAGGACTGGTAGAAACATCGGGGAACGGAGGAAAGTTTTATGACGCAGTTTCAAATGGCGTCTCGCTAAGACAGACTTGCCTAAGAAGGACGAGGGGGAGGAGGACCAGGGTCATCGGAATGTGAATGTATGATTATCGGAATGTGATCTTGACCTGGCAGAGCCCTCTGAGATATGTTTGGCAAGCCTGGGGAAATCAATGGACAGACTGGGGGAAAGTTCTTTACAGAGGTGTGGAAATGGCGTCTGTCCTTTATATGATATGATTTTTGGAGAGTGTAAAACCCACACAGAGGATGTTTGTTTTCAACCCGCTTGTGAAGATTATCAGAGATCACAAAGAAAGGAATATATGATAACAACAAGAAGATGAGGAAAGTAACAAGGAGACTATCTGGACAGAACTGGATAGAACTGTTTAATTAAAGCAGCAACACGAGTGATGTTTGGACCCCTTTCGGAGCTTGAAGTATGGGTGCCCCCCCAAAAAAATTAAAAATCTGGCTGTATAATTTGGAACTAATGTGATTTGGAAATAATGTGATTTGATTGGCCTGTTAATAAAAATTAAAACAAAACAAAACACATTGGCAGGATTTTAAGAAACATTTGCAATACGATGATAAAAGATAGAATTGGATACAATAAGATTAATAATATTACACAGACATGCATGAATTAATGATGAAACAATGGAACCACGAAAAGGGGCAGAGGGAAGTTAAGGGATTTGAGAAATCCCACATTTGAATGTTTTATTGAATGTGTAAACAGTATTGTAAGGTTTTTAATTTCTTTTTTTTTAATGTTTATTTGATGTGATATTTGTTATGTTGAAAATTAATTTTAAAATTTATTAAAAAAAGATTTCAATGGAACGCATCCTGATGCAATGTGTTTTCATTTTACCAGAGTAGTAGTAGTAACACAGAATAATGATACAGATGTGTATTCTTGCTTCTGAATGCCTAAGAGAGGCGCTCGACAGTAAACTGCCTATTTCGTTTTCTATCGCTGTTTTAGGGATACCTGTGATGCACGGCTACTGCAAAGTGCTATCCTACACAGGAGTTAAGTTCCGCCGGCCACCGTGGGGATTACTTCAGAGTAAACATGCATGGGACTTGCCCTGTGGATCAGGGTCAAAGAAAGAAAACAGCGCATCAGCCAGCGAACGAGGCCACCGATTGGCTAGCTGGCCCCCTTTGTCCGGCTCAGGGTGTCAGGTTTCCTCGCGCCGGCTTGGACTGGTCCTGCATCCGCCAATAATGCTTTTGCAGGGTGTCGCCAGTGTAACCGCCACAAACGGCCCCCAACGTGGTCTCGGAGAGTTCGTTGCACGGAACGGGAGATCTGCAGCTCGCGCGACTTTCCTTTTGCTGCAAGACGAAATCCTGCAATCGCAATCCAATCCAATAATTCCAGCTGCAAAGCTTCATAGCGCGTTGCGCGCTCGGCCACAGCAGGAGCAGCCGGCGCCAAGAGGCTTGATTTCCCAGGAGTGCCAAAGTTTAGGCGATGGGATCCGCGTTAAGCAGCGACAGTCGGGAGGTGGCGAACCCTCTCCAGGTAGCAGAAGAGGAGAAGCAGCCGCCAGTCCCATCTTTTGACTGCTCCATCTGTTTGGAGGTGCTCCACCAGCCCGTAAGGACGCAGTGCGGCCACGTGTAAGTGAAACTCCCCTCCCGGAATTGGCTCAGGCGGGTGTGGGGAGAGAGTGAATCCCCATTCTTTGCAATGCGAGAAGTCTGAAATTATGCTGCGACTTTGTTAGCTGCAGTTCTTTCCATACTTATGCTGGGACCAACCAACTTCCGTTTAATTCTTTTTTCTTTTTTTTAAAGAAAGGGTATTTGGCCTCCGTTTGGGATGCGATAATAAAACGACCTTTTTTTGGTGGTATTGCTAAAGATGCGAGCAGAGAAAGAGTGTGTGCTTTGATCCAAGTTAGCGCACGAACAAGTAATTTAACTTGATATTTGCATGCGACGGATTCCGTTCAGAAACAGAATCCGAGATCTAGGCGATTGGCATTAAAAGATGTACCTTCTTTCTCTTCATTCCCTTTAATATTTTGGGGAAAACAAGCTTTAAGTAAGATATTTGGGTCGGGGAAGAAGTGATGTGTGATCCGAATTTATTTAGATTTGTGAGTTGGTGTAGTGTAGTGGTTGAGCCAGTACAAACATTTCTGATCTACACTACACTGCTATCAAGATGTGAATACCTTACAGAGTTGTTGCAAAAATTACAAGAGAATGGATGTGATGTGCTTGGACACTTGAAAGCACTATAAAAGTGTCACATACTTTTTGGAGATTTCTTTTGAGTTTCTGGGCCTGTTTTAACTTTCCCCAAATGGAATTGCTTGCATTTTATTTTATCAAGGAACAAAGGATCCATTTAATTGCGTTGTCCTCAGTTTGCTGATATGTCTTAAATATAAATTAATATGCATGTGGGTATAAAATACCAGTATGTTTGTTTCTTTCGTTTGTATATTTTGAGAAGGAAGCATCCCGAGTTCTTAGAAGTATCCTTTTTGTAAATTTTTAATGGCAAAATTCAACCACTATTTCCCCTGAGAAATTTTGGTTGAAAAAAATCTTTAAAAAACCATGATATTCTAAAACAAGGGAGGAACACTCCCAGATTTGGAAAGTCTTTCCCCATATTTTTATTCAGTGATGATGTTGATTCTATGGTGCAAATATTGGCGCAAATCTGTTCACTGTCAATATTCCAAAATATTGCAATTCTCCCAATGTAGGAAAAGAAAAAGAAAAATCAGAGTTGCCCCCCATGCCTGCCTGTGGATGGGCTAAAATTTATTTTCCTTAACAAATTTAGGTCAAGCACATACAAGGTTGAGACATTGTTATTAATGTATAGATGCCCCTTTCCATATTAAAGGAAAGGCCTAACTGTTGAATCATTAGCAGCCACAATTGCATTGTTTAACTTTTTAAACTCTACTAAAATGTTTGAATCTTGCACATGCTGTTAAGCATTCAGTGGGAGATATTCAGGCAAGAAACAAAACATGTTCTGAATAGCTTTTTTATATGCCAAAACCACCATTTTTACTCCCTAGTGAAGACTGGATATTGAAAAGAACAAATTTGTAAGGAAAAGCTGCACTTGGCTTGTGTCTTCTTTACATTCCATCTGGGGGCCTGGGTCAGATGTAAGAGCCATCCATCCCATGGTTTGACTGTTGTGAATGCCTTTCATGCTCACAAGCTACAATTCCTCCCCCTCTCACTGATTCAATCAAGTACAGATTGATTCAATCAAGTACAGATTGATTCAATCAAGTACAGATCCTTTGCCAGCCAAATTGTTCAGGCCATCTTGTCTCAACCTGCCTGGTATGAATCATACAAACTAGGCACACTTGTATTTATTTATTTACTGTTCTTGCATGCCACCATTTCTCCTTCGGGAGCCTATTTTCCCTGGTGGAGTAATGGATGGAGTGACAGTATGAACAACCCATAGGGCTATGGAATTTGGTGTCTGGCAGACCCCAATAAAAAAGTTTTAGAAATCTTCACTCCAAAGCCATTTTCAGAAGCGAGCTTGTAACTTGACTAAGACCTGTATTGTTGCACATTTCTGTAGCACCCACCTACATACATGTTTAAAATATATAAATCTGCATATTTCAATGTATGTGGTAACAATCCTGGCACTAATTCTGCTTGGAGCAGAATTATTCAAGCGGACCTGCTGCCATACCAGAAACAATGAACAAATGTGAGATTTTGTGTTTCTTCTGGAACAGCTAATTCAATCAATCCATCTTTATTGAGGTCAAAGACCAGACAGCAAAGTTTACAACAACAACACTAATTCACAATGCAATGCTGCAAGGAATTCTGCGGTACATTGTTACTTCCTACAGGGACACTTCATTTCATGCTGCTAAAACCAGCAAAAATCTTGAGTCAGTCCTGTATACTAAAAAAGTTGAAAGGTCTGATGCCCTAAGCCAAGAAGGTGGATAGTCTACCAGCTGCAGTTGAATGGTATGCCTCTGTGTTGCTTCTGTGTTATGTGCAAATTCAGATACATATAAACAGCTGGCACTTGCACTTGATCTTTGTAAATATCATTTGCAAGTTCAGAATGATGGATGTAACCCAAGAAGTAGGTTTTTAAAATTGTATAACTCTCTAACTTTGCTTAACTTATTAACTAGGGTTCATTGTTTAAAACCTTGCACGTGTTTGGAAACCACAATGAAACTTTCCTTTTGGATTAATCTAAAATAAAACTTCTTTTCAGCTATGGCTGAGGAGAAGGATTTGAGTTTGCTCGACTAATCCTTACTTAGTACAACAAAAAGCCCATGGCAGCATTTCCTTTACAGTACATGTAGAAATGTTGCAGGTAAAAACAAAACATTAGCAGGAACTTGTTGTTTGTCTAAAGTCTCACATGAGCAATTTTAAGCCCCTGTTTGTAGAAATGAAGAACATTACCTATAGGCAACAGAATGGTGGAATACTAAAGCTTAGTATTTAAATGCACAAATATGGTTGGTAGTTAAGGAGTTAGCCCCATGGAACTCTGTAGTACCCACTTCTAAATAAATATACCGTATTGGCCTGAATATAAACCTCACTTTCCGCCCAAATTCTGACAGTGAAAAATTAAAGTGCGGCTTAAATTCACAACCTTACGCCACCAGCAAAGCGGCATGGCTCTCCACCCCCAGGCAGCCTGGGAATGCGGGCCATGGCACACAGCCCTCCTGCCACTCCCAGCACCCCTCTAGCTGTTGGGAGGGAGGGGGGAGGCCACCAGCAAAGCGGCACGGCTCCCTCCCAGGAAGCAGCCCGGGAGTGCGGGGCAACGGCACGCAGCCCGCCCACCGCTCCCAAGCCTTCCCCCAAGCACAGGTCAGTTGCAGACCATGGGACTTGCCCTGAAGCCAACACAAATATTTTAAGCACAACATTTTTTCGTGTTTCGAAGGCACAGATATCTGTGTTTGTTCAATGTGAATGTAGCCCTAAGGTTATGGCCTGACCATAGGTTGCAAAGCAGTGATGGGTGACCCCCAACTCCTCAAACAGGGTTGGATCAGAAATAAGCCATTCTATTCCTCATCCCGTCTGCAAAAGTGAAAAAAGAACTTGGCTTGTTTTTGAGCCAGTCTGAATTTGGACTGGAGGCCACCAGCAGCAGCCCTAATCCCCAAGCCTCCCTCCCCTATCTCCCCATAAGCCTCCTTGCCTGCCCCCTGCTCCTCCAAATACCTCCTTCCTTCCCACCCACTCACCTACCCTTTTTCCTGCCTCACATGCCTGGCTGCTGCTGCTGACACTCTTAATTTGAGGGGAAACAGGAGCAGGGAAGAGAAAGAGGTCTCTTCGCACCTCCCTCTGGTGCCACATGCAAGAAGCCCACAGGGAAACTACTGAAATGCCCCTTGGGAGAAACTACATTTCCCAGGATCTACTTAGGGACACATTTATTCAGGTATTTATTCGGGTATTGTCTTTTCCCCCTTGAATTTTAAAGGTGTGGCTTTATATTCGGGTGCGGCTTATATTTGGGCCAATACAGTACATAGGATTCAGTTTCTAAGCTTTTTCAAGAGTGATGCTAAAAACACCTTTTCAGTTTGGAAGACATTACTCGCCAACTGTTTTATGGATTAGAAAGTGGAACAGAATGAAGCTGTTTTAAAATGAAATACATGTTTTACATTCAGATTAAAGACAAGAGAAATAAAATTTTAAAAAAAGTTTTAAGCTGCAGTCCAACTTCACTTAATTGGGAGTAACTCCACTGAATAATTAGGACTTAATTCTGAATAGGCCTGGTCAGGGTTGCACTGAAACTAACCTTTGAAACTTTCATCACAGATCCAACATGTTATTCTGCTGTATAACTTAACAACACAACTTTTCTATAATGTAGACAGTAGGGTGAAAACACAAGACTGTTATTCAGTTAAAAGCATGGGCATAGCCAGGATTTATGTTGGAGGGCAGGCTTTATGTTGGGAGGGGCAACCTCAGTAAGTTAAGTATTTTGTATTGATTTGCTTGATGGGGGGTAACTGCCCCTCCCTGCCTTTTCTTGGCTGTGCCCATGGCTAAATGGCTAAAATAATGCAGCCCTTTTACCTGTTCTTCCTACCTTTGTTGTACATGAAGGATGAATTAAGTCACATTGTTGCAAACTTTTTATGGAAGTAAATTGAACCAACTTCTGATCATAGGAAAACAGCCTTATGCTGAGTCAAACCATTGGGCCTTCCAGTCCTGTATTGCTGATACGGAGTGGCAGCAGCTCTCTGTTTCTGGCAGAAATCTTTCCCAACCTTGCCTGAAGACACCAGAGATTGAACCTGGCATGCATATCATGTGGTCTTCTAGGAGAAACAGCCTTTCCCCTCAAGGCAACTGGTTAAGAATAGGTCTCATTGGCGTCCATATTGGCGAAAATGCAGAACTGTTTTGCCCATATTGGTTTTGCTGGCTGCAGTAATAATTGTGTTGCGTTTTGATGAAACTGGGTTGCCACAAACAAGGCATATGTCATGGAGGAGCAAAAGGTACAGTGGCAGGAGAGAGAGACAGAGATAGGGCACAGAAAGGGACAGGTGATGTGCCAAAATACCGTATTTTTCGCTCTATAACACGCCCCCCCCCACCATAACACGCACGTAGTTTTTAGAGGAGGAAAATCCATAGGCATGCCACCCGTAGGCATTTCCTCCATAACACGCACAGACATTTCCCCTTACTTTCTAGGAGGAAAAAAGTGAGTGTTATAGTGCAAAAAATACGGTAGATGGATGGGTCAGAGCAGTGATGCCCTGGTGCTCAAAGTGCTTGGAAGACAAGGGAGGCCAACAGCAGGTGGAGCCAGAGCCAATACAGTGGTACCTCTGGTTAAGAACTTAATTCATTCCGGAGGTACGTTCTTAACCTGAAACTGTTATTAACTTGAGGTACTACTTTAGCTAATGGGGCCTGCCGCTGCCGCTATGCCACCGGCACACGATTTCTGTTCTCATCCTGAGGTAAAGTTCTTAACCCAAGGTACTACTTCTGGGTTAGCGGAGTCTGTAACCTGAAGTGTTTGTAACCCAAAGTGTTTGTAACTGAGGTGTTTGCAACCTGAGGTACCACTGTAATGGGCAGAACTAATTCTAGTTTTGTCCCCATCCTCCTTCTGAATTCTAGAAGAGCAGCACTGAGGCAGAGGACGAAGCTGACAGGCAATGCCACCAGCCTGGATTAGTTTTCAGTAAAAAAAAGGCACACCAAGCACTGTTCAGGTTCCTGTTTAATTAGCATCTGCTGCTATTGCTGCTGGGAGTAAGGGAACTAATGCTGCTCCACAGCTAGCCCACCTTTTATCTTCTCCACCTGCCAAATATGCACGAACATTTTATTTATTAGGTATATTTCAGGGAAGCTTATGTGGTACTAACGCAACCAACTTCTTTAAAATAGAGCATTTCCCAGAACTATGTATTGATTGAGCACTGCTAAGAACCCCATAGTTCATTGATGTCAGCACTTCCCAGATCAACCTAACAGATTTGGTGTAATTCCTTAGTCACACACTTTGTTCAATATTCAAGGCTACAGTGGTACCTCGGGTTACAAACGCTTCAGGTTATGCATTTTCGGGTTGCGCACCATGCTGAACCTGGAAGTACTGGAACGGGTTACGGTGCATGCACAGAAGCGCTAAATCACGCTTTGCGCATAAGCGCCAAATCGCAAGGTTGTGAATGTGCCTCCCACATGGATTACGTCGCAAACCGAGGTTCCACTGTATTTCCACACACTTCGTTGCATTTTAAACTTGCGCAGAGGTAGGAAAGGCTGTGGGGGTGAGGGAAGCCCCAAAGGTTTTTTGGTTTTTTTTAAGGGCTCAGGCTTGTTACAGTAGGCTTAGACACAACATCAGTAAAAGCTTTAGTCATTTTCCCGGCATTATCTCCAGAGCCATGTGGACACTCCTGGCAGTCTGCCACTAGTCAAACATATCCCTGTCAGCTCTTGTGCGCATGGTGTTATAGCCATCGCAATGTGATTATATCCAGAAAACTGGATTTCATCCCGTCATTTGTGCAATAATTTCATGAATAAGTAATTGGCTTCAACTTTCTGTCCTCTACCTTAATTTTCATGTACTCTTTATGTCTGACTGAAGCTGGGAATAATCACTGAAGATGTATCTGACGACTACTCTTTCAAACCAAGGATAATGATACTCTGCACATGCTCAATTTATTCCTGTGTCTTTTTTATTTGTATATATGTGAATCAGGTTAGCACAACAGAATCTTGCACAAATATTTGCAGTGAAACAGCTACAGGCACAGCTCAGCCGATGTTAAGCACTTGTGAGTTCCACTGATTTCAGTAAATGAGTAAAAATGCCTTTTATTTACTCTTCTCCATTAAATTCAGCAGGACATTAAAGTGCTTAACCTTTGGCTGGATGGTACCTCTCTTTTTTTGTTTGTTTGCTTGAAGTGCTTGATCTCTCCCATAGTGCTTTACTAATACTTGGGAGAGTTTGCAGGCGCTTGCATGTTAATGAGTAACTTTAACTAATGCACAGATATTCCCATAACAGAACACACTATCTTCTGTAGCCTCACTTTATCAGTGGTCCTGTAGATTGGGATTCTCAAGTAAACAAAATGATTAACACAAGAACTGATGTAGAAACCAATCTTCCTATAAGGTCATGTTCACTAGTGATCATAACTGACTTTTCAAATTGCTTTCTTTAAAGTGGTGGTTTGTTTGGAAACAGTATTTATTTTTATCTCTCCGTTAGATTTTGCCACTCCTGTATTGCAGCAAGTATAAGGAATAACACGTGGACATGTCCCTACTGCCGGGCGTTTCTTCCTTCTGAAGGGATTCCAGCAACTGATATTACCAAGATGATGAAAAATAGACACCAAAATTGTACAGAATGTGGAACACAGGTAAATAAATATTGGCATTCCATAATTTTCTGCCTCATGGATTTAAGCATTCTGAAATGCATGGGGATTTGAAGTTAGCAACCCTAAGCACATTTACTTGGGAGCAACGCCTATAGAATTTTCAATGTACATTATCCCCAATTTAACAAATCCTGATCTTACATTTGCATCCTTTACCTTTAGGAAAACTATGGTAACCATCACTTTCCCTTTTAACAATTTAACCTGTAAAGGTTGAATTTTAACATATTGAATCACTTCATGTAGTTTAGAATGAAGAAATACAAGGCACTTCCGCTTGGAGAGTTTGGGCAACCCAACTACAATCCTAAGCATATTTTGTTGGAATTAAAAGTGACCTACTTCTGTCTACTAAACAAGCTTCAGGGCTAGTCTGCTAGTGAATAGCATTCTGTACAGCAAAATACTGACACAATGTTTCTTAAAATGAATCTAGGTGCTCCTCAGTGAAATGCGAGCTCATCTGAGAACTTGTGACCAGTATATAGAGAAATATGGGCCCCTACAGGAAGTTGCATACCCAGACACAAGGTAAAGTGTATCTTAATAAAATAATGGTGGGAGAATCTACTCTCAGCTTGGTTTATATATTTATTCTTTCACAATCTTAGCCTTCCCTTACCCAAGTGACTTGGGGTGAATGATGATACAGTTTAAAATCAAATTATAACTCACCATTTTAAATAAACCAAACATAGATCATTTAGCAGATACTAATCTAAATCTTAACTACTGATGCCAGGTCAACAAAAAGGCTTTGTGGAACTTCTGTAAGATTCTCATACTTTGAACTTGGGCAAAGGCAAGGGAATTCTGCAGCTGCAGAAAATAGGTAATGCTATACATGTATTCACACTTTTAAGGTCAAACAAGTACCTTGAATTCTGCTTCAAATACTTATATCGATTCAGTGCATGGGCAGGACTACTATTGTAATGTAATTCTGGTGACCAATTCCAATGTTCAGCAACCTTTGAAGAAACTGTTGGCATCCTTGATTGTGGGTGTGTGGGGGTTAATTTTGGAGAAACAATTAAACCATTTCTGTTGTATGTGTTAGACAGGAAGGCACTGTGCAAAGCATAGTGTTCTCTGTTCACAATATTTAACCATATCTTTATGCCTACAGTCTTTACTTGCATCATGTCCCCATCCCATCTCCAGTAGAGAGAGACTTGATGCAGAATCCTATTTAGCAGGAGCAAAGTGGCTCACCATCCAGTTCAGTTGCCAGCTCTAGACTATATTGGCTTTTAATATGCAACTACTACACCATCTGTAAAATGTAAAAATGCAGCTAATATATAAATAGTACCTTATGTGATTTCAGATATCCGTGCCCTTTCTGCCAGTATTCATTGGATGAAGAAGATTTTCTGGATCATTTTCTCACTTTCCACAGATCTGACAGGAGAGCCGTGGTAAACACCTTATTTTTTTAGGTTTAAACCGCATTGTTGTTTAAATCAATTAACTGACTGTTTGAAATATTAGGTAGCAGCATAAACTAGAATATGCATATTTATGGTCAACTAATAGGTGATGATAGATAGATAGATAGATAGATAGATGATAGATAGATAGATGATATAGTTGCTTCAAGGCATTCTATGTAGTAAGTGACAAATAAATATGATAAATGAAAATATATGACTTTGCTGCTATTACATCCAGATGATGTTTCCAGTATTCCATGTCACCAAGTTTTATGTGATCAGTTTCAGTTGACGCCATCTTCATTGATTAAAGCTAGCCAGAGAGGTTGACTACGTGACTGTGTTGGTTCAGACAGTAGTGAATGTCTCATTACAAGGAGGAGTGGTGCCTCTGGCTTTAAAAGAAGCTCTGATACAATCTCTCCTAAAGAAGACAACTTTGGATAATTATTGACCAGTTGCTAATACTCTCTTGGGTAAGGTGATCAAGAGAGTAGTGTCAGTGCTACTATAGGCATTATTGGAAGATAACAGTTTTCTTGACCCATTTCAGTCCGGCCTCAGGATTGGTTTCAAGAATAAATCAGCCTTAGTTGCCCTGATGGATTAACTGGGAGAGGGAAAGGGAGATTGTGACCCTGCTGCTGTTACTCAACCTTTTAGCATCAGTCAGTTCCATGATCTCCTCCTGGGCCAGCTCTGTCAGATAGCATAAAAAGAGCACACAAGAAAAAAAAAGCACTCCATAGCTAGGAACGTGTACCTCATTTATGCAACCCCCCCCCCAAAGCAAACCAACAACATCTAAGCATGAGAGACTGGTTCACAAGGCATTTTATTAGTTGTATACAAAACAGAACAAGGAATTATCTGAATTTACTGGTAACAAACATCAGTTAATATATTTTTAGTCACTCAGGATATGGAGATTTTGCTTTCTTTAGCAATAATCATTTCTTTTGCTACTGTGAAAACACTTTCTTTTTTAGTGCATTTATTTTCCCCCCTTGAACTATTTACAGTACTGTCCGATTTGTCGCTTATCACCTGGTGGTGGTTCAAGTTATTGCAGCAGGAATTTCTTAAGGCACCTTCAGCTCAGACATACGTTCTATTATGAAGACTATATAGTGAGTAAATTGCCTGGTTGTTTTTCCTAACCCCCTGCTAAGAGTCATTTATTTACAACTTCCACCTCCCCCATAGCTCCTTGATAAGTCATATGAGGACATATGTAGATTGCAAGAATGTAATGGTTGGGGAATTAGAAAGGTTACAAAGCCTTAAGAAACTTCAGTGGAGAAATAATCAAATAGCTCAAAGGTGCTACACTCATGCAGAGAAGCCTAACTTCCTGAATACCAGTCCAAGAATTGGTGAAGGAGTTGTTCCAATCTCTCTTTCTGATCTAATCCTTCCCCACCCACCCCAGTTTGAGTATGCTTTTGAAATAACTGCAACAGGTTTCCCAGAAAATGAGGGGACCAAGTTTGGGTGTGGGGGAGCAAGTGAGAGGCATTGTTCTTAATAGTTTAGGGCAAACATTAGAGCCAGAGGTCTAGAGCTGTAGTCTCTCACTTCCAGATAAGCTCCAGTAAGTAGTATATGATAGGGGGAATCCAATATAGAAATAAATGACATTAAATACAATGAAACATAAAATGGAGCATAGTACAAAAATTAAGCAACCATGCTAACTTAGACAAATCATTCTGTTTTTCTTGTTTGCCTATTTCTGCAAGAAAGGAAATCATCTTGTGTAATAAGAATATCATAGTTGTATTCATAGAGTATAATTGCATGGGATAATAATTCACTTAGCCCAACCCTGATTTTCTTGCACTGTAATTCACTAGAGAACCTCTTGTCTTAGATCATTGGTGGTATCACATAAACACTAGAAACAAACATCTCAGACTGTCTTGCTGTTATGTTAGCAGAATTTGTCCTGGTGGTGCAAATTTCTCAAAGGGTAGAAAGCTGGAAGTGGGCTGATACAGTCACCCTTATGCCTGATGTCTATTCACTCTTGAAAAACTAGCACTTAAGGGCACTAGAAGTAAACATCTCACTGACATTCTGCAGCTCTTTGCAAACATTTATTAGTAATCAGAAATTGTATCCAAATATGGTTTCGCTTTCCTTGGAAATGTTAGTGCAGGAAAATCTAAATTTGGATGGTAGATAAGGAAGGCTCAAGAGGAGATGATGCTAGATATCGATAAGATTGGTGCTTATGGTCTCATTGGTGTGTTGGTCTAAATAACGGTTCAACTACGGTTGCAGCCGAATAGGACTATTTTTATTGCTAAGCAGGATTTTGTTTTGTTTTTGCTTTACTTGCATGTCTGACTATCTTCTCTTCTTATTTCAGGATATAAGTATAGTGGAAGAAGCTCTTGTTGAAAGAGTTCTAGATCGGTCATTAATAGAGTATATGCATGTGCCTAATCCAAATACGGCGTAATCCGATCAAAGTTTGGAAGATATACCAAATGGATTTGCTACACTGTGAATTAAAATGTTGCTTGTAAAGTATTGTTGTCAACTTCTTTAGGATTATAGTTCAGCCTCCCTAATAACAAATTATTTTTAGCATTGTCAAAATTCATTATTTTGTTATATTGTATAGGCATGACAATCTTGAATGGTTATGACCTTCTGAGAAGGTAATCTTGTTGTGACGTACTGAGCTGAGCACACCAAGGATTCTTCCTGCAATGTGCACTGATTAGAAGCAGTTAGGGCCATCTTTCTGGATGGGCTGCTACTGCTTATGAGTATTTTTCCTCTTCTCAGGATGTCACTACATCAAGGATTCTCAGGAGTGCACAGCCATGTGAGAGCTGCACCTGATTTCTAACTGCATTCACTTATTTAGTTTCTGGGAAACATTTATGCTAAAAACTTGAGTAGGGATAGGAAACCTTTGACCTTCCAGATGTTGCTGAATACTCCCATCATTCCTAGCCATTGGCCACGTTTGCTGGGACTGATAGGAGTTGTAGTTCAGCAATATCTGGAGGGCCAATGGTTCCCCAAACTTGTCTTAGGTGGTATCCAATAAAGGCTGAAAAGTGAATAGGGCCTAAATGAGGATCAATTAAGCACATGAATTTGGTGTGGTATCAATGCAATATAAAGATGAGCAAAATAATTAATGCAGCATAAAACACACCTCAAGGTCTGTTTCTACAACATCCACTGGTGTTTTAGGTTGCAATGTAACAATACTTACCTGGAAGTAAGTCCCATTGGACTCAGCAGGACTTGTTTGAGTAGTCAAACATAATTTTTTTGCTATTAGTGAGTTATGATAGAAAGTAGCATTTTACAGATAACCTCGACTTGATTTATATAACCTAATCCACTACCAAATTTTCAAAACATTAAAGGCTGAGAAAATTTATCTTCCAAATTAGCCATCAAAAAGATTTATTTTCAATGTACCTTCACATTTGTCATCAAAATTAGAAATGGATTTTGCCTTGCTTAATTATATTGTTTAAAGAGCTACATTACATTGAGAAAAATAACACTGTCACTCTTTTGAATATTAAAAATTATTTTTTACTGCCTGTTTCTTTTGCAGCAAAACTTACTAAGAAGCCTCTTGTCTGAAGTTTTTTTTTTTAGTTAAAAAAAATGTGACCAAAGCTCAGAGCATCTTGTGACTATGCTTTCAAAGGGCAGGCCAGAGTTTTCATGATCATTTAGATGTTGCAATGCCAATGAGGGAGAGCAAACAACTGTTTACTTTCTGAAATGTCATAATACCGATCAGAGTTCAAAAAGAGAAGCTACAGTTAATGTTTGACAAATAGTACTATATCATTTTACAGTTCTGAGGACTTCAGTATAATTATTAATAACAGCATATTTTACACGGATAGAGCAGCTTGAAGATAAGGTGCAAATTTTTAGTGAGGGAAAGTAGTAAAGCCAAAACCACCAGCTCCTAATAAGAGCCTTCCTATTTTGTTCCATGCTGTATTCAGTTGTTGTAGCAGACTAATATGACATACATATATATTGGTTAAATAATGCCTAAGTGTTTTTCATTGATGCAGTTAACTGTAAATATATTTTGTAAGAATTAAAGTGCACATTTGTACATAAATACTTGAAATGGTGTAAATACTTTATGAGAAATCTGTTCTTATAGATATATAAAATGCTCTGATGGATTCACTCACTCATGAAGGCATCAAAATGGTTAGGATCTTGCACAGAACTAGGAAGACTGGACATTTGCACACCACCCTAATCTTCAAGCACTGCAAGATTCCAGGGGCGGCAGGTGGTTTCCCAGGGTTTGGATTCCTTGGAATGATTATGGATTGCTTACACCCATATACAGCCCTGAGCCTACAGCACCCCAGAAGGTCTTGCTTCTCCCATAGCCACAGCCTTGAACTCAAGCAGAAATCAAGCATGGTTTTCCTTCTCAGGCCAGAAACCTGCCTCCAGCTTCTAGCTCTCTCACACACCACTCTGCCTCTGTCCTTCTCACCAACAGCTGGAGAGGGGCCCACTCATTTGCCTTCTGGCACAAAGCCACTTAACTTTTTTACCCTAAGGGGGGCATTAACTCACCAAGAAGCTGGCCTGGCTATTCCAACAATTGAATTCTTGCTGGGTCTAGGAATTAGAAGGGACTTTAGCATACAGCCTAACCTCCACCCCACCAAATTACGACACACTATTGTCTGAGGTGCTCCTTAAATGTTACCTAACCATGCCACTTTTCATTACTTAACCATACAGATGGGCTGGAATTGCATGGATGCTAACCTCAGACTCCATATTCTGGGGGAATGCTGATTCTATGGGTTAGGGTTCCCAGGTGCACTCCATGTGCTTACAGAAAAGCAGTTCCCTCACAGCTAGGGTAACATTTTTTAAAGAGACTCTTAACAAAACTGAACAGAGTTGCAGATTCAAAGTATACCCCCCGCAAATAGTGGAGACACTTCTAGGGTCCACAGAAGACAAATATTTGACATAAACTGTAGTCCACCACACTTACCAGAAAAGTCTTAATTGGGGACAAGATGACAACACCCCAGGTGGTCAAGGTACTTTCAGGCCATTCAGAATACCAAAATCTATTACACACGTAGAAAGTTCTGAAAAGCTAGACATTTTCCTAGCCTTCAATCATATATGAAACTTTCCTTATTTTAACCAACATTGGTTAAAATTGGTTATAGGGTCAAATCGTTCTGATTCATGGGCTGCATTGAGTAAAACTACTGCAAATTTAATACTGAATGTAACACTGAAGTAAAAGTCATACTATATGAACAGTAGTGCAATGTATGAGCTTTGGGAGAAAGTGTTGCTGACCCAGCAACACCAGTGACCATTATACTGGGTCCCAGGGCAAGCAGAACCCAACTGCTCAATCATGTGGGTCACTCACCAATTCTGTAGCTCAAGATCAAGGCATTAAGCTGAGGGCCTATGGAAGTATAGAAATATATTCTATTTAAATCAGTGGGAATTTGTTCAGGACAAGTATGTTCAGGTCGAGTATAAAACGTGTTTCTATTTCTTCCTGCATTGAATTAAAGAAGTTTCAGCAGCGGAAGGTAACTTGAAAGGCGGAGATATACAAATAAATATTTATCATAGAGATAATGGGTCATTTCAGAATAAGCAGTATGTGTAAATTATGTGTGAAGATTTTGATGAAAATCATATTAAAATATATAAAAATGGCGGGATCCTTTATTGTCACTAAATGAGTGATTTAGAATGTTTTACTTTAAATAATTTTTGTTCATAAAAATTTGCTGCCTGTGTTTCAACGCAGCACTTATTGCAAAAGATAAAAACTTTCAAAAATTCAGTAGCAACTATGAGAATCCAATATGTACTCTTAAACTAGTCATGATATACTTTTTATATGTGTGTTTTAAAATGAGGGGCATATATCCAACTGTGGGACATCCACTATGTGTGTGTGTATAAGAGTGAAGCCTTAATCCTGCTTTTTTCGAATTTAACAAGTCTTTCACATCCTTCCATTTTGTCACACACTTTGCCCTATTTACAGTCTTCTGTTCCTGGCTGGCGCTTCAAGATCCTTTCACACCCGATCTAAGACTGGCTGTACGTGAGTGAAGGGAGCAATGTGTAATCCTGGCCCCAGGACTTACTGTCTTGGGCATGCCTCTCTTTCCTGTGCACTGACGGGATAACACCCTAAGCCTTGTTTCAGCTGACATGCTTTGATCAGCAATCTATCTATTCCCTGATGGGTCCATCTCCCCCACAATGCCGGCTAACACTGTTAGCAAGCTGACATGTATCATGCAAGCAGCCATTAGAGGGCAGTCGCAATTCAGGAAGCAGAAGGGCGGTGAGAGCTGCTGCAGCTGCTGGGGAACCGTGCGGCTAACTTCTCAGAAGACCGCGTCTCTTCCGCTCTCCTAAGCAAGAACCCTATTTTGACACCCATGCAGAGACTGGCCGCCGAAGCACAAATTTCTGAGGTAACAATGGGAGAAAGCAACATGTTAGAAAAGGAGAGAAGGAGCATAGTCCACCTAAATGGGGCCTCCCAAGGTTTTTTTCCGCCCTTCCGGACAAGGCCTCATCATGGCACCTATGTTATAAGGCGGGCCTACTATGGTCTCAGGGCTGATAATAACCCGATATCGGGTGTCCTTTGAAACTCTATATCCCCTTTGTCCACGTGTCTGTTAAAACGGCTCAATGCGATTTACACCGAAGGAAAAAAAAAGCATACAAACACAATTATGCTTGAGACACAATGGCCCAGCTCCTTGCCTACCCTACACAGAAAGCAAATTCAATCGCTATCCGCAAGCCACACCTAAGAGAAGTGTTTGCAGAAAGAAGGGTAAAAGATGTGCAGGCATTTAATGAATTAAACGTTTCCGTCTGCGTTCAGAACACAGTCCGGAATCCTGTTTTCCCCTGATATTTTTCCTCTCCCCAAACCGAGAGGACTAGAGACTTCACAGTGCAGTTCAAACTAGGCAGCAAATCTGAGTTCAGTGGGGTTTATTATGGTCAGTTAAGCGAGCAGGGGACGTATATGCCATTCCACAAGGGAGCTTCGGAACTGAAGGGGGTTGTGCTGTGCATATATCCATTCCCCACAAGCCGTCTTTGGGGAGCCCAGTTCTTGCGCCTTCACGCGACAGGAGGGCAGTGGTGAAATATTAGGTCTTGGCGAGCCCCTCACAAACGTGCCACTTTAAGCCTTTCGCGGGGAGGCCCGCCAGCGCTTAAAAGAAACTGGCGGTCGAAAAAGCGGCTTCCGCGACGCCTCCAGGCAGCCAGGCAGGCGGAGGGAAGAGGAGGAGGAGGAGGCGGCGGCGGCGACGACTCTTGTTCAATAACAATTCACGCCGGAGGGGAGGGGGGGACTATTGCCATGGCAACCCCGGCCTGCCTGTTGGGAAGAGGCCGCCGCGGCGGCGGCCTAAGACCTACATGGAGAGCGGCGGCGGTTTGACCGGCTTGGCCTCCGGGAGCCCTGAAGATCCCGGCCCGGCCCCGAAGCTTGCGACCGACCTTCCCGTTCTCCCGAAAGGTAGTGGCTGGGGCTCTAGGCCGCACCTCGAGGCGAAGGGCGGGCGTGGTTTTATTTTTGCGAGGTGGGGGCCGGGATTCCGATTGTCGGGGACATAAACGCCGAGAAGCCGGCGCGGGGCTGAGGCTTGAAGAGTCGCCTCGCACTGCTCCTCTTCCTCCTCGGGGCCCTTAAGGCCTCGCCTCCCTCTGGCGCCCTCAGTATCGCGACGGTGGGATTTCCTTTAATTGTACGTAATATAAATATGAAAACACGTTATTATTTGCATGCCGACTTCCTTAAAGTTTCCGAAGTGGTAACAAAAACCAGCACCGGTACGTTGCTTTCAATGCATTCAGAAAACCACAAAATAATGGCCTACAATTTATATTTTGCGTGAGGCTCGCCGTGAATAAATACCCTTTTATTCCAAAGTAAGCCCTCCTGCGTTATATGGGGCAAGTAAGACTTGTGTTGGGTCGCAGCCTAAAATGCCAAAGGGCAGGTGAATTAGGCCGCCAATAGATAGGTATTTTTTTATTTATTCGTGGCAAGAGGGGCCATCTTGCAGGAGGGTGTAGCAGAGTTATGGGGCCATGTGAAAAAAGGCCTTTGATGGAAAATAACCTGAACAGAATGGAGGATACAGAAGGAAACGCTCCTATAATCAAACCTCAGACAAACCTTGACCATCTGCCATTATGGCTGGAACGGGTGGGAGTTTGAGGCCAACAAAACCAGGAGGGCCACAAGTTCTCCATCTCATTTTTAGGGCATTTTACTGCACCAATAGCAGTAGGGGCAAAACACTAGGTACTGGTAGGTAGCTCCCATGCGGTACTGCAAAAATTAAATGTACCTTTTCCACCACCAGAAGTCCATTCATTCTTCACTTCAGGCCTTTGAATCATCCTCATCCATAGTGTAGGCAGCACATAGTGAAACCAAGCTGAGACGTGTGTCTCCCCAAAGTTTTAGTCACACTTGCAAAGTCATATATTTCAAGGGGTCACAGCACTCATTCTTCTGTCCTCTTAAGGGGCAAGCTTTCATGGCCTTCTCAAATACTGTACTCAAGGAAGTGAATAATTAAGTGAAGACAAAAGACAGGATAAACACTGTCTTATGCTCTTGTTCCCAGTACTTAGGGTGATAATTGTTCTCTATATGTTGTTCCATTGCTCTTTCAGAAGTACAACAGTTTGCTGCCATGAATGAGGAACCTGCCACTATTTGTTTCAATGAAGATGATTATTACTGTCCTGTTTGCCAAGATGTGTTTAAAACACCTGTGAGGATTTCTGCTTGTCAGCATGTGTATGTATCTATGTCTCTGGCCCATTTTTATTTGCCCCTCCATTGTTAATTATATATTTTCTCCCTTCCCTCATACTCTTCCTATCTAACTGATCTCAGTAAACATTTGTATTTTTAAGGAGGATGTTCTCTTGTTAACCCCACTTTTGAGGAGGATGCAACTACTTTTACGTATGCTAAACAAGTGCCAATTCATAAATTTTTGTAAGTGCTTCTACTCTCGTATATGCTGCATAAGATACTTTTTCTTGAAAAATCACCACAGAAGCCCTCCATGAAGTTTCTGCTTGCTTGTTAAAATACATCTACTGCGTCCTTTTGAGTTCTGTTTGTTCCCATACACAGCACAAATTCGAACATTTGCTAAGCTTTACTAAGCATCTTCAGTGTTGTAATCCAGATAATCTTAAAGCTACTCAGAATGGAAATAATTCCAGTTTTTGGATGTAGATAAGAATAGCCTTACTGCACAATATCTCATAAAAGCAAATTCCATAAGTTCATTACATGCTATGTGATAGTTTTTTTTTAAAGAATGTATTGAATCTTCTGTCATTCAGTTTCATTGGATGACCTTGAGTTCTAATATTATGAGAGATGGAGAAAACTTCCTTTCACTTTTTCAACATAAGCATAATTTTATAAACCTACACAGTGATTCCTACCCATCCTCCCTCATTTGCCGTTTTCTTCACTATTAAAAGCCCCAAATGTGATGACTTTTCTCATCAGAAAAGTGCTCTAATCACTCTGGTAGTTATCTGTATCTTACTATTTCAGATCTGGCTCAAGTGCAGATCTATATAAAAGTGGTTTTTTTTGAAAGGCGGTTTAATTTTGAATGTATTTTGTAATTATCCTTGGTGTACAGTTTGCCCTTTTCACAGCTGGTGTGCACTGGGTTCATTTTTCATTTTGTACTCTGTCATAACCCCTCAATATCTTTCTTGGTGAGTAACTGGCAGTTTTGATTCCCTGAAGTTAGGTTTTTTTTGTCTCAGTGTACATCACTTTGAATCTCCTTTGTCACCCCCACCTCCCATTCACATAGTTTTGATATGTTTGGGAAGTCTGCTTAGATTTTTACCATCCTCAATATATACTGTAATCTGCAAATTTCACTGCTTCACTGCTCTCCCCAACTTTAAATCATGAGTATATGAGTTATCACAGACTGGTGAAAGTGGCATGCTGTAGTAATAATAATGGGATTAGAATGACTATTAATTGGTAAAGCAGAACATTATTTTTGTACTCAACTTTATATTTGGGTTCAGGTTTTGCAGGAAATGTTTCTTAATGGCTATGAAAGAAGGTGGAACACATTGCCCACTATGCAGAGGCATTGTCACTCGAAAAGAAAAAGCACGTCCTAACAGAGCCTTAGATGTTGAAAACAACATGAAGAAATTGGTGGGGAGCTGTAGATGCTGCGACAAACAGGTATAGTAGATGTAAAATAGTGTTAAAAGTGAAACTCTGTATGCTTATCTAGAAGTAAGCCCTTTTGAAAACATGCATAGGATTACATTGAAATAATATTTATTGCGGACAGGTGGGTAGTGCACCATCATCTGCTACCACATTTTACATTATGAAGATTCTGAGAAAAAGCAGACTGACTTTGAATAACAAACAAGTGTTGCAACTAGGCACTGATAGAATGTATTCCTTCACTTTTTTTGTTGTGATTTGGGAGCACTCTAGTAAATTAAAACTGTTAATAATACTGAAGAAGACGTGGAGGTACAAGAATGGCTTGAGCAGTGACTGTAAGACTATCTTAACCAGTATACACTTTGAATTACCTGATTGAAGCTAAAGCAATCCCCAAATATACAAAGAAGCAGCTAACCATATGTGCATTAACTTTTTATCTATCTTAAGGTCTTGGGAAGCTCAAACCATAGAATACTGTAGAGTTTTATGATCTGTCACCTGATCTGGTTGTTTAACTCCTGTGTTGAGCTCAGTAAAACAAAAATATTTATAAGGCATGTAAGAAAATATGTGTTAATGCTTAGTTGAATGAGCTTTCAGTATTGCAAATCAAGGGAATTTAGAAGAAAGTTTTGTAAACTAGTTGACATGATTTTCCCCAACTAGTCACAGGAGTAATTTTTTTACGTAACTATAGGATTGCCCATAAATGAGATTCAACTCTAAATGAGACACAACTTTATTTACAGATAAGATTCTCGCGTATGAGACAGCACTATAAATCGTGTAAAAAGTATCAAGATGAGTATGGTGTTTCTTCTGTAATTCCAAGCTTAGACATATCTCAGGATTCAACAGGAAACAGGTAAATACCTATTTGCAAGCAGCTTTATACATTTTAATGCTTGCTTTTTTAAAAAATGTCCCAAACTATTGTATATTGCGTTCTTTAGATTTGGCATGGGGGAAGTTGTTAAACAATGTAGCTTAGAATTTATTCACAGGGTGGTTGAAGTGTGACAGTAAAGTACATTTTATTATGTTATATCCAAATGAGAACTTCTGACACAATGTTATAATTATCTTTTAGGCTTTGGAACTTAGTTCTGATTATGAAATGCCAAAAATCACTATTTAAATCAACAAAAATTACTTTGTGTATTGCAAACCTTTGTTTTGTTTGCAGTATGGGCACCAGGCTTCAGCGGCCCTTGGCATAATGGTGATAGTGCTCCTCCTTAAACAAAGGCAGGGCTCATTCCTGCTTTAGGTGGCAGCTACATCCTTCTCTGCTGCTTTGGTGGTCCCAGTGCCACTCACTGTCCTCCACTCAGATGCACTTCCATGGGCATGCAGCAGCACTTTTGAATGGGAGCTAAGCTCAGCTTCATCCATGGTGGCCACCCAACACCTTATGCAATGTTTCTGAAGTAACTTTTTTTTTATAAAAAAAATATGTTTATTTAGATAAGAACATCTATAGTCCAATTCTAAACATGCATTTTTTGAAAGTAAATCCCACTAGTATCAATGGGATTAATTTAGTCCTCATACTGCTTTGAATTGCAACCCCTTCTGTATTTAATTTGAAAATAAATTCTCACGCTTTGTATGAAGTTTTAGAAGTGACTCTTCTACTTCGGAAGTTGGAGAAAATTCTAATCTACATGTTCCTGAAGAAGCTACAAGGTAGGACTACCTTTGAAATCAGTAACTATGTGGTTTTAGGTATTGGTGGGAAGGAGTGCCAACAAATGAAGGAAATCTTCAGTAGAAGACAAATTTCAAAACAAATATCATAGAGCAGTGGCTCTGATGTATACTCATGCAGGGACTTTAATATGTGAATCCCAAGCTTTGAATAAGGAGATGCTTCCTTACTGATTTCCAGGTGACAAAGTAAATAAAAAAGCTATTTCTCATCAGAACATTATGCATGCATTGACTGCCTCCTGGGGTTTGGACTGGGGCCCATTTGGCTTGCTTTATCTACCTTCAGGTCTTTTCACATATGTGTCAGGCATGGAGAATTATATTCCTGTATCAGTAACCTGAATATTTTGTATAAAAGTGGTTTTCAGCCTTTTTGAGCATTGGAAACCCCTAATGTGAAGGTAGCACAAAGCACATCATGCTATAGTTATACTCCAAAACAAGTCAGAATTCAAAATACTCTTTTGGATTTTATCAAAATTCAAATTTTGGGTTTAAAGTATTAAAACAGATTTGTGTCAAGGTGAAGTATAAATGAAGTATATGATACCTTATAATATATTTAGGTCAGGTAAAATCAGGAAAATGGAATTTGATTTGTTTCTTAGAAAAATATATTCCAGAGAAAACAACTTTTTATATTTGAAGCAGTACAAAGTAATCCTATGATTTACTGCAAAAGCTGCTGGTGATAGATGAAAGAGATCCTGTTGAAAGACTAGGTAATCTTAAGAAAACACCCCAAAAAAGCCTTAAACTGAAAAATACAAAGCATGACATCTCTTGCATTGGCTTAGTATATATTCTGTTATTCTTTTGTTTTAAATAGCACTGTAAACTGCCCTGAGATATTAGGAACAGACTATATACAGTGGTACCTTGGGTTAAGTACTTAATTCATTCTGGAGGTCCATTCTTAAGCAGAAACTGTACTTATCCTGAAGCACCACTTTAGCTAATGGGGCCTCCAGCTGCCACCGCACCGCCGGAGCACAATTTCTGTTCACATCCTGAAGCAAAGTTCTTAACCCGAGGTACTATTTCTGGGTTAGCGGAGTCTGTAACCTGAAGCGTATGTAACCTGAAGCATATGTAACCTGAGGTACCACTGTAAATACCTTAAATAAATCAGCAAGCGCTTGGGCAACAGAAAGGAAGAGATGCCAGGGATTAGGCTGGCATTTATGCCTCAACCATGGTCGCACTTACTTTGATTCTGATAGAATTTGCTTCAGTCATGTTTTCTTCCAAGTAGACATTTATTGTATTGGACAACACGTGTTCATATTGGAAGGAACAATGTAATAGATTAGGAGGTATTTCAGTGATTTTAAGTCAGAACTTCTAAGATCCTCAGAAAAGGGAGGATCCAGACTTCTTCAAATGAACAGATTTAAAGGTCATTTGAGTCTCATTATTAAGTGGGTGTTATTTCTGTGCAGTGTAAACATGAACGAGACGATTCCACAACACTTGTGTATTGATTTTTAAAAGGGATACTCAAAACATGATAATAAAAAACCATGCTTTTGTCATGTTCAGGTCAGGTCCTCTAGCAAATTCTCCAAATGTACACTGGCTAATCCAGCTGTTCCTTCTACATCCCACACCCTCTTTACTGTATACATACCAGCTGCATTCAAATATGTTAAATTTTGACTTAGTGCTACATGAATCCACTACAGCAAGCCTCAAGCCTGTGTGCTTCCTCCCTCCTCCTGAATGCCCAGGGGGAGGAGGGGAATCATTCATGTGCAAGACTCATTGTGTCTCATACACATAGGATTTAGCCATGGTCTAGTGTTATGTACAAATGTGGCCACTGTTCCTCAATATGTGTTTTGGTCTCATTTTATGCATTTCCTCCTTTTGCTGAAATTAATGAGGAAATGATTGTGTGTGACAGAGTTTCTTGAAAATGTAACATGCTGTTGCAGGGATTTTCATCCATGTGTGCCTCTTTCTCATATTTGTTTTCAGTGGACAGCCTACATTCAAATGCCCTTTGTGTCAAGAAAGTAACTTTACAAGGCAGAACTTATTGGATCACTGTAATGATAGGCACCTTTATCAACTAGTTCCAGTAGTGAGTATGTGTATATAAAAAAGAAAGTTTGTGAAGATTTTATCCTAGTATGTGTGAATTAAGAGCTCTTTTTTTTGAAATTATCTTAATTCTATGACAATAGCAATATCTTCAGAAAGAATGAGCCACCCTCTACTCCCTTCAGTAATGGATCTAGCAGTTACAGCATTTCCCTCAGTTTTATACTGAATGACATTTCCCCTTTTCCAATCTTTTTTTTTTTTAAAGTACTTAGATCTGTAATTACAAGACATGTTTTCCAGGGACGCGGGTAGCACTGTGGGTAAAACCACAGAGCCTAGGACTTGCCGATCAGAAGGTCGGCGGTTCGAATCCCCGTGACGGGGTGAGCTCCCGTTGCTTGGTCCCTGCTCCTGCCAACCTAGCAGTTCGAAAGCACGTCAAAGTCCAAGTAGATAAATAGGTACCGCTCCGGCGGGAAGGTAAACGGCGTTTCCGTGCGCTGCTCTGATTCGCCAGAAGTGGCTTAGTCACACTGGCCACATGACCCGGAAGCTGTACGCCGGCTCCCTCAGCCAATAAAGTAAGATGAGTGCCACAACCCCAGAGTCGGTCATGACTGGATCTAATGGTCAGGGGTCCCTTTACCTTTATGTTTTCTTAAAGGACTGCCCTTCATTCTATTTTTTCTCAAGCTGTTGCACAATACATTGCTATTAGACACATTTAAGTCCATTTGAGTTCAGTGGAAGTACTAAGCACTTAAGGAGTGCCCAGCTTGGGCAGGATGGTCCCCTGTTTTACAAGTAGTGCCCAGTATTGTTTAAATGGGAGATATTAGAGACATACACTCTTTTAAAAACTTTTTGTCTTAAGTCCCATTTTTCAAGTTTTTTTGTAAAAAGATTTCTTAAGATTGAGGGCAGAAATAGACAAGTAGTATCTTCTTTAGAAACATAAATGTTCAGTGTCATTTCCTTTAAAGAATTTAAAGTATGTGTAGTTAACTTTTTAAGTTTAATCTCTTCTATTCACATTCCTTCCAGGAGTATCCTTTTGTTTTAAGAATGTGTCCATTTTAAAGGATTTCTTTGTAGTATGATTTTCATAGAAACTAATGTTGATCTACTATCTAGTTATGCAATTTATGCGAGCAATTGTCTGCCTCTTTATTCTCTCTCTCTCTTTTAAAGATCTGTCCTATTTGTGTCTCTTTTCCATGGGGAGATCCTAACCGGGTTACTAGAGATTTTGTTGGCCATTTAAATCTAAGGCATCAGTTTGAGTATGGAGATTTTATGGTAAGAGCTTTTCTTTTGTTCTTGCGCCCTATTTAAAATGTTGTCATTTTTTAATCTCTATGCTGGAAGACTAAATTAGAGCCCTATTCATCTTGGATTAATTTGGGTAAAAGCACCTTCTATATTAGATTGCCAGATTTAAATTACCTAGAAGCCTTGCTTTACCCAAGTTTTACAGCTGCCCTGGTAAATTGTGAAATCTCTTTCCTAGGTAGATTTTGAGAAAAGGCTAGAAAAGCACTTAGGGGATTTTGTGCATTTAAAACACTTCTACCCTGCTTTAGGCATAAAGGTTCCAAAGTCAGTTTATACCTCAATAAACCATGCATTCACTAGTCTCTACCCTCAAGCTTACCATTTAAAAGATAGGACACACAAGGAAAAAGATGGGAAAGGACAGGAAAAGCAGACTTGGTCACTCTTCTCAAAAGTTACAGTTCATATAACAACCAGCTAAATTGGAAGTTGTTCAGGCAGCTTCATGGAATGACTGCTGTTGAGAGAGAACGAGCCAGTCTCAACAAACCTGATGAGAATAGATAGCCCTTCTTCTCTCCTCTCCACTGGTCTGTAGCCTGACAGCATGGCTGTGGTGATAGTGAAAGACAGATGGTGTCTCAGCAGGTCTAGTTTCTCCCCCTGTCAAATGTCAACTGTTTACTTCTGCTGCCTGGCTGGGGAACAGTCTGTGGTGCTGGGATGCCAACAGGATTTCCTGGACCTGTTACACTTTACTTAGATTGGGTCCTCTGCAATCCCCCCAGCAGTCTGTTGGAAGAATTTAGGCTTAAGTGCATATATTACCTTAACTTATATCTTACAGGGCCATTACAAAGATGAAAGGGAGAATAATATACACAACCTTGAGCTCCTCACTGGAAGAGCAAGATATAAATATATATCACAGATCATGTAAACAAAAAGAAACATGCTCAAATCCAGAAAAGCCGTTCCCATCTTGCTTTAACTGCAATGTTCCATAATCTAGGGTTGCCATATGTCCAGAATTTCCTGGACATATCCAGAATACTGCAGCTGCAAGCAGTGTCTGGGTGGAAATGGGTGAAATGTCCTGGAAAATAGGAAAGGGGGGGGAGGGAAATCCATTTTTTTCTCAGTAAGTAGTAAGTAAGAAATTCAGTAAGAAATTAATTTATTTCACCGGAGTTATTTCTGAGTAAAACATATCAAAACCAATTCTGTTTTATACCCCCTAAATTTCCGCTGAATTAATACCAAATAACATAACTAATAATTGCTCCTTAACATTATCTCAAGTAAAAATACTGTTCCAAAACAACATTGCTTGCTTTTCCTTTAAATGTCCTGGTTAGATGTGAATCATTGCCATAACATCACTCATAATCAACATTTTGCAACCATTCATTTCTGGAAATGTTTTGGGGGAGGTTCCAGTTTTTAGTAATTCATTTTGCTGTTACTAGCATGTTAATTGCCGGAATGACAGCCTTCTTTTCTAAAGGATCACTTATATCATTTAGCAGACTATTCATATACATTTTCCCATTGTGTGCTCTTTGTTGTAGTAATTAGTGCAGAGTACATGCTGAACTGTAGAGTGTAATAACTTGGTCTGGGGGGAAATTCTAAACCATTTTTGTTGTTGTTTGTATTTAGAATCCTCAGCTGGATGAGGAAACTCTGTTCCAAAATGCTGTTGAGGAATCTTGTCAAGAGAACCTTTGAAATCTCTAATTTGTTCACATCATTGCTTTCTGCGAGGGGAGAAGCTGCATCAGTGGTCTCAGTGTTAATAAAAGGGAACCCTTGTATCCCGTTTAACTGTATAGCAGTATTACTTTCCCTTGAATTTATTTTAAAATGCTTTTTATTTAAACTAACAAAAAAGCATGTTATATTATAATACTTTAATATGGGGTGTTTTTCCTCCACATAATATTAGAAATATTTCAGATATCTGGCAAAAACGTTACTGTCTTTGAGATAAAGCTATTAAGAGCCATTTTGCATCATTTGTTTTGTTATTTTTAAAGAAGTGTTACACTATAGAGATAAAATTGCACTGGGACAAAGTATTGACATACAGATAGTAAGGACAGGGTGGTGTTTTTTATTCTTTTTTGGATGAGTTAAAAAACTTTTCTTCTATGCTTACTAAATCTATGTTAAAAGCTAAAAAACCCCAATAATTTCTAGCCCAATACTATTCTAGCCCCAGCCAGTGTTTACATAAAAGAACATGCACACAGGGGTTTTCTCAATGCTGTCAAGAATCTCTTAAGTAGCCACAATCTGGAGGCTTCCTAGCTATGGCATACTTACTACTTGGCCATTTTCTAGACACCAGCCACTTACTTGTAAAGTAGCCTATCTTAAATTGATAGGTTTAATTTATTTTATTCAGAGATTGGTTACTTACTGCTTTTTGGATTGTATCATTATTCACTTGAGAAAGTTTATAAAAACTTTTTCCAGTTCTTTAACAAAATTTGGGATAAAAAAGTCAGAATAATGAGCTGCAAGTATGTTGAAAATACTAACTGACTAAGGAAGTTTTATGGTAAGAAATAAAGAAGTCTTTTATTGGAAGTGCTGTTTTGGTCTTGGGCCAATACCAGCTTAATCTGATTTTAGATATGAGCTTTCTGTTAAATTATCTACTGAACACTTGTTTCAAAGCCAAGTCCTGGAAACCATGGGAATACCTGTGCATCTTCAAAAGCCATTGTACATTTGAACACTCTAAACATGGGGTTACCACTTCATGAGTCTCAGTGCCCAAACAATTCTTGTCTAGGAAAGGGTGCAGTTGACATTCCACCCAAAGCTGATGGTAGGCTCTCTGCCATGGAGGCCACACTGGACAAAGATTGTTCCATAAATACTCCTAAACTCTCTGCATGTTCCTTTAGAGTGCAATCCAATCCAGAACAGGCAAGTCCCAAATTCTCAGGCATGGGAATTGGTCATCCAGAGCATCCTTGTCTTAGCAAAATTCAGCTTCACTTTTTTGGTCCACATCCTACCCACCCTGATTCCAGACACTGCTTCATCTTGTGCATGCCCTCTTGACTGAGAACTAACAAAGAGCAGGGTGTTATCAGCACATTGATGACACTGCCCCAAGTCTCCTGATGACTGCTTCTGTTGGCTTCATATAGCTGTTTAATAACATAGGGAATAAAATAGTGTTGTGCAGTACCCCACAACTAAATCACAAGGGTACTGATACATAGTCCCTCAGTACTGTTATCTGAGACTGGCCCTACAAATAGGAGTGGAACCACCATAGAGAAGTTCCTTCAACATCCAATTCACAGAAGGTACCATGGTCAGTGGTATCAAAGCTGCAGAGAGATAAGCAAGAGCAACAAAGTTGCACTCCCCATCTCTCCTCTGGGGAATATTATTCATAAGAGCAACCAAGGCTGATTTTGTGTTAAAAACATCCTGAACCCTTATTGGAGTGGGGTCAGTTAATAGTTTTCTTCCAAGAGTGTCTACAGCTGCATTGCCACAATCCTGAAGCACCTTGCCCATAAAGGGTATTAGACACTGGGTAGTAGTTGCGCTATTGGTATAATTAGGAATGAGCAGATTCCCTCAGTACCATGTCATTGTTGCCTCTTGTCTCTGTAGCCTAATGCAATATTAGGTTGCTTTAACAAATGCTTAGTATGCAAGTCATGTGTGGTAATAGTTCTACTCTATTCTGTGCTGGCCAGGCTGCTTCTGGAGAACTGAGGTCAGTTCTGAGTGTCTAGCACAGTGTGATCAGGTTAGTCCCCCCCCCTTTTTAATTAATTTCATTTTTCACATCACACATAAAACAACATATTCACAACACACAAACCATATTGCTTAAAAATATCAACTCAGATTCTTACAGTACACTCCAAAAAAAATCTTTCCACATATTACCATGCAATCTCGGTGTGTATGTGTGGGTATAAATATAATCTTGATGCATATACTCCAAAAAGTTGTCACACACAGAAAAGAAAGGGGTTAGAATTCCCTTTGGTTGCATGAATCTGGCACATCAGCTTTTCATCCAGGGCTATTGTCCATGCTCGGAGCACCTATTTCCGCTGAGAGGAAGAACATTAAGAGTTATTTATGAGCAACTGGTGGAATAGACATGGTCTTTATTCCAAGTAAAGCAAGTTGAGGGGAAGGTTGTAGGTCCATTTTGTATATTAAAATCAATTCTTTAAATACCAAAACCCAAAACTGATAAAACATGTCCCAAACTTAGGATCTTCCAATTCTATAGCCACTGCTTTCCTCCTGGATCTTGAATCAAAGACACCAAGACTTGGAATGCCTTATAGTATATAAGCAAGTGGCACACTCCCAGACCAGATTTTAAATTTATCTTTGCCAGATTTTAAATTGTTAGGCATTATAGTTATTGGCAGGACCTGAAATAGGCAGAGAAACTTCAGAAGGATCAACTTACTCATAGCCACAATGTGGCTCAAGCAAGAAAGGTTTAGACTTTCCCAGGATTTCAGTTCCTGTCTAACTTGAGATAACAAGGACTCAAAATTTGCTTTCCTTAAAGAGTGCAAGAATTTTGATATAAATATTCCCAGATATTTCAGCTTTTGAGGACAGATTGTAAAACCCTCAATGCTTTGTATGAAAGTTTGAGACTGGTAAGACCACAATAAACATAATTTCAGATTTGGTTTCAGAATTATTCAGTTCTTTAATAACTTCAGGTTTTGCCAATTCTGGTTTTGATAACATGAAATCTATGCCATCTGCAAAAAGGTTAGTATGCATTTTACTTTAAATTTTTTCACTTTCTATATTCACATTGTTTCTAATGACAGTTGCCAATGGTTCAATAGACAAGGCAAATAAAAGCAGAGACAAAGGACAATCTTGTTTTACTCTTTATAGAGGTTTCTGAGTTGAGACCATTGCACAGACTGTAGCAAAGGAACGTTTGTATACTTCAAAAGTTGAGTTAATAAACCACTCTCATGTTAAGTCTATATATCAGTGATTTAAAAAACGACCAACTCAGCCTGTCAAAGACCTTGTAAAAATCCCATGAGATTATTGCAAGTGGCTTACCTTTCTTTTTACTCTAATAAATGACATTCAATAGGTGTCTTACTGGATCCACTACGCCAGCGATACAGAAAGCCTACCTGGTCTGGGGAGATAAAATTTGTAATGAACACATTTAATCTGTTTGCTAAAATGGCTGTATACATCTTAGCTTCTTGGTATAACAGGACTAATTTGATGCCACAATTCCTCTAGGTCAAGGTTTCTTCTAGCTTTTGGTAGTACTGTTATTTTAGATTGATGCCAGTAATACAGTGGAAGTTCCGCCAAAAGAACTTCATTAAACAACTTGGCTAGATGGGGAGACAGTTCATTTCTAAAATGTTTATAGAATGTTCCTGTAAAACTGCCAGCCTCTGGTGCTTTGTATCCTCGTAGTTTTTTAATAGCCATTTGCACTTCCTTTAATAGATTTATTCGAAGACTGCATATGATCCATTTCTACCTGTGTTAATGAAGTTTATCTAAATAGTCATTGATAGCAAACACAGACGTTGATGGTGAGCTGTGTAATTCTGAATAAAATTTATTAAATAATCCACTTTTGTCTTTTTCTTTGTACTGAAAAATGCCAAAAACATTTTTTATGTGTAGCACTCTTCTATAGGCAACCTTTTCTTTGTTGGTTTGTTTGTTTTTGTTTTTATTAAAGATTTTCTTGGTTTAGTACATGCCTTGTGTCTTTTTTTCAGGTTATACAGTCTTTCTTGCAAATCACTTACATTCGTTGTGATACATTAGTGTTGATACTGTATATAAGGTTGGGAAAGAAAGTGGGAGAGGGTGGGGTGGTGAGGCTTATATTCTTATATATAGTGTACGTGTGAGGTTTTGTGTCAGTGTCAACTGGGTAGGTTCTCTTTCTGTTTGTTTGTTTATTACATTTCCTTACTAGTGAGAGGTATTGGGGGGCAATATTATTTCTTTGGTGGAGGATGTTATGTTACCATCTTTTTTTAGTGACAGTCTATTATTGTTTTGAGTGATTTCCCCCCTGCATATATTTGCTAATAGTCTGGAGTTCTTTCTTCCATATTCAAAAAAGCATTGTTTAGAGCGTAAGATATTAATCATTGTTTTATTGATTTCTAGAGAGTCAATTTTTGTTCTTTTTTGTTCTGTGAGTTTAAGGAGTTGGTTTTTGGGGTTTTTTTGCTCCTGCTTGTTTGTAGTGTGATGACAGGGTCGTAATGTCTTGTTCTAATTTACCAATTTTTGAGGAGGTTTGCTTTTTAAGAGATGCCCTCTCCTTTATGCAGGCTCTTCTGGTGACCACTTTCATTGTCCTTAAAGGTAGTTTTCCAGAGACTCTCTCTAGCTAGTTGGTTTGTGGTTAGGATGGGGCTGAAGGACCATGCTGGGGTAGTTTGTGCTTCCTCTCTTGAGGGTAGCTTCTACTGGGGCATGATCTGTGGTTTTAATGTTACCAATGTTTGTTGTTTCTGTGTGAGCAGAATGCTGTCCAGTCTGGACATGGTGTCAGGACATCCAGACTGGAACGTGGCTGGTGTCTCCCAGGTTCTTTTCTCCCAAGATGTCACAAAGGCCTCAGTTTTTAGCATTTTCAGTAGTTGGTCAGTGTCTCTAATTGTTTGGGGTTTCCCTCTGAGGAAGGTTGCCCAGGGGGTTGTAGGATGGATGTCTTTTAGGGATGCCTCTCATATTGAGGTTGAGGTCACCTCCTAGGATTGTTTACCCTTTGGAGAAGGAATTTGTTTAGTGTTTCCTGGATGAACTGTAGTTGTTTTGTGTTTGGGGCATATATGGAGCCAATTGTCAGTTTAGTTTTGCCATTAGCAAAAATGAATCTAACTTTTTGTGTTTTAGCACTGTTGTGGCTTTAAAATTTAGGCCTCTCCATGGGCCTTTCCTGAGCCAGGTGCCACCCATTGTTGACTGGAGCTGGGTTAGCTCAGGCTTTTGCTTCCTTTGGGTGGGTTGTGGAAGGCAATGTGTGGTTTCACTCACCAGAACAGACACTTGTGGAACAGAAGTAGTGGTCAAAAACTTTTCTCCACAAAGGTCATACTTTTTCTCCATGGGTTTTTGGCTGCATATTTTTTTCTGGAAATGATCACTACATCTTTGGATACTTTGGTTACTTTATAAAGGCAATGCTGCCAAGGGATTGAGAGGTTTGGTAATTTGACATGTGGTACTCCACCAAGTTTTACTCAGAGTAGGTCCATTGAAATTAATGGCCCTAACTTAGTCATTAATTTCAGTGGGTTTATTCTGAGTCAAACTTGTTGAGTACCATCCTTGGTTTTCTTCTGAACATCACATGTAGAAGTTTGATTCTCAGCAGTTGAATGGTACAGTATTGACTTTTCCTTTTCTAACTTCCCTAAAAATAATATGATTCAATCACTAGGGGGCACCAAGCACTTTTGAAAGACATTGCTATAAGATACAATTAAAAAAAAACAACCATCCTGAAAATGTTTTTGTCCTCTACATTCATTCCACAAGTGTTTGTTCTGGTTTTGTGGTGTTTTTTAATTTGCACATTTTTCAGTCAAATGTGTGTCTTGTACAGCTTGTGAATATATCTGCATGACAGTACTGCAAATGAAATGTGTTTTCCAAGAGTGTTCACTGTATATAGAAAAGAAGGAACGTTTGAAGCCCCATGCACAATACCATTGATCCATCTAGCTCAATATTGTGTACACTGACTGGGAGCAACTGCAGGATTTTCAAACAGGGAACACTCCGACTCCTAGTGGTAGACGTTGAGGCAACAAACATTGCTAGTTTTTTCTATGCAGGATAAGACTGCAGTAAACTGGATTTTAACGCATCTCTGATAAACGGAATTTCCCTTTTAGTGTTTTTAGATTTTCTTAATAACCTTTGGCATGATCATAGAAGATGCACAAATGTTCTGCAGGAAACAGCCACCATAACCAGAAACAAAATCATTGTATGTGACAGAACCGGGAAGATTCAAGGCATGCCCATAGGCAAGCTCTCCAACCCAGTGTTCTAGAAATACAACCCACAATCACTCTATGTTGGCACATTGCAACTTACAGGCAACTTAGCAAGACGCCCGTCTTGTTCATCTTGGTAAGGCATGCTGCTATATCTGTTGCAACACAACAATATCAATAGTGTAAAGCTATGTATTGTGTTTAGACTTAAATTTTCTTTCTCTCTTGCACATATGTGGGTATACCACTGTGGATACATAACCAGATTTCCCCCTGGCTATTACCCCTCCCCCAGCCTTTCCAGTTTTTCAACATTGACTTGGAACTTTTTATGGGAATGAAATGGCCAGTAACCTGAGTCATTCGGGGAATCCTCCCATCACAATTGTTGTAACAAAAGTTTACTAGATGATGAGGGCAAGAATCAGCCTGTTGTTGTGAGTACTAGCCCTTTCCCTTGCCAGTCTAATGCTAAGCACTGAGATACTCCTAGAAACTGCTCCAGAGGCGAATTTAGGGCAGCATGGCTGGTTCTGCCACACTGGGTACCAAGCCTATGGGACGCTGCAGGGGGTTGCAACTATGACATCGTGAATTGAGCAGAATGGAAGGTGAGAGGTGGTGTGTGTGTGTGTGTGTGTGTGTGTGTGTTGGGCTGAATTTTGTCCTCGCACGGCATTGCTGAAATGTGAAAGACCAAAGTCTGCCCCTGACAGCTTTGCCACAGCACAGCTTTGTGAAGGGTTGGGAAGGTGTGCTTCATTGAGTCCAGACCCCCCCACGTTCCAAGGAGCAGTGCAAAATTGCCTGCGGGAAAAGAAAGTAATGCTAAAACTTCACTTTAACCTTTTGAGCATACTACAAAGCAGCTTATATCCAAGAAAGCAGGCAATCTGCAATATATGGCAATGACTAATATAAAAAAAATGCACTGATGCAGTTTGCAGTTTTTGTATTTAATTCCATTTCATTCGACTGGTTTTATGAGCAGAAGTCTAGCTATGTGCATTAGACTGATTGCATGGATTACATGTGCCTATAATTCCATTTTCAGTTTTATGATCCCATTTACTAGTTCTCTGAATCTGGTGGCTTTCTCTTGTTAATGTAGGAGAAGTTGATTGGAGAAGGTTATTGATTGCCCTTGTAAGTTTTTCTACCGAATTATGTGGCTTCTACTGTTTAAAAAAACAATACAGGAAAAGTACAAGTTGAGAGCTGAGTGTTTTTCTTTCAAAATAGCCATGCTGAACTCACTTCATAACTGCTGGGAGAGAGAAGTAAAGAATGAACAATTGGCTTTTGAGTAAGGGAGAAGTACAACATACCGTAGGTAGTAAATTATTACAGTATAAGCAATAATTTCATTCATGTTATCTGCTTGGCAACTGGAATTTATTCTGTTCTTTGTGGGCTCTTTGATCTATGGATATATATTTTTTAGCATTTACTTTTCTCTCTAACATAGCAGCCTTCTACTTCATCACACACATTAAGGTTGCAATCCTATATATACACTTACCTGAGAGTAGGGATGGGGGAGTAATTTCATTCAGTTTCCATTTCAAAGCCAACCTACCCTAATTCATGCTTTCTGAAACAATATGACAACCGAAACACAAACATCCTTTGAAAGTCACACTTCGAAAGGTCCAAAGGCTGGCATTGAAGATGTATGCCTTTGTAATGATATGGATCCTCTTATGCTAGACATAATCTGTATTTCTCATACTTTGGATGCTGTGCCCACTTTGTTTACTTAAGAGACAAGGTAGGATTGGCAGTTTCCATTTTGCAAGTGTCAGATAGCCATAACTGCAAGGGTTCTCTTCCCTTCCTGGGAGATGTTCCAGGCTAGGGCCAAGGTGAGCTCCTCTTCTAGTCATCGGCAGGAAACAGATTTATTTCAGTGGAGTTAATGAAAAAGAGGGTCACCACTGAAAAATCTTCAAGGTTGATGAATAGTTACCCCATAACTCTATCTGGATAAGCCATCACGTAATAGTACTGATAGGGGTGGAGTCGATTGCAGTGCGATCCTGACCAAGGCGTTCTCATAACAGTAATTGAAGGGAAATGTAGGCAACACAAACAAAATCTGATGAAGAATTTTAAGATTGGCTTCTAAATAAAGATCTTCACCTCTACAAAGATCAGCAGTACAGATCAATGCCACTGGTTTGGACCTATGGAGGTCATGGATCTGATATATAGGATCCTAGAACTAGGCTGATCAAGGTAACCAAAGAGATTTTGAGGAGGGGAGGAATTAAATGTACTGTGTCCAAAATTCTGTCAGCATAAGCAATTTAGCTGCCCAAATGGAATGATCCCTGCTTTCCTTCTCTTAAATGTTCTGGGTTTCCCCCCAAACTTAAGCTGAATGTGGCTGTGCAAATAACTGAGTCTTTGTCTAGGTTCATCATGAAGACACCTCGTTTGAGGCATCGCATTTGGTTACTTCCACCATCTTTATCCAACGAGAAGTATATAAAGGTAGAAGAAGACCAATCAACAATCGTTTTATTCTGGCACTGATGTTCGATGAAAAAGTTGAAATGCCCTCTTGCTTCATTCTGTCAAAAGGTATATATCAAACACCTGCAATACAAAGGTCAAAGTTTTCATTTATGATAGCACTCTACATATAAATGCACAAAAATTAAAAGATTACAGCTCTTACTGAAGTTGTACATCATGGATTTGTGGCTATTTTATGTGCTGCTGAGCGGAGTTATTCTGCAGATAGTTTGCTGCTTGGTAAGACAATAAAAAGCATACTTTAATTCTTAAGGATTAGAGTGAATTAGCACATTTGTATTTAATGTGCATATTTTTAAAAAATGCCAATAGTTTATGTAAATCGGGGCCAGGGGTCATAATTATTGGGGTTGCAGTGGGGAGGGAGAGTTTAATCATTTCCTCCTTGGCTGTGGTTCTGACAAAAATCCCTCTTTTGGAGTTAACTTCTGCCCAAGATTGCATGCTTCTCCCTCCCTTCACTTCTGGTGCAGCCACAAGGATGAGATCAGAAGCTTTTACTTCCAACTTACACAACAGTTTGGCATTGTGTCTTAACCTAAACTGTGGTTAATTTTATCTATGCCAGAAAAGAAGGGGGACATGCATGAGCCTAGGGGCAGGTTATGTTGGTTCCCATCACAGTAGATGCAGCCTCTGTCTCTGTGTGTTCTGTCCCCTATTTTAGAGTAGTTGTTTTATATATCAAAAGCTAAAACAATTTTTAAAGTTTTCAAAGTGTAATTATACAAATACAAAAAAAGAACAACAAGCTTGCATTGTTATAAGTTGTTAATGAATAAATATTTGAAATAACATTTGTACCATAGTGTTATTTCTACTTGTATCCTCCCACTTATTATAATGGTATGTGTTCTAATATAACAAACTGGCTAAACTGTATGGTCCAAGAGGCTAGTATAAACCACAGTGTTGTATCCATAGAACAACATGATAGACAAACGGCACACCAGGTATTTAAATATCCTTATTATGAAATGTGGGTAATGAATACATTTTAATGATCCAGTATTTTCATATATGCCAGGTTATGTATAATATCCCAGTATCCTAGTGACCAGTATTTAATTTTGTTTAAACACCTAATCAAGGCTCTAGTAATTTTCTTGAGCTGAGGCCTGGGAAATGATGCTGTGTCTTTTTGCACCTCCATATGCACACCATTCTCTTCTTTTGTACAACACTAGTTCCTCTTCCTTTCCAGTTGTGCTATTGTAGGATTATGGAAAAAGAAATTCTCTTAAACTGTTCTGTGATAGAATGAGTATTAGGGATTTTAATCCCAGCTCCACGCAATTGCTAAGCACACCACCAGGAATAATATCACCACAGTTTCTAGTATATAAATATATCAACAAGAGAAAGCAACGGTTAACCAAGATTTTTAAAATATAGCAAGAAATAGGGTTTAGTGCCATGTCCCAGGTAGAACATGTTTTCATATATGCACAGAAAATCATAGGTGTATAATATTGCAGTGAATCTGACTTTAAACTTTTGATGCAAAACTTGCCAAATGAATTTGGCTGATGGCTGCACTTGCCATTAGGTATCACCTGTAATCTACAAAGAACAGATTGCACATCTGACTGTTTCCTCCTTTCTTTTATTCTAGCCTGTTCAAGAATTACAGGGTGAGTTCTATTTTGTATCTTACTAATTGTGACAAAATAGAGGCAACAAAAGCAGCTGCTCATGAACACAGCAGATGCAAAAGCTGATTTATAATTATGGTTAGCACATTGACATTCTGATCCTAAGCGTATTTACGGTACTTGGAAATTAAGTACCATTGAGTTGAGTGGAACTTGCCTCTGAACAGGTATGCTTCTAGAACAATACAGAGGTGGGGAGAGCCAAAGGTGTGCACTGGCCAGATGGAAGGTGGGGTCTGTTTTCCCTCCTCTGCCCTCCCCGCACCCCAGTTCCAGGAGCTTTCCTTCTGAACAACTTTTGCCCTTCCATTTATCACCATGGAGGGGCTACATCAGTTCCAGGTCTGGTGTGGTTTGTCTCTGGTTCCAGAGTTGTGTTGGGGGAACAGAAAGAATTAGGATCTGGCAAATCCAAAACCTCTCCTAGCATGACTTCTGCATGCTTCCTTTTTGAAACTCTTTACATTGGGGCTCTACTGGAAAAAAACATTGGCTATGCATCTTCCTGCAGCCTCATGGAGGAGGCTTACAAAGTCTGATCTCCCTCTCTGTGGAAGGACCTCTCTCTCCCCCTGTGGAGAGGAACAGTCACAGAAAAGTATGGCCTCTAGGATGCAGGGACATAGTGTGGGGGGAGGCTACCAGGGCAATAGCCCCAGGCACATTGTTTTAGGAGGTGTTGCGCATTTGGCTCCTCACACTGCCCTGTCAGCCCTGTGCTGCTTTTTTGTGAGGCTAGGATCAGATCTGAATGATTCACAGGGCAAATCATGCAGATTGGATCTCAGCCTCGCAAGGCAGCGCAGGGCTGGCTGGGCGGCGTGAGCAGGATGCCACAGCCATGTGGCCTTCAATCCCAGACTCGCCCTTGCTTTGCGAGGCTGGGATCAAAGGCGCATGGCTGCTGTATCCTTCCCACATCACCCTGCTAGCCTCAAGCTGCTTTATGAGGCTGGGATGACCCAAGGGCTGTGCTGGCCAGCTGGGCTCCCCTCTGCGTAGGCGGGCAGGTGGTGCAGCGCAGCCCTCTTGGCTCCGGTGGGGGGTTTGTTCTGGTGGTGGTGGCAAGGACTGGGATGGCATGGTGGGCTCCGTTGACCTCTGCACCCTGGTATGCCACTGCTAGGATGCCCTGCCAGGGACTGCAGCCTGCTTGTTGTAATGGATAAAATATAATGGCTATAATTGCAACTATCTCTGTTTTCTTTTTGTTTTTCAGAAAGAAATGAAGACAGTGGAATAGATCAAGATATCTTTGATATCAATGAAGGTTTTTTCAGCCTAATGTTTTAATTATTATTGTCTTTTATAATACTGTGTGTGTGTGTGTGTGTGTGTGTGTGTGTGTGTGTGATCATGGATTAAAATGCACTAACCTTCTGTGGGTTTCTTTTTTAGCATTGGGACTGAACTTGTTCGAGGGTGATATCAAACTTGATGAGGTGAGTTGAAATGACAAGCAGCAGTATAAATGACTGCTAACTTGGGGGTGATGAGCCCATGCTTCCCTATTGTAAAAAGGTGATAGGATTTTGCCCTAGTCTGAGATCTTCCCTTGCTTCATAGCTTCCTGATGAAGCTCCTGGCTGTTTTTGTAATGCCCGCCTTTCACTGCAGCCCCTTTGAAGCTTCCCATCCTTCTACTCCTCACACTTTATTATTTTTGGTGCCTTGCCGATGGAGACTGCTACATCTTTAGCATTGCACTACACCAGGCAGTTGAAAGGAAGGATGAGATGGGCATAAAGGTCACATCAGTCCAGTGGCTGGGAAAGTTAGACCTTGAGGTTGAGCCAGGAGCTTCCTCCTCCACGTGATGCCTAAGGCTACAGGAGCTCCATCAGAGTGAGGAGCTATTAACCCTGTTTATTAGCTATAAATGTTTTCTTTATGAAGCTATAACTGGAAGTGTCTGGAGAGGAATTAATATAGAATGTCTGAGATAATAAAAGAGGAAAGAGTACTGTAAAAATGTGGAAGCATGACACAGAATATAATCAATTCAGCCATTAGGTTACCATTATTAGCATTTTAATTTCCCTTGCATTGAGATAGATGCCAGTACAACGCTGAAAGCAAAAATGCTAACCCTGTGCAGACCACAATGGATGGGAGAGGTTTACAGTATATCTTATAGTGTGTGTGTGTGTGTGTGTGTGTGTGTGTGTGTGAGATTTACAGCCTGTACATCTCATCCAATCTTATGCTGATAGTTCAATTCAGTTCAATGATTAGACCACTGTATTTAACAGGCTTGTATGGTCAGAAGATTCCAAAGGAAGTTATAACCCTGTACTTAAGTGTCATGCAAAGTTGGGATGCAGCAGATTAGGTAAATTGTGGTTCCATTGTTGATTTTTGCCCAGGCAGACATACCACTGCCTCAGTGTTTCAGGGAAGGCCGTATAAACAAACACCCATGCCGTTTCTTAATGTCTGGCTGGAGTTAGTTAGCAATGCTCCCTGGAGTCTATATTGCAACTACAAGTGGATACAGTCCCCCCCCACCCCCATTCCAACTATTACTTCTGAAAATGAATCCTGCGCAGCATGTGAGATAAGACCTGCCTGCCTATTCCACCAACTTGGGCAAGAGCAATGATTTAAACATACTATCTTTTTCTTTCATTGTTTGGAATTCTGTGTTCTTTGTGTTAATAAATCTAAGTTTTTTATTAGCTAACTGGTATGATCCGGTCCAAGAGAATTTAGAATGTTTCTTACTCCCTGTGATTACTTTGGTACTCTTCCAAGTTAACAGCAAGTACTGATGACCCTCCAGGGGAATTTGATGCAGGGATACTAGAAGATGGCAGTGACTTGGTCCCCAGTTAAATCTTACACCTTGTAATACTTAATAGCCCTACTGCTCTGACAATTTAGCATGTGGCAGCAGCTGTTGACTCTTTGTAGGGTGAATCTAGTCCCAGAAAAAAACTGGAGCAATGAAACCCCCATTTAATTTGGCATATCAAGCAATGACATGTGGGATGTGAGGTTAAGGGCCTTCCAAAAGACCTCTGGGATGTCACAATCAAGCATCTAAAGAAACTGATTTCATGCCTATGACTAATACACTATTTCAAGGATTGCCAGTGGGAAACCATGTGAGCTTTGCCCTTGACTACTTGAGTAAGATCAGGTGTTTTTTACTGCAACAGAAATTGCACCATGCGGAAGGCACACATTTGAATACCTTTTCGTAATAGCCATAAGGAACATGAAGGTAGTGTGTGTGTTTTCACTTGAGTGCACAACTTTCTGAAATGTTGCATCCAGTGCTTGAGTCTTGAGTCTACATTTGTAAATAAATCCAAGGGGTGCACAGAATATTCAGTCTTGCATATAGCTGCAACTCTGCGACACTGAGGCACTTCCAACAGACCAGCCCCAATTATCCAATCCCAGTGTGCAAGAACAATGAGGAACTGGATGCACCACACTGCAGGTGCCTAAAGAGCAAAAGTCTGAACTCAGAGGAGTCACAGTGCCAACTCTTGTGCTTTCTTTCTCTGAATTTCTTGGATTTGCCTTCCTTTTCAGAGACTAGAACGTAACTCCATTATTGGCAACGAATATCGATGGCCTCACACCATTCCATATGTCCTTGAGGACAGCCTAGGTACGGCAGTTAATTTCTTAAGATCACTTGTTGCAGAAGCAACCTTCAGTATGAACATTTGTTCTTTTCTTCAGTATTAATTTTGGTGGTATATTTGCCAAGATTTGGGGTAAAAGGCTTACTTCATAAGAACAAATGGGATATAATTTCTTAAACTTTGATTTTTACCAACAATTTTAAAAAGTATATTACAAGGTTAATGATAGACTAAGACTAAAGATTAGGATTAAGGATGTTTGATGAAATGGAAATTTGATATTAAAAGGTAAAATTTTAATGTTACATTACATTAAGACTAAAGATTAGGATTAAAGAAGTTGAAGTTATATATTTTAATATTATATTAAAATTAAAGATTGGGATCAAAAAAGTGGAAAAGAAATTGCTGGATAAACAATTTGGATTGGAATACAAAAGAGGGAGGTATGAGGAAGTCCAGAAAATAAGTAAATTTAAAAATGGAAATGGAAAAGAGATATTGTTTTTAATTGTTATACTTTTTTCTTTTATTGTTGATTCTTGTCTTTTGTGTTTTCTTTATTTTCTTTTTGAGATTTGTATTGTGTATTTGTGTATTGTGTATTTCTGTATCTTTTTTTGAAGTTTTTCTTTTTTCTTTTTTCTTTTTTTCTTTCTTTGAAACTTTAATAAAAATTATTTAAAAAAATGAAAAAAAATAAAAATAAAAAGTATATTACAAAACCCACCTTTCAATACAGTAATATGGAGAAAAATAAACTTCAGCATTTGATAAAAATGCAAGCTCAACTTGTAAATAAAACCAGCTAGGCCTGCATGTGGAAGGTAACAGCGCTATCCAGGAATTCCAAAAAGTTATAAAGGATACATCGGGTTTAGTGAAACCTTGGACAGATATGATATACAGTGGTACCTCTGGTTATGAACTTAATTCGTTCCGGAGGTCCGTTCTTAACCTGAAACTGTTCTTAACCTGAGGTACCACTGTAGCTAATGGGGCCTCCCGCTGCCGCCGCTGCACAATTTCTGTTTTCATCTTGAGGTAAAGTTCTTAACCCGAGGTACTACTTACGGGTTAGCTGTAACCTGAAGTGTTTGTAACCCGAGGTACCACTGTATCTTTCATTATAAGCAATGTGCCATGAGTCAGCAAAGCAGTTAGGAGTTTTCTATCAGATTTTTATGGGCTGTCAGAAGAGATGACTCCTCCAGATTCTCTTTTCTTATCGCCTGGAGGAGGACCATGAACAACAGGACAATGCATACAGTGGTACCTCGGGTTACATACGCTTCAGGTTACAGATGCTTCAGGTTACAGACTCCACTAACCCAGAAATAGTATCTCAGGTTAAGAACTTTGATTCAGGATGAGAACAGAAATCACGCGGCGGCAGCTGGAGGCCCCATTAGCTAAAGTGGTACTTCAGGTTAAGAACAGTTTCAGGTTAAGAACGGACCTCCAGAACAAATTAAGTTCTTAACCCAAGGTACCACTGTACTTTGAAACAGAGACTTGCAAAGGCATAGAAACACAAAGAGTTGAAATTGGGGTCTGTAAACATCTTGGAGTTCTGGCCTGGTCCCTAGAAGGTCTGATGCGTAAGCTGTGGGTTTGGGTTGACTGCTTGAATGTTTAAGCTATGCCTCATTAAGCTCAGCCTGTATACAAACAGGGGTATAAATATTACACTCCAATATTATGACTCACCAGTAAGCTTCTAGTGACCTCTTTCTAAAAGAAACCAAGCCTTGATGAAAGTTGCCGTGTCTTAGCTGCTCAGAGATTTGGGGTGAGAGTAGCGATGCAAAGAAATAGAGGCAAAAGATTGCCCAACTTCCAAATTTACAACAAACTCCACTTACCGTATGCTGCTTGTAGTAACAAAGTAATTATGTCATTATCTTGCACCTTCTCTCAAACTCAAAAGTGCCAATTTGTGATTAACAGTGAAGATCTGGTTGCTTATCACTTTATAAGATGCTGCAGCCAGATTGGTGACCAGAGCCAGTTACAGGAAGGACAGAAACTCAGTGTTAAAACAGCTCTACTGGATCCCAGTACATATCAGAGTATAATGGCTTGGAAAATAGAACTAGTTGCTTAGCTTGAAGGCTTGTAGCAAATCAACAGTCCAAGGAAGCAAAAGAGAGCTTTGTAGAGCAAATTGGGTTACTTCTAAAATAGGTATTTACAGTCCACTTTCCTATGCTAAAGGCATATTTGAAAAGGCTTTAATAATTCTCCCAACAATTTAAATTATATTAGTCTACCAAATTTATACTCATTAGTACTAATAGCAGAGTTTCCAGTTGCTATGTGGAGGGTTAGCTGAAAGGGCATTCCTTTAGGTGAGCGATAACCAATTCGTTGTTTTTTCTTCCAGATATGAATGCAAAGGGGCTGATCCTCAATGCATTTGAACAGTATCGCCTAAAATCCTGTATTGATTTCAAACCCTGGGAAGGCGAAGCAAATTACATATCTGTCTTCAAAGGGAGTGGGTAAGAGAAATCATCCTTTTAAGTAATGTTTCTTTCTTTTTCATAGTCTCTGTACAGTCTCACATACGAGATCTGTGCCTGTCAGTGGAGGCTGGCTCATTAGGGCAAATGGGGCACTGCCCCACCAACTCCAATCTCCAAGTTTTTAAAACTTTGCTTATCTGTAGAGATGTTTGTCAGGTTGAGTCACAACTCTGGGTTTATCAGCCTGAACGTTGGTGCAACATTCATTCTTTGTGGCATTGTGCTGATAAGAGTATTTTGTACATCCCATTCAAAGTAGTTATATGGTTGCCTCCAGACTGTCAATATTTTGTGGTAGGGATTCAAGTGCATAATGGAAATTTAGGTTTGCTCAGTTAAAAGGGAATTATGCAGCAAGCCTAGTTAGAAAAAACAACAGTTAGTTTGTGTGATAGGAAAATGCACTGAAAAGTGAGATGAACAAATGAATAACTGGAAGATGTATAAGCAGTGCACAGCAAATCAGCTTCGATGCTCGTTGTTGTATAACCTCCCTGCATGCAAAGCAGAAGGAATACCCAGTTAAGGACAGTCATAGTGTAACCTCTGCGTAAGCAAGCAAATTAGGTTGAATGCTCAATAAACAGGTCACCTGGAGTCGTCTGTGATTTATACTGCAAACCTTAGGCTTGGATTACATTAAAGTATAAAAGTAGGGAACCAATGAATAATTCTGTGTTGAGTCAAGGCAGCTCTTAAGTCTCAGTATGTTTCTTTCTTCTGCTGGGATCATATTTACTTTAACATTTGAGAGGCTGCTTATTCATCTTGTCTGCTCTTGGAATTTGTCTTCCTTTCAACCAAAAGTTCCTTGTCATTGCTCAGAATGCTGAACAAGAGTAGACTGTTTATAGATTTATAAATAACATTTATCCAGAATTCTGTTTTCTACGAAGTGCTGTATGTTCTTGCTTTTTATGGTGGCTTGTTAGCAACAGTGATAAACTGGTGATAAAAGTTATTTACCCAACCAATATGAATTTATAGTCTGCAGGAATGGCTGCATGAAATACTTTTTAAAAAACCCCCAATTCTACTCTCATTGCCTTGCAAAATCACAGTTTTCAATGCTCATTTGTTAAAGGACTGTTTGACCAATCAAAGGTGATAAACTGTTTAAGATTTGGCTGAACTTCAAACATTATTCTTTTTTTCAACTGTGAAAAGCAATAAAACATGTATTTCAGTTTGGGCCTTGAGTTCAAAGAACAGAGTTTGTCAGATTCTGAGAACTGAATCAGCTGAGATAAAAGATCATGAACTTCCTGTAAGTTTTTCTGAAAGGTTATTGCAGGATATGGAGGCTGGTCTTTTGGCTATTGTTTTGAAGTTCAAATAAAGTCAGGAGCTAATTTTACAAAATTCATAAGCAAGGAGTTAATATTAATTGATGTGATGTGATGTTTAGCTCATCTCAGTGTTCATCTTTTAGTTGAGTGAGGAAGGATTTATATGTGGGGGTGGGTGGGTAAGTTTTCATTGTTTATATCAGTGGTGGATGAATACTTCGAATATCTTTTTTGTTTCTATTGTTTTGTTATTTTAATTGTATTTTTCTATTTTAAAATTTGTAAGTTGCTGAGAGAATGTCAATAGGTGTATTCAGTCCCTTAACCCCAAAAGGCTGTCATTGTTCTCCTTTCATCCATGTCTGCGTTGTTTTGCGTAGTCAGGGCTAAACAGAATTAGTGGCTGGGTGGAGGCTACTTAAAATTCCTCCTACAATGGATGGCCCACACAGCCAGCAAGTTATGAGAAGCAGCTTGCCTGGTGGATTGAGTAATGCTCCCTGTGTCTCTAAAAACCATGGTTTTTGCTGGAGAACATTGCTGGATCCATACTGATCTATTTAAACCATCTGCCTTGGCTCTCTGTGAGAGAAACAAAGGCTGGAGAACAGCATTCCTATTTGCTCACTGATCTATATGTTGGTTGCTCCTCATGGCAATTCATTTGTGTGTATTCTGGGTTTTGGATCCACTCACATTTCTGAATTGCATAGTAAAACTGAAGATGCTGTATAGCAGACATGCATAGTTGGTTGCCATGTGTGCTTACTGTATGACTGCTTGGTCATATGGAACACTCCTAAAAGTGACCATGTGTTTACTTTCAACATCCTGTTCCATCCCAGAGCCTTTCTGCACATAATTCAAAGGGCATTCTGGCTGTATTGTAGGCATTCTGCAGATGCTGAGTTGATTTTAATGCTACTCTTATGCAGACTAGACCCACTGAAATTAATGGGTTGGGCACAACCCAGTGAATCTGGCTTATATGTCAGAAGTCAGTATTCCCTGGTACCTGCTTGGGCCATATCTTTAGTTGCTTCACCACTCTCAACTCCTGAAGTCTGCTTCTCTTTGCTGCCATGGCCTGTTCTTCTGCCCAGAGATAGGAGCAAGAGGACCCCACTTTGCCTTCTCCCTCTAGAGATGGCCATGCAGATTAAGCCCAGAGGAAGAAGGAAAGTGAATGGGCAGCAGTGACTGTGGCAAAGAGAGAAGGGCTCGTTTCAGGAGGAGGCACTGAAGACGTCTTGTTTAAGGCCTTCCCAAAACCTGGAGCTGGCAAATCACTGAATGAATAAAGTTTCAAGGCATACAATATTGTTAAACACACTCCAATTTCCAAGTTATGAAAGATGTAAGGGGTGCCAGCACACACTTCAGGTTTGGTTTCCTTTGAATGAAGGTCACTGGAATATCTTTGTGGTGGTGTTATTCACACACATACACTAGCTAAGCATAAAATGAAAGGGCTCACAACATTAGCACCTCAGCATATTTTGCTTTTGCATCCGTTTCTAGATGCTTTCAGCACAGAGAGCAAGTCAAGCCTCTTCCCAAGTCTACCTCACTATGAGACACCATAGTGCAATCGTCACTGCATCTCCAGGCATTGGGGGTGGGGGGCTGTTCCCCTCTAGGAACATCACTAGCCAGTCATTTCTACAGCAAGACACTTATACTTGACCAACTCTTTAGTTGTGCTACGAGTTAACTTAACAGACTTGGCTAGCCCCATTCACTTAATAAAGGAACTGGTTTGACCATTTCAGTCAGTCCTTCTGCTATAGAATTACATCTTACAGATGTAAAACCACAGGCCTTGAGGGGTCCTAAATATGACATCTAGACCAAACCCCCAATTCTATAACCATATAAAATTCATAAGAGGCTTTTCACACCAAAGCTTTACTAGATACATAGTCATAAACAAAGACATGTACACAGCTTAAGGCCTTACAATGCAGATGGGAATTTATGCCATCACCATTCACGCCTTGTAGAGCAAATGGAAGGTGTTTCAGATCTCTCTCTAAACTCTCTAAGTACAGGTGTGCATCTCATTTGGTTTGTATGCACAGTACCCAATCCAGCATGGGAATCTGGGCAGAAGCAATGTCTCTGCAAGTTCTGCCTTGCAGAATTAGTTTGACCAAGTGAAAAGGGTTTCCTCTGAGTGAACCCTTTGATGGATAATTAGACTAGGGCAAGATTGTATACAGCACAGATTTTGAACACTCTTGCATTTTTTGTCAGTTGCTGGTCCTCTGTGGGAAACCGCCGAAAAGGGAGGCAAGAACTCTCCATAGGAGCCAACTGTGACAGGATTGGGACGATTGAGCATGAATTCCTTCATGCACTGGGATTCTGGCATGAACAGTCACGATCTGATCGAGATGATTATGTCACAATAATGCGAGACAGAATTCAGGAGGGTAAGCTAATTTACCTTCCTTTTAATTTAAAACCATTGATAGATTTCATCTGTACAGCTACTCATTCAACTTGAATCTCATTAAAGCTTTCTGACTCGGATGGCAATGTCCAAAATGTGATGCATTGTTATATACTCCCTGCTCCTCCAAGCAGGGAAAATTTCAAGGGGCAGTGCTGCCAGGTTTAGGTTTCCCTCTGGGTGATGGCACACACACTTGCGGCACCTTTAGAATATTTGCTTTACCTCTCAATATGTGAGCAGAGCATGAGTGAAGGTAAACGGGGCTCTTCTACAGTGATCTCCCCCCAATTGCATCTTGATCTACTTCTAGGCTGCACCTCCAATTTCACCATGCTCTAGCTAGAAACTCCCCTTTCTCTTTAAAACAGGAAACTTCTGTTTCTTTGTACATGTACCTTACATCTGACCCCTCTCCTTTTACCAAGAAGCTTGACTTATCTGGAATTCTGTATATGCCTGCTGCATCGAGTCTCTCTCATTTCTTTCTGCTTGCAAAGCATTGTAAATTGGGAACTACTATAATAAATAAATACTCTGTGGTTCTGTATGATATACTTGGAATTCAAAGAAGAAGCGATGGGACAGCAGGCTAAGGACATAAATTATAAATTTGTAATATTGCAATGGAAGAGATATTAAAGAGTGTGCTTATCTGTAACCTAAACCAGTGGGACTGAAAAGGGCTTAGCTTTGGCTGGATTGTGATCTGTATAAGTCACCGTGGTAAGTTCTTCTGCTTCTTTCAGGTAAGGAAGGAAACTTCAACAAATATGATGATAAAAGATCTGACTTCCTTAATGTCCCGTATGACTATAACTCTGTAATGCACTACAGTAAAAATGCCTTCAGGAATGGAACAGAACCAACAATAGTAACAAATATACCAGCCTTCATTGATGTGATTGGACAGCGCATGGATTTCAGTGAATATGATATCCGGAAGCTGAGTCGACTCTACAACTGCAGTAAGTGTTTGAAACCCCATCATATCTTTTCAGCCTCCTTTGGTCATCTGTCATAGATGCTTTAGCTGAGATTCCTGCATTGCAGCGGGTTGGACTAGATGACCCTCAGGGTACCTTCCAACTCTACAATTCTATGATTTGTTTGCTTAGGTTTCATTTCTGAACTTTACTTTGGGACGAATTCAGTGTTGCCCTCTTCTGATTGTTCCATCTGGCAGCCAGAGATGCTTGCGCTGGTGGAGCAATCTCTCCTCTCCTCCCAACCCTCCCCCTGAGCCAATTTTGGGGGCACACAAGGGGAGGAGAGGGGAAGAGTCCTCTGGTGCTAGCAGAAGTGCTTGCACGGGCTTCCACTAGCAGTGCCTGTTAGTTAAATCTGGTCTTTTGCCTGGGAATACAGTAGCTTTATAGTTGCAAATAAATTCCCCACTAGCATCTGAGACAGGGGTGAGGAACCTCCAGCCCAGGGACCCAATTAGGCCCAGCACATGTCCCCATTGGGTTTCCAGTGCCATTTCTCCCCAAAGCACACCCACCTGTCCCATACCTGACATAATTTGTGATGTCAGGTTTGAGGAGGTGGAGAATTAGCTGCCAGAAAACAAATGGGTGCCTTAGCTAACTTCCTGTTAGCACTTACCAGCTCAGGAGCACAAACTGATTCCAGCTGGCTTCCTGTAAGGGCTGTAGATTGGCGGTTATGGCAAGGTGGCTGGGATTGACTGTACTCTTAGTCAGGAACTCTCTAGCGCAAGCAATGCCTACCCCTAGCAGACTGCCTGTATATGCCACTTGGCTGATTGGTGCTTACAGCAAGCTGGCTGGGATCTGCACTTACAGCAGACCCCAGAGTGGGATGTGCTGTAAGCATAAGTTTCCCTGTGCTTTGGTGGTTTGAACTGAAACCAGCGCTGCAAAGGATCACAGGATTGTTTGGGATTGCCTGATGTGACTGAGGCTGATATAATGTTCTCATGCTTCTGGATTTCCCTGGACACTGTCAGCAGCAGTGTCCGGGCGGTGCTCATGTTGGCAGTGCCATTTTTTGCATTTATTAAAGTGATTTTGCCCAAAAAACCTCAACAACTTTGGGCAAAACTAAAAAAAAAAAGTTCAACAACTTTTCACTGTTTGAAATATGGCAACTGTAGCTGATAGGAATTCTAGTGCAACAATAACTGAAAGGTGCTGCACTGACTACACCTGACCCAGATGGACCAATGGTCTGATTCTGCATGAAGCAGCTGCTTCCTCAGGTAGGATGCTAAACAAAGAAAGAAGAAAAAATTAAGGCTGAAAAGCAGTATAAGTGGCCTGGTGGTCATTATATGGTTGATTTTACTTACATCCAATTCAGTTAGGAATGTGGTCCACTAAAACACATGCCATAATGCCATAATACAGGTGTAAGTCTTTAAGGTGCCACCCGACTCTTTCATATATATATATATATATATATATATATATATATATATATATATACACCCACCCACCCAACCCACACACTAAATTGCTGAGTGTGCAAAATCTTCCCTTTAAAGGTCCTTTTGATTTTCCTAGTAGTGAAAGAAGGATACTGCTCATTCTATAAAACAAGCCAGCTTATTTATTTTCTTTTAAAATGAAACTCATTTACTTCTACTTGAAGTGGTTTATGGATTCAGCTAATAGCACTGATTGATCATAGAGTGACTGAGGCTGTGTTCACACTTTCAGTTACCATGCATTCATTGCATGTGTAGTACTGGGTTTTAAATCCATGTTCACATGACAACATGCAAAATGCATATATATTCTGTTCTTTGTTATAAAATACTACTGTTTGATGTGTTATTTCCCAAACCAGCAATCAGAGTCCTCAGGCCATTCCTAATTTATCTCTAGCCAAGGTGTGAAAACCTTTGCATACTATAAAGACATCCCTGCCTGTCAACACCCCCCCAACAGATGTGAATCAGATTCTAAAGAAGCCATGCTGTTGTGAACAGCTGGGGGGGCACTAAAATGCACAAAAAAAACAGAAACTTCTCTGTGATGTGAACCCACCTTGAGTTAGAACAGAGTTTGGTTCTTTTGACATTGTGGTTTTTCTAACTAATTGAGATATGAGAAGATCTGTAATTGGATTTCCCACTTTAAAAAAAAAAGTTTAACAGCAGTTGCCGGGTGAAGGTTGAGAATTATATGGAACAATGGTCCTAGGGGAGATTAACCTTTCTCTCATGCCATTCATGCCAAAACTGTTTTGTCTACTAGAGGTAAAACAATACCAGACAGACAGGTTTCCTCCCACAAGGCAGCTAGCAGCTGGTGGGGATATAGATTAGGAAAAAAGTGAGATGGAAAAGGGTTTAGCCATCTCACCTGCAGGCTCCTTGACTCTGTTTACTTCGTCACTGTTTACAGCAGCTTTTGTATTTTAAAAGTACAAATGAGTCACAGATCTCCTGATGGCATATCTAGATGGGTCCAAACTATTTCCTGATGCAGTTGACTGAATAGTCCCACTAAAGTAAACAAACACTGTATCTGCTCTGTTTTTTTAATGCTGGTAGCTTCGTCTTTAAGCTTTATGGAGACGTGCAGTTTTGAATTTGAAAACGTGTGTGGCATGATTCAAAGTACAGAAGATAATGCTGACTGGCAGCGCATAACCCAGGTTCCTAGTGGACCACAAACGGATCACACCTATGTTGGAATCTGCCAAGGTAATGTACAGCAATTATTATTATCTCTTAGATAAGTATTTTCTGTGGATGTATTTGATCTTCATAACCTCACTAACTTGCTGATAAATTGCTATTGCATTGTTAACCATGCCTGTTAGATAATTAGAATGTTTACCGTATTATTTCAAGTCGTATCTCTATACATGTCTGCAACCTACTTTTCCATGTTAAGGGAATTTAGCTGTTTTCAGAACTTGAATGGCTGGGGGAGCCATTTCCCACTGTGACCTTGGTTCTTGTGGGAAGACAGGATGTTGCCCCTTCCGTAGAGCTGCTCCATAAACTAGAATGTTTACCAAAATACGCTGGAGAACAACATGCATAAATGTGGGTTGGAGCCTGGATAGTGACGTGCCCTCATAAGATACACAGGGGAGCAACAGAGGCAAGACTAGAGTTTTTCAAGAATTGGGGATTTATTTTTAAAAATATTTGAAAATGGTAATTTAATTCTGAAAGTTGTTCTGGAGGAGAGGTGTGTGTGAAACTATGGCAGGCCAAGGAAGCTGCACAGTGATGTTTCATTTTGCATGGGAGGAGAATAGTAGAAGTAGAAGTTGGAAAAGTAGAAGTTGGAAAATTGATAAGAAGAAGGCAGCAAGGTGAAGAAGGGGTTATTCCTTTCCTTCCTGTCCTAACTGCAGGAAGGAGAAGTGGGGAATGCTTAGCATAAATCCAGAAAGAAGACTGAAAAAGACTTGCCTCTTTCCAGCAAGGCTTTGCTAGGCAGAGTCTGATGGAACTGGGAGTCTAGAAAAAGAGCACACAAAGCAGGAATTTGTGCTTCTGCACTTACCACACAAGAATCAGCTACAGTTCAAAGGTACAAGAACAGACACCCAAGTAGAAACTCTAAAACCTAGCCAGTTTGTCTGCCAGCAAAACAGACACACCTGTACAGGGCTCAGGAGACTCACTAAGTTCTGGGTTCCTAAGGTAACAAAGGAAGTGGATCTGTGCGAGATGGCAAATGGGTGGGGCCTATCCCCCAAATCACAGCTGGTTAGAAAGACAAAACCAGAGCTGAGAGTAGAGTGATGTGAGCTAGAAGCAAACCAGCAAGCTGAGAAGACAGAGAGAGACAGCAATGTTTGATTCCTGTTTGAATCCAAGGTTGCAGCTATGGGGGAAGCAAGGTCCTCTTGTGGTATTAATCCTGTGAACCCCTCCATTGTAGGCTCAGGTTGCATATAGGTGTAAACAAGCCATATATCATAAAGACACCAGAGTCTCCATTGTGCCACATTCTGAAGGAAACACGAACCCTGAGTAAGCGCCAGGAACCCTGGAATCTCACACTGCTCAGAGATTGGGGTGATGTGCACCCATGCTTTCTCTAAAGCACACTCAAAATTTTAGGGTTCACTGTAGGCAATCACTAGATGGTAAAATGTTGCTTTGACTGAGGAACATTAAGCACCAACAGTTCCAGGGGGTTCCATGCCAGTGTCTGGAGGGTGAAGAAGTTCTAAAAGTTTCCCTCCTCTCTCTCTTTCTCCTTGACAGAGACTGGCTACTTTATGCATTTTAACACCAGTGCTGGAAGTGTGTCAGAACGAGCGGTTTTAGAGAGCCGATTTCTATATCCCAAGAGAGGTTTCCAGTGCCTACAATTCTATTATTACAACAGCGGAAGTGAAAGTGATCAGCTGAATGTTTTAGTCAAGGAATACACTGATGCAAGCCCCAATGGTACCCAAAGGCTTGTAAAAACGATACAAGGTATGAAAGCATTATTTTTAATATGTATACGCTCTTGTTCTAGTTAACACTGGGGTAGTAAATCTGTGCCTACTCTGTATCACTTTAGACTGCAGGTGGGGGCTCAAATTATTGCATGCTCTTCTGTTTAAAAATAACAAAACGTTCCTCTGTATAGAATGCTAGCGTGTCAGAGAGAAGATTAAGCCACATTCCTCACCCCATAACATCAAGTTTTTGATGTGGAGGTGTGTTGTTTTTTTTAAATGGAGATCAATTAAAAAATGTAGAGTTTGAAGCTGTATAGTCCAGACACCAGTTTACTATGCTGGTGAGGACTAGGCTAGAGTTTAACATTTCACATTTGACAAGAAAAGTTTTGAGACCACAAGTATTTTATTCTTTGGTCTGGGTTCTCCATAGTGTTTTTAATGGATTTCTCTTGCCCCAACCCCACAAAAAGGAGGCCCTTATTGATCCATGGAAGTCTTGATCTGAAATTATTATGGGACACTGTAGTGATGGACTTTTAAATTGTATTTTGAGCCTAAACTGTTAAATATATTACATTTAAAAACCAGTAGATTGAGATCTGTGAAGTAATGTTTCCTGTGATCCACCACAGTCAGGAGGCAGGCTACTGTAGTCTGCGTCAGGGGAAGCACTGAAAAGTCTTTAAGGATAAGTCCTGCATAAAACTCAAGTACACAAATATGAATGACTAAATGAACTGTTCAACATTTAACCCCTTTTAAATTTCATGGGGAATGTGAAAATCTGTTTGTGTAACATTGAAATATGTTGTCAATATAATGCACCTCATTATTCTTTTCCAGGTTCACCTGCAGGCCACTGGGAGTTACACCATGTGTCTTTAAATGTTGCAAGTAAATTCCGAGTAATATTTGAAGGCATAAAAGGATCCGATGCATCTAATGGAGGCCTTTCCATTGATGATATCAACCTGTCAGAAACTCAGTGCCCTCACCATGTTTGGCATATAAGAAATTTCACTCAGCTGGTTTCAAGCGCTACAATACAATATAGTCCACCCTTTTACTCTCCCAAAGGGTATGCATTTCAGATTGGTTTGCTCCCCACCAGTTCATTTAATTTACACATACATTTGCACTTGATCTCTGGTGCAAATGATGACCGGTTGCAGTGGCCTTGTGCATGGCAGCAAGCTACAGTGCTTCTGCTTGATCAGCATCCAGACATCCGCCAACGTATGTCAAATCAAAGGAGTATAACTACAGACCCAAGCCAACTAGGTAGGTTAATACTTGGATCAGTTTACCCTAATGGTTATGGTTATATATATATATGCTTCAATAATGCCTTAAAATTTCTCTTTCTTTCGCCAACAGTAGTGTATTAAAATTCCCAAGGTGCATGAGAAACTGCCCCCAGACCAGATAATGCAAAACAAAATAATCTATATTAAAAAAAAGTTAGGATTACCTCCTTGTGTAGACACTGTGAAATACCGTACTTTTTCATGTATAAGACTAGGTGTTTGGTTTTTTTACTAAAAAATAATGTTAAAAAGGGGAGGTAGTCTTATACATGGGGCAATCTCTCCCATTTTCTTAATTTTGAGTCCAAAATAGGGGGCGTGTTATACATGGGAAAATATGGTATATAGTGGCTGTCATCATTCTCCACTCTTTATTTTTATATATATATGTGTTCCATACTCCTCTGGTAAACTTTTAGCCCTCCGGTCTGTTTTTCTTCCCCCCTGGGAGTCACATTCCTCTTTCAGCTCCATTCCTTGAAAAGAAGTAAGAATCCTTTATTTCTCCTGAGGTAGCAAAGGCATGTGTGTTGACTCCTCAGTATAAGTGCACTCATGGGAGTTGTAGTCTACATGTGGAGGCCACCTCTGGCATAAATCAAGTATATCTGCCAGATGCCAGTAATAACAACCTCACTGGTCTAGACCTTAATGGTGTCGAGTGGGGACAAGGTAAGGCAGGATTACATAAAGCCAGCATTTCTAAGCCAATCCCTATTGTGCACTACATTTCCTTTCACATATTTATCTGCAGCCGGGTGCAGTTATTGTAGGACTGAAGAGTCTTTGGAAGTTGATAGCAAAACGTTTTGTTTTTAAAACACTATACATGAGATATCCAGTTTTTTCCCATTTTGTTCAAAGCTGGCCAATGGTTCCTTTGGGCCTCAGTATCTGGAGGGCCTCCACTTGCTCCTTAAAGGTAAAGGACCCCTGGCAGTTAAGTCCAGTTGCGAACTCCTCTGGGGTTGCGGTGCTCATCTCGCTTTACTGGCCGAGGGAGCCGGCATTTGTCCGCAGACAGTTTTTCTGGGTCATGTGGCCAGAGCAGCGCATGGAAACACCATTTACCTTCCCCTCCGGAGCAGCACCTATTTAGCTACTTGCACTTTGACGTGCTTTCGAACTGCTAGGTTGCTCCTTAGGATGAGATAAAAATGGCAGTAAGAGACCAACAGTGGTCAATAAGGACGCTTACAGTCTCTTGTTTGAGTTGCTCCTCTGAGAACCAAGACAAAGCCAATTGAGTAGTGGTAGCAGTGGAGGGAACCTCTGGAATAGAAGATGAATAATGGAGATGCCAAACCTCCCCTCTCCAAATGTTTTGTGGCCTTCAGGCAGTAGACCTAGTAGGTTGGAACTGAAATGTTTTTAGAGGTTGGTAACTTTTTTGTGCCGCTGTGGGTTCAGTGGAAATCCTCACAGCCAGTGCCCATCCAGAAGGTTATCTTTGGACTTTTTAGCGTTGCTCAGGCTACATAGTTTTCCTGCCCCAGCTGGAAGTGACAGCCCAGCTTAGGTAGTCACTGTGTCTTGATGTTCACAGCCTACAAGAGTCAATTGAGTCACATTGTCTTCCTGCTTACACAAGAATCTTGAGTCATTCTTTTTTCTTTTCTTATTTTGCTGGAAAAAAGGTACATAGTTAGTATCATTTCATATTTTGCTGAACCCCTTTTCTACCAAAAATATTAGCTTTACTATTTTTTTCTTCTTTCACAGTATACGATAGACCAGACAACGTAGGAATAGTCGCTACTTTTCCTAATGGCACTGAATTCATGAGAGGTCCTGCAACTGAATTCAGTTCCTTTATAACACAACAAAGGCTTGAAAGTCGTGAGTTTGTTAAAGAGGATAGTATTTTCATTCTTACAACAGTGGAAGGTATGTGGGTTTTGCTATGAGTGATATTGTTAGTATCAAGGATTCAGCAGAAATAATCCCATGATAGGCAATGGGAGTCTCCCTAAAACAAATAGTTCTGTATATTTTCTTCTCTCTCACTTAAGAGTTGAGACTAGAAGGTGGGCCCTGATTGCTTATGAATCTGCTGATGGCTACTGGTTGAAATGTTTTACAAAATGTCTGCTGAGCTGCTTAGACAGGCAGTCATTTGAATATGCAGAGTTCCAACACCTGGAGGCGTTAATTTTTCCGAAAGGCAAATGGATCAACCTTTATGGCAGCTGCCACTTATTGGAACTTGCACCTTTTGTAATATTTCCCTAGTTTAACTGATATAGCTGCTCAGAGGCCTTGTTTGCATGTTTGTCAATGAACCTGGGCAAGGCTTGCACTTACACAGTCAGTGTCTCCCCTCTCCTTCCCCTGAGCAGCTGTGAGAAGTTTAGCAGCTTTCACTTTTCAATTAAACACAGTGTTACTTCCCAACCCCAAACTGTGGTTAATATTTACTATCCTTTATTTTAAGAAACCAACTGCATAAACAAAGGTTTAGAGGTGTCTTTTTCTGACTAGCCATAGTTGAGACAAATGGCAGTTTATCTGGATTCAGGCATAATGTGACTAGTCTAAAATTGGAAGCTTTCCAACTCTTCCTCATGGCTGCTCCAGAGAAGAAGGATGGAGCATGTGACATTTGCTGCAACCCATTTTCATAATGCTGAAGTATTATTCTGTATTACACCTTTATGTATCTAAGCAAAAATCACAGGTTAACATTTATTCCAAAAAGCAGTTATACATCACTCATAGTTAGTTAATTTCAAATTGTTTTATAATGGGAAAAGGTTTGTTCCTTTGCTATTAAGCTTATAAACAAAAGATCTCTAAATTTCTGAGCCCCAAACCTAATTTAATAAAAGTAATAGCACCAAATACTTTAAGATGTATTGGTTAAGCTGCAAGAATTTATGTTTTGCCTCATTTATTCACCTCAGATATATCACATTTAATATCAACTCAGCCAAATTCTACAGCCATCACTCCAACTACAGCCACTAGTGTGTGTGAGGCCTATGGTTGTCAAAATGGTGGAATCTGCATTCTTGAAGAGGGGAAGCCAGTTTGCAGGTAAGCAATGTGTTCTTAAGTGTTCATACTGTGGAATTTCTTCTAGGGAGGCATCGTGTGTAGCAATCCTTTATTTTCAAAATCCAGTGTGAAGTGGGGGTGGGGTGGGGTGAGAGAACCTGAGATCTTCATCTTGCGGTACTCCCACAGAGGACATTTTGAACTGAACTTCAGTTGTGCTACATTTTGTGCACATTCCACATTTGTCACTACAGTAATAATCTGCTATGTTCCTTTAAGCTGTTTTTGACAATAAGTAACAGTATCCAGTCCAGGTTTGTGTTTGTGGGTTTTTTGCATGGGAGTTAACTATTTTAGGCCTTCATGCTCATCTGTTTTTGCCAGTTTCTCCCTCCATCCAGTATGGGCTTGGAAGGAATGCCTACGTATTTTTTCCCTACAATTCTCAGAATTAGACAGGCTTTAAGCATGCTTAACTGGGTTATACACCAACAGGCAGTGCATGCCAACATAAGGAGATACCAGGTAGGGTAGGAGATCCTAACCTCATATACATACACTAATATATGAGTGCTAATTCACCAGGAAAGATGTGCTGGGGTCATGGTGGAGAGCACATTCCATGCTCCGTATTATTTAAAGCTGGACTGAACATTCCAGCAGCCAATACAGTGGTGCCTCGCAAGACGAAATTAATCCGTTCCGCGAGTGTCTTCGTCTAGCGGTTTTTTCGTCTTGCGAAGCAACCCTATTAGCAGCTTAACGGATTAGCGCTATTAGCGGTTTAGCGGCTATTAAAGGCTTAAAGGCTTAGCGGATTAGCTGCTAAAAGTCTATTAAAGGCTTAGCAGCTTAGATAAAGGGGGGGGGGAAAGTGAAAAAAATATCTCTAGACTCGCAAGACATTTTCGTCTTGCGAAGCAAGCCCATAGGGGAATTCGTCCTGCGAAGCAACTCCAAAACGGAAAACCCTTTCGTCTAGCGGTTTTTCTGTCTTGCGAGGCATTCGTCTTGCGGGGCACCACTGTATAAAAATGCCTTTCTGTAGTTCCATGATACTGTGTGCAGTTTTGTCACTTCAGCTATGGGGGTCCACAGGTTCCTCACTTCTGGGTGAAAAGGATTGTGGGCCATTTAGCTTAGAATGGGGGGTTTCTGGCCTGTGCGCTTAATTCGGGGGTGGGGCTGCAGTGTGTTGAATTGTGTTTGTGATTTGCTTTAACCGCTGCCATGCTTTGCAGATGCCCTGTAGGTGCAGATTGGTGGTATGTGGGAGAAAAATGCGAGCAGAAGGGATCCACACAGGATACAGTTGTGATAGCAGTTGCCTCGTCTCTATCTATATTTGCCGTTATGTTGATCATCACCATTGTAACAACCAGCTGTATTAAAAAGAAATATAGGAAAAAAATGGAAGCCAGGGAAAGCCTGGGTTTACAAAATGTAAGTATTGCACTTCCGGTGGTGCAAACTTTTAGGTGGCTTTGCAATGCTGAACTGTTTTCTTGCTAGGTAAGATTGTGAGGTGCAATACTTAGCCAGCCCTCAAACGTATTCTAATTGTACAAATGGGAACTTGTGATGAACGGTTGTGTGGCCTTTGGCAACGCACACAGAGGCTAACACAACTCTGGATGCACTATCTACCGAGCCCCACTGACTTCTGTTAGCTTATGCTGCATAGTGTGGCATTTATTTGGGCGGCTACATTTTTGAAACAGCAATCCAAGTGAGGGAGGGTGAAACTGAGGCAGAAGAACAACCAGATTCCCAGGGTCATTGCACAGGATAGAAGGTGGGAGGAGAAATGTAGATTTCCTCCCCATCTTCTCCTTTCTTTGGACTTCATTCCTATACAAACCTATGTGTGAGTAAGTTCCACTGAACTTCATTGACACCCCCCTTTTTTTGGTAAAAGGGCTTTTCTCTCCATTGATGCAATGGAAATGAAAATTTGTTCCCCAACTGGAGTACTGGCTTTCTCTACTCCCCCTCTGCCCCCACCCTCGCCTTCCAGTGGCATGTCACGGGAATGCGAAGGGTTTGGGATCTAAACTTGCCTCAGTGTGTACCCAAACACTTCCTGCCCTCTTTCTGCCACTGGAAATTTCTGCAACTGCATTGAAGAGGCCTGTGTGGGCAGACCTCCTGGTTGGCATGTGAAGATAGTGTCACAGAATCTTGTGTGCCCTGGGCTACCCTCCCAAGGACTGCACCTTGAAAATGTGATTAAACTGTATAAGAACTAAACAAGTTTCAAAGAATGAGGCTCTCTCAAACTACCTTACCAGTCCTTAAATATATTTTATCAAAGCAGCATCAAATAATTTTAGAAGTAGCAGTACATAATATGTTTTATTGCACCCCTCGCCTCCCCCAAAAGAGATTCAAAATGGCAGTTGCATCTCCTTTCTTCTCATCTGCAGCAATCAGCCATCTTGCCATAGAAATGTCTGTTTCTATACCTGTTTTGAAACAAAGTATACAACTTTGGATAGTTTGCCAGCAGTATGTTAGCCTACTGAAAAGCATCACCTTTTGTATTTCTCATTCTGGGTTTGCAACTCCTCTCAGATGAAACGATTTTAGGGGAAACAGCCATTCTTTTGCATTAAAAACAAGACAAAAGCTATATGCCATTTCTAGGATTTAATTGAAATAAATTGCTGAAAATTTAAAAAGAAGCTGTGACTTTTTCTGACCTAAAATTCTGCACAGGAACTCCAATTTGAGACCCCCATTTCCCATCTAAGAGAATGAAAAAGCAAGATAAACTTAGGCCGGCAAATATTAAACTGAGCTTGATTCATGCTATGTGTTCAATATACTATGCTCTATGCAGGATAGCCACATTTATTTTGCAATTACTATAATTGTACTCTATCCAAGTGATTTAGAAGATGCCTTTTGCTCTCTTGACAGAAAACACCTCTCTGAAGATAGTGAAAGTTTGGAAACCAAAATGGATGGCCTCACTTGAACACCTTATTCATAACTTCATGTCCAGCACAGTTTCTCCTTTGCCAACAGACATTTTACTTACAGGAAAAAAGGGAAAGGAAATTATTTGTGTGTGAGTTTAAATCAATGCAAAAAAAAGGCGGCTAAAAGTGATATTTTAAAATTTGAGATGGTGCAAGTTTAAGGATTTTTCTAGCATGGTACATGTCCTGGATAAGCAAAGTAGCCAGATTTCTTTATTTCCACCACATAATTTATGAAACGAAACTGGGAGGTTTCCCTTCTGTATAAGCAGTATGGACCCAGAGTGAAGACATGTGTCCTACTTTTTTTCTAGAGGGGTGTCATTTGCAGGTGGTTCCCCTCCAGAATCTTTAAATGGCTTTTTAAACACCTGAGTTCAAAAAATTGTTTGGGGATTTGGCACGATAGCATTTCAAGGGGGAAAGTGGGTGGAAAATCACATATGCTTCAGTGGCAGACCTTTTCTGAAAAACTCATCAACTGCCTGGCTGCTTTGTGAACTCAAAGGTATAAAAAGCTGTTAACCTCCCTTCTAGGGAGGTAACCGAAGTTCTAAGATGTGTTTAGGGCATTTCCACTGGGGATGGCTATATCAGTTGTGCAAAATATTAGCAAAACCTCTTTGGGGATAACAGAACCTGCCTCCTTTCTTCCAATATACTGAATGATGGAGCTTCCCAATTTTATTTATTAGGTTGTTAAAATGTGCCCAAGGATAAAAGTAGTTTATTGTAGGCACCATCAGACAAAATGGGGAGAAGAGTTGTATTACTGAGGTTAGCCTTTATTATCTTGCTAACACTGCATAACAGAGTTGTACAAGTATGATGAGCAAAGGATAATAAAAACATCAATGCCCTATTAACTTTGTATGCTCCTATGTATTAATAGGAGATGGATCTTCTCTACTGAATGTCCCCATTGTAAAGAACTCTCATTACCTTCAAAGATCAAACACAAAATAGCTTTAATATACTTGCAGCCATGAATGTATTGTATTAAAAGGTGCCAGTGAAGAAAAACATGTATGTATCATCTTAACTATAGGCTGTTAGTCTTATTAGCTAAAATATGAAATTTAATCAGTTGCTTTAATGTGAATTCTCTGAAAACCGTTTCTTTGCCATATAATTTCTTCATATATATATATATATATATATATATATATATATATATATATATGGTAGTTTTTGCACATGTTTTCCAAACACAACACCCCATCTTATACAATATAACAAACCTTTGGCTATCACAGCCTAAGACTTCTGTCAACCTCGACTAATGCTTTTCTAACTTTCTTTCTGATTTTGCATTTTATTTTAATAGTTATTGCTATAAAATCCAAATATTAAACAAACTCCTTCTTAGTCCTTTTTCGCAATAATTCATATAGTTTTCTTTACAAAACTTCTTGCAACCCTACAAGCGATTACAATTGTCTTTCAAATATAATATATCATAAATTTATTCCAATCTTTCAGGAAATTCTGGTCTTGCTGGTTCCAAATTTTCCCAGTTAATTTTGCCAACTCGGCTGCCATATCATTTCTTTAAAATTATTGTCTTTGATATCTTTCTCAGCTGATGAGAGAAAGCTGGGAAAAGAATGGACAGTTCTCCCAGTGAAAGGGTGTAGGAAGTGGAGTCTTCTGAGAATCTATTCCTTTTAACTTATAAGACGTGCAGAGTATGCTGATGATACCAGATCATTCAGGATGTTTAAAACAAAACAAACAAAAAAAGATTACAAGGAGCTCTAAAAGAATCTCTCCAAACTGAGGTGAATGGGAAGTAAAATGGCACAATGCAACTCACTGTAAATTATGCACATCTGAGGCAGAAAATTCTAATTTCAAATATGCATTAATAGGATCTGAACTGGTGGTGATGATAGCCACCCTGACTGCAAGGTTTCATTTCTGGTCTATCTTGATAAAGATATCAGCTCAGTAAGCAGGAACTGAAAAAATAGGGATAATTAGGGACTGAAAAATAAAATTGCCCATATCATTATGCTGCTGGAATAATACTTAAATATTTCTGTAACAGATCTAAGCTTATGCAGTAATACCATTATGATAATGCTAGCGATTTTATAGGAATCAGACACACGAACATTAGGTAAAACTTCAGACTATTTACATCCATAAAGTTATTTATGGCAGGGGTGGTTAAGCTGTAAAATATTATCGACCATCTGAGAAACACACTGAACTGGAGGACAGATTAATTGCATACCATTTACATATCTTCAGAAAGTATGCGGCCGGTACATCAGATGGTTCTGCCACCACCATCTCCCCATCTTCCTCTCCTCCTCTCTTGCCAGGTGGGCAGGCAGCAGACAAACCTTGGCTGGATCCAAACAACCATAATCAGGACGTAAATAGCTGCTGGCAGTGTTCTTCAAATATTTGCACCTGAGTTCCCCTTGGAGTACAATAGCTAGCCTCTCTGAGGGTGGAAGACACAAAGAAATGAGAATGCCAGTGGAGTACTGTGGTTAGAGAGCACAGAGTTCAAATCTTCACTCTGCTTCAAAGTTTACTGCTTTTCTTGGATTCCCCAGCCCCCCAAAAGGGTTGCTGTAATTATAAAAAGGGGTTACCATCTAGGTTGCTTTTAGCTCCTTGGAAGAAGTGTTTGAGGGAAATAAAAGGTATCCTCCTAGAGCTTGTTCTACATATTAAGCTACAGCATACATTAAAAAATGAAACTAAATCTAAAGATGTTCAGGATGCACAGGAAAAATTCAGGTAGTTTCTAAACCGGCTTTCTTTAAAATGACATAAACGCACAATTTCTTGGGTGCTAACAGCTAGCGGTTATATTCCTTCTGTTCTCTGCACACAACCCAGATTAAAAATGTCAAGCTGCATATGGTAGGCATGACTGAAATTTGCAACCCTGTATTATGGCAGTTGTGACTCAGCCTTTGAAAAACTGAATCTTAAAAGTTGTTAATGCACTAACCTACTATAGGTTAGAAATAGGTTTGCAAATCTTGGTTGATCAATATTAGGGTATGTTCATGTTACTACTTACTGTGACTCTCAACATGCTCCTACCACTGTTTTTTTTAAAGCTGGGTTCACACATCATCAGCCTCAATCCACCTGTGTCCTGCAGCTTTTAGGGAAAACTCCTCTTTGATGTGTTTTTCTTGAAACCAGCTCCCATCCAGTTTGAAAATGGAAGCGACGCTGTGCTGTGGACAGTTTGGGCGGCTTTTGCAGGTGCACAGATGATGGCTTCACATGGCGCAGGGAAAGAAATCAAGTGAAGGCACACACACTTTTGCGCTGGTGTGCACAGTGATGGGAGAAAGCCACTTGGAAATGCAGCAGGAGTATGGGTCAACTTCACAGCTTCTCAGGCTGCTAGTGTGAGCTCAGATGAAATGCTGCATCACAGTTAATGCTAAGTTGGAGAAATCCATCTGACTGAGGAAATGCTCCATCTTCTAATCATAAATCTTCTCTAATCTTCTAAACACTAACACAGCCCCAAATGCAACTCTTTCGATAGCAAACTAGGATGGTTGTAACAAAAGCGATGTGTCAGTATTCTCAGAAAAACTCTTAAGGTTTGCAGAAGGTAAAAATAAATAAATACAAAAAGCCCAAGAGGGCAAACCCTTTCTCCAAAACCCAAATTAGACCCAAAGAGCATACTTAGTAGCCATGGACTTTTTACTGTCATTCGGAAAAGAAAAATGGAAAACTTGGGGAAGTGATGGAATGAACTACTGAAGGAGCACATGGCATAACACCCAATTACATTTTGTTGCAGACCCACCTGTGCATCTATACTTCTGACTGGCGGTCAAGTAATAGTGAAATAGCAGAAGTAGTCTGATCTTAGCAATGGACAGGGCTAGTTTAACAGGAAATCACAGTCCCCAACAAGTTGTGGTGAGCCTCAGGCTCATACCTTTTCCCCTCTTTTACATGCCACAGGAAATGCAAAGAGTCTGCTTCCTTTTTAAAGTCATCACAGCTTCCGAGGATGTCCAAATTCATGGAACTGTAGTTTGTTTAAACTATCATTAGTGATAACAAATTGTGATTATACCAGTTTCCCATTACTTCTGAATTAGGACAGAAACCAGACCATACATCTGTACAGATTCTGAGACACAGATGCATATATTAAGATTGCACAAGAGTATTTTAAAAAAAGATTCCAAGAAACAGTCCTGAAAATAGATGAGATCAAGATGTGCAATAAAACCAGCAGTCCTTTTTTTAAAAAAAAAGATCTCATAAGTATGCAGACAAATTGATCAGCTTTGCACTTTGGCAGTATTCCAACTTAATGAAAGAAATTCATTTTAAGAACTCCTGTGTTTCACTTCAATTATTTTACCCAAAGAATCTAGCAATTAAGACCTTAGCATGCCAATACTGTGTTTCTAATCTGTCCATTTAACTTCTGAATGAAATAATAAACTCTACGCATTTAAAATATCATGAAAATAATATCTTTAATATACAGTTATATATATACTTACAATACACCATTGACATTTGTTCATATACATAGTAGGGTTATTTATTTGCTTCTGGTTTAAATAAATGTTCCTCACCCCAAAACCTGTAAAGAGATTATCAAACCGGCACATACTTTCACAAACACATACTTAGTTTTAACAATAGAATATATTTACTAACCCATTAAATTGGGTTTTGTTTTGAAATTTGTTTATTTTTGGCATACATGGAACCCATTTGGAAATTGAATAGTTGAGCCCAGAAGCTAAAATTTTGCCATTATTCTTTAATGTCTGATCAGCTTCTTTATTTAAGAATTAAAGGAGTTCCATTTTTTTAAAAAAGCTCATTTGTTCTAGATATTATTGAGCCTTATGTGTTTCATTTATGCACGATGTATGCATGAAAAGGGTCTTTTACTACTTTGCTGTTATTGTTTATAGTCTCATCTTGTAGTGTTTCAACTATAAGGCAACTGCATGCTGAAATACTAACTTTACACTTCAGTTTCATAACTGACATGCCTTAAATTTGTGGAAGTTAATGCTCATATTGCAACTGCCCCAGTACAATACTAGTAGTGGCGGTAGGAAAGGGAGTATCATTTTTTTTTGAGCTGCATCCATCCCACTCTCACACCCTGCCACTTAAGAGGCAGCTTGTTCCTCATACTAAAAAGGTTTTCTTGCCACCTCTAGTTTCCCCGAGGCAGTACAAGTAATTAATCAGATGCAGGATTGTTTCTCCAAACCTCTTACGGGATTAAGAAGTTTTCATGGCCCAGACTGCATCAGGTATGACTTACTACTGTGTTTCTCGATGCAACTGTTAAGAACCCACTTACACTTGTGTATGCTGGTAATGCAGATCAACTGAGAGATAGAGCCACATCCATTCAGCAATGCTGTAAAGTGCCTAAGTCTGTTTGGCCAACACATCTCTCCACCTCCTACTGTATCTGAAAACAAACTGGTTGCATTAATAACCTACAGGGAGGAAGAAGGGATGGAAAACTTTCCTTTCCTGAACGTCCTGAAGTTAACTTACCTTACAACCCAAACCACTGACTCGATCATTGTGGCTACTTCTAATGAAACTGTTGCCATTATGAAATCTTATTATACAGCATTATATATACCATAGTCATAGACATATTATGGGACTTTGTTATAAATTTAGCTTTAACAACCCCCCCCCCAATTTAGTTGCCCCCTTGGCTTTCAAAAGTGCATTTTCCTTATGCAATTAAGCAAACATTCACTAAGACAAGTGTGGGAACCCTTTGGCATTCTAGAAGTTGCTGGACGACAACTCCCATTATCTCTGGCATTTGCCCATGTTTGCTGGGGCTGTGGGCACTGTAGTTCAGCAACATCTGGAGGGCCAAAGTTCTCCACATCTGCCCTAAAGCTTTAGTTTTTGCCATTAGCAGTCTGATGCTGCCCCTATGTACAATCCATTCTTACTTGGAAGAATGTTCCACAGACTTAAGCACGGCTGCTCCATCCCAAGTATGCACACAGGAGTCTTCCTGAACTTGATGGGCCTTATTTCCAAGTAAACAGACTTAGGGCTGCACTGTAAGCATCTTAAAGAAACTAAACACATTACACTGCACTATAGGATTAGCCACACCAGAGCAACAGTTACAGGTATCTTATGGATGGCCTCAATACTCCCAGACTGCCTCCTATTTAAAGGAAAACCTACTGAAATCCTTTTGTGAAAACAAGAACACCCATATATAAAGGACTATTATACAAGGTATTAATGTGCTGCACATAAAGGGATTTTGCAGCAAGATGATTAAATACAAAACTATGTCCATCGCACTGCTCTGAAACAAAAAGCAGCATCAATTCTGCTTTCAGCCAGCACTTTAGTTATTTATCAAACATGAATAGAACAGGGGCCATAATCAGTGGCGAATCAGTGGCACATGCCCTCCTAGCGTTCACGTTTTACAAAGACCTGAGGAACAATATTATCATGCCTCTTTTATTGACCATTCTGGGTCACCCAACCACTGCCACAGTGTCGTTTCTCCTGGCAGATCAAGAGGAGCAGATGATTACAAAGGTTGGAAGGTTTCTAGCTGGGGCAATCAGAATAAGGTCCACTATTTGACGGCTGATTCAGGACCCTAAACTGTGTTTTATATAACTGACTTTTTATTTTGTTCTGTGTAAATCACAAAGTTTTTTTTGTTGCTATGGCCTATGGCTGATGCAAATAAAGTTTCAATCATCATCATCATCATCAGGGGCTACAAGATGGGATACTCCTTTTAATCAGAATATATATGGGAGGCTGCATGATTAACGTTGAGGACTGAGTCATATGAGAGGTCCTTGTTACACCTCCCAGTCCTATGTTGCAATCTGCCAAGGAGCAGGCACTGTCCCGGCAAGAATGCTGCCTGCCCGCCTGGGTGCTTCCCCTTGCTCTGAATGCTATTCGCATGGCATCATGGAAAAATTCTATCTCTGATCCTGCAAGAAATAAGATCTGTGAACATACTTTGGGAGTGAGGAGACACTGGAGTCCTTGTGTAAGTGGTCAGGGTTGAAAAGGATTAGTATTGCTCCTTGGGTGGTGCACAAATGCTTAGGAATGCTCCCTCAGCCATTAATCCGCCAATAGACTAACATTGTTAAAAATATTTTACTGGGTGATGCTGGCGGGACAAACGAATTCTCAAAACGCTACAAGGCAACAACAATGATCTGTGGAAGCAAAGGCAGAGAACAGAATATGGGGAAAAAACCCAACAACATTCCAATGCAGAAATGAGAGTCACTACGAAGTCTGGGATAAAAGGACATGCAGTGTGTGTGCGCTACTAATCTCACCACTCGTAAGTCAGGTGTGGGGAATGTTTGGCCCCCCAGATGATGCTGAACTACAACTCCATTGACCATGCTTGCTAGGGCTGCTGGAAGTTGTTCAGCAACATTTGAAAGGTCACCAGTTTCCCACACCTGCTCTCACTAACTTCTTAAATATGATGACCCAGAAGGCAATAAAGTTACAACCAGACATGAAACAGAGTACGGTAAATTCAGTGTGCCATATAGCACTTATGAACTGAATGGATTTATTTGTAAATTAAATTAAGGTATGGGATTATTAACTGCTTTGATGCCACACCAAGACCAGAACCACAATCCTAAACACTTGTTATTGAAGTAAATCCTATTGTGTTCAATGAGGCTTACTCCTAGGAAACATGCATAAGATTATGGTAGGACTGAGGTTGCCCAAAGCACAGAATTGTTTTCCATTAAGAGAAAACTTGCTAGAAATTGGAAACATTGCCTTCCCCCCCATCATCCTGCAAACCCTTCACTATTAAAAGATTTTAACCATGTGGTGAGCGCTTGTCAAATCACAAGGGATTATACACTGTGAGGAGCTATCACAGGAACCCTTGCTTGAAGTACAAATAGGTTTTTGAAAACAGAAACAAAGATGTCAGGCAACTGCAATTTAACTTCCAAACTGATAAGTACTCAACTGCCAAGGTTTGCTATATGATGCCAAACCACAGTTAAAATTTCTCAACAATGGTTTGACATGATTGTCTGAATGAACCGAAAGAATGTTGGCTTGGCTTGGATGCTAAGAGAAGTTGAATCTAAGAGAAGTTGGATCCTAAGACAATTTTAGGCTTTTCTCTTTCCTTAGCAGCCCCCCTATTGCTCAGAAGGGTCAATGATCCTCTAGAGCAGGCATGGCGAAACTTGGCCCTCCAGCTGTTTTGGGACTACAACTCCCATCATCCCTAGCTAACAGGACCAAGGGTCGGGGATGATGGAAATTGTCGCCCCAAAACAGCTGGAGGCCCAAGTTTGGCCATGCCTGCTCTAGAGTCTTTTCGTGGGGCACAGGAGGCTGCAAGGGGAGGAAGAGTCAGGAAACTCTCCTTCCATTAATTTCCTTACGTTAACTGACCTTACAACGGAAACCATTGGCCATGTTCACACATAACACTAAACCATGGTGCTTATCAGTGCTTTTCTTCTAGAAAAGCTTCTAGAAAAAGAGGTGTTGGTACTGTGTACCTTGATTACCCCCAGAAAAAAGCACCGGTAAGTAAAAAGGAACTATGGATAACACAACAAGTCAACATTAAGGGAAAATAAAAGTAAGTACTGGTGATGTTCTCTAGAGACTTTGGCTCATTCCAGATTGTGCACATAGGGTTATCCCATGGTTTAGCATTCCATGTGAACTGGGCCACTGAAGTTAAAGTACAGGCTATTCCCCATAGAATTTCTTCCTATACAAATGCAGTCCAGTGCTGTACTTGGCCACTGAAGTGCTTGCAATCCTATGAGATACGGGGGACGACGGACATTACATCATGAGAATTCCTGGGATCATCACTGACATCTCCTCACATGAGAATCCACCTAACTACACTAGTCTACTCATGTATGGAGAAAGTACTTTTAATCAAGTTCCCAAAGTGTGTGTTTTTTTTAAAAAAATCAAGCAGTTTACAATCTCCCCCCTAATGGCAAGAACTTTCTTCAGCTTTCTCCCACAATTACAGCATGCAGTCTTCTGTAAGCTTCCTAAGTCATTTTTTTCCCAATGAACAAAGATAACTGAAGAAAAATTAATGAAAATATCACATTAAGAAACACTGCATTAAGGATTGGATGGGGGGGGGGGAAGCTTTAAATACAAACATGAAATCCTTTATCCTAGCTGTTTAACTCTTATGAATAAGCAATGGTATTAGTAGTGTTGTGTTAAGACCTGGATTCCCTTCCTAAGACTTCGATGTATTTGTTGTCTAGCATAATGAAAACAGGCTGGCTAGGTAAATACATCACACACCATGTGGGCCAAGTTTGCATTCTCCTCACCCCACTTTTTAAATAGTCAAATGCATTTCATAGATTAGGATCCTAAAACATTCATATATTATTTCCAGAATAGGAGGGTAACCTCAACTATTCTACTTCCTATAAACATTTTTTAATCATCATTTAATCAGCTTAATTTTGATTAGACTAGATTTAGTTTTGGGAAATGTGAACACGTTTAATTTAGGTTAGTGTTTAAGTTTCACTCTTTCCTAATTATGGTTTTTTTAAGAAACCTTAGAGAAGCAGCAGCAATACAACGCATCTAGGATGAACCACTGAACTGCTGCATCTGTGTCTTATTTCCTGAAAATTTGCACTCCAAGGCAGATCATTCTCACCTTGTGTGCATTTTACACCCAAGCCAATGGGTGCATTGTTCTCTAACAGTTATTTGTACTAATGCAAGCCATCAAAATTTGCTCAGATTGAATGCAAAGTAGTTTCAATCACATTTGAAATCCAAATCTTTCTTTGTTTCTCTAATACAAAACCTTTTCCAAAATAAATTCTGTAAAACAAAGAGCACATTTCAGAACAGCACATTTCTGCATTTCAGAACCCCTTTGCTCCCCAACACTGAAAGGAACCTATGCTTATTCTCTCCCTTTCTGTATCTGTTATCTGCTATGCAAGAGAACTCGACTGGGTAAAAAAGAATACCTGCCTTGATTGCGACAGTTTCTAAGGGAAACAGTACGATGGTAAATCAAACTGGGGCCATTCTGAGAAGTAGATTGGTAGGGCTATGACTTCTAAACTGTTTTGGCTGAACTACCCCAAATCCTGCCCTTCCCACAGAGCTATATGAAAGACCAAGGCCTTCCTTCTCCCTCAAGTGCTATTTGAAAATTATGCTGCGTTCGTAGATCATTGCCCCTATATAAATACATGTGTGTAGAAGCTGAATGTGTTTTTTGCTACCTCTCTTTCCCCCTCCTCGCCCTGTAAATTATAACTGAGCAGAAAGAGAGGCCACAGGTGGATAACAAGGCAGAAAGGAAAACAATGCATGTGTGAGCAGGGCAGTGACAGCTCACAAGAGATTTAAGAGCAGAGGATTACCAGTAAGTATTGCTCTCCTAAGGCCAACAACTCTATAAAAACCAACCCTGTTTTCAACTAGGCAGAGAAATAAGTGGTGAACTTGTATTGCCTTTTCAATGAGAAATTTGCACTCATCTGGAGGTGACGCGAAGCTACTAAATTCTTCGTCGGTTTTTTTTTGCGGTTTGAATTTCCTTCTGGAAGATGGATTCATTCAGAAAAGGGTTCTAATCACAACCCACATATAAAAGGAATGCTATCCCAACAATTAGAACAAGTGGGAGAAGGACACTAACCACTGGATAAATCAGAACTGAAGGCAAGGTATGCAGCCATCAGAATACAAAAAACAAAAACAAAAAACCCCCCAAGAGGAAATACATTTATTGGTAAACACACAAAAAACAAGGTGATTTGTGTGCTGTTCAGCTTTGCCTAATCAATAATAATAAATATAATGTCTTAATAGACTACACTGAGTACAAATTAAATTCCCTTTAAAGCCCACTGTTTAGCAGCTTCTGAATGTTCAGGGATGCACAAGGCACACCTCCCTGTTTCTACTATGTACAAAAGAGTCTGCTCACCACTCAGAATATCTGCATAGTAAGAATGTTTTTTTCCTGCTACTATATTTACATAAGAGCAACAGAGGATTTTAGTGCAAAAACAAAAACGAGAGACTGTGTGTTAGCCCCGGTGCTTCTGGCACACCTCTCTCTGAGTTTTATTGCACCGGCTTCATAGCACTACATTTTAGGTCGCCAGCCGTTAATGAACTGCAATATTTTCTTAACCTGCAACTTGCTTAGCTTGAAGTCCTCCAAAAGGATCTCTTCATTGAGCTGAACAAGCAAGTTGCCGTCAATCTTCTCTGTAACGAAAAAGGATATGACATCCTCAGATAAACCTATAAACCTCAGAGATTTAGAAACTTCCTCTATTGAAAGTCCAGACAGATCCACAGGGGGCTGCCAAGGAGAGCCGTCGCCGCAGGACCTTGGTGCTAGCTGAAGGTGGAGGGGAGATGAGAAAGGATAAGGGATGGCAAAGATGTCTTGCATGCCCTTTTTGCCAAGGTACTGATCTTCAGAAAGGTCTGGCGAGCCTGCCTGCGGCTCTTCCTCCGCACCATCTATTCTGAAAGGCAGTGGACACAAGTCAAGGCCGGGCTTCTCATCTGCCGCTTTTGGTGCACGAGGGGGTAAGGCAGGACACGAGAGAGACTGCGGTGTGCTACTGACTGCCAGGCTCTTCTCATCGGTGCACTCGAGCGAGTAACTCGCCGACTTTGGGCAAGTGGGCACTGCACAACCAGGTTCTGCTGCAGCTGGTAGGGTGTCCCCTACAGGAAATTCACTTCTATCCAAGTCAAATGTAAAAGTTGCTGGGCAGTTTCTCTTTGGTGTGCCAGGAGTCTTCTGTCTTGGATAACTGTAACTCCTGCTTGGGTCCAATAGAAATTCACCCCTGTTAAGGCCTTCAGCAGCTCCGGAACAATGATTTGGCCACGAGAGCCTGGAGGACAGAGCATCAGCAGAGGGGCTTCCAAAAGGCAGTAGGTTGCCAAAATCTTGTAGGTCAGCCTTCACTGTGCTGCATGGATAGCAAGCAACAGGAGCACTCTCAGAGGCAGACTCAGCTTCTCCTTCTGCAGCATTGCTTTTTTTTTTTTAAAGATAAGCAAAAAGATAATTACTTTGGTACTTGGTGGTCATGTGAGAAAGCTATTACTTTGCCTTACATTATGTCAAGATGACGGTCAGTGTCTTTATACAATTTCCCGTCTGCAGAACTGTTTGCACATCACAAATTCAAACACAGGAATTAGACTTGGGGGGCGACATGCAAAGCCAAACAACACCCACATTCCCTGAAAAGCAGTTAACTGTACTGACAATTATTTTGTAATTTCTAAGCAAATTTGTTCACTTAAGTGGAGGGCACCACATTGATTAAGCTTGCTGCTATAGACCAATGGGAAGTTTTTTTAAATCACTTTTCATCATGCCAGTAAAGCTTGCGAAGTTATCTAACATTGCATGTTAGACTAAATGTATAGGGGGAAATAGGGTGGTACACTGTATATTCTGAACTGAAATAATGAAATCTGGACTCTGCTAATTTAATAAAGAACAGATGTCTGGCCCCTGTACCTTAAACCTAGTAGGTAGAAGGATCTAGACAGATATGAGATAATTCTCATGTTCATTCTAAGGGACTGAACTTGCAAAACATGTGCTCTATGACAGTGCACTGTAATGCTTCCTTTGACATTAATATCCAGTGCCTCACAATCCATAGTATGCCCATCTACATGTGGACCAATTTTCAAAGCACAGTGCAAAACTGCAGGGATTTCTTGTTACAATAATTTGGAATTCCCTAATGAGTTGGGTTGTTTTTTTAAATGGCTGGAGTAATCCACTTCAGTGACTGTTCCCTTATACAGTGGTACTTTGGGTTACATACGTTTCAGGTTACATATGCCTCAGGTTACAGACTCCGTTAACCCAGAAATAGTGCTTCAGGTGAAGAACTTTGCTTCAGGATGAGAACAGAAATCGTGCTCTGGCGGCACGGTGGCAGCAGAAGGCCCCATTAGTTAAAGTGGTACTTCAGGTTAAGAACAGTTTCAGGTTAAGTATGGACCTCCGGAACGAATTAAGTACTTAACCCGAGGTACCACTGTTTAAGCTGTAAGGAAAACCCAAAGGTTTTAAGACAAGAGGCTAAATTACCTTACCTATTAAATGTATAGTTATTACAGGGAAACTTTGCACAAAACTGTTTGAAGAAATAACTTGGAAGGATGTTCTCCACTGTTACTGTAAGCATTCATGAACAAGAGAAGGCTGAGAGCCAGAAGTGTTCCATACTTACATGTTGTGCAGCCCTGATGAATAGTACGAGAGTGTTGGACTAGGAGAACGAGTCTGCTGCCGTGCTGGTTTGTTTGCCCGCGGAGGAACAGATGGACTGGTGGATGTTGGCTTTGAATTTCGTGGAGGAACAGGAGGGGCATTCAGGAGTCTACATTCTTCTCTGACCTAGGAGGGAAATAAAACTTTATCATTCGGCAGAACTTTAGTATGTTCAAAGCACACCGCATAAGTAACCAGCAATCCATACAGAAACCCTGTAAACAGTGCTTTGCTTCTATAAAAAAGGTACTGTGTACCCTTGAGTACCCCCAGAAAAAAGCACTGCCTGTAAAGCAGGTCAGTACTTACTACAGATGCAGAACAGAAGCTGAGAGAGAATGACTTGCTTAAGCCCCCCTAGTGAGTGCACTGATCAAGCAAGATCTGGATTTCCTGGGTGACTTCCCAGCTCTTTTTCTTCACCCCCGCATCACACCTGGTGTGCAAGAATTTAAGACAAGGCTTGAGAGTCCAGGTGGGTAACCTCATCGGAATCAGAGGTAGATGCATCAGCTCAGGTCCCAGTTTTTTAAGGATCACAAAACAAGAGGAATAGGAGTGGTATTCATCCTGCAATGCCCACAAAGGTGGTTAAAAACAAGCAAACCCTGAGTAATGGAATACAATGTTATTGCCTTCTTAGCAGCAGATATGTATTCATATAGAAAGCATAGCCTGTCTACTTATCTGCTGCCAGCAGAGGGCATATGGTAGCCACTGAAGAATTGCATGAGCTGGTACAGATGTTACTGGACCCAGCTTACTTTGGTCATCTGCCCATATACAAACAGTCTACCTATGTGAGCAAGAAACGTCTGAAGAGGAGACTAGAGTGAAGGAGAACCTCTTCTTCCATAACTAGAAGCCATGGTAAAATATTAAAATATGCCACTACCCAGTAGGAAATGGGAAATCATTTAGAGTTGCTATCACAGAAAACTGCAAGCGTTTTAAAACTGGTGTTTTAAAAACCAGGCAAGACAGTCTGCACATTTCGGTTGTAACCACCCTTCAATGTTGTGATTGCAGGTTTTGTAACTGTAAGTTGTTGTTTTGTTTTTTTTTAAAAGGTGCAAGATAGCATACTACAACAATGGGAGAATTTCTCCCTCTGTGAATACTAGCAGTGAATACAAGGCTTTGATTTTTAATGCTTATTTCAAGATATTACAATGTTTTATGTATCCAGAATGCAGCACTAGACCTGCCATTGTGCAAGCAGCTATGCATCATCGTCATCAATTTATTAATCACCTTCTACACATCAAGGTGATGTACAATTAAAACAGAGCTTAAAACACAAAAAGCAGAGATAGTAAAACTAAAACAATACAAAGTGGACACTCCTGGCAAAGACCAATTTATCCCACCTGTGGCAGGGCATCAGAATAATAGGGGTGACCGGTGTGGGTACAGAGGTACTAGCTGTACAGTGGTCAAGGCAATGCTGTGTCAACTGAGTAGAAGTGAGGGGCCAGAGGACAGCACTTTGATGACCTCCATGTGAGGAGCTAATCTTTACAGAGGCCTTCAATTCCCAAGCAAAAAAATCTAAATGATTTTTCTTTTGTGGCTGTTACTGAATTCAGCCATAGCACCAACGAGCTTTCAGTGTTGCCCCCTAGATTGCAATAAATTGATTAAATTCCGACTCAAGCATCAGTATGGTATGCAGAGCAATAATAATGCTTTTATAAAGTGCGATAAAATGTTGTCTACATATTCATTGTGAAGAAGTAGCTCAGTCCTAGAGAGAACTTCAACCCAGAAGACCGTCCTGTACCAAGAAAGGCTCCATAGGGCACTGTTTTGAAGCTTTAAGAGTAAAAAATGTATGCTCAGCAGTAACAAATGAAGCAAACATGCTCTGTAAATATTGTGCCAGGAATAAACAAGAGTCTTACTTACTCACTGCATTAAACCAAATATATAGAGAAATGCCTTTACCTCCAGAAACATGTATTTTTTTTAGCGTGCAACTACCAACTGGTATTCATTAAACCAAGGCATATTTAAATAACTTCTAAAGTTAGGCTAACAATATGCTACAACACCATGGCTATATAATTCAGGGAAATATTTTTGATGTGTCTAAGAGTTTCTACATGCCTAATGGATTTTGAGAGTGTGGAGGATAGCTAAATGAAAATGCCTACCCAGTGTCCTGTACAAAAGGCAAATTCCATGTCAGGTATACAGTGGTACCTCGGGTTAAGTACTTAATTCGTTCTGGAGGTCTGTTCTTAACCTGAAACTGTTCTTAACCTGAAGCACAACTTTAGCTAATGGGGCCTCCCACTGCTGCCACGCCGCCCGATCACGATTTCTGTTCTCATCCTGAAGCAAAGTTCTTAACCTGAAGCACTATTTCTGGGTTAGCGGAGTCTGTAACCTGAAGCATATGTAACCTGAAGCGTATGTAACCTGAGGTACCACTGTAATGGCAAATATATTGTGTGGCCACACTTGGAATACTGTGTACAGTTCTGGTTGCCACTTCTCAAAAAGGATATTGTAGAGCTGGAAAAATATGAAGAAAAGGCAACTTGAATGAGTGCAGGGCTGGAATAACTGCCCTATGAGGAAAGGCTATAACATTTGTGGCTTTTAAGTTTTGAAAAAAGGCAAGTTGGAAGGGACATGAGAGAGGGAGAAAGAATAGTGTGGGGGAAGTGGATAGAGAAAAAGGTTTCTCTCCTCATATTAAAAACTGGAGCCAACCAATGACACCAAATGGTGGGAGATTCAGGATAGGATATCAATGGCTGCAAGTCGTGATGGTTATATATTAGCTCCAGCATCAGAGGGAGCATACTGGGGAACAACAGTGGGAGAAAGCCATTGTTCTCATGACCTGCCTGCTGCCTTCCTACAGGCATTGGTTATTCAGTGTGGGAAGCAGGATGTAGGCCTAGATGGGCTTAGGGTCTGATCCAGACCTAGTTTTGGACTAGTTTTCTGTTCTTACTTTCACCTCAGTTTTGTAGCATTATGCATACTTTCGAAAATCTGTCTGATGAGAGTCAATGTTGGGACCAAAAAAACAACACATGCACGTACGCTGCCAAAAAAGAGTCTCCAGTGACCCTTAACTCCTTAAAACCATTGTCTATCTCTACGCCATATTTTATTTAATTCCACCATTTTATTGATTTCTACTGCTGATTTTTCCATTCAGGGCATATTATTTTTTGACCCATACACCAGACATATGCTCAGCTCTAATGCAATTTTAATCATACTGTTCCTTGATGCAAAGTATTACATGGAATACTTACGGTTTGCAACATAGAGACCCCTTTTAAAAAAAACCCCCAAAAAACCTGCCTGTTCAATTTGCTAAGTCAATTTCCATCACTCAAGTGTTTCTCCATTTTTCTTCTTCCCCAGGAGCATTAAGCAGGTTCCAAGTTGGTAACCTTTTGTTCTTGGGAGGACATATTCATTCAGCATCGAGTTTCATCTTACCATTAAAAATGGCAAAAATTCTTTGCATAGCAAAAAAACATTTCTCCATTCAAATTTACATGTGAAGTTGCACAATGCACAGAAAAATGCATGCTCTACAGGGATACATTTTTATTGGATGCAATAAAATCCTGTTCTCAAATGTGGTTTACTTCCAAACCAATCTAGAAAAGTGGAAACTCTAGAGGGGGGAAAATGAACCCCAAGGCTGCTATCCTATACCCATCTTATTGTGAGTAAGACCCACTGAGCTCAGCGAGGTATACTTTTAAGTAGATATATACAGGATTGTACTTAAGCCTTCAAGAACTATGAAATGGGTATGGGCTAATTGAGGAAATAATTCTTTCTGCAGAAGATCTGGGGGATCCCAAAGCATCTGAATTCGCAATTATGACAGTAGGACTTGCAATCCTGGGTCAGGAAATCAAGTTCACCCCATTATCCAGATCAACACTTTTAAGTTTATGATCTGGACCTACCATCACCCATCTTTATTAGAAAAAAGAAAGACCATGACTTACTGCTTCTGATTTAGGAGGCACAGGTGGCGGAGGTAGGGAAACTTCTGGAGATTTTGATGTTACTGTTATAGGCCCAGGTGCTGGAAGAGAAGAATTACCACACTTGGACCGGAAAGAACTCCTATAGCTGTCACATTTGTTCTTCTCACTTTGTGAGCGAGTGAAAGGCTGATCATTCATTTTCCCACCCCCCTGGTCCAGCCACAGTTCCTCATAAGGAAGTTCCGGTTTGGTAGGTAAACACAACGATTCTTCACAAACTTCAGGGAACAGGTAGTCGCTGCTGCCATCGCCAGAGTCCTGGCACTGCAGGGCATCATGGGAGAATAAAGCCCACTCATTGCACAAGTCCCTGCAGCCGTGAAGGTTCACCTCACTATTTCCATGGAGGTTGTTTCCATAAACACAAACCGAGAGGCGGTGGAAGGATTGCGTCAACTCGTCCCGAGCATAGCTAAGAGAGTTTGGCATGTGGTTGTGGCTGTGGGGCCGGGCTTTCTGCGGACTTTTGCACTCTTCATTCCAGTCGGCTTTCACATCTCTCACGCCACGGGAATACTCGTCTATGTCAAACTGCTCTTGGCAGAGACTGAACCAGTGCTTGACAAAGGCTTCGTGACCCACCTCCCCTTTCACAAGGCTTTCGGGGAGCGTGAACTTTGGAAGAGCCAAATGCAAAGGGAAGTGCATGGGAATGATTTTGTTGCTGTGCAGCGCACAGCAAACCACCACAGTCTTGGTCTGAATGTTGACAAACTTGTAGCGGTGCCCCTCGCGGACAAAATGCAGGTCGTAAGGGTTTCGCGGCGGAGAGCTGGGCACAGTCACATTCACGGGCAGCCGCGTCTTCTCCACGATGTTGCGAATGGTGTGTTCGCCCTCCTGCATCTGCAGCTCCAGGGGGCTGCGCGTGCTGAAGCGGCCCTTGCACTGGAAAGGAAGGCTGATGCTCTCGTTGGTCCTGTGGTTCATGCAGATCAGGCACGGCATCTTGCCTCTGCCCAGCTTGCTGATGGAATTGAGCTTCCCGATTTTCTTGAAGATGGTGTTGAGCCGTGACTTCTCCTTGGAAGATTTTGCATAGAGGATTTCCGCTTGCCCCATTAACGTCAGCTCGTCTCCCGTGCAGAGGGTGATGTTGTAAAGCTCGGTGTCTTCGTTGCATTCGCCCGAAGCCACCTGTAGCACAGAAAATTTAAGAGATGCCCAGATAAGTCATTTCAAACATGAAGCATAAAAGCAAGAGCTGCAGAAACAGCAAATTAAAAATTATTGAAACTGCAGATAACGGATCAACATTTATTTAAAATGTCTTATTTAAATTTCCTCTACAACCAACCTGATTTCTTTACTGAATATGAAATTCTATGAATCCATATGTACACAGGCAATTCTGACATATCCTGAAAAAAATTATGCCCCAGCCAAAGAATAAAAACAATGCAATTAATGTAGGGAAACCAAACATTTGAACTGAGTAAGACCACCCCCCGCAAAGCCTTGCAAATTAGGACTGAGTCACTCTGACTTTGCTGAATTTTTCACCCCACTCCCATAACTAGGGAATGGCAGTGTGGCAGCTGCCAGCTGCATTCTCTCTTTTCTGGCTTAAGGCAGCCTCTATAGTTCTGCCGTGAATCTGTGCTTCAAGGACATAATGGAGTACTACAATGGTTGAATACGTGTGTGTGTGTGTGTGTGTGTAGGAGGTTAAAACAAGTGCTATCAGTGAAGATGACAGAGCGTTGGGCTACAAATGCTAGTGTTTCCTAAACCCAGGAAACAATCAAATTCTATTGTTGTAGGAAAGGTGACAGGTAGAGCGTACTACTTGGACTGATCATGGCCTGGAGGAATTGCAGCTTATCCCAAGGCAAGTAGCCAAGTGGTAAGCTACACGGCTGAACCAAGAGTCACTGAGAATCAGGAGTGAGCAATACTGAATGCACAAGTTAGGTTGCAGAGCCTGCCTCCCCTTGATGAAACTTTGCAATTTCATAGAAAGATTGCCACTTTTCTGGTCTACACTCTTTAAGAGTGTAAGAGGCAAGCTTCTTCAGCTGGATGCGGGGAAGGCTCAGCCTTGGGTGTATATTTGTACTGTGTGGTGTAGTGGCTAAAGCACTGGACTGTGACCTGGGAGGCCAGGGTTCAAAGCCTCATGCAGCCATGAAGATCACAGGGCAACCTTGAGCCAGTCACTGTCTCTCAGTCTATCCTACTCCACAGAGTTGTTGTGAAGATAGAATGGGAAGTGGAAGAACCATATTTTTGTATGCCACCTTGACTCCTTGGAGGAAGGATGGGTTATAAATATAATAATAAATAGGGAATTTTTTTCAAAAAATGTTTTAAATTTAATTTGTTTTTCTCAATTGCTTTTTAAACCTGTTCTTATTGTATGATTGGAAATCACCCTGAGACTTATATGGAAGGAGATTCATAAATTTAAAAATAATAAATAAATATAAGCTAACAAATAAGAAATGGAATGGAGCTAGTAATGGCTAGGGCTCTAAGAGCATGGCATGTGAGAAAGCATCACATTTCCACACATTAACAGAGTACCACCTAAAATCGTCGGCTCTTTTACACCATATACATTTTTGTTACTGAGTTAAGTGTAGACTGAGATCCCAATCTGATGATCAGCCTAAGAACCACTCCTTCCAGTCACACTGGAAATTGCACAAATGGAATGCAGAAGGAATAGAACAAACCCATCAGACGTGTTCGGGCATCCACTATATTCATGTAATTCAAAATAATAATATTAATTGCATCCACACAAACTAAACAAATGGGCTACAGACTTTTAGCTCTTGATACATTCTCCAGTCCTTTGTCAACCCTTTCCTATTTACTGAGGCCATTGTTCCTTAGTGAGCAAAAATATTGAGTTCGCAATACCTCCCACAAACACATTGCCAGAGTTAAGAAATCACAAATAACTTATACTTTTCCCAACAGGAAAATACACCCCCCCACACAAAAGGTTGCCAGATTTGGTCATGGAAGATCCAGGTTCAAATCTCTACTGAGCCATAACATTCATCTGCGTAGCTTTAGGCAAGTTACTGTCAAGCTTAACATATTACACAGGAATGTGAAAAAGAAAAGTAAGAATATATTATAAACTCACCTTGAATTCATGAGATAGGACAAAAATGATGGCCTTTTCCCCAACCCGTTTCAGTACTCCCTCCAATGTTTTTGAATGTATGTATGTGTGATTCTACCCCACCCCTGTAATTAACAACTCGCCTGGTAGCTTTAGGAGACCTGGAATTTTATGCTAGAGCAGTGGTGTCCAGAGGGCCAGATTTGATGAAGTGAAGGGCCGTGAGGGAGGGCCGACCAAAGCTGTTAAGCTTTTTTTAGGATTTTACCCCAGGGGCCGGATTAGGCCCCTGAAATGGACTTTGGACATGCCTGTGCTAGAGAGTGCATGGGAAACAAATGAGCTGCCACCCTATTGATTCTGGTCTAGGCAGAGGGAGGCCTTGGCCCATCCAGCTCCCTCCAGTGCAATGGATCAGAGAGTTGGGTTGCACGCTTTTCCAACACAGATAATAACACAGCATAATATATTCCTTTTCTTCCAAAAGCCTGCTCATATTCAGAGTGGCATTCAGTTTCTGCTTCTTAGTATTTCTAGTTGTTAACTGCATGCTACCACATAAGTAATGAGCATAGCAATCCTAACTCGCGTTTATACTCTGTTTGGGGATAAGGTGAAATATCCTGGAGATCTGTTTGCACAGAGACTGCCACATCCAATTCCCTATGGGAATCTTACCTCCACTGACTAAAATAGAAGGGAATGAACTGTGCCAGCCCCATAGTTAAATGAACTTTACTGCAACCATGCTAGGGAAACAAAGGGGCTTTGCATCATGCCTACACCTACCCACGGCACTATCCGCTTTCCTCCTCTCTCCTGGTCAAACATTGCTGATGGAGCACCAATGCTGGTAGAACATCGATGCCAGCAGAGCTTTCCACTGGTGCAAGTGTTGTTCTGTAGTGTATGTCTACCCTCAAAAACATGCAAAGCCCCTGCTAAGTGTGAATAACAACTTGACAAAACTGGAGGAGATGCATCTTATGCATGTGCTTAAAGCTGAATACTTTGGCATGAACAGCATGCCTGGCTAGTATTGCACTTTCAGAGTTTCCCAAGAGGAAGTAATTCAAACGCTGTGTTCAAATCTACACATCCTTAATAGAGCTAATCCAGGAAACAATCAGGATTTCCCTGTACGTGATACTCATTCACAATTCAGGTCAATGCCATGGCAGTATTATGAAACATTAATATTAAACAATGGTAGATTTCACACCGTGATTAACTATTCTCTCTCTCTCTCTCTCTCTCTCTCTCTCACACACACACACACACACACACACACACACTCTCACTCAAACTCACACACTTCTAGAGCTGCTTCACACAAGACTTATTTGCTCCATGAACATCAGTGCTGCAAGGAGAAGGGGCATCTTGGACCCATTAGTCTTTTAAATTAAACATAGACATGGTAGAACAGGCACATGGAGTGTCCCGTCCCCCCTTCAAAAAGCCCTCACATGTTTTGTACACATTTTCCTACAGAAATACAATATTCATTGAAGACAGATATCCTGCGTGATGTAGACTTCCAAGATGGGATTTAGTTTCAATTTAAGTAATATCAACTGGAGATAAGAACACTCTGAACTTTGCAGAACACTCCCCTCTCCTCACATTTTTGCATTACACACATGGTGACATCTCACATGAGAAACAAGAAGCAACAGAGAAATCAGTGGCCCCTGATTCCTCTTTTTGCATGGTCTATGTCATGTGTGAATAGGCAGCTTGCACACTTGCTCTATGGTGATATATATGAACTCAACACACATCTGAGTGCAAAGATATGCAAGTCCTTGTACTGCAAATTTGACAGGATGGGCAAGACTGTTGCTGCTCTAGTTTAACACCTGAAGACAAAGTCCCTTGCTTAGAGCAGTAATTTCATGTCAGTTTTGTTATTCTGAAGCAAAGGTGCACATAAAAAGGTGTTCATTTGAACTTTCATTTATTAATGGCAAAGACAAAAGAGATATGTAAAGCATTATAAATTAGTAATTTCTGACATAGTTCAAATACAGTTCTGCACTACCACAGATATCAGACTCAGCCAGCTATTAAGTGACTGCAGCAATTTATCTTATGGCTACACAGCAGTGTGTATAATGAACTGAAATAAAATGCTAGGTATCAGGGAAACCTAATTTCCTAAACAGTATTTAAAACATCTAACAATAAGTACATTAACTGGGTAGAGAAAAATGACATTTGCAAAGTTTCTTCTAAACTATGCTTCATGGCATCTAACTCCTCTCCAGCTTAAGCTACAACTGCTATCCAAAGACAAACCCAGTGAAGTTGTGCTTAGAAATGCCATGGGGAACTATAGCTCAGAACTGCAACGCTAATTGCTTTGTCTAGGATTTCCACCCTCTGGCATGCCAATGGCATTAATGAGCACATCACTTTGCGCAGCCACCCTCATATCCGGATCTCCTCCTTTTGTGGTGGTACACATAAGAGACTTCAGAAGAAGTGATGATGTGCATTCATTGCCACCACCTCCGCATTATATTGCAATGGTCAAAGACCTCTATTAATACCTTCCAGCGTTCTGAAAGTGTTTGCAGTGTGGTCACAACTTGAGATCAAGGTCCCAGTGTGCTTGGTCTGACTCCTCTGCTTCCTCCCTCCCACGCTGGAGTCTCGGCTGCAGAATAACCCCTTTTGTTGCCTTACTGTACAGTTTCCAGCCTCCTCTTTCCCCGTACATTTGGAAACATATTTTTAGAGCTGAATTTGGGATTAGGGCCCCTTGCTGGTCTCGAGGCAAACTGTATGAGACTACATCACAGAAAAATTGGATTCAATTTTGCATCAACAAAGTAATGCTTCAGTGTACTGAAAATATTTGCATTCATGGACTTGAAGCTTTACCCAGAGAACCTGAAATATCTTGCAGTTAGCTTATTGGGTAAGAATCCTCAACAACTTTTCCCTTTTACTTCAGAGAATAAATCTATTGAATTACCACCTCCAGGATCAGGAGGCTCCAGTTCATTTTCTTCTGCCACTATGCTGGAAGGAGTGTGTGTGTTTAAAACTTGCAGCCCCAAACTCTGCTTTCAAGAAAGAGATGTGGAATGGGTGAACACTCAGTAACTTAAATTAGACTTGGGTATGATTCATGTCACTGATTCCCATCTGGCCAGTTTTGCAATTCAGGCATTGCACTAGAGCAGGGATGGGGGAATAGGTACTGCTGGAGTCCAATTCACATCTGCCCCAGCTAGCATTGCCAGTGATCAGGGAGTTGAATTAACATCTGGAAGGCCAAAGGCTAGACACTTCTGCACATATAGGATGCACATATGGGCTTGACTAACTGGCAGATTTGAGTCTTGGCCTCAGATTTAACACCTAACTCAACCCTATTAACCTGATGTATTGGTTGCATTTGTAACCCTCTGTTCTTCCAAGGGGTTCAGGGCTGCTATTCATGAGGTCGTCACATTTTAGCCACGTGACAAAACCTGTGAGATAGTATAAGCTGAGAGATAATGGCAGGTCCGAAGTCACCAAATAAACTTCACAGTTGAGATGGGATCCAAATATAGTCTTCCAGTGTGGGAAATTAGCTCCTAACAACTCTGGTGACTATAAAGGGCATACCAAACAGGAAGATTTTATCATAAGTTTGATCATTGGCAATTTAGCTGTTTTCAGATATCACGTTACTGGCTCTTCAAATTATTTGGTTTGAATATGGTTCAAGAATAGGTGATGAGAAAAATTGATTCTTCCTTCTCACTTGCACCTTGAAAAGAAGACCTGGTTTCCTCAAATCAGTTTTCTGTGGCATCCTAACTGGCAAACTGTGGTTTAATTAATCCCTCCAAACCAGGATTGCAAACCATAGTTTGATGAGCAAAGAAGAAGCTGTCTTATATCAGGTCAAACTATTTGTCTCACTAGCCTAATATCATCTTGGCAGGGGCTCTCCATTTCTATCTTCAACAATAGTTGCCATGTTCAGGTGTTACATTCTAGACCCTCAAATTGTGATTTGCTGAGGGACTGTAGCTCATTCCCAGGTCCAATGCCTGTACTGCCAGTTAAAAGGCTCAGGTAGCAGGTGATAGAATATACTTTTGCCTATATTATCTTACAGGACTTTCATGAGGACAAAACAATATATTTATAATATTTGTAAAGGTGTTCACTGTGCACCTCTCATGCCTTATATATGAGGAGCTGTAAAACTGAGGCTGGAAAATCAATTTTTCTACCTAGAAAATGCCCAAATGGCTTTGCCAATTATTATTTTTTGCTAAAAATATAATGTCCACCTGCACTTTATACCAAATCACCATGAATACTTCAGCTTCTAAAATAGGGGAAAACAGACAGTGCTCTTGCAGCTTTGGGAAGTTACATACTCCTAATTAATTATTGCACTAATATGATAATGTAAGTTCAGTGTGTGAATACCAACACAGACATATTAGTGGTCATTATAATCTCCCAAAGTGGAGAGTATGTTGTTCTGTTCTGCATCTAATATAGAATCAATGTACACAGATTTGTGTGTTGTGTGTTTTACAGACATAACCCAAGAGATCCTAGCAGGAGATCTCCCAGTTGGCACCATTTAGAACTCCCATGAGACTCACTTGGCTTTTTCTCTAAACTTGTGTGTGTGTGTAGGAATAAACCTGAAGATCAACAGGGCCAAATCCAATTCTAACATGCTTAACTTTCTGACTTAGATGTTACACCCTCTTCTCAAATTTTCCTGAATATTAATAATGTTATCTTGACTATAGATGAACTTGCTCAAATGAGAGGTCAAGCATACATAGCCACATCCAAAGTACATAGGAACATAGAACTATGCCTTGTACTTAAACAACCCGCCAATCCATGTAGCTCACTACTCTTTAGATTGGCAGCAGCAGCCCTCCATGGTTTCATAGACTGGGAACATTTTCCAGTCCTACTTGGAGGTGCCAGGGATTGAACCTGGAACTTCCTGCATGTAAACCAGTGCTCTACCACTGAGCTACTGCCCTTACACAGTGATAGACCACCATCTTGGATAGGCCCATGCAGCATGTGCAGCTCCCTAGAAAACAATTACTTATTTTTCTAAAGTGATTGTGGCAACAGGAAATAGCTTGTGGTATTTAACCGTTAAGGTAAATCCAGAACAAACATGGAAACTGCTAGAAGTCATTCTAACATACAAGATTGGGAAGAGAAAGAGAGAGAGAGGTACAGTCTACAGACACTGCAGTCAGAATTTATGTGGGTAGTAGTTTCTGACATTACTCTGTTTGACAGTGATACGGCCTCCCTATTTGCAGGGCTTAAAGAAAACAACAACATTTCATTTGAATCATGTTATTTCTCGTGGCTGTTGCATAGATTTTAAATCAAGGAATCATTAGTCCTTTCTGTTTCCATGTAAATGCTGATAATCTTCACTAGTGTTGAGGGGTTTCAATAATAGTCCATACAGCCCCTATGTAGCCTAAGACATTCTGTGGAGTGAATGAAGCAGCTGCTCCTTCACCAATTAAAATCTAAGGGGTCGGAGGGGAGGGAGAGGGAAGGGGAGTGAACGACAAAAGAATCTCTGTCTAAAATTTGGAGGCAATTAAACAGATCGGAAAAGAACATTGCTTATTGAAGGTGGTTCCCTCTTTGAAAAAGTCTTCGTATATATCTCGCACTGATTCACAGAGATTTCAGGATGGGTTTGGGGGAAATGTACACAGTAAGTTGCAGTTTAAATACCATCAGACTAAGACAACTCAGTAACCCAAAATTATTTCTCCCACAGAGCACAGTTGCTCAACTGCCATGTATATATATAAAAAGGGTTTAACCATAAATCATTTCACTAGGGATAAATATTAGTTTAGGGGCTACCTTAACGTTGAATGTTATTTCCTCCATGACGTAAACTCGTTCAGGAAATGCTTTAGCCACCTCCTCCACACTGTTAAAATACTGCACTGGCTCCTTAATATCACGGTCTTGTTCCAACAGCTTAAACTGCCCTGAAAACAGATGATAAAATAGAAGAGCAATAAGATATTTACATTGGACGGCTGTTTCTGTGGCAACTGCTAACGCATTCCCTACGCTATTTAACTTGGTCAGTTTCCTCCAATTATTAACAGTTAGGCAATGGAAGAACAGATTGCACAACTCTTTGCGAACCTGAAAAGGAAAGAGTTACCAAGCTTTGCTAAACCGGAATTAGAAGAATGTGTGTGGGCCGACGTGAAATTTAATAGAATTTACAGGCGAGCTCTCTGGAAGTGGACTGAAAGCATGAATGCATTCTCATGGTAGAATTACACACAGATTTCTGCACATTTAGAACTTTCCCCAACATGTTACAGTACTTTATGTGTAAAAACCACAAACTCAATTTTTATAGGAAAATACACCAGAAAAAGAAAAGCACAGATGTGTAAGAACTGAAGAAATTTCACTGGCCAATTCACAGTGTTCCCAAGAGCCCCTTTTGAGGGGCACAAAGCTTAGGGATATTCACCAGTTTTCAGAATTTCTGTTCTGCTGCTTCACAAAACATTGCATTTTTGAAGCCACTCCCATGGTCACATAATAGGTTAAACTGTCAAGTCACTAGAGTTCTGTGAAAACAGGCAGTGTTATTACTGTTTATCACAATGCACTGATATGCTTTCTGGTTGTTTTATAGTACGATGCCAATTAGCCCCAGGCAGCATGGCCAATGATCAGGGTGATGGGCATTGTAGTCCAAAACATATGGAGAACAGGATCCCAGCAAGATGGCTTTTGGGAAACCAAAGTCTTTATTTCCCATGCTTGATACTTACTGTATATGGGCAGTACAAGCTAGTCTGGAAATAAAGCCTGTTGTTGACATCACAAAATACTCACAAAGGCTTATCTGCTCCACATACCAATACTCTGTATATAAATTTGGGGTCACATACGGGAAGTTCATTTAAATAAAACCTAATTGCATTATGTCTTGCTGTAACCAAATAGAACTAGCACAATACAGTTTTTATACAAACTGGGAATGTATGGTAAAGATTTACTTTTGCTTGGAATAAGATCTGGATGGTAAAAGCACCATTGTTTGGGGCCTATTCACATGAACATTTTATCAGTGGTAACAGTCAGCACATGAAACTGATATACAGCATTGCATGAATCAACTCCTACAATTCAACCATGGTACTAGCTTTGCTATAATGTGGACACAATATCAATCAATGAAGATAAGCTTATCAAATGATAAGATTAATTTGTAATAAGTACCACCAATGCAATACTGTGGATTTGACATCCGTGACTGTAATTTATAGAAACTAATTATCAGCAACATGCACTTAAAATATCAATAGTGTGCGGTAGAATGTAGCAGTCATGAACTCACCAATAATTTAAACCTTTTTTTCATATGGGTATATACACCCCCAGCCCCCACCCCAACTTACCACATACCTTAATTCAATACTACTTCCTAAGTGCAAGCAGTTATCTGAAATATTATTTGGAATGTTATTATTCTACACTAATTTAACAGATTAATTTTTTTTGCAAAAACAGTACTTGAGATTACCACGCTCCCCAAGATGCTGAAAACAGTTGGCTATCCTAGGACTACTTTATATGTTCATTTTTGGAACTGTGTTTGGAGACTCTTGAGAGTCCCATGGAGTGCAAGAAGATCAAACCTATCCATTCTTAAGGAAATCAGCCCTGAGTGCTCACTGGAAGGACAGATCCTGAAGCTGAGGGTCCAATATTTTGGCCACCTCATGAGAAGAGAAGACTCCCTGGAAAAGACCCTGATGTTGGGAAAGATGGAGGGCACAAGGAGAAGGGGACAACAGAGGACGAGATGGTTGGATAGTGTTCGTGAAGCTACCAGCATGAGTTTGACCAAACTGCGGGAGGCAGTGAAAGACAGGAGGGCCTGGCGTGCTCTGGTCCAGGGGGTCACGAAGAGTCAGACACAACTAAACGACTAAACAACAACAGCTTTTTGCTGTTTTCCCCTGACATACAGAACATAAGAAGAGCCTGCTGGATCAGACCAATGGCTGACCTAGTCCAGCATATCCTCTTCTCATTTCTCATAGTGACCAAACCAGATGACTGTGGGAAACCTGCAAGCAGGATTCGAACACAGAAGCCCTCTCCCCAAGAACGCTATTTCAAATGTGCTTCCATGTTCACAGGCAATCCAGCACCAAATCCCCCTTCTATTCAGTGTGGAATCTCATTTATGTGCCATGAACCTTTAGTTGGCAGATAATAATATAAAGGAAAAAAATAGAGATATACAATACAGATTGCGTATAAAGTATTTGAAAGGCACTGTTGTTGATTGAAAATCCTGTGGGAAACAGCAGAAGTGCACTGTCCTGTTCTTTTGAGTGAAAACAGACTACCCACTTAGCAAATATTCCTATTTAAGAAATCCTGCATGGCTATGCTAAGTACATGGGACTTCAAGTCTCTGGGTGAGCTGTATCTCTGGAAGCACAGGTATGGAAAAGTAACCACATATGGCATTGTACAGCAGGGACTATGGACGGGTTCTCACAAGATGGCAAGCCAAAGTATGGTTTACCAAGACTGTGCAAACATGCAGGCTCCCAGAGACGAGCTCACAGCTGTTTGCTCCTCTCTGGTCCTTTTTGCTCCCATGCTGCACTGAGAGATGCCAGATTTGGCATAGTGAGTCGTCTGAATCCTGGCCTATGGTTAAAACTCACTCATTAACCACAAGCTCCAACCAACTTTTAATTCTGCTCTCTGGGAGCCTGCACAATTCCAGCAAGCTATAGTTTACTGTATCATGTGAACCAAGTTGATGTGGCAAACAATTTGCTTTCACCCACTCTTAACTGCACCATATTTGGCACGCGTGTGCGCGCGCACACACACACACACACACACACACACACACACACTACATACATACAAATATATATTGAAATTGTTGCAACTGTTCAGTGTACTGATGCCATGCTACAGAGGACAGAGTTGGGGGGTTGACAGCAAACTCCCACTTCCTCTGATTTTTATTCATTTGCTGAAAAGTCTTGCTGAGTTTGCTACTCCTACATCAGAGCCTCCTTTTTAAAATATGATGGCTTAGTTCATTCATTGACATCTTGCTTATTGCGCATTCTTCTGTGCCTTTCAGGTTTTGACCCTGGTCCATGTTAAACAGGCTGCGGTGGAAGTGTAGGATGCTGTATAGTAAAAAATTCCATTTGACAGGGACAGTTATGTAAACATTTCTGCTTCTGCCTGGAACTCTGGATAGAACAAGCAAGCCTTGAAAGAAGAACTGCTTTCGAAAAGCAGGATGTTTGAATATGTACATAGAGAAACCCCATGTAAAAGACTGCTTTTGTTTCACAAGGAGGAAGCTTTTAAATTTACTGAATGGGAGGATTTAATTCCAAAAAAGAGTCTATATGGCTATATAGTTTTTGGCAATATGTATTCATAGTACATTATAATGTGGGAAGAAATTAATTCTAGTTTAACCAGCATTCAGCATTCTAAAACCCAGTAGCCATACTAAAGTGTGTACATACATTAAAACAGATATTTTTTATTTTAAAAAAAGGTTCTCCTGTGTATTCTTGAACACAGGCAGTGTTTGATTTATATTCTCTTTGTAGCATGCATATTGTATACATTTCTCCCTCATAGAACACCCACAGTAGAATGAATCTGGGAAACATTTCCCCATCAGGGTCCTTCCAACTCTACAATTCTATGATTCTATCAGCAAAACAAGTTGCAATGAATCTATTCCTTACTCCTAAAATTCAAGAGATGAGACAATTATTAACACTCATTGAATGCACTGGATAAACATTATAAAAATATAGATGTAAGAATTGTGAATATGCACATTTCTCTACATTTGGGACCTGCAACGTGATGTTGCAGCATGTCACAATTTATGTTTAGTGTTCAAGCCAGCCAGCCAGCCTTGCCTTCCTCCATATGCTGTTCCATTCCCCTCTCCCATCCACCTCCCTCGCTTCACCCCCAACCGTCAACTTTCCATGGTCATTGAACACATTTGGTTCCTATTGGCTTCTTCTGTTCCCCACTCTGACTAGGTCCCTCCTCCACCAGATTTTGTACTTCTGCAAATCATGGCATTTTCCTGTGCGTGGGAGGTGCCTTTTTTGGCTACATAAGCACTAGCACTGACATTTGAACAGGATCTTTTTAGAAGCTACTTTAAGACACTTTAAAACTGTTTCAGATAACAGTTTACAATAAAATAGCTGGAAGAACATGGAACCATCTTTTTACATGACTTTAACCAATCCCGCAGGACAAGCCCTGTTAACATTGGCTGAGGTTATAAAAGGATAGTAGAGGAACATAGAGAAAAGACAATGAGGCACCAACAGGAAAGGCAGTTTTCCTGCCTGGTGCTAGGCTCTCATTTATTACCTTGGTTGCAGAAATGTTACTTAGAAGGACTTCTTAAGTAGCCTTTCATTGCTGTCACCCCAGTAAAAATGAAAGCCTGGGCCTAATGCAATATCACCACTTTCCTAACCTACACTTTTGACTGTTTAGTTGCGAGGTCATGGGGATGTGGCATACATAGGAATATAGGTCTGCAATACATAGCCTGCAGTTGGCTATTCCCTGATCTGAAACATCAGCTATCTGGTTCTCTGGTTGCCATTGGTTCAGCTGCTCCACTGTCACATAAAACTTTGCATGCCTTGGGCACTGATCGGGAAGAATGGAAAAACCTTTAATTCAGAGTTCTGAGCTTTGCTGCCAACTTAGGGCTAAATTTAAGTATTGGAGTGGATTCATCTCATGAACACAGCACAAGGACAGAATGAATTGCTTCATAGCCTTTACTTGAAAACCGGGGGCGGGGGGCACTTGCTGCTTATAATACAAATAATAGAATCTCTGATATACTTTGCAAGAAGTCATTCTCCCCACCACTTCACAGATATATGTATATTCAGTGCCATAGCAAGCAGGCATAGAATATCTAGTTACTTTCTGAGTAACAAGTCTCAACCTATTAAACCTCATATCTCACTCCTCCCTATGAAATCTGAACCATCATAAGGTATTGTTCTGAGTTTGAAACAAACGTAAGCAGGGACAGACTCATTAACAACAGGAAGCTGAACTTGCGGCTTCTAAGGGCTTCCAATTTATTGTGCTTGTGGTAGCAAAGACTCTAACAGAGACTGGCTGAGTTGATGGGCTGTCACAAAATGTCCATGAACATCCAATCTGCTTAGGGCAGGGTTGGAGAGCCCTGCAGATGTTGCTGGGGCTGATGGGAGGATGGAGTCCAATCACATCTGGAAGGCCAAGGGTTTCCCATCCATGGCTTAGGGGATAATAAAGCTGTCTACCTTCTGTGAGGGAATGAGGTATTTTTCTGTTTGGGTGGAGTTATACTTCACACAGGCCTTTGGGACAGAGGCAGCTTTGTGAGGGAAGCTGGAGAACTAGGAAGGAGTCCAAATATTCTAAGGAAGGTCCAAGGATTGGAGGAAGCCCAGGAGCAACATGGAGAGTGCAGAGTGGCCACGCAGGTCAAGCAGCAGATAAATTTCACTGTAGATATGAGCTATCCAACCAGTTTTTTGGCTGAAGGCACCTAGAGTCTTCCTCTAATAAGCATGAAGAATGCTGGACAGCCTTTGCCTTGAGGGACTGGTTTGGCCACGATTGCAAACTAACTGAGAAACAGACGAGCATTCGCTTTTTAATAATATGATGCATTATATTGGACTCCTGCCAATGAGATTTGCAAAACAGGCATCCTGACAATGAGCGTTAACATCTAAAGCCAACAAGGTACAGAAACACAAAATAGCACTTGACATCTGAAACTGCATTTCCCCCTCCCTTTAATCTTGTTTTTGTTTTAACAGTTTATTTGACCCTACTTCTTTCCATGTATAACGCTTTATCCAACTATTCCAAAACATGATGCTTTCAGTATATCATAGAAGAGAGACATAAAGAGCAGGCTGAAGGCCAACGAGTTAAAGAAGAAAGCACTGCATAGCTGTATGTAAATTGTACTCCTAAGAGATTTGGAACCCCAGAAACCTCATCTCTTGGTATGGGAAGGGAAGGGATGGGATGATAACCGTTTCTCTGAGCTAGACTTTGGGGTACTGCTCTGAGTGTTAAAATTCACCCCAGGGCAGCCCCTATAATTGTGACTAGTTTGAAAAGTACCTATATGAGTGCTATCATTTAATTATTGTGTGTGTGTGTGTGTGTGTGTGTGTTTGTATGTTTGCATGTATGTGTATATAAAATTTAAAACAGAAAATGCAAAAACAATTAAAACACAAACAAGAACTTAAAGGCAGCTGTGAATTTTAGAGGCTCTTGCCTTTGGGAGATCAGTATGACATCAGATACAAGATTATATGTGCCCTTGGAGCAGGATCCTGATGGCCAGTCAAAATTTGTGGAGCTATGGATGGAGGAAGGGAGGAAGCATTTTCAAAGATACGACATTGCTAACCTTTGGCAATTTGTCCCCATATTTCATTTCAGATGCTAAGATGTATACAGCTTGAAAAAGGCAAATTATAGTTCAACAACTGGCTCTGTGGAACTTTGGGGAAAGTTGTTGATAACATATTTCCAATGGTTAATTCAGAAATGCTTTCTCTCTGTGAAAGTTGTGTTTCCACGTACAATTAAAAACACTTCCCAGTATAGACAAGGAAATTAACCAGTTCTAGGTTTTTGCTGGGGAGTGGAGGAAAGACCTGAGCAGGAAGGAACCAAAAATGTACACAGGTAGGCATTTCAGCAAAAACATGGATATGTGTTGAGGCGGTGGGGGGGGGGGGAGAAGAGACAAAAAAGTTCAGAGGAATTTTAATACTAAATACAGTAAGCCACAACAAAATTAAAACTGACTTGCAGTTGAAGCAGGGAGAGAAAGCACAGGGAACACATGCACACAAACTCCTACACCCCAAGGCCACAATTTTATTGCTTAAGCTTCCATGAATTTGGTGTGGGAAGGACACTATCAGCAGACAAATCCAGAGGTCATTTCCTGTGTAGGAAGAATGGCCTAAAATAGAACACAGAATTAAATTCTCATGCTACCCAGGGTCACACAAAACTGCCCCATATTTCAAGACCAGGGGTGGAGCAAGGTGGAGTAATCTCAGTCAGGGTCTACCTGTAAGTTCCTCCCTATCCCAGAAGCATTCAGCTGGTTAGTTTGGATGGGTAGGACACCCTTATTAGGTGGGTGGCACTCAAACATAGATTAGCACACCCTACAGCTCCTGAACCTTGCCGGGCTTCGGGAGTGATGAGATAAAAAATTGCCACAAACCAACAGGCAGGGGCATCACTAGGCGCTTAAACAACTCAGGACAAAGTCCCATGGCACAATTTCACATATGTTATTTTATATATGTAGCTGTCCTACAAAATTAAGATGTTGAGTGGATCAGGTTTTACCAGCACTGCACTCTGCAGTATGCCCAGACTCACAGTAAGTTTTAAAACTTATTAAGTTTAAGAAAAGGGTGAGAAAGACGCAGGAGAGCCAAGAGCTATGACAGAAGCCGCTGTCAAACGCATGCAGACCGGTAACTTAGTATCATCAACCTGTAAAATAAAACTGGGGAAAATACCAGGTTCCTGAGCTCAGCAAGATATCCTCCCACCTGAGAAACAAAAGAGAATTTGAGACTTCCCATTTTTCTTTTACAAATAATATGGTAAGAGTGACAAGTGATATCCCTCAAGACAAGTAGAATGCAAAGGAGCTGGGACCCACTATGTAGCTATTTCATTTGTTCCTTGTCAGGGGAAAAAACAACCTACCACAACCAGACTTGCAGACACAGAACAAGGACTTTCAAAGAAGATAAGCATAGCTGTTGGTTTAAGACTTATGTTGTACTTACAACATGAGCTTCCTGTAAACCTTGAACAAGTTTAACATGTATTGGGGGAGGGGGGAATCTCTGTTTGCCCTGACTTCTTCACTCCTTAGATTAGATGCTCATGTATCATGGAAATTTTAAAGCCCAAAACATATTAACTCAGAAAGAACCACAACATGATTTTGGAAGCCAGTAACTGTTGTGTTCCATTGGTCAAACACCTCAGACAGAATCTCAAAGCCAGACAAAACCTTGTTCACCTCGCTGTGCAGAGTTAAAGTGTATTATTCCAGAATATAAACCAGCCAGCTCACAAAAAGTACCAAGTTGCTTCTTCTTTGCATCTATTAAGTATTTCCACTAAAAAAAATAAAATAAAAATGTAATGACAACATTTATAGGATGGTGCAAATAGGCATGTTTGAACTACTTTAACAGCACATCAGACATGCTTTTTATATATTGCAAATGGCAACAGTAGAAGAAATGGAGAAAGAGGAGCTATAAAGAAAATTATTGGGGTAATTAATGAATTCCGCTGGCATTCTGCATGCAAAAGTTGGATGTTCTTGACTACCCATCCCTCCACCGCTCCAATGATGATTCAGATATGTCCAGGGAGTGGAAGCTGTGGCCCCAAAGACATTATTAGACAACCTACATCATCCCTGACCACTGGCTATGCTGGTTGGAGCTGATAGGAATTGTAGTCCAACAACATCTTGTGGTTCACACGTTCCCCATCCCTGAAGTAGATGAAGGAAGAAGAGAAATCCTGCAGCATAATATTTCAACCTTTGTGTGATTTGGCATGCTCAGTGCAGCAGTGCTGGCTCCTATTCCGAAGAAATCACCATTTTGTCCAGTGACCTCAAAAGTTGTCCAAGAACCATGGAGTTAAAATCCACAAAACAAGCTACCGATATATTCGTTTCAGCTTCTGGAACTAGTCAAGATTCTAGGAAATACACCCAGAATGGACAGAAGTTTCTGCTTTATCTGGTAAGTCAGAAAGTTCCATCTGTATCTCTCATCAGGTAATTTGCCTTCCTTGAAATTCTGCTTACAAGACATTTATTTGTCTGCAGAAGAAGTTAACAACTTCCATATATATATATATATATATATATATATATATATATATATTCCTTTTTTAGACAAGCAGCCCTGGAAAACTCTCATGAGAATTTGAAAGGGAAAATAATTATGAAGCTATCTAAACCTATCATATTTCTCTGCTACTGCAAGAGAAACACATGATAGTTTTAATCTAAGTCTAAGTAATCAAACATCTACTGCTTGTTTCCCACTTCTGCTTACAGAAGGAGAGCTGCACTCATGAAAGAAGTCCTTCCGTGAGTGGAAGCTCCATCTACGAAATGCTTCTTAAGCCCATTTAGGTCAGGTTTTTAAAAGGGAATTGTTTTTTAAAAAGCTAAGTCATATTTTTAGTTATAAGAACAGTGGACCTCTTGTCATTTTAGTAACGTTGGTTGATGGCTGAGAGATGGTAATTTCTTTCTAAGGTGGGGGTACCATCATGGAGCCTTTCAGATGTTCACTTCCATCAACCCTGGCCCAGCATGGCCATTGTTTAAGGATAATAGGTGTTGTGATCCAACAACATTTTTAGGGTTTTTTAAAAAATCTCATCCCATTTTTTAGTTATGAGAGGTTGAAATTTCAAAAAACTGACGATTTTGGCCTTGTCGGACTACACAGAAACCTTAAAAACTCAGCCCATAATTGATAGATGTCAAAACTAAAAACACCAGTCTCTTCAGAACTTCATGAGCTTTAGTATTATATATCACATGCTGAACTTACTTTAAATTTTAAATTTAAGTTACAAAAAAAGCTGGATCAATTGCTATGGAATGACCCTTAAATGAAACACAGAATTCCCTTTTTAAAAAATAAGGCACTACAGTATTTGGACTTACATGTAGGAGGAGAGGCAGGGTGCCTATCTGGAGCATAGATGGAAAAAAAGAGAGCAAAACTGAAGACTAAATTAATACTGGAATCTGAAACAAGTAGATTTGTTTGCATTGCAAAGGCAACAGGCTCAATGCAAAGGAGAAACCCGCATTTTCTGAAGTATATCTCATTAACAAAGCAGGGATTAGGTCACATTTTCTACATACCGAATGGCTCATACAAGAGCAGAAGAATACAAAACAAATAACAAAAAAATACCCTGTTTTATTGTATAAATGTCTTGAGGTTTTGCGCTCCAGTTGGTCTTTAAACCATCAAAACATGTGTCCCTGCAGCTTTTGTTAATGAAGCTGGGAATGTTATAAAAAATGAACAGGTGAAAATAATCAGAGATTCATTCAACAACTTGGTTGCTAGAGATAATAACTGAATAACTGACCACAAACCACTTAACCAACTACGTGTGGGGAAAGGAGAGGAACCTACTTCCATCCTGCCTGTAGAGGAGAGAGAGATTCTTATCTTTTCTCCCGCCAGCCTACAGCCATGACACATGATCACTGGCATACCAGCCTGCACAAGGATACATTGTCCCTCCCCTGGGACAGAAAGGTCTGTGTATGCTTGACCACCCACCTGCTCATTTTGTGAATCCACAAGGATCTGATTCTTCAAGATTCTGAGGCAAGATTACACAAATGAGAAGAAAGCTTAAGATGGTTTACAATAATTTCACACTAAGCACTGGTGTGTTGAGGGTAGAAATTCCACAACTCTTGATTTTATAAGAGTGAGAATATCATAGGACCTCTAAATGTTGAGAGGGGAGGAAATGAATATCCCATGAGGAAGTACTGAGTACCTTTCTTTAGATTCTAGATGTGCTTTTTTCTTGAATGTCAGCTGTTTCCAATATTTTCAGAGGCATAAATCAAACCCAGCAGACAGCTTCCAATGCTTAACTCATTCTACACAGTCAAATTACAATAGTCCAAAACTTGAAATGATCTATTACAAAAGCAATGAGGAGATACATGACTCTGTTATAGCAATGTTACAAGTTAACAAGCAAAAAGGAGAGGCTATTGTTTACCATGAACAAAAGAGAATGTGACTAGAATTTCAAACTAGATTATAGATTAGTTGAAATTCCTGCAGTTCAAATAAGGATAATTAAGCTTGCTATGGTTACCAAAGCATGGTTGTTTGTTGATAATATTCAGGGTTGTTATCTTGTGGCTGATTTAGAAGTGATTACTTGACCATTCTTTTTGATCATCCTCTCAACGGGGCGAAAACACAAAACAAGGATTCAACACTTCAAAAGACAGATTATCTGATTTTGAATTTCCTACTAACTGGCCCAGGTCAGTTTTATGGATTTAGGTCTGAACCCAGGTTGTAGTGGATCTAGATAATCAGTCTCATCAAGAAATACCTGCAGTTGCTCCACAAAGCATTTATAATATTCAAAATATTCAGAACAGTTAAACCTAAGATCTGCTTCTCATATGTGTTCAGATGCGACTTTTCCTCTAGAAGTGCTCTCATGAGTGCCTGTGTGGAGAGGAAAAACACAGATGATGTGCTAAGCTACTCTTGAACCAAATTGCCTACCATACTAGACCAGAGGTGTAGTTAACCTACTTCTCTGCTAACTGCATTGCAGCTACTTGGCAGTGCTGTAGTACTGATTAGGGAAATTAAACTGCAACTGGCATTCCTCTACAGAATCAATTACTTATTTCAAGGAGAGCTGAAACACAAGGTTTCAAATGCTGGGTGGTGTCTTTTTAACTGTAGTCAATACAAAATGCACTTGTACTCATTCTCAAATTTACTGCCTTATTTTCTCTCTCCACACATATGCATTTTAATGAAGTGAAAATCCATTAATGCTAAGATGTCAAGAATTACTTTGGTTGATTCATCCTTTCTGGCTTTTAGCCACATAATCTATAGACCATGCAAAACTTCAGTTTGTTTCATGCATTGGCACTCTGATTAAACAGATTTTTCCTCAAGCATTTTCCATCTTACAAGATTACCATGCTCCACAACATTCCTGATTCCGAGCTCATTCCCCTCATTTCAGAGACAGAGGGACACAGCTTAAGCTCTCATTCTAGAAATGCAGACAAGAAACTAGGTTATTATGTATGTTGGGTTCTTTTACTCAAATGAAAACTTTAAGATTCCAAGATCCTGTATAAAAGTCAAGAAACTGACAGGAATTAAATACAGAAAAGGCATATTAAGAGAAGTGTAAACTAGAACCTGCTCTGGTTCCTATCCAAAACCAGGCAACCGAGGAGTTTTCTTCTAAGTAAGGAAGTATATCAGTCCAACAGTACAAACCCAGCAACTAGGAAAGGGTAGAATTGAGTCCAGGTGCTCTCACAGTGCAGAGGAACAGCAACAACAATCCAATCTAAGGGCAAAGGCCAAGGCTCAAGAGTCCAAGATTACAGCAAGAGGTCCAAGACTGCATGGGAACTGTAACGTTGTTCCAACAAGTTCTCCCATCAAACTTTTAAGGAGAGGCAGAAAACCCGAGAAATGTGCCTCCCCACCTGTCCCTGGGAGAGATTGCTGGATGCTGCTGCATAGTCTCATCCCCCTCCCCTCTCCTCCTTATACTCTGGTGCTTCCCACTCCTGGTCAGAATCCAAGGACTCAAATGGAACCACAACACAACTAACTCAGCAGAGAATAAAAGGCAGTAACAAAAGTATCTGAAGGAGCACCTGCCCCTGTACTTTCTGACCCAGACTTTACAATTGAGAGAGAGAGGCCCTGGGTGGTCCCATCAGCAGGATCAGGAAGGGGCAGGGCATTCTTGGTGGTGGTGCCCTGATTATACAACTCCCACCAAGGTGAAAATCAGGCATTCCCCCACATAGGCTATATTAAGGCAGCATGTTAAAATGTACCTACCGTATTTTTCGTCCCATAGGACACTCCGTCCCATAGGACACACCTAGTTTTTTGGGGGGGAAATAAAGGAAAAATTTTCCCCCTTTATTTCCCCCCCAAAACCAGGTCGGGGAACAGCTGGATGGGGTCGCTGCGCCTCCCCGCTGTCCCCCGAGCTTGTGGGGCTGGCCGATGTCTGCCTGGCGCGAGGGGCGCTCTGCTTCAGGGCGCCCCTTACACGCCGGGCGGCAGGCTGCTATCCGCAGCCTAGGGAGCCCTGTGGGAAATCCCGCGCACTCCCCAGGCTTGCTGATAGCTTCCTGAAGCCTGGAGAGCGAGAGGGGTCGGTGCGCACCGACCCCTCTCGCTCTCCAAGCTTCAGCGAAAGCCTGTATTCGCCCCATAGGACGCACACAAGATTTCCCCCCTCCATTTTTGGAGGGGAGAAAGTGCGTCCTATAGGGCGAAAAATACGGTATATTTACCAGGCCCGTGGGAGCATAACTGAAGAAGGTGTCAATTGCATTGATGGAAGATATTAACTGCTGTCATTTATAGTATGTTTTGACTGATGCGTTATCATTTGTATTATTTTCTGTTGTTAGCTGTTTGGGGATCCCCTTGGAAGGAAGGGCACGATATGGAACTAATAAAAATGAATAAATGCTTATATAAAACACAACCTCTCTATTCCTTACCTACACCCCTTTCCCCTTGCAGTTCCTTATTAGTAGGCTGCCCTTTTTAGGTGCCTCCTTAGAACACATCAGTTCACCTGGCTAATACCTTTCTCCCCTTTTACTTTCTTTCTCCCTTCCTCACCAATGTGCCTTGTCTTTATCCTTAGGTTACAAACCTTTTGCACGGCACTAAGAAATGTTAGGTGCCTTCTAAATAATGCATTTTAAAATGTTTGTCTGATTATTTTTGCCTTAAATTTATCCCATCAAATTAAGAATAAGACCCGTAAGATGCAAATAATCCAATCAAAAATATTTTAAGTGGAAGCAAGTCCCACTGATTCCAAAGAAATCTGTCCTGATTATATACGCACGTGATTCAAATTCAGTCACCTATTTCAACTAGACTTGCTCCCAAGTACACACAGAGCAGTAGCTTTGGTGACACTTGCTGTGCTCTAGATCAGGGAGAAAAGAATATTATATAAATTTCAACTCTTCTCAACCCAAATAGAATTGTGGCAGCGTGAGATATTTGTTCATCCAGTGCCAGACAGAGTGGAAATTACTTGACAAAGGAGTTCAGAATGACATATTCAGGTGGGCCGCGAAGCAGCTGTGTCACGGTCAGGAATTATTCAAGCATGCTAGAAATCATGTGCTGTGAACTTATCAAGAGAACCAGAATTTCATTTCCCAGAGATTTGTCACCTGTGAGCTTTAAGCTGTAGGCTTTTAGTACGGTCGTGTACACTGCCAATTCCCGAAGCGTTTCTTCTTGAATGAACACACAGTTAACCAAGACAGAGTAGCCGTCTTAGGTTATGAGATATGAACTCGGGCTAATATAGCACTCTGTGGAAAGCCTATATTTTGCTCACTGCAGCTTGTATTATGATCTCTACACAAATAGATTTTAGAAAATAGTAGGGGGAGCACAAAAGGTTTCTGGGATGCACTGAGATAAGTACCTTTCTTGATCCTGCTATTCTAAAATGCATAGGGGGAAAACCTCTAACTAATTGCAAAGTTTTCACTTGCCTTCCACTCTGTGGCGTCCATGGGGATGTTTTTGGTACAATCACTGGGCAGTTATATACATGGGGATCAGTATGACAGAACTGCATTCCAATCCTAAACACATAAACTAAGCATACTGTATTTATATTCATAAATAAAACACATGATTTAGTTGGCCTTTTACACAAGCTTAGGGTTGCAGCTTAGGGTTGTGAATTTCCCCCTGCCCCGTCAAAAGCGTCATCAGCAATACTTGATGAAAAGCACGAATACTTTTCCATAAGAAGTATACAGCTAGCGCTCAAAACAATCTTCATGAAAACAATGAAACAGCTTATGCTCATTCATCCCACCCTAAACTTCCCTTTTCAAATTGTGAACTCTTCTTCCACTAAGCAAGTATTATTGCTGAAGATGCAGAGTGAAAAATGTAACACCCAGCACCCACATTTCCCATTGATGCCTTGTAGTACTATACTGTACTATGTTGGGTAAAGCATAGTATTAGATGTGGAAAACAAAGGGGGGGCCCTGTGGCCAGTCTCCTCTATTTGTCTGCCAGCAGATGGATTGGCTCCACCCATTACCCACTGATCTATTTCCCCAGACGTGGCTACAACCTATGCATGCTCAGAATGCAAGTGCATTGCATCTGCAGCACTTCGATCTCTTTCTTGAATGGGCAGGTGCTAGACAGCAGCACAACTGCTGCCACAGTCAGCTAGGGATGGTGTCAGTGGATAGATGCTAGCTGGAGGAATACACAGGCAGGAGATGTTACCTTTCCAGTGCTCTCTGGCAGAAGACGTGGCACAATTCTCAGAATAAAACTCATGCAATGCTAACTTCTCAAAAGGAAAGACTTCCATTCCTTGAACAGTAGCAATTCATTGTTTAATCAGGCCACAGAATTTCAGGCATGGACTGGGAATAGTAAATAATAGGCTTGCCATATCTCACCTTTCATTAATCTCTGAAATTTGCCTCCCTCTGCCCCCGCATAAAGGCCAAACATTCCTCGGCAACATGCTCTACTATATTAGGTGTTTGACCAGTGGTGTGTGAGTGCTCCAATATTGCCTTTGTCTCAGGTTCTCATTAACTGAAGCAAGTACAGTGGTACCTCAGGTTAAGTACTTAATTTGTTCCGGAGGTCGGTTCTTAACCTGAAACTGTTCTTAACCTGAAGCACCACTTTAGCTAATGGGGCCTCCTGCTGCCGCCGTAGCACGATTTCTGTTCTCATCCTGAAGCAAAGTTCTTAACCCGAGGTACTATTTCTGGGTTAGTGGAGTCTGTAACCTGAAGCATATGTAACCTGAAGCGTATGTAACCCGAGGTACCACTGTAGACACTGAGTTTATTACAGCCAGGTGGCTAGATATTATTTCATTAATTTTGAAAACTAATTCCACCAATATATTTTTAAAAATCTAGCTTTTGGAAACTTGGAAAACCAGGTGATGACTTTGTTAGTTTGTTTAAAAAGGAATTCCAGTTGTGAAGTAGTATATATTTCCTGCAGCCCGAAGCAGGCCTTTCTTAATACAGAAAGCAAACACAGACAGTTTGCTTCTAGACAGCTGCTTATTGTGGGATGGGTTCTCATCACAAACTGTTTCACAATATTCATGCAGCATTGGTGGCATCAAAAAGGCCAGTTCAATTCTTTTCCTCCCCTTAATTCAGATCTAACCTTTCTGGGCGAAGTCTGGTAATTAAAAAAATGACAAAAACCTGAATGACCCAATTTCAATGTGGGGCAGAGCAGTCCTACAGATAGGAAGCCATCAGAATTTACATCATCTTAAATTAAGCCAGCATAAGTTACTCATATTCCAAACTCCTTTTAGGAGTGGAGCTTCTGCTGGCTGAGCATGCCTGAGGGAAGCCAAGCTTTTAAAATAGAGTTTGCCTTGCACCAGTCCTTTTGTCTGCACAAGTTCCACCAGTTTGCCAGGTCACGTGACTGAGCTAAACGCAACCTGAATAGGTGTAAGCCTCTCCTTTCTCCATCCTCCCCCTGCCACATCTCTGGAACACCCCTTTTTAAAAACTTATGCCAATTTCGCCCGCAGAGTTAGCATAGCCCAGGGTTCATCCAAGTTGAGCAGGGATGAAGGAAGTATTACACCAATGAAGCCCTGGCTCAAGTGGGAAAGCCCAAAATCCACCTATTCCAAACTTACTCATCCTGGCAGATCTTGGGTTTGGACTGTGCTGTAAGCCCCCCCTCTGGATGCTTTGCAAATGGGGTGCATTTCCCACAAAACATAAAAAAATAGTAGATTCACCCTTAACCTGCAAAGTTTTGGCTTAAGCTGGAATCACAGGACTTACTGTTCCTCCAAAAAGATCTATTTCAGAAGTCATGAACAAGGAAACTTTTTGTTGAGTACATTTCCTTTGAAAGGTGCCAGATAAGAATCTTTTTCACAGAGACCAGAACTTAATGGATTTTAAAGACCGATTCTCACTAACACAACCAATCGATCTAAATCACTACAGGAAAGAGAGCAGAAGAGACAGTAAAAATTACCGCAAGCTAAATAACATACTGAAACTGCCTCTAATTAATGGCATATTATTTTATTGGCTTAACACTGAAGGAAGCCTGGCAATCACATGTCAGACATTTCTTTCTATGGAGAAGGGAGAAGTCCACATTGATTAATTTCTTTGGAATATGTTTAGCGCAACTGTTTTTATCATTACATTTTAAAAGCGATTGCCCTAAAGTGTCCTCAGATGAACTGTGTCTTTTATGACCAGTGCAGCCCGGCAAAGTGCAATTTCAGGGAAATAATCTCTTTAATTCAAGCCTGGTCCTGGTGCCTTTGGTCTAACTACTTGCTTCCTGTTGCTCCTCCTGATGGCTTTTGCCCAATTAACTAAATTGAGGGAGCCTATGGTTAGGAAGTAGTAAGGACCTTTGTCTTTCTTCTAAAGCTGGAGAGCTAAGCACCAGGTGGGTTGGTTGTTGCTAGCAGGATTCTGCCCTGCAGCATCTCTCTGCTACAGTGACTCCACCTCCTAACTTGGCCCTACAGTGGGCCTGATGACCAACACTGCTCCCTCGCCCAGTGACTGCCATGAGATCACGCCTGCCCCAAATACATACAATTACTCGAGGCCTCCCTCTGATGCTGCTCCTGAGCACAGCAGTACATTTCAGTTAGTGGCCACGGTGGGTGGGGAGAGATAAGAATCTGGCTTGCTGGACCAAAAAGCTTCCCCACAGCAGGTGGAGAGTAATGATGAGCTGAAATTGTTTCCCACCTCCAAGACAGATTTTTTAATCTCCCCACACTCCACATTTCCATGGGGCCAAATGTGACAAGTGAATCATCTGATGTGATAATGACGCCAGATAATTGACATCTGTCAATGGGAAGTGCTGCAGAAGAGGCTTTTCAGCCACTGCCAACATACATTGTCTGTAAAGCCCCTTTCAGCTGAACTTCAGATTTGTTGGTTCCATACTTAATAAAATATGACATCAGGTGTAGGGCAGGCAAGTGTGGTATGGCTGAAACAGCCTGGAGAACCAAATTTGGTCCATGGGTCACAGGTTCTCCACACCTGTTCTACAACCACAAATAGGCAGCAGCAGAAGGCTGCTATCCTAAGTAAGTCCTATTCTTTGGATACTTACAACTTACTACTGTTTGCACCATTTTGCTGAAGTGAAACTGCACAAATTAAAAATAAAAAGCAAGAGAACAGCAGACAATTAAGGGTGAGAAGAAGAGGAGGAACATCCTTATAATTAAAACTGATTAAAGTGATGGCTTCGAGAAAACTCTGGAGGAGGTGGGAATATGGATCATCATCAATCTGGAAATGTTTAATTAAAGCCATTCCAAAGGAGTGGGGGAAGGAGGAGCACAAATACTTGCCCACCCTCTGTGTGGTGGAACATAAGTTGTGCATAGGGAAATAAGCCTGCTATACTTGGCAGGTGTAGATGCTTGGCTGAAGTTTTGGGCATACTAAAAAGCAGGATGTAACTACTGGATTGCATTAGGAGTTTGAAAGCACATGAGCCCACTTACACCTGTACGGAATACCTTGGAATAACTGTACTGTAAGGTTGTCATACCTACCAAACATACCTGTTTCAACTATGTAGCTTTTCAGACAGCAAACCTTAACTTCAGTTCCTAAAGTACCTTGTAGAGATACATGTAACCCCCTGCCCCCCAAAAAGTACCATGGTGGTTGGCTATCAGCCTCCTTGGCATTACTTTCTTCCATTTTCTTCTACCTGAGCCTGTCTGTATATTGCAAAAATCTCTGGAGGTTCTTACCTGTCTGCTAACACCTTCTGAGGTTAGGTAGGTGAGAAGAGGAGAGGGGGCCTTGTTAACAGTAGTAACAAATGATTCCTCTTACCAGGCGCCTAATTTACTATATTTTTGGCACCAGGTCAAAACCTGCTTACTCTCCCAAACTTTTTAATTTATCTGCATTGGTTTTTAACTTGACTTTGTGTGCTTTCATAAACTAATCACTGAAACGGTAAAGGTTATCTGCAGTTTTTAACATCACCCTTCTTTTATTATTTTATTTATTAGATTTATGCCCTGCCCTTTCTCCCCAAGGAGTCTGCAAGGCACCCTGGCAATAGAAACATTGAAGAGCAAACAGGGCACACACTTTTTTTTTTAATGAAATAAAGAAATGTTGGTGATTTATGGCTGAACTCAGCCCTATTTTGCAAAATGTACTGAGAACTGGCTGAGCTGCTTCCAGCAATGACTAAAGGATTTCAAAGAAGTGGGGAAGGATAAGAACCAGACCTTAATGAGGTAAGAGGTGAAAAGTTTTTATTCTGAAAAGGCAGAACACTATCTTATCTGAATAATATTTCAATACAATGTGGGGTTATGTCATTCAATTCCACAATTGATGCAGCAAAAAATTTCAGAGCAATGGTATCCTTGTTGTTGTTGTTGTTGTTGTTGTTTAGTCGTTTAGTCGTGTCCGACTCTTCGTGACCCCATGGACCAGAGCACGCCAGGCACTTCTGTCTTCCACTGCCTCCCGCAGTTTGGTCAGACTCATGCTGGTAGCTTCGAGAACACTATCCAACCATCTCGTCCTCTGTCGTTCCCTTCTCCTTGTGCCCTCCATCTTTCCCAACATCAGGGTCTTTTCCAGGGAGTCTTCTCTTCTCATGAGGTGGCCAAAGTATTGGAGCCTCAGCTTCACGATCTGTCCTTCCAGTGAGCATGGTATCCTTAAGTGGAGCCTATAGGGTGACTTCATGGCTTCAACATCTAGCCTTATTTCTATTCATCCTACTACTTCCTGCTGTGGATAAAATATTGTATGGTGAAGAATTCTGAGGAACAAAGACTTGAAACTATATTACAAGAAAAGGAGCTTACTGCAACCAATTTTCACCAAGTTACCCTTGAGGTAATTGGAGAGGAAATCTGGTGACAGCAGATCTTTATACATATATTTAGATTAGTGCTATCATCTCAATTTTTTAAAAAAAACCTTGATCAATTGTCTTGAGCCCTGGGTTGATCAAACAAGTGTGCATGCTGGGAAAAACAATGATATATCTATATATGTCTATATCTATAACACATAAACTTCCTGATCAATCAAGGGATCTGTTTGTCAATATAAATTTATATATATATATATATAAATGCACTATATTAGTCTCTTCATCATAGAATTTAAGAGGATCTCTGCTGGATCAGACTCAAGGCCTTATTTAGTCCAGCTTGCGGGAAGCCACACAAGCAAGACATGAGTGCAACATAGCCTTTTCCTGTTGCTGCTCTCCAACTACAGTGGAACCTCGGGTTATGAGGGGATCCATTCCGGGGGTCCCGCCGCAACCCGAAAATGACACACATCGAAGTGCTGTGTCTGCGCATGCACGATTTAGCGCTTCTGTGCATGCTCGAGTGGCGAACCCGGAAGTAACCCATTCCAGTACTTCCGGGTTTGCCACGGACGTTCACAGAGGCGGACGCAGAACGAGGTTTGACTGTAGTGGGAAATGAAAATTGATTAAATGTTGCTGCCTTAATTTTTATTTTTTGCTTTTGAGAGCCATTTTGAGCACAAATATTTTAGAGAAATAAGATGAATCCCTGAAGCAATCTTTTGATGTCAAGGTAAAACACCATGAAACAGCATCCCAGAATTCAACCTTGTGTACAACTAACTCGGGCTCGATTTTGATGCACAAAACAGTCACTTTTCTGAGCCAGGAAAATCTACTGCTCTGCCCTTATTTAAGGGAATGGCACATTCCTATGTACAGTTACTTGGGAGGAAGCTTTATTGGACACATAGAACTGTAGAGCTGGAAGGGACCACAAGGATCATCCAGTCCTCACTTCAGAGAAAAAACAGATGTAGGATTAGGCGCTATATTATGAATGCTTAATACTAAATGTTAAGTGAATACATTTTGACCATCACAATACTATATTCACTTGTTTTCAGTATTTTTGATCATTTTCCAAGTTACATTTCCTACATTAGCATTCCACAGCTGGTGCTCTCCCCTCCCCACACTTAATTATGGGGCTGTATTACTTCATCTGTACATCAAAATTAAAAAAATGAAACTTCTAGTACTTTTTCTACTTTGATTGCTTGCCAACTTCTAAATCTCTTCAGCCTCTGCTAATCACATGTTTAAAATTAGGCTTCTTAACAAGTTTAAATTTGGGCTCAGCAGTGCTCCAAGCTATCGCTTCCCCTTTCCATTCATCCCCCAAAACCATACCCCTGGAGAACTTTTCATGGTGACTTAATGCCTCTATTTCTGGGTTGGTTAATAACAAAACAACAAACACAAAACTACCCCCCCCCTCAAATCTAAAGCATGAACAAAAGGCTTCATGGTACTGGATGTTTACAAGACATACTAAACACAGATTGTGCAATGTATAGAAACAAAAGAGCCTTTTAAAAAGTATCCCAACTTAACCATAGGACAAATAATTTAACTTTAGAACAAATAATTAGTTCCACCATGTAATGATTCATTTATTCATATGGCACATAAAATTCACACTGCATACTTCACTATGTAAACAAAACTAAAAAGCAAGCAAGCCCAATCCTATATCCACCAATTCACAGCAACAGAACATTTTCTGGGAAACTTTCCCATTCAAATTTTTATGAGCAAGCACTTCACTGCTTTTGATAGTCAGCTGATGGGGGGGGGAGAACTTGCATTTTAATTTTTATAAGATGAGAAGTGCAAGATAAATGAATATAAAGATTAAGCCCAAATTTGCTTCGAAAGGAAAGGATATTATATTGTATATAGTTTAAAATTACTAACTGAACAAAGAGCATTGATATGTTGTGTGAGTAAAGCTTTCATTTTGAAATTGCATTATGCTTCTCTTGTTAAAAGTTAGAAGACTAACCTTCCTGACATTAGCCACTTAAGACGATCCATTAAGGATTCACCGTTACTCAGACAAATATGACAAGATAAAGCATCAGAGAGATAACTCAGGCAGCCTAAGGTATTGTCTACTATTGCAAGTTCTCGGAAGTATCCTTCACTCTGAGAAGGCACATTTGTATGAAGCTCTCTGCAACAGGCACATGGTATTCCACTGGGGTCACAGTCAAAGAGAAATAAATATCCAAACCATTTAAACATGGGATCAGCAGTCTAAGAGATACTTTGCTATATATAGGAATAGAACAATTACTAGAATATGGGTGTTACCTCCATGAATGCCCCTTGCTAATTACCAGGAGCAGCACCAAAAAAGTCTGAGGATGCAGCTTAACATAGAAAAAATTAATACATGAGAAATAAGGCAATTATTTTAATTATAATTCTTTTTCATTACAGACCACTGAGCACATTCCTCTGCAAGAGTTTCTCACTGATCCAATTTGGAACACTTATATAAAATTTCCTCTGCTGTTTTCTAAACCTTAAGGTTACATTTGAGGGCTGCATGGCTGAAAAGGGTAGATTCCTATCAGGAGTGAGACAGCAGCAAATCACACTGAGTAAGTGAAGTTAACTATTTATTAGAAGAAATAGGATCCACACAGGAGTGCCAGGCCAAATGAGTACAGAAACTCTTCTTCAGTAGGCCTTGTCCCTCCAAGGCAGCTGTGGAGACTGAAGACCTAAGTGAGTTTTTCTCAAGCAATCTGAGACTGCATCTGTGGGTCTGTCTCTGCTCCTCCCACTTCATGCCTCTTTTGGTCCTGGGGACACCAGGGGGAAGGGAGATCTTGTTGCAGCAGGAGAGGGGGACACCTGTGCTTCTTCACCCACTTTAATGATCTCTGTCTCTTGGCCTCCCACATCCCACTTTCTTGGTTTCACTTCTATTGCTGATTCAAGACTACCCCCTGCCACAGACTCTCCCTCCTCACGTTACCTCTTCAGCTTCCAACACCTCCTCCCCCTCAGTCTTCTCCCTCTGACCGCTCATTGTTGTCCCACCACCAATCCCCGGGCTCTGAGCCTTCTTCCCTTGGGGGTTCCCAGGCTGGTTCCTTCTACCATTCCTCTGTATCCAACCAGTCCATGACAATACCTCAATATTTTCATTGGAGTCCGATTGTGTCTTTTTTGTAATGTCTGAAAAACATTAAGGAATCCAATGGCACCTAAGAAGCACACCTGAAAATCACAATGGTTGCTCCTTTACATACATTTGATGGGCTTTTTCAAACGCAGTTAAACATTACAGAAATGACATGGTGGGTACCATAGTAGAAATACAGGGGAAATAGACCCTTAGGGCCTAACCAGGTGTGGCTATCAGGTGCTGGAACTTCCCCAGCAGTGTCCAATAAGAACAACAACATTATGTGCGCTCATATTTTGAAGGGGGGGGGCAACTGCCAGAAAGACAGGGGTTGCCAGCAGTCATATAGTCACCTGACTTCAGGTCCATGAAATATAATATGAAATGAGAACTACAATTTTTTTTTCTATTTTCGAAACTCCTATTTCTGTTTGTGTTGCTCATCAAGTCACTGGTACCTCTCCGATTTCCCTGACCTTCATACACTATCTTTTGCCCCTTGCATCCATATTTTATTTCATTTTTTACTGCAAATAGAAATAGAACTCTTATAATTCAAGTTATTCTGTTTGGTGTTTCTTTGATACTGAAACCAAGAGCAAGAAGGAATGCAATATCCCTGAAGCTTATACAGAATTAGACGGTCGCAGCAGTTTGGTGGAGAAACATGCCATTCTATTTTACAAGTCACAAGGGTAGGCTCAGAAGCAAAAGAATGCTAGAGTTCCTCTAGCTGCTCAGGAGTTTATTTTAAGCAAATCCTGCTTAACCCGTACGAGCTGAAAACATTTATCACGGTGTCAGTGATGCATTTAAAATCATCATCATCCCTTCCCAATATTAGCTCACTCTTACTTGGAATAATCTACATTCTCCAGTAAGCAATTTTCTGTGTGTCGCTTTAGGATACAAACTGTGCTGTCCCTTTTGACTTGTCATAGCACTTGTGTTAAACTGAAGGGAATCAGAGCAACAAAACCAAATTACACTACAAAAGGAGAACCTTAAAAGAAAAATCTCCAATACAGTGGTACCTCGGGTTACAGACGCTTCAGGTTACAGACTCCATTAACCCAGAAATAGTACCTCGGGTTAAGAACTTTGCTTCAGGATGAGAACAGAAATCGTGCTCTGGCGGCACTACCCTTGCTCTGAGCCTACCCTTGTGACTTGTAAAATAGAATGGCATGTTTCTCTGGCGGCACAGCAGCAGTGGGAGGCCCGATTAGCTAAAGTGGTGCTTCAGGTTAAGAACAGTTTCAGGTTAAGAACGAACCTCCGGAACAAATTAAGTACGTAACCAGAGGTACCACTGTAGTTCATTTATGTAAAATACATGTAGCTTTTCTAAGCAGATGGAGACAAAGACGGCAAACGAAAAATGTATCCAATGTCTAGTTTAAAGAAACTTGATAGACAGCAATGGATCAGTTGTAGAACTAGTGGTTTAACTTTTTTTAGAAGGAGTAAGCTACACCTGCTGAAACTTAGGCCCCAAAGCTGGGGGTGTAGGGGCAAGTTGCCAATAAGAGGAGTAAAGGAAATGAATTGTGCACATTCCTCCATTAGCTGCATGATCCATCTCAAAGGTTAGATCCATTTTATCTTTGCAACAACCCTGTGAGGTAGGTTATGCTGAGGGAGAGTGACTGGCCCAAAGTCCCCGTATGATCTTCTTCACAGGGTGGGGGATTTGAACCCTGGTCTCCCAGGACAGGTTCTGGATCTAAGCCCTGGATAGCACAGAGGTAAAGAGTTGCTGGTGATAATGTGAGTGTAGGCATCATGTTTTGTCCCCATGTACATCAGCACCTCTGCATGAGTGCAGCCCTGCTGAGAAATCAAAGGTGAGTGGGGCAGCAACACATCAAGGTCATCAAATATGAACCAACCCCCTACTAATTATGTTAGCCCCTTAATTCCACAGCCAGAGATACTGTTCTATATAGCAAGGATGGGGGACCTGTGATCCTTCAGATGTTGCAGGACTACAACTCCTATCAGCCCCAGTCAGTATGACCAATTGCTTGGGATGATGGAAGTTGTAGTCCAACAACTTTTGGAAGGTCACAGGGCTGATGTCCTTGCCCTGAAGGAAAGTAATACAAGTTAGCATTTAAAAATCAATCAATCAAATGAAAAGAAGGAGGAGGAGGAAGAGGAGGAGGAGTTCAGTAGAGATGAATAATTTTGCTAATAAATTCACAAAATTGCTTTCATGTTAAAAGAATCCTTTTCCTGCTAAGGTTTCAGTCTGGCCAGGAAGCCAATTGTGTGAAAGAAAAGTTATTAAGTTGCAAGGTCCACTTTTATAGTCAGTGGGTCACCAACACTTGTCTGGAAAGAGCAGGCTCTTTGATAAATCCTAATTTATAAAAGGCCAAAGTGCTTAGGATTCATACGGAATCACATTATGCTGCCATCTGTTATTTGCAACTGTTAGAGACAATGGATCATGCACTTTCCCCAGGCTCTCTCACACTACATAGAGAGCGATGCAGGTAGTGTTTTGCTATACTAGCAAGAAGATTATTAGTACTCAGACACTTTAAATAAATCCAGGTTAATTGAGAACGAACAGTGCATCTGTTCCGGTCTGCTTTCAGACTACTTCGATTTTTCTGGTTTCTTGCAGTGAAGGAGCCCCCCTCTCTCCCCACAATGCATAGAGAAAATGCTTTAGCATTATAGATGACTTTTCAGTGATTGTACATTATGTGTAATGCACACAATAGGTATTTGTTCGCAATGAACCGCTAAGCAGTGAGCCTCAGTTCAGCAACAGCCGCTGCCTAGTACCACAATTCAGTCACAGTCCGAGAAATCTATGATGTCAGTTGCTTTAATAGGCCAGGCTGACGTGCCTGGCACTGACTCCCAGACATGAAGCGCTTCTGGTTTCCATGGGGAAGATTGCTGACTGAGGTATTCCAACCACACTTCCTACCAGCATTCTCTAGACCAAGGCGTGCACACATACACATCTGAGCAAACATTGAACAGTATGACGTAACCTGACACCATAGGTGTTTTCAATGCCTGCCTTTTAAAAGCATCAGGAGTCCCAAATCCATTACAGATTGAAACAGCCATTCAATTCAAACAGTTCCTTCCCCAGTGGAATTAATATTTCTGGGATCCAAGGGCTGTATCTGGTCTCCTTTACCAATGATTTCGAAAGGTGGCTGGAGGAGAGTTGCATTGCTACAACAATTTACAAACAGGGGAAACAACCCCAGTGAAGACAAAGTTGTAAGGGGAGAGGAAGGGAGGGGAGGGGAGGCCATGCTTCAGAGAGTGAACAGAGGTAAAGGATAAGGCAGCCTCTTGAGTAACCTGGTCTATATCTATCTATCTATCTATCTATCTATCTATCTATCTATCTATCTATGAATGACATGGCTTTATGTTTGAGTAGCAGAATCTTGAACTTGGCCCAGAAGGAAACTAGCAAGTTAAGGAGCTAGCAATGTAGCCACTGCACTCTGCACCAGCTGCAGCCTCCAGATCAAGCTTAAGGGTAGCCCCACATAGATTACATTGCAGATATCCAACCTTGAAGTTCCCTGTGTGTGTGTGTGTGTGAGCCAAACTATCCTGATCTTAGCCACCGAGGAAACGGGTGCCTCTAATGACAGAACTAGATCCAGGAATTCGCCCAAACGACGCACCTGTTCCTTCAGGTTGCTGTCAGAATCATAGTTCAAGAAAGGAGGAAATGTTATGAAGGAGTGTCTGATAACAAGGAGTAGAAAAGACAAATGATTCCAGGAAGAGACTTCAGGGTTTATGAATGAAAGAACACGCAAGGGTAGAAATGTGAGGAGCAGGCAAGGGAACTGAGCAGACTTATTAAAAAGGAAAGGAAAGGAAACAACAACAACAAAAAAAAGAATTGGAGCAGTCTTGGGTTCAAAGCATTCTGACACATCTGGGGTACACAGATGTACTAGGCTCTGAAGTAGAGTGGACAAATAGAAGGAAGGTCTCCAGCACTTTTCCAGAAACAGAAGAGCAGAAAAGTGGGTGCATTTGCTCCATTTTCCAATGTGACCACCCTGGAAACACTTGGAAGAAAGCAGGGACTATGTAAGAGCACACATATTCCCAGTTCACCCCCAGAAAACGGCAAGGGAGGGTGGGGGGAGGGGAAGAGTAGCCTCAAGGGGGTAATTTCTAGTTCTATAATTTTATGCCCAAAGTTGGAAATGACTATGGAGGAAGAGATAATGGAGAGGTAGACACCTACAGACTACATAATAGGGGATTATATTTAATAGCAGTGTTAAAGGCTTGAAAACACTATGGCAAGCAAACAGACAAATGTAGAAGCAAGATTGGCTGGTTTTCTTTTTCCAGGATTAAGACAATCCTAGCCAGCTGGAGCCCAGCTGTTGGGTCTCACTCTTCCTCCCTCTTCCTCCCTCTTCCTCCCTCTTCCTCCCACACATGCACAGATCCTCCCTTCTTGTTCTTTTATGCTTGGCTGTTAAGTGATCCTTGCAGGAAGCAACCTTGGCTCACACAATTAGCTCCCTGCCAAGTTTTTGCCCTGACCCAAATATTATTCATTTGGCACAGTGATTACCCTCCTCTTCTCACTAGGAAGCTTCAGACCCAAAGCAATATACATGCATACAAATCTGCAGTGGAAGCATGGCGATGCTGAAATAAAACACCAAATTCCTGTGTCCATAGCCAGCATTTCCCCCCCAGGTGGAAAGACTTGTCCCCTACTTAACATTCTGCCCTATAGCATTTTCTAAGCAGAAAAGCTTCAAGGTTCTAGCCTGCCTGGAAATCTATTGCTTAGGTATGCCAAACACCTGCCTAACCCCCCCCCCAATTAAAACACTGTCCATAAAACACCCCCCCACCAATGCACGTGTGGACAAACATCTGTCTTTATCCCATGACTGCTAAGCTTACTCAGCAGTCTTTGGCAAGTGACTTTATCAAAAGCTTTTTGAAAGTCCAGATTACACAATGCCCACTAGATCACCCCTATGCTTATCATTTTTGCAGAAGCTATGCCAGTTCTTCTTCAGCAAGATTTGTTCTTAATTGCTTGGTACTTTTATTTTTAATTATGTTTTCCACAAGTTTCCTCAGAACGGACAAAGCATATCCAATTAGGATTGATGCCATTGCCAAGTGGTGCCTCCTACACCCAGCCTGGACAGCCCATTCGGAAGGATAATATGGCTGATAACGTCAAAAGCCACAAGACATCCAAGAGAATCAGCAGGGCTGTACTCCCCCCCTCCCCGCCCCACATCCTCCTCTCAGCAATGTTCATCCCATAGGGCACCCAAGGCAGCTTATTAATTTGCTTGCATTTTGGTGTAACAGGCTTCTGTTGCATGGGCAAATACGAATAATCAGAATGAATGATATGATTACCGGTGTACAGATAAATAGAAAGATGGCTATCATATCTCATCTCTGTCTCTTCTTATCCATGCTAAACATACCAAACTCCCTCCAAAGTTCCTCTAAGGCTTGGTTTCCAGACCTTTGATCATCTTGGCTGCCTTCTTCTGCACATGTTCCAGCATCTCAATATCCTACTTAAATTGTGATGCCTAGAACTAGAGAGTACTCCAGGTATGGTCTGACCAAGGCAGAATAGAGTGGTACTATTACTTCCCTTGATCTAGACACCATAGCACAGTGTGCCCAAAGTAGTAGTCCAACCTTTTAGAAACTAGCTCAGTCGACAATGATTCATTGCAGCTCAACTGCTTCACTCATCAAATCTGTGTACAAAGTAGCATTCAAGTTTAGCCAAGTATAGCTGCACAGGGGGAAACTTTGAAAATATTCAGAAAAGCAACATGTTAGGACATGTGCTGATCATGTTATTTCCACTGAACTCAGAGGCACTGTGCGTCTATCACTCTCCAGACAACACAAAGAAGTAAGCTTTATTCGTTAGGGTTGTTGTTTTTTTTAAATTAAAGAATAGCTAGGTTTCCCCCACCAATTTGAAAAGAATCTAAAGAGTTTCAAGAAGAGCTGTAGACAAGGTTAATGCCCTAACAGTAGTTCCAGCTACTCTGTAGTCTAAAGGAATTGCAACACACCGTAGTGTGTTTCTTTGTAAACAAGGAATTGCAACATACCATAGTGTGTTTCTTTGTAAATAAGGCAGAATAGTTCCCTACACCTAAAACCAATACTTTAAACAAATGATCTCACTGAAGTGTGATGCCGTGGTGACACTCTTCATTGCAAAGAAGTAGGAAGAGAGCTAGATGCCTTGTGACAGAGCATGCCCCCATCTGGCAGAAAGCCCAGATACCATGGGATGGCTTCAAGCTTGTTCTCAAATTATGTTTGAGGGTTATAGTGAGGTCTGAACATTAAGAGTTTTAAAAGATTTAAGGGGTTGGTTTTTTTTAGCGTATGCAATCGAAGACCCAACATACAGAGAGATCTAGGAGATGGTTCTGGGGAAGAACTTCCTTCTCTTCCCCTCTAGCAGCTCTTAAGATAAAGAAGCAGATCACCTGGAGCTTGCTGTAGTCCCCCACCACCACGGCAGTCAGATTTCAAGGCACTTGAATGCCACAATGGAAGAACCTGGACTTCACATGTAGCCACTTTGCACTCACTTTGAATAATGCAGCAATAAGCCACTTTGAGGGTTGTTGTTTTACAGTCAAGCAGTATATAAACTGTACAAAATAAATTAAATAAAATGTTATACCAAAGACAGTTAAAGTAAGTTTGCTCAGGCTTATCCCAAATAATTAACTGATCCATTTCCTTTGGATTTCATGTATATTTTAATAAATTTGGTTTTATATGTTAACATTTTATCTTCACTGGAATTTTATACTTCAAGATCTTTACACAGGAAGTGGTCTGTGTATACATTACTTTAATAAAAACTAACAAACTGGGCAACAATATTATCAACTCCTTGTTCCCTCTTCTGGATTTAGAACTTGTATCCCTTTAAAGTTTGTCACAAGACGCCTGCGTGCAAGACACATATTCTCTCTCCTCTTTCTAGAGCAGCATCCATCAACCACAGGCACTGAATAGATCCATGTTGAAACTCTGCATGGGTATAATTTCTGCTTTTCTGAGGCAAGCAGAAAAAATGCATGACTGCTCTTTCAAGAGGTCAACCACACTTTAAATCCCTAACATGGGCACACACAAGCCAGAAAATGCTTAAGTCAATCCACCCCATTTTCAACCTTGAACTGGATCAGGAAACAAAGTTCAGTTCTTTCAGAAAGCAGATTGAGTAGCAAGTGCTCCTTTAATCATTTCGTAACATGGTTAACTCCCTGACACAGAATTTTACTCTTTAATGATGACAGACTTGGCATAACTAACCCTGGGAAAAGACACTGTGTGCTGTCAAACAAGAGCAAACTCTTGCCTTTGAACTTCTGCAATATTTACTCTTTTGCATACATCCCATATATACTTCACGTTATGCACAATATTTTTGATCTTATTTCCACATGGGTATATGAGTTATTATAGGTAGCGCTGGTCTTCTGTTTTTAATCATTCTAAACTGAACTGGGTAGAACCTCAATTTCTAGATTCCATTCATGGATTTGTATCTGCACCACAAAGCAAAGCTATTTAGACTAATAACTTCTCCAAAGAATCTCGGTAACTGTAGCAAAAGAAAACCAGCACTCACACAGCAATCATAACCAGGGGACTTCAGGAAAGGCCATGGCAATCAATGTTTTACAACTATTTTATGCTGATGGTGTAGATGTGGTTTGGGAAGCAAAAGGAAAGAAATGTTACAAGTGGAATGTATGTAGAAACCACATAACAAATATACCACACCAGTAACTGCTTTGAATGAGTTCCCCGTAGTAATTGTATCATATAATGCAGGGGATTAAGATTCAGAAACTGAAGATAGGAAGAGAAAGTGCCTCTAATGTGGAAGATGAAGTTGCTTTTTATACTACTCATCTGAATTGCACCTCTGCATTGCTTTTTAGTTTCCTTGCAGAATCACTAAATTCATAAATGAGTTGTTTGGGTGAGAGAGAGAGAGCACATTATGACAAACACAAGTAACATTATCAGATAGTGATCAAATTACAAAGGCCCTCAGAGGTACTCTTTAAATTGCAGTTAAAGTCTAATAGTCTCTCAAGAAAAAGCCTGCCAACTGATCCATAGAGCCACTGAGTGTACGTAGTAGGAAACTGGCCTCTGATTGCCCCACAATAGATGTACCAGCAACTTTGGCAAATTTCAGTACTGTAAAATGCTAATAGGATTTATTGTTGCCAGTTGTGTTCCTAAATACCACTTTTTATTTAAAGGCGGTCAACGTGGTGCCTTCCAGATGTTGTTGGACTACAACTCCCATCACTCTTGACTACTGGCCATGTTGGCTGGCGCTGATTGGAGTTATAGTCCAACAACACCTGGAGGACAATAGGTTGGGGAAGGCTACCCCAGGTCCCCGTCGCTTCAACCCCTACCCTATAATTATTTTTCCTTTATAAGGAGAGGAAAAAAAGATATATTTCATATATTGCTGAAAACAGGAGGTTACTATTTAAGAATGAGTGGGAGAGTTCATATGATCATAACTCAGTGTGGTAAGTCGTGCTATGAATGTCCTTCTAGCCCCTCCCTAAATGCAACTGTTCAATTAATTATAGTTTCCCATTTTGTCTGAACTATCGTTAACTATAATTAATGGAAGACTTCCTGCTCTGTTCACTTGCTTGCACAATGGGAGGATCAAAAGGGCTGCCTAGGTGATTCTGAGGCTCATTCCTATCTTGTCTTCTTAAGCAGAGACATGATTGCCCCAACACACTCATTGTTGCTGGCCAAGGGACCTTTGGGAACAGTGAAGCAAAAAGACAATGTTTTGATTAGAATTGCAGTTGTGACCCAGTTTTTAAAAGATGTAAGAGAAAGGAAGCTTAAATGCAGCTAAGGAAATTTCAAATTATAGCTGTCACTTTTTTATTTTTTTAAAAAACACTGCACTGAAAAGGGGCCTGGTGAGCCTTGAACAGAGGGAGAAAGAGAAATGAAAAAAGTCCCCAGGAAAAGCAACAGACTGGCCACAACTATTTATTCCAGACAACAGGGAACTCTTAGAACTCAGTAGAAAGGGAAGGCATGCATGAACTTGCAGCGATGTCATAGGTTAGACTAAACAATAGTTGTTTACAAGAGAAAGTAAGTTTTTAAAAAAATGATCCTGATTGGCATCCGTTCCAAGTCCACATGCTTATTCAGAAGCACGTAGCACTGCTGCCAGGAACAGGCATAAGTAGGCTATCATGTGGCTCAGTACATTTTCAGGCATGATGTAGCTGGGCACCTGATCTTTTTTCAAAACAACTTTGGAGGACTGTTTTCAATGAGACTTGTACCACTTTTCTCCAGCAGTTAATGAAGCTTTCCTAGTTAAAATCACGATTTAGCAGTTTATACTAGTGCGTAGCATCAGCTTGTAGGAATAAGATGCAGCTCCTTTTCTGCACTTATTTTGTTAAATAGTCACCTTTGCTGTCAATTTTGCTTTCCTTTGCCAAGCAACCAAAAAGCTGGCGTAATTGGTGGGCAACTCAGTCACCCTTTATTTTGCAGTTCAGAGCCAAAGCCACACTTACCAGCATAATGCACAGGGATTTCTATCTTCGGCCCTATGACGTAATGTCCCTCCTCCAGACTATGAGCTGTAATTGTGGTCCACTGTCGGCATGAATGAATCAAAAGGTAATCACTCTCCCTAAGACCTTCTATAGCTTCTCCTGCAAAAAAAAATAATGAGAGCAAACAATCAATACCATAATCAACATGTAGAACACTTTCAGATACCACATACAATGCTTGAGCTAATATATTATAGTATATTAGTATAGTGGCCAACTGGTGGATCTGTGAAATCCCAGGTGCAAATCTAATCTCTGCAATGAATTTAGTATGTGGTCTTAGGCAAACAGCTGTCTCAGCTTTTGGACTGCATCTGCATTGTGGGTCTGCAGTGCCAAATTCTCACAGGGTTACAGCAAGATTTATTGAACTTAATGCAAACATATATATTACATTGATACTTTTTAGTTCTGGTCTATTGTCATTGCCATTTCAGTGTCTGGCAAGCAGGGCAAATCCATCCATCTTCAATTTCCATTGAAATTCCTAATCTTTCCCTACTCTCTCCAAAGCAAAAAAAAGTGCAAGCTGTGCCTCTTTTATAGGTTTCAGGAATATTATACTGATCCTTGGGTTGCTATGGTGTGTTCTGAAGCCAGCTTTTGATAGGTAAACAGTGATGTAGGGTGGAACATTTTCCATAATGACATTTCCCCCCACAGTTATATTTTTCTATGCAAGGATCTTTTCCATTTCTAAAAAAACACACCATTTCATAAAAATTAATGCCATCAACAAAGGACCATGTCAAAGGCTGCTCCTGTTCCCACCACTGGAGTTGGGGGTGCAGTAATTGTGCCCCTCCACTAGTAAGGAGATGCCATTAAAACACCTGATCCTATGAGCTACTATGCCATCAACCTGAGCCATGTCTCTTCAGAAACTGTCTACTAGTCTTTTACTTCAAGGCTACTATTATTCTGGATCCACCTGAATGCACATTATATGCTGAAATAACCTATGTTAACACAGAAAACAGAATCATCTTGATAAATCATGGCAAAGTCATGCAAATTCCTAACTTTAGTTTGGAAGAAACCAAGCAGGCTGACACAGGCCTAAATTAGTTGAAATTGTAACTTAGGGTGGAGCAAAACCCATATAATTAGAAACAAGCTATCCTGTCACAATGTTTTCTAACTCTTTTAATGTCTCTCTCTGTTGCAATGGGGCAGAATGGATCAAGATGTGTTAGTAGAACTGAGACCAAAAGAAATTTATTAATACTTCAATTTGGCACTGGTTTTCTGTAGACATGTTTTATGATTTCAGGAGGAAATTTACTGCATTTCCCATCCTCTCCCAACCCATCCCGAATTCCTGCTTTCTGATTCAAGCCAATCCTTTTGTTGTGAAACACCTACTGGTGCTATAGCACAATGTAATTTAGATGCTTTGTAATCCCTCCTGTCTGGGAACCAGGTCACTGAATATTGCGCTTGTGGTGATTCTGCATGACTTGTACCTCCTTCCTACTCTCCCTTCTTGGGTGGCACACTTGTAAAGTGCAGTCCAGGGCAGACACCCATCTGCCTACACGTGCTACAGGCAGTGGAAAAATCCAGTATATGAATACGAAGGAGAGTCACACTTTGCTACGTGATTCTTCTCTTTCGATGCTAGGGAAGCACATCCAGTGAGGTTTTCCTTAATAACCAATATTCTTTCTGCAACCAGATTGGTGAAGTGTTTTTCTGCCCGTAGAAAGAAGTATGCTGCCATGGCTCCTATGAATGCAGTTTCCCCAAGACAGTAGTCTTCCCTATTGTTCAAATCTGATGAAACTTGCTAAGACAGCAGGACAATCAACAAGCACCATCATTAACTGACTTGTTTTGTTCCTCTCTGCAATGCATCTTTATTTCCTTTATTTTACCTCCAACCCTGGAAATGGTTTGAATGTGTTCCGCATTATTGTATGTGGAGCTAAACCAGATCTGGGCCTAGTTAAAACATGACAGGAGACCACCTAACAACCTGTGCAACCTCAAAACTTTTAAAAGAAAAAGGAAGTTATTCAGACCACAAAATGCATCTGTTCAGAAAGGCATTTTAGACAATGTCTGTGAGTGAGTTTGGCTATTTTTGATGCTGTTGGTGAACTGTTTTCATTGACACAGTATGATTTTAAGTGTTGTTTAAATTATTGTTTTTTTAATCATTTTCTTATGTACACCCTGGAATCCTATGGGCCAGGACATGGCTTATAAATATAAATAATGCATCAATAATATAACATACGAGTCATATACTCCTCACATCTTACAATACAGGCAGGCAAAAGACAGCTTGTTATTTGTAAAAGAAACTTTAGTAATGCCCATTTCTGTTTTAATCTTTCTATAAACCTCAGGAATCTTAATTCTTAGCACACTAGTCTGAGCATAATCAATTGTTTAATGTGGAGCAGCACACTGATAAGCACCCCCTTTTTCAAAATGGCTATTTCTACATTCATCTGCTATTATCAAGTATGAATACATTACCAAAACAATTTACATCTCTCTGGTATCTCAGACATCCTCAAATCTTTCATACAAATATATTCAATGTGACATTTAATTACTTTTTTTTTTAACTCAGACATATGGCTCATGCACTTCAATACATGTTTTTATAGTCAGTGAGAAATAGCACTTCTTGCCTACAGGCTGTTGTGCAATGATTCAACTAGCTACTGGCATTTTGCTAGCACTCAGACGTGAAAGTGCAAACACTACTATATTTCTCTGTGTTCTCCTGAAAGTTCATTATTTGGATTTTGGAAATCTTTTTAGAACGTAGACAAGCTCAGGAATTGCTAAGCAATAACACAAACACGGATTGCATGCTATGTAAAAAGTGTTTGTGTGTGTGTGGGGGGGAACCATCCCAGAATGCCCTGTGCCAAAAAACGATGTGGCCTTTGTAGTGCTTGTATAATGATTTCTCAAAGTTTGATTGCCACACATAATTAAAACTGGACAGGAACAGTGAGGGTGTTGATGAGCTAATATTACAAAAGCTCATTAGTAATGCATTCATTAAGATGGCATCTAGCTATACCATTTGCCAGCAACCATTCTCTCTACGTACAAAATGCACACTGCATTTGTTAATTAGAGGGTGGCAACCAGAGCAGAAACCTATTTTCTAAGAACCCTACAACCAATAGTCTCAAGTCTATGTTTCTGCCCTACAAATCTATAAACACTCCATCAATCTGAGAAGGGGGGATGACAAAAATATGTTCTTCCCCCAAATCAATGGGATAAAAATGGAGCTGTAGATATGATCCTATTATAAGCTGCAACACAACCCAAAAACACAATGCCAATTCAGTATTTGAACACTCACTATAGAGGAACTTCAGGGAATCTTTAAAATAAACAACCAAGCTAAAGACAAGCACTGTAATTCCCAAGCCAACGAATATGGGAATACTGATAGAGAAAGATGTTGCCTTTACACTTCTAGAAACAAAGCTCAAAGGCACTGCCTCATTGCTCTAGAATGGAAGCAAGTGATAACAGACCTATTTCTCCATTCATAATGATGAAATTTTCTATGCCTATGTAGGAATGAAACCAGCAGATGTGAAATACATCCCACTCCGGCTCATTTAATTGTACTCCCACATAGTTTGGCATATGATCTTTGAGGGAAGCTATAGCAAGGAAGAATGCAATCTGGTTCCTTCAAAGGAATAAATATTAGGCTAATGAGATCACTCTGGCAATCTCTCTCTCTCTCTGTATTCCTGCATTCAGGGGGTTGGAATGGATGATCCTCAGAGTCCCTTCCAGCTCTATGATTCTCTCTCTCTCTCTCTCTCTCTCTCTCTCTCTCTCTGCATGAGCACATCAGGCCCTGCAAAGGGGGGGGGGCAGCTGAGTACACTTGCCCTGGGCTTCAGAAAGCTAACCTGGCTGGGGCCCCCCAACCTCTGGGAGACACCACTCTTTGGGGCAGGTGGGTGAGACAGCTCAGAGACCAGGGACAGCAGCAGCTGCTGCCTGGAGAACTCCCAAGGAGAAGGGAGAGGAGAGGAGGCTGAGGGAACACTCCACAAGGGAGGATGTTTGAAAAGGGTGAGGGGCTGCCAGCTCTGCAGGCAAGGGGTGACATAACTGGGCTCCTAAGCCCCACAGGCGTGCCGCAGAAAGAATGTAGTTGATTAAGGGAGCCATGGACTCAAAAAGGTTGAAAACCTCTGATATAAGAGGTGGGTGTGAGGGGGGGGGGCTGGTTGGTCAAGATGAACCTTGGAAAAGTGTTACCTTGACCCTAACGGGCCATGCACCAGCCTGCAAGGGAAACTGCACTAAGCCAATAAAACACACTGCATTTCCAACCACTAACCAACCATTCCCAACACCTAGAAGAACTTCCAGCTTAGCCTCCAACACAGTGAAACCTAAACCAAGCTCCCACAGTGTGGGAGAAGGTGAGCTTGGCACATATAAGGAAAAACTTGCAGCACCTAAAATTTCCGGATCATGGCTGCAAAGTGTTTTCTAATTACAGTGAGCCAGGCAGAACTAGAGCCAATTTATTTGAAAGGTGCCAAATATAGAGTGACATTAAGCGCATTTCCCCCCACCATAAAAAGTTGTTTTACTTACAAAAGTAAGAAAACAAGTGACTCATTCACTCACAGAAATAGGATGCTGTATGTGATATAAGCCTAGCAAAAGCTGATTTTTTTATTTTAAAAATGCCCACAAAAATGGTGACTGTGATAAGTGCCTATAATAAAGAACTTCTTTCCATTCCTCCTGCCTTTGAACAGACAACATCCATGCTCCATTTTCTCTAGCTCTCACAGCTACCTAAGCTGCCTTTCAGCAACAAACATTTGTATGCCCTCTTTCCTCTTAAACGAATTCATGCATGCCTGTCTGATTTTTGTTGCCTTTTCCTCTCCATATTTGGAATTATAATTTTACTACCCCTTAGCCATTACCAAAGAGTTGCCAAGCTAGCTTAAATACTGCCTGTATAATCAACTTTTTATTTCTGTAACAGCCTGCACATTAATACATTTTTTTGCTATTTGCAATTGTTTATAAACTTTGATCTGCTGTCTGATTACTATTTCCCCCATCGTAAGTGTAAGGCAAGTATAATTTGCCCTATGAAATGTGCATAACTGTGTGTTTCTCCTCAATGTACATATGTTTGTCATGTACTCATGCATCTCTTCAACACACGTAAATGAGGCCACACAGTAAGAGCTTGGAGTCTAGCTTTAAGGCAGCACAATAAGTTTATTGTTTACATGGTATGGAAGTGAAGATAGATGTGTGAACCTAAAAGTTCCATGCTTTTTGGTGCATGGTTGAATTTGTAAGCACCTTTTGCTTAAAACTTTTTTCAAACCCTAGAAACGATATTTGTGGTTTCAGGAGTGTGATTATGTCACTATAACATTCAACCGGACTTCTTTTGCTGGGATTGCCTATGATTCTTTGATACTGTTATTCGTCCTGGACACTTGGGATAGCAGGATAACACTAGAGAAGCAGGAGCCAGTTATTGTGCACTTTGACCATCTTTGGTCAACAATATCTGAAGCCTCAAAATTAACAGACTGTGTACTTATGTACTACGTTTCAAAAACATATCACAGTGTCACAGCAAGTTATGCATACTGTGAATTGTCCCTCCAAGCTCAGGGACTGCGAACTTCATGCCAATTAAGAAATGAGGAGATCACTGGCATTCTATAATAATTTTGAAGGCTGTCCATTAGTTGAATTGACTTTAACCTCAATAGAGCAGCAAGAGGAATGAATAAAATTTAACTGTGGGGAAAAGCAGCTGTCAATGCCAAACGCTTTGTCCCTTTCAGCCACCCTGAGGAGAAAGTTCTGTATCAAGATGAGCTTTCTTGGTATGAGGGCCACTCAGCAGTATTTGAGGGGGACTATGAACGGACACAGTTTTACATTCTTACAGTATAATAGCGGTGATCCTGTTTCACAATTTGACATTCAGAGAGAAGCAGAGGAGCACAATAAATTCGGCCAAAGCAAATGTATATTCTTTGTTCTTTTTTAGTACTATTGAGCAATGTAACTGAATTCTACAAAGGCAATTAAGATGACATTTAAAGGGGATCTGTGTTGCATACTGCAAATAACTCTTCTGACTTGAACAAGACAAAAGTGACCCATTTTTTTTTTCTTTTTTCCACTTTTATTTGAGATGGCAGCCAGCCAGCTAGATGTCTTTACACTCCACTGGCAAAATTTACTACTACGGTGCTGAAATAATTCCTGTATTGTAGCAGCACAGTAGTATATCACCATTTATACTCTGTTTGTTAGATGTCACAAGAGCCTTTTTAATATAAACATTCATTTTTTGCTTACAATCCTGACACCTACTGTGCTTCAGACACAAAAAGGAACTGAAGCCTTTTGCTAACAGCTGAAGCACATGTGCAAATTAAAACAGCCTTCTTTTTTTAATCCAAGAACTAAACAATGTTAATTTTCTGATCAATAGAACTTCACAAATGTTTTGTTTTATTTACAATGCATGGCTACTATTGTTATACCTCCTTCAATAGTAAGAAACTTCCTTCAAAGCTTTTCTCCCCCTAGTCAGTAGAAAGATGAAAGAAATATCTCCTAAGATTTTTTGTACTTTGGTTTGGTCATCTAGTCCAATCCCCTGTAATGCAGGAATTACAGCTAAGAATAAAGTATGCAGTTCCAAAGGCTGCAGAACCTAGAAATGAATGTGGGTGGGTGGCCTTTATGAATATATTCACAAGACTTTAGTATTGCTAGCTAAAGAGCTGCCGGATGTTTTTAAGTTCTATACTCCCCTTGCGGGACTATTAGCTTGTATAAGGCTTTTCCAACCAATTGATTCTTCCAGAGGGGAACTAGGACCATGAATACTGACTCATAAGCCAGCTAGCCCTTTAAGAGGCTCTTCTTGCTGGTAAGCATAACAATAACTCTGTCATGCTACAAGGCCCTGGTAATAACAAGACTCGCAGTGATTCAGATCTAAATAAGTGCCAAGGCAAGCCATACATTTTGCAATGTATGGAGCATTCTTTTTTTTGTAAAATAAAGTCATGGCACACAATAGGAAAGGTGGAACAGAGGAAGGAAATGTTTTGTCTAAGAAGAGCTAGTTTTTTTTAGATAAAGTGTGCAGGCTGTCACAAAAAAGAGAAATCAACCCATGGGTTGCCATGGGTTGGAGAAGAAAGTAACCTGTAGCTCTTCAGATGCCAACCCCATCTCCCATCAGCTCCAGCCAGCATGGCCAGTGGTCGGGGATGATGGAAGTTGTAGTCAAACATCTGGAGGGCTAAAGGTTCACAGCTCCTGCACTCAAGGCGCAGGAGCCCTAATACTGAAACATTGGTCAGCTTTCTTCCAGTGAGGATGTGCTGAATACCAAATGACTTTATGCTTTTCTCTCCAATTAATTGGATGTTTTCATGTGACAGTAATTCATAGGAATCAGTGAATTCCCCATGGCTTCTGCAAATGAGCGCCCACACAGAAGCTTGGCAGCACTAGGTAGCATGGGTTGGACCGCTGCCACTCTCCTTTGTCTTTCCCTACGATGCTACAACTTCTCTCATTGCTCCCACATCCTCTTTCCCTCTACTTTGTGTGGAGAAGTCCCATCAACTCATCAGTTTGCTCTGAGAGCAAAAGGGTGAAAGGATGACGTATTAGAGCTCAGGCTTCCTGGTGCCCACTGCAGAGGATGTGGAGAGGGGGACACTCAGCAGTATGGAAACCTTGAACCAGCCCTGAAGATGAACACACAGTTCTCACAATTCAGTTCTGGAAGCAGAGGATTATGTTCCCCAGTATAAAGTAATTTCTCTCTCTCTAATGCAGCTGATTTACCTTCTGAAATGCTTCCCCCCTCCCAGTTATGAAGAGGTGGGTTGGCTAGCAGCAGACCCAAACTCCCCATTTAGGTGGACCTACATTAGAAGGAAACTTTGAATATATTTGCTGTCTTTTCAGCCAAAGTTCTCTAACTGCAAGTCATACAGAACTTGGCTTGGTTTGGCTTTTTAAATCACAACACATATCCTATTTTTCAAGTTTTTGCAGTCTGTTTGTGCAATGGGTAAATGGTCCAATACAATTAATTACCAAATGTATTGAAAAATTTCCCTCCATGTGAATGCTGAACTAATTTGGAGAGCCTGACAGAGGGATAATTTGATTTGGCTAGAGGCCAGGGAAACAGAAGGGAGGAGGGAGGCAGGAGTTGGACAGCATTTTCTGTTCTTATTTTGCATTTTAGGAAGAACTGACCTCTTGAACAGAAGTTCAGAGAAGGTTCAAAGACAGATGTAAACCAGCATAAAAGTTACATCAAATTTTCAGGTATTGTTCAAGTTCTTTGAGTTGTTCTACAATTTAGTAATGCCATATTTCAACTAAGGGGTATGAAAAAGCTGCTATCTTTTTAAATGACAGATTAGATTTACTTCCTCTTTGCTACTGATCAGCTTTACGCCAATTGCTGTTAACTGAACATGTGTTAAATCAAGGGGGGGCGAGTTAAATACCATTTGGTTGACAGTTATTTCACATAGTATACCTGTTCCTGAAATTTCACATACTGAGCAAAGCAACAGATTTTAACACATTTAATTAGAAGACAGTGCTTTGACAAGAAAAAATATTTTTTTCATCTGTAGTAACTTATTTAATTATACTATGTCCAGCAAAAAAACAACACACACCTTTTAAATATGTGGTTCTGTTAAGCCAGAGGTTGGCAATGTGGCATGTGTGAGCATAGTGGTCTCCTTGAGGATTCTATCTGGCACTCACAGAGCCTCTGAAATCTCTCTATTCATGGCTCCCTTGGCCATAAAGTGATTGTTGTTGTTGTTGTTGTTGTTTAGTCGTTTAGTCGTGTCTGACTCTTCGTGACCCCATGGACCAGAGCACGCCAGGCACTCCTGTCTTCCACTGACTCCCGCAGTTTGCTCAAACTCATAGAATCATAGAGTTGGAATAGACCACAAGGGCCATCGAGTCCAACCCCCTGCCAAGCAGGAAACACCATCAGAGCACTCCTGACATATGGTTGTCAAGCCTCTGCTTAAAGACCTCCAAAGAAGGAGACTCCACCACACTCCTTGGCAGCAAATTCCACTGTCGAACAGCTCTTACTGTCAGGAAGTTCTTCCTAATGTTTAGGTGGAATCTTCTTTCTTGTAGTTTGGATCCATTGCTCCGTGTCCGCTTCTCTGGAGCAGCAGAAAACAACCTTTCTCCCTCCTCTATATGACATCCTTTTATATATTTGAACATGGCTATCATATCACCCCTTAACCTCCTCTTCTCCAGGCTAAACATGCCCAGCTCCCTTAGCCGTTCCTCATAAGGCATCGTTTCCAGGCCTTTGACCATTTTGGTTGCCCTCCTCTGGACACGTTCCAGTTTGTCAGTGTCCTTCTTGAACTGTGGTGCCCAGAACTGGACACAGTACTCCAGGTGAGGTCTGACCAGAGCAGAATACAGTGGCACTATTACTTCCCTTGATCTAGATGCTATACTCCTATTGATGCAGCCCAGAATTGCATTGGCTTTTTAGCTGCCGCGTCACACTGTTGGCTCATGTCAAGTTTGTGGTCAACCAAGACTCCTAGATCCTTTTCACATGTACTGCTCTCAAGCCAGGTGTCCCCCATCTTGTATTTGTGCCTCTCATTTTTTTGCCCAAGTGCAATACTTTACATTTCTCCCTGTTAAAATTCATCTTGTTTGTTTTGGCCCAGTTCTCTAATCTGTCAAGGTCGTTTTGAAGTGTGATCCTGTCCTCTGGGGTGTTAGCCACCCCTCCCAGTTTGGTGTCATCTGCAAATTTGATCAGGATGCCCTTGAGTCCATCATCCAAGTCGTTGATAAAGATGTTGAATAAGACATCTTCAAGACAGAACCCTGTGGCACCCCACTAGTCACTCTTCTCCAGGATGAAGAGGAACCATTGATGAGCACCCTTTGGGTTCGGTCAGTCAGCCAGTTACAAATCCACTGAGTGGTAGCATAGTCAAGACCGCATTTTACCAGCTTCTTTACAAGAATATCATGGGGCACCTTGTCGAATGCCTTGCTGAAAACTCATGCTGGTACCTTCGAGAACACTGTCCAACCATCTCGTCCTCTGTTGTCCCCTTCTCCTTGTGCCCTCTGCCTTTCTCAACATCAGAGTCTTTTCCAGGGAGTCTTCTCTTCTCATGAGGTGGCCAAAGTACTGGAGCCTCAGCTTCAGGATCTGTCCTTCCAGTGAGCACTCAGGGCTAATTTCCTTCAGAATGGATAAGTTTGATCTTCTTGCAGTCCATGGGACTCTCAAGAGTCTTCTCCAGCACCATAATTCAAAAGCATCAATTCTTCGGCTATCAGCCTTCTTTATGGTCCAACTCTCACTTCCATGCATCACTACTGGGAAAACCATGGCTTTAACCATACGGACCTTTGTTGGTAAGGTGATGTCTCTGCTTTTTTTGATGCTGTCTAGCCATAAAGTGATACAGATGGTAAACCCCCCCCCATTGCAAAATATCATAGGATCATAGCCTTGTAGGGTTGGAACGGACTCCAAGGGCCATCTAATTCAACCCCTTGCAATGCAAAGCACATAAAACTGAAGGAGGAAGCTATAGGAGTGGCACTCTTTCCCCCTTCCTCTTTCAGCTCTATGTGCTTTCCAGGAGGCAGATTAATTCTACTGGATCCAACTTTCACCCAGATCCCTTAGAAAAGCAAGGGGTGTGTGTCTGTCTGTGTGTGTGTGTGTACACACATGCTGATCTGGGAGAGAAGTTATTAGAGTGGATGGCTCTCATCGCACTCACTCAAAATCCAAATGTGCCTATGGGTCTAAAAAGGTTGGTGACCCCTGCAGTAAGCTATATTATTTAACAGGCCTGTTTTCTATGAATTTGTCCAATCCTCCTTTGAAAGCCATCCAACTGTGCAGCTGTCACCACCCCTTGTGGCTGAGAAATCCACAAGTTATCTGCTGCACGTAGCAGCAATTTTTCTTGTCTGAAGCTATACCAGTTTAATTGGGTAACATAGAATTCTAGTAACATGGGAGATGGAGAATTTTTTTTATTCCACACCATGCACGATTTTAGAAATATCTACCCCACCCCTCTTACCTGGCTTTTTCTTACCTGCTAAAAAGTAAAAAGCTCCAAGGATGGGTGTAGCCAGGGGGGCAGCTGCCCCCCAAAATCAACAAAACTAAATAAAAATACAGAGCTAACTGAGGTTCTGCCTGCCCCCCAAAAAAATCCTGGCTATGCCCTTGGCTCCAAATACTTTAGTCTCTCTTTGTAGTGAAGGCATTCCAGTCCCTGACTCATTTTGGCCGCAGTTTTACCACTTCTAGGATACCTCATTCAAGATGGGAGGTACTCAGGAATAAACCAACTTTAGGACAGTCTTTAGCATCAATATGATCCTATCCCTGACAATGAGAAAACCGCTCCAAAGTGCCTCCCACCAGCCCTCTGCAAATGGGGGTTAACTGAGTTCACAGGCACCCTTTTATTCAACAGGTGGTAGCAATGGCTCCCACACAGAGGATATATTGTGTAGGATGGCATGACGCAAGATGCAAGGATAGGAGTATTGGATTAGAACTGGGGAGACTCTGGTTCAAATCCAACTCGGTCATGAAACTCAAAAGGGATCTTAGTCCAGTCACCAGCTCTCAGCCTAACCTACTTCACCATGATGTTGTGAGGATAACATGAGAAGGGACCATGTACTCTGTCTTGAACTCCCAGGAGGACAGGTGGGACAGAAATGTAACAAATGAAATATGTGGTTCGACCACGCACACCACAAAAAAACCTTTGCTTAACCGATAGTCTGCTGGGTTTCGCTCAAGGTCAGTTTTTAACTGCTATTCTACTATTTTTCAGCGCCCAACGTTAAAAGGGGACTATACAAATTCTGGAAGAAAAGGCTATTAAATGTGACTGCTCGTGATGGTTGTCATACTACCTCTAGGATGCTAGATCTAGTGAAAACAACAGTGGGAGAGAGCTCTTTGGCAGAAGTGTCACAGGTCAGCGGCAGAGCATTTCCTTTGTGCACAGAAGATCCTGGATTCAATCCTTGGCACTTCCAGGCAGGGCTGGGAATGTTCCTTGTCTGAACCCCTGGACAACTGACACCAGTTCATGTATTGTAGACAAAGCCAAGCTAGATGACCAATGGCGCGACTTGGTACAAAGCAGATTCCTATGTTCCTTTTGTCTTCCTGTTTGCAAAATTCTCTTGACATCTGCTTAGTCACCATGGGAGGCAAAATTCTGGACTAGCCGAGGCCTTTGGTCTGATTCCCCAGGGCTCTTTTTATGATCAGCCTGAATTCTACTGGTTAAGATTAAGGTTAAATGTTGGAGAAATCCAATTATTGCCAGGTATATCCTGGTCCCCCTTATCAAACTGAGGCCCCACCCAGGCTAACAAAGGATTCAGACCAAAGTTCTAGTACTATCTGCAGACACATCCTCCTGAGAATTTTAATTGAGCCTTTCGACCTGCCTACTCTATAAGGATTTCCCTACTGGCCAACTACAGTCCAGCTCCGCCACTTACTCATTTAGGCTTTCCTGACTAGAGTATATGTGCTGGGAAATGGTTTAGAGCTCATTGACAATTATTTCCATTAGGGGATGCTATTAACCTGACGTGTTGCTTTGGCATATTACAGAAAGGCTGCTATATGACTGTTGCAGAGGCAGGATAATATTAACACAGATTTCTCGCTGCATTAAATTGATGTAAAATATTAGCACGAGATTTTTTATGGAAGTTCTAAACAGTGTCAGTGGGGGAGCGGGAATCCTTTGGGGAGGAAGAGCAGGATATAAGATCAATTTAAATAAATAAATTGGTTTTTAGGGTGTGTTCTCACTTCTCACATGCCTACCATTTGCCCTGATACACAAACGTTTAGGGGAGATGCACAGATGCACACTTAATGTTTAAAACACACTCGATACACATGACTGTTCTACACCATAAATTCAAAGAGCACCCAACACACATTTAAAGCACATGACCTCCTCCAAAGAACATTGGGAACTATAGTTTACCCCTTACAGAGCTACATTTCCCATCACCCTTAACAAATTACAGTTCCTGGTGTTCTCAAGGGGTGTGTGTCATATGCTTTAAATGTATGTTGGATGCGCTTTAAATTTCTGGTGTTGACCTGCCCTTTCAATTTGTTGCTTCCAGCAAAGAGTAGGGGAGAAGCAAAGGGGAGACTTGCAGCAGCCTGCACTAACACATTGCACCCTGGTGCTAGACCACAGTTAAACATTAACTATGGTTTGACATTGCATGCAAACTAGGCCATTAACAATTCATTGTGGGAAGTTGCTTAATATATTTTGAAAATGTTTAGTATGCATCAAGAAGAGTAAAGAAAATAGAGAGGCTTTAACTTGGGAGAAGGACTGAATTCACAATCATACCACCTTCGTATTACGTATGGCAGGATCCCATATTGTATTGCTTCCCACGAATTTATCTATTACCGAAGCAGGAAGTTAACACAATACAGCATATTGGATTGCACACGATCGAACATAAAGCAATGCCGTCACACTGAAAGCTATAGTCACATCCTTTGCCCATATCCGATTGTCTGTCAAAACACATTGAGGCAAATTTATTCTCAGCCTAACCGTCTATACACATCTACTTTGCAAGTACTGGGTTCAGTGGGACTCACTCTCAGATATGTTTGCATAGGATTGCAGCATAAGACCTCAGACTAAACTGCAGAGAACAGTCTGGCACTGGGAGCCATAAGGTACTGAACAAGTGGAGGCTCCTCCTCTTCTCTATTCAATTGTACAATACAAAGAAAACCATTTACAAAAGCTATGTTTATTATTATTTGTTATTTTTATTAATCACTCTTTTCACAAAAGTAACTCAAGGCAACTTACAGAAAATATTAATTAAGCAATATTAAGCTGTATAAAATATTGCTCAGCGTATAAATCAAGCAACTCAACCAGATGCTGTAGAATCATCATCACCATCATCTAAAGACGGGCCCTGACTGTGGGCTTACAGACTGTAAGACAAGAAAAAAAGCAAGAAAATAATTAAGGAACAAATCAGAGAGGAAGGCCTCTGAAACAGTGGGAACTACTGCAGAGAGAAATCTTCAAAAGCCACTCAAGCTAATGGGAGCTTTGGGAAGGGGGTGATGGGACCGTGGCCTGTGAGGAAAGGGTTGAAAGGTTCTCCCCACGGTCTTTATCAATGGCTATTTATAGTAGTGTTCTGTTTCAGAGAGATGCATGACATCAAATCATGGATTTGACGCCACATGTAGTTTGGCCCTGGGCATATTGTCCCCTTATAACATGCTAAATAACACCTTTGGAATGTGGCCTGAACTTTTTGTATGTGGACGAATAAGACTTTACAACACAATAATAACTGGTCTCTCTCTCTCTAAACAGCAGCCATCTCCCATTGCAGTTATTAAAAAGATCAGTTTAACCAGAGGTCACAAGTCATAGCTGCCTGCCTCACAACATCCTCTTGTAATAGCCTTTCTACTTCTCAAGTGCAACATAGTTCTCTCTCTCTCAGGGCAGCCTTGAACAATGCACACTTATACTGCCAATAAGGGAAAAGCACTTTCCTCCAAGGCTCTTTTCATTCCTGAAAATGAACTTCACAAGAGCTCAAAGGGAACTGTCAGAACCGAACTAAAATATATATGCGTGACTCATACCAGAATGGTGCTATTGTCAGTTATGTTTATATGTACTTAAACTTATTTCTTTTATTTTTGGCCAGTGCTATAACAGGGGTTCTCGTGGCAGCTTGTTATAAGGCTAAAAACTAATGACAAATTCATTCACTAAAACAAGCACCATCACCTAATCAAACCAACAATTCATATTTACACCCCAATGAAGTTTTATACTTTTGCAAAGCTGCAAGCAACTGTTGCAAGCTGGGTATAGGCAACAGGGGCTGAGCTCACTTGCGTATACAGAAATGAGATCCCCCCCCCCCCAAGGAAATAACATATGCCAGGGAAAGACAGCAAACCATACCAGGTCAAAATGCTTTCAGAAATGGATATCTTGGGAAACAGCAGCAACAGTACCGTATTCCAAGCTGTCAACAGACTGAGCTGTATGTTTCTTCTTACAACCCGTTAGTGGACAGCACACATAACATGTACCCAACATACAGGACTCTGTACACATAATTGTGAATGGTGTACTAGATATTCCCCATGGCACATGAAGTTAGCTTTCTCTTAGTGAAGTTAGCTTTCTCTTAATGAAACTAGTATAGGACTTCACAGCCTACAGTTATTCTTCATCAACTTGGCAATTACAAGTTGCTTGGAATGACCCCAATCCACCTCCTCAAAAAACAAAACAGAAAAACGTGCCTTCTTCCATGTCAGTATTATGGCCTCATTACACAGCCTCCTGCCCAGTTCAGACCTATCAAATCTCTCCAATGATTTGCCTAATCGCCACCTTCCACTCCTCCCGCCGTGATACACCAGCTCCCCTGCCCTGGTTCTCATTTTAACAATAGCATGTATATATGCATAGCCAAAGCCATTTGTTTAAAAACATGGTACTTGGAACCTGTGGGAGCTACCAAGGCCAGTAGCTGTGAAGGAACAGCACTTATTTTAAGTCATTTCTATACTGCTCTTCATTTTAAAATACGTCAATCCTAAGGTGGTTAACAAAAAAGCAGTATCTTACTGGCACAAGAAAAGGACTTCAAGAAGTTTACTACAGCAGTTTTAAGCATACCAAAATTGGTGGTTATCTCAGGGTTCAAAGACACTGAAAAGGAAGTACAAGAACTGCCTCAAGTACCAGAGAAAGTACAAGGCTTAGTAGAAGGCTATGATAGAGGAAAGGGGGAAACCATTCCATATTAATCAATAAAAATGAATTAGCTGTTTAAAATAAAAGCAGCTTTAGACATCACATCACTAGGCAAAGAGCTAACATGAGCTTTACTGCATTGGAAGATGACCTACAGTAGCAATTAAATCTCCAAAGGATTGCATTGAAGCAGGAGGAAGTAGTTTGTCAGGCAGTTATAACCATGATGAGTGGAAAGAGGAGAAAGAACTCACTTGAGCACAACGGGCCACATTCAGCCTCACGGCTCTTAGAAGCAAGGGCGTTAGGCTTCTTACAACATTTTGTTTTCACATAACGAGTGCCACAATATTTCATTTGTAGGTTGCCTCAAATGAGTGTGTCTGTGCAAAATACCTTAATGTGAGAATGAAAGCCTCACTCCACATTTAAGTGCTATAGGAATTACGTACCCCCGTGGCAAGGACATGCTCACAGGCCCCAGGCTGTGTTGGTCAACCAAAAAACCAAAGCTCTTATATCCAAACTGCTAAGTATGGTGGGACATATTCCTTTTCAAAATCTATCTGGCATCATCCTTGCCAGAAAAATAATGGACTCGTATAATACTACACTGCTTTCTACACATCCATCATATCTTTTCAAGGAGCCAATAACATCAGCATGTCTCCCTAGTTCTTATGCAAGACACCAGCATGTCATGTGTATCTATTTTCCCAATGAATCACTTTCTTCTGGCAAAACAGTGCCATCAAGGAAACTAAGGAACAGTGTACTGTAATAAAAGAGCTCCTTTCTACAAAGAAATTCAGGGCCATGCTAAACAATGCAAGATTCCTTTACAGTACTTTTGTGTATATATAGGAAAAAAGCATGAAAACTGCTTTTAGAGTGAAAAAATGCATGAATCTACAAAAATTGAGAAAAATTCTTTCTCTACTGTAATTAGTCACTGCTGCGAAGTAAGTGTACACTACACAATGAAAAGTGTGTGTTCGCTTGACACAGCTTTCTACATCATTTTTGAACAGGTCCACAGATATGTTTTCCTTCCTCAGCCCCAATTTTGTCTGCTTGCTATTCTTTCAAAGGAACTTGCTGCAATTTGCTTGTTTACCATTCATTATTGTTTCCACAACATTTCCTTGCAGGAATGACTCTTACATGGCTTCCCAATACCCTCATGCATTTTAATTGCGTACTTTCTGAAGTTCCAAAGTCACCCAGGCAAAAATACATACAGAGAGCTCCTAGCAGAAGTGTCCACACATAAAAAGAATAATACCAATGGTTAAGAAAAAGCCAAGATACTGCAGTGGAAATAATATGCGGCACAAGTAAAATGAATTCTATCTCAAGAATGTAAAATGCAACTTAAGTTCTGCATACGGTAGTTTTCTTTGCCGTGGCTTTCCGACTCCGGATGTATTTGGGCACATGTCTGCTCCCCCTCTCCATATCCTTAGACATTCAAGGCTAATTATTAACATAGAGAGGGAAAGCACACACACACACACACACACACACACACACACCTATTTAGAGCTATTTTCATATTCATTCATTCAGTCTTATTAATAGCTCTGCACAAAAAGATACTGACAGTAAAGCCTTGTCCTACAACCTTGTTGTGAAAATAAGCTGATGCTGAAGGAAATGTCTTCTGCAAAACCCCTCACAAAGATACTGCTCTGGAAGCAATGCAAAGTTAACAATATGCACCAGACCAACCAAGGACATTCTACATGTGTACAGTCCACAGAACAGTCCAAGTGATCTAGAGCAGCCTTTGCCAACCTGGTGCCTCCCAGAGGTTCTGGACCACATCGCCTATCAATGCCAGCCAGCACGGAAGGCAGATTAGAATATACTGTTGTTGGCAGAGCACAGTGGCTAGGAAAATGAACTGTGGGCTCAGAGAATCCCAGTTCAAATCTTCCCAAAACTATGAACTCATGGGATGACCACCAGGTACTCCTTTTGTACAAAAGTGGGGTAATGACTAGCACAAGAATATTGATGGGATTCTATTTTTTAAAACAAACTGTTTATTTTGTTTTTGTAATATATCTTTGCATGTAAGGATTCTTAAAGTAATGCATCAAACTGTAATGCATCAAAGTAATGCTAATAACACTGAACACTTAGGAAAATTATTGTAAATGCAAAGTTTGATGGTGATGATGTTGGCTTTCCTAATTTATTCAGTGACAAAGTATAACAATCAGGGTCAGGTTGATATACACATACACACAAAGTCTAAAACCCACAATTGGATAGTATTTGTATCCAACAAAAATGTCACAAGGTAGTGAAGAAGCTTTCAAGTTCTCCAAAACTCCATGATAAACCAAAAGTATTCTACTTAAGTGTATATGGGCAGATAGCCCTTAGGACCCTCACACAAAGGAGCTGGATTATTTGCCATCGGAAGCACTTGTGCTTTATTGAATATGCAAATGCAGTATTTTTTTCTATGTATACCATCAGAAGTAACTATTTAACTACTTTTAAAGATATTCAAGATCACTGAAGTGTGTCCAGTGTTGCCATCACTCGATATATCCAGATTCACATAGATACCGTTCAGAATGAAAATACGAGCCATGTATTTCTATCAGGGTGAAAGAGGTGAAGAAATTCTAAATTCTTGGAAACAACAGCTGCTAATGAGCAGATCTTGAATTTTATCAAGTCAACCCCTTAGTATCTCACTTTTCCCATTAGCCAAATGGGCCAATACTATTTAATGATGTTTTCAGCAGTCTATTGTGAGAAGGACAGTATGAAAGAGTGTTTTGCACATTTTTAAAAATTAGGACTCAATTGGAAACTTAACCCCTCTTCAGGCAATCAGGAACTTGGAAAAGCAACACGTGGGGGTGAGTGTGCTACTTTAGCCTCCCCACATTGCTGTCCATGGGTTAGAAGACAACTGCCCAAAGCAAGGAACCTCATGTCCTCATCATGGAGGCTCGCAAACAATGTAAACTCCCAGAAAATCAGGGTTCTTTACTACATGGGAAGTCAACACGAGTCACCCTCCAACTTGCAGGGGGGGACAGATTCCCATAACCTCTGCCATGTACTGCTTCTTCCAGTTCCTGGAGCCACGAAGAAAGTCTTGGACACAAACGGACAGTGATCATAGAAAACGGAGATGTGTGAATACCAGGAGACTAGGTGGATTGCAGAGGGCATTCAGTAGAGAGACTTGCACAAGAGCTGTAATACAGTGAGAAAAAAAGCCTTAATCCTAAAGTTATAATGACATCAAGGGTTGAATTCCAGGAAGAAATTATGATTAGAAGGAGATAGCAGAAAATTATGGAGAGCAGCATAACAGTTCAAAAGCTGCAGTGGAAAACCTTCCCAGCTCAGTTATCCACTTCCCAACTGCTTGCCGATCACACAGTAGTTACATCCAATGCAAGGGGAAGAGAGGAACACCAGCAACTATTTTTGCACTGCTACATTTGAGAGGAGAGGAAAAGCGGATGAAAACCCAGTAGACAGGCCCCTAATAACAGAAATGCACCAGTCAACAACCCTTCTATGCCCTCCTTTATTAACACGTTATATAACTTGGCTATTCGTTTTAATTCATAGACGTCATCTGATAATATGCAACCACTCGAACAGAAGAGTCAACTGTTAACTAGAGAATACTGAAGAAAAATTCAGGCAGGGTGCCCATATGAAATGTGCCGTCTTTAGTTTAATGAATGTCTAGCTTAATCAATTGGGAATACCTTGATAGATCTGGGCGAATAGGTGATGCAGGGTTGGAACCATTATCTAGTCAATATTTAAAGAGGCATAAATATTGCATCATAGCTGTTGCTCTCCTGCACTGCATATGTAAACAAGGCAGATACAAACACACTTCTCCAAGACAGAGAATGATTAGCAATTCCATATCTTGCCAGTCTAATATGAAATGTTTTTTTCATAACTTGAAAGTTCAATTTGTGCAAGAGGCTTTTAAAAAAGATCCTTCAAAGGATTCAATTGTAAATAAATCTAATTCAACGGTTGGCACAGGATATGGGTACACAAGAAAATGGATATTCTGTGGGGGGGGGGGGGATGATGGGGAAAACAAAATCAAACATAAGTTTCAATCTGAAGCTACCAAAAAAAGCTTTTGGCTAGCTGAGAGAGCACAGATGACTGAAGAAGTAACTGCAATGGTTATAATTACTATAATGTGTTTGTTTGACAAACATATCTCCATAATAAAGGAGCTGGGGGGAAATAAGCACATCATACTAACCCTTTCAAAGTTAAACACAGCTTGCCAGAATAGCCCTTCAACAGAAGAGCCTATCAACCATACTTTGAAGGGAATTGGATTTCTGCACCAAGCTATAGAAGCAATTCTTAGTTTATGCCCCTTTGGGAGGGGATTTATAACCATTTCTTCTTTCCCTGTACCACTCCTGTTAATGTTGCCCTCAGTAAGAGGAGAAGCTGAGAGCCAATAGCCATCTCAATAAATCTATGGGCGAGCACAATTCTTGCTCTGAGATTACGCAGAGTCCTATACTTTGCGTTTTGGACCACAAGCCAACATAACACACCTGAGCCCATCTGCTTGAGTGGGTTTCTTAAGCACGCAGCTCTTGAATTTGCATTGTGTTCACGGGCTCTACTATCCCAGCCGCAAGTCAGCCCAGGTGATTTGCAACGGGACCTAACTTCCAGCTGAATTTCTTGGGATCGCAGCCAGGGCGACTAAAGGAAAGCCTCTCGACTTTCAGATATGGTAAATTAAAAGGGCCCCAATTCGCGCAACAGGGAGCAACAGCGGGCAAGAGGCGAGCCAGGGGCCATTCCGGCGCAGCTCACTTGCCCCCTCCCCTCCTCCCCATTCGGCGCGCCGGCCGCACCAGCTCCCCGGGCCCCGACATCGCCCCCCGCCGCTTTGAGCTCCTTAAGATCAAAGCCCTGGCATTCGCCTCCTTCGTGCCCCATTCATATTTTAGTCACGTGCCCCCTCTCCCCAATGGGCTCTTCTCCCCAGAAGGACTCGCGCCTGGAGTTTGGCCGGCGTTCAAGTGGAGCAGAGGCAGAGTCTGGCGACTCTTTCCGAAGTGGCTGGGGAAGGAGGAGAGCCAGTGCCCGGCTGCCCAAGCACCGCCACCACCGGCGCCGCTTCTCCCGCTCCCAGCCCGCCGGAGTCCGGCCAAGTTACCAAGCGAGCCGCTTTTCCGCGCGGCCCTTTGCGCTCTTTCTACTCACCGCCTTCCAGCCTGACGACCTGAGGCAGGCGGTAGGTGCTCACCAGCAGGTCCAGCGGGACAGACACGGCGCTCCACTTCACATCCTTCAGACTGGAGCCCGGCGAGGGGCCCGCATCCATGTTCCCGCCCTTCTTGGGGTCCGGGCGGCGGCGGGGGTCGTCTGGTGGCGGCTTCGCCCTCCTCAGCCTCGACTCTCGCCGCCGCCGCCGCCGCCTCCCCAGGCCATGATGGGCTTGGCTTAAAAGCGAGGCGAGTCGCCGCCGACAGCTGCTGCTGCTGCTCCTCCGCCGGCCCCCCAGCAGCAGCGGCGGCGGCGGCGTGGGTTGCACAGACGGCGGCGGCTCTTCCCGCTGGCTCCTCTGCTTGCAGCTCCAGCTGACCCAGTAAACGCCATCCCAGCACGGACTGACTAATCAACAAGGTGCGAGCGACGCCTGCGCAGTGGGCGCCCCTCCTCTTCTCCGCTCCCCGGGAAAAGGGCAGCCCAGGCGCTCCCTCCTGGGGGCGTGGAGAGAGAGAGAGAGAGAGAGAGAGCAGGGCCGGGCGCGGGAGGAGACGCGCGCAAACGCTGTCGCTCTCGCTCCCCCGTCCGGCCGCTCAGGCGCCCTGCAAGCTGCGGTGGCGGCGGCACGAGTTAGGAAATCGGCGGAAGCACCAAGTAAACGCGTGGAAAAACAAGCTCCAAGCCGCTTACTCGGAGGAAGTAAACCCGGTTGGAAAGAATGGGATTCAGAATAAACATGGCGAAGGTGACGCGGGCTGCCGCCAGATCGATATGTCTGTGGTATTAACCTACAGTTGGGTTAATACCATGGGCGGTGGCAACAAGTAGCTCTCGCCCCCACCCCCCCAGCTGGATTAACGTATATAAACTGTTATTTTTCTTTTAGCGATCTCGACATATGGCACACACAAACCACTATCTAGAAATAGGCTTTCCCCCTTTTGTGCCCCCCCCCATTTTTGGTCTGCTGCTGCCCCCACTGATAAATACTATTATTAGGATCAACCAAAATGTCACAAGACAGCGAGCAACGTTCTGAGTTCTCTAAAACTCTCCATTAGACGAAATGTTACACGAAAGGGGGGAGCGAGGACAAGGGCAACAAGGAAAACAAACTAAGAGAAACTATAAGAAATGAGGCTGCATCTTATTTTGTTTTATTTATTACATTTATATACCACCTCTTCCTTCAAGGTGGTGTACGTGGTTCTCCAATCTCCCCCCATATTATCTTCACAAGAACCCTGTGTGGTAGGCTAGGCTGAGAGACAGTGCCTGGCCAAAGATCACACAGTGAGATTCATGGCTGAGGGGGGACTAAATCCCCAGATTCTTGTCCAAATTTAGACTTGGTTCCAAAATGAAGACTGGATTATGGATTGGATTAGACCCTGCTAGATGCTTTAGGACTCAATGATCCCTGTTTTTGAAAACCTAAATCCTACACTATACAGTGGTACCTCGGGTTAAGAACTTAATTCGTTCTGGAGGTCTGTTCTTAACCTGAAACTGTTCTTAACCTAAAGCACCACTTTAGCTAATGGGGCCTCCTGCTGCTGCCGTGCCGCCAGAGCACGATTTCTGTTCCCACCCTGAAGCAAAGTTCTTAATCTGAGGTACTATTTCTGGGTTAGCGGAGTCTGTAACCTGAAGCGTATGTAACCCGAGGTACCACTATATAGGCTACCTGAGCCTTTGTTTCTGTGGTTTTGAACAACCCCCAGACGTCTGCAGAGATTTGACTCTCTTGACTTTATTTTTCACACTCTCCTCGTTTTTTAGAATGTTGTTCTTCAGAAGTCCAATGTGACTCTGCTGACAATTGTCCACTTACACATAAGATGAACCAGATAGCACCGTGATCACTTGGTCACCTTCCCTGACATTGGTTCCATGACCAGCTGTTCTTGGGCACAGTCATTTAAGGTATCAAGAAACCTCTTGGTCATGACCAGAATACACATTTACCCTGTCGATGTAAGGGCAACTTAAGTCACCCATTACTACGACCGCAACACTTCCTTCTTTCGGTGCCTCCTTTGACTTAATCAGTTGAAGCTAAATGGAAGTGGTTGGACGTGTTACCCAGTGGTAACTCTTAAAATCTCTCTTATGAAATATAGGTAGGATCATGCTGCACAACCATAGGGCTATTCGTAACCTTCAGTGGAGTTCTTTGTCACTCAGGCCTGGCTTTACCATAGGGCAGCACAAGTAGCTGTTGGGGGCACCAAAAAAAGCAAAGGGTCTCCTGTGCCATGGTTGTGCTCTATTGTTCGTGTGCAGAAACACACACATGCATCTGAGCTAGGGCTACCAGCCTATCTTCCACCCCAATCCTTCTGTTAGCACCATCCATCTAATCTGCCTCTTCTTTCATTGCCCACCTGCAATGTTATATGGCATTGAGAAGAGGATGAGTGTAGCACAGCAGTGATGACAACAGACGGGTTTGCTTGCTCATTGATTCTTCCTGTAATTGGTGTAGAAGCAGAGCTCTCAGTGGTGGGATATGCCTTCCCTTTCCTAGCAGTTTTGATTTGGGGCAGTTCAGCTGCTGGTACATCCATCTATCTGAGCTGTGTTGCTGGCAGGAATCAGCGGTGGACCAGCCTTAGACTTCCTGCGCAGAGGGATATGTGTGTCTTTTTTTCTGTTCCCCTCGTATGTTTTGTTCTTTCTCTGTTCTATGTCTCATCTCTTGTACCCCCTCCCATGGATTGCCTGAATGTCATTAGGACCGGTCTTTCTCAGATGTGTATGACAGAAAGAGAAATACGCCTCCATTATAGTGACAAAACAACTTCGGCCAGTTCTGTTGGCATTGCTCCAAAAGAAAGGAAACTGATGGCATTGAATGGGATAATGATGTCCTGGAAGAATCCTTAAATATAATGAGCGTTGGACAACTATACTAGGCACACTGCTGGGAAAGTGTACTATGTTCATAGGAACCATACATAGAAAGCAAATATTATACTTTTTTTGTGGGGGAGGCGACATTAGTAGGAGTTTAGATTTCTACCTGCTCAGGCTCACAGATCTTTCCTGCAAAATTTGTATCAGTTTGGCATCAAATCAGTAATGTTTTTCCTCTGTAAGGAAAAGGTTACACTGGAATTGGACCCCAGTACTAAAAACTGATGTCTTGTCTCTTGAAAGCATACGATTGGCAGCTAGGAATCTTGGATGCAGCTCAAGCTGTAAACTGAGACTTTGTCCCTCAATTTCTGTAACGGTTTTACAACCTCTGATTTGCATATCAGTAGAGGTATCTTATTGGTTGCAAAATAACATTTTTTTGTGTGGCAATGATAACAATTTCTTTCCTTATCCAGGATGGTTGTATGATTAGCCCCAAGCAAGATGGGAGTTGAAAAAAAGCAATTTGCGTCATAAGCGCTACTGGATCGCTTGAGCTTAGCAATGACTCACACCAGAGCCTGGAGCTTCTTGCTGCCTTGATAAAGTATTTATTTATTGCATTTATGTCGCACCTTTTCCTCCCAGGAGTTCAAGGTGGTGTACATGGTTATCCCCCTCCTCATTTAATCCCCCCCAACAATCCTGTGAGGAAAGTTAGGCTAAGAGGCAGTGACTGGTGCAAGGTCACCCAGTGAGCTCCATGGCTGAGTGGAGATTTGAACCCCAGTCTTCTAGGCCCTAGTCCAGGGGTCAGCAACCTTTTTCAGCTGTAGGCCGGTCCACCATCTCTCAGACCTTGTGGGGGGCTGGACTATATTCTGGGGGGGGGGGGAAATGAACGGATTCCTATGCCCCACCAATAACCCAGAGATGCATTTTAAATAAAAACACACATTCTACTCATGCAAAAACACCAGGTAGGCCCCACAAATAACCCAGAGATGCATTTTAAATAAAAGGACACATTCTACTCATGTAAAAACACACTTATTCCTGGACTGTCCGCGGGCCGGATTGAGAAGGCGATTGGGCCGCATCCGACCCCTGGGCCTTAGGTTGCCTACCCCGGCCCATGTCCAATCACTACACCACACTGGCTGAGGAACAGGGGAGGGTGTTTAATATTAGCCAGTTATTCTTTCTTGTTTCAGTATAGCCTCTTTAAAAGACCCAGAGATTCCTGAGCAGCTTAGAGAAGGGTAGAGAGGGGTAATTCAGAAGTTGGGAAATTTGGGGAAGAAATTGTTTGATCTAACAAAAAACATAAAAATAACTAAAATGAAATTGAGCTAAACTACACAACCAGCAGAATGATGTGTTAGATCTACTCTTTTCCATTTGGATTGTTTTTAGACTACACACCATCTCAGCAGAAGCTGCATTTGCTCCTTGTAACACTGCCAAGTGACTCCTATTACATGAACTCTTTTCAGCTGAATAAAAAAATTCCTTCCTATAGCACCTTAGAGACCAACTAAGTTTGTTCTTGGTATGAGCTTTTGTGTGCATGCACACTTCTTCAGATACACTGAAACAGAAGTCACCAGACCCTTATATATAGTGAGAGGGTAAGTAAAGGTAAAGGCACCCCTGCCCGTACGGGCCAGTCTTGACAGACTCTAGGGTTGTGCGCTCATCTCACTCTAGAGGCCTGGAGCCAGCGCTGTCCGCAGACACTTCTGGGTCACGTGGCCAGCGTGACAAGCTGCATCTGGCGAGCCAGCGCAGCACACGGAAACGCCGTTTACCTTCCCGCTTGTAAGCGGTCCCTATTTATCTACTTGCACCTGGGGGTGCTTTCGAACTGCTAGGTTGGCAGGCGCTGGGACCGAACGACGGGAGCGCACCCCGCCCCGCCGCAGGGACTCGAACCGCCGACCATGCGATCGGCAAGTCCTAGGCGCTGAGGTTTTACCCACAGCACCACCCGCGTCCCAGAGGGTGGGGAGGGGTATTATTCAGAAGGGTGGTGGGAATGGGTGATTGGCCAATAGGTGTGGTAAACCTGTTGACAACTGTTAACGACTGCAGTTGGTCTTACAGGAAAAAGCAATGGGTGAGATGGCCAAAAATAGCTTTATGATGTATAATGAGATAAGAATCCAATGTCTCTATTCAGACCAGGTCTCTCCATGGTTTTAAGTTTGGTAATGAGTTGCAATTCAGCAACTTCTCTTTTCAGTCTATTTCTGAAATTCTTTTGTAATAAGATAGCTACTTTGAGATCTTGTATAGAATGTTCTGGGAGACTGAAGTGTTCTCCTACTTGTTTCTCTGTCTTGTGATTCCTGATATCCGATTTACATCCATTTATCCTTTGGAGTAGGGTTTGGCCTGTTTGTCCAATATAGAGAGCTGAAGGGCACTGTTGGCATTTGATGGCATACACAATGTTAGAAGATGAGCAATTAAATAGTCCTGAGATGGTATGTTTGATGTTTTTTGGGGCCAGTAATGGTGTTGTCCGGGTGTATGTGGCAGCAAAGTTGGCATCTAGGTTTATTGCAGGCTCTGGTACCAGTGTCCATGTTAAGTCTGGTTGTTGTATTATTGTGGGTGAGTTGTTGTTTAAGATTGGGTGGCTGTCTGTAGGCAATGAAAGGTCTTCCTACCAGAGCTTGAGAAAGAGAACTGTTATTGTCTAGGAGAGGTTGTAGATCTCTGACTGTTTTAACTTGAGAGCTGTATGTGATTACTAGCGGTATTCTGTTATTTTCTTTTTTGGGTCTGTCTTGCAGCAAGTTCTCTCTGGGTTTCAGTCTGTCTCTGTTGATCTGTTGTTTAACTTCATCAGGCGGATATCTTAGTTCTAAAAAGGTTTGCTGTAGATATCTTAGGTGAGAGTCTCTGTCTGTAAAGTTGGAACAGATGCAGCTGTAACATAGGCCCTGGCTATATACAATGGATTGTTTGGTATGTTTGGGATGGTAGCTAGAAGCATGTAAATATGTTTGTCGGTCAGTTGGTTTATGGTATAAGGTGTCTATATGCCCATCCTGTATTTTTATAGTAGTGTCCAAAAAATGTATTTCTTGCATAGATTGGTTCATTGTTAGGTAGATGGTGGGGTGAAAGTCATTTAATGTCTGGTGGAAGGTGTCCAGGGTCTGTTGACCATGTGTCCAGATAATAAAAATATCATCAATGTATCGCAGGTACAAGAGAGGTTTGAGTGGCTAGGCGTTTAGGAAACGTTGTTCTAATCTGCCATGAGGATGTTGGCATACTGTGGGGCCATGCAAGTGCCCATTGCTGTGCCGCTGATCTGGAGGAACAGGTCATCACCAAATTTGAAGTTGTTGTGGATAAGGACAAAATGGCAGAGTTTGGTAGCAAAGTCCACTGTGATTTTATCTGAAATGGTGTTCCTTATATGTGTGGGATGTTGGTATACAGAGATTCCACATCCATAGTGGCTAGTATAGTATTGTTAGGAAGATTATTCAAAGATTGTATTTTCCTCAGAAAATCTGTGGTGTCACATACATAGTTGGGAGCATTGAGGGCATATGGTTTCAGAACAGAGTCCATATAACCGGAAACACCCACAGTAATAGTGCCAATACCTGAGATGATGGGGCGTCCTGGATTTCCTGGTTTGTGTATTTTAGGTAGAAGATAGAAAGTTCCTGGTCGAGGTTCTGCTGGTGTGTTTGTGAGGATCTGTTCTTGGATGTGTGGGGGTAGCTCCTTAACAATCTTGTTCAGTTCTTTTTGTATTCTTGTGTGGGGTCTGAGTCCAATTTTATGTAAAAGGCAGTATTGGAAAGTTGTCTGTGAGCCTCCTGGATGTAATCAGTTTCCTGGATGTAATAACAGCTTGTCCGCCTCTTTAATTATAATGTCTGGGTGGTTCCTGAAATTATCTATGGCTCTCCTTTCAGCATGGTTTAGATTTTGTTGTAAGCAATGGTGTTTTCTGGTCACATCCGTTTGGATTCTGTGGCGGAAGCAATCGATGTACAGATCTAGTGTAGTATTGCATCCATCAGGAGGGGTCCATGTGGAATCCCTTTTCGTGTAACATTTTTTCGGTGGTAGTTGGTGGTCAATGTTCTGTGTTGGGAGGGCGGTAGTTGTTCCCCAGTAGGTTGAGAGATGTTGTGTTGTGAAGATGTTGTTTGTTCTACTTTGTCTTGTTCTTGTGTGTGTTGAAAGTACTCCTTCAGGCGTAAACGGCAGAAAAATGCTTCCAAGTCCCCACAGAAAAGGATCATGTGTGGGGATTTGGCAGGGCAGAATGACAGTCCACGTGAAAGGACTGATTCCTCAGCTGGGCTGAGTGTTTGCTGTGAGAGATTAACAATATTGTTGATCTTGTTGTTTTGATTAGTAGCCTGTAGGTTGGAAAGGTTAGAGAGTTTTTTGTTTTTCTGTTTTTTCAGTAACTCCAGTTGAGAGTGGTAACTGGTTTGTTTTTCCTTGTGGAACTCTTGCCAAGCTGGGTGATTCCTAATAGAGTTGTCCAGTACAGAGAGTTCCTCTGAGAGCGTCTGTTTACAGTACAGAATGCCGATCAGGTGGCCAAACTCTACGCCAAAGGATAAATGGACATAAATCTATATCAGGAATCACAAGACAGAGAAACCAGTAGGAGAACACTTCAATCTCCCAGGACATTCTATACAAGATCTCAAAGTAGCTGTCTTATTACAAAAGAATTTCAGAAATAGACTGGAATCAGAAGTTGCTGAATTCCAACTTATTACCAAACTTAAAACCATGGAGAGACCTGGTCTGAATAGAGACAACTGGATTCTTATCTCATTATACATGATAAAGCTATTTTTAGCCATCTCACCCATTGCTTTTTCCTGTAAGACCAATTGCAGTTGTTAACAGTTGTCAACAGGTTTACCACACCTATTGGCCAATCACCCATTCCCACCACCCTTCTGAGTAATACCCCTCCCCACCCTCTCACTATATATAAGGGTCTGGTGACTTCTGTTTCAGTGTGTCTGAAGAAGTGTGCATGCACATGAAAGCTCATACCAAGAAAAAACTTAGTTGGTCTCTAAGGTGCTGCTGGAAGGATTTTTAAAATTTTGTTTCGACAACAGCAGACCAACATGGCTACCTACCTGTAACTAGATCTTTTCAGCTGAGTTTCACCCCACTGCGTCCACCTTTCTACTTCATAAATTTCCTGTATAAACAACCAACACTTTCACAAAGATACTTCTTATGCTTGTATTTGCATAATACTTTACAGTCCTCCTGTGCAAATAATAGTTTTGTTTATTTTGAACATTTGTAACAGGCAGTTAAATAAAATGTTAGTGGACAGGCAGTGCTGTTGCTTTGTCAATACCAGTAACAATTGGGTATTTTGTATATCATTGAAGGGAGAACAAAATATTAAAGTTCAAGTGTTGGTATGTACAAAATAGATAACGTGATCAGAAAGAATACAAAACTGCTCATCACAGCTTGCAGCAACTTCTCTTTCGTGTTTTTTCATATAGGTCCACTACATCTAAGTCAAGGGATGCACAGGAATTCTGAGGGAAAAGAATATCAGAATTTAATCCAGTGTGAACAAAGTTAGCATTACAAATACCTTTGCGATAATAAGGAGTATACTAATTGAAACAGTTATGAATAACATTAATAATCATTAATAAATATGACTTTAAAAGCAGCATTCCATAGTAGAGTGGCCATTCATAGAATCACAGAATTGTAGAGTTGGATGGGATCACAAGGGTCATCTTGTGCAATGCAGGAATCTTTTGCCCAATGTGGGCTCAAACTCACAGCCCTGGGATTAAAAGTCTCATGCTCTACTGGTTGTAAAAAAAACAAACAAGGTTCCTGCCAGTTCAGGCAGGCCTGTGCTAGTCCATCCGTGTTCATGGCCAGTGGGGCTTGGGCTATTCTGACTTCCTGGTATACGTGTGGTTGACCAGAGCTCAGCTACCTTCTTTAGCAGTGGATAAGCACATAATTACATCTTTACAGCAACCCTGAAAGGCTGTGGATCAGGATAGCCTGATGACTGTTGTCCACGTGCTGCAGTCCAGTGCTACCCTCAAGACTAAAAGCCTGTTGGATCAGCATGCTGTTCCCTATATGACTAGGCAAATGCCTTTGGGCAGAACTTGAAGACAATCTGGTTCTCTTGCTATTTGTTTCCCAGGAACTAATGCTGAGTGGCATGCTGTCTCTGAACATGAAGATTTCATATAGCAATTATGGCTAGCAGCCACTGATAGACTTATCATCCATGATTTTGCCTAATCCCCCTTTGAAGACTTCTAAGCTAGTGACCATCACTGCATTGTGCATCAGTGAATTCATACACAAATTATATACTGTATGAAGTAGTGCTGTCTGTTCGGAATTGACTGCAATCTGGAATTCCTAGATTTCTCTCACTGTAGTCTTTCTTTTTTAAAAATAGAAACAATATCAAAATGCATTACGCTAAGGTTAAGGAATTTAATTCACCAATAGCACTTCAATGTCAGAACAACAAGACTCAGTCTCCTGACAATGCGAAAGTATGTGAGATGAGTCAGACAGCTCAGTATCTTTCCCAGATGCTGAAGCCAATTCAGGATTCTAGATGCTGTCAAAACACATATTATGTAAGAGAATGTGCATGACACAAATTTCTTAAACGTATACTTAGGACGGGGGTGGACAGTATTCCTGAAAGTCATAGAAATGCATAGTTCAGTTACTCCGTTTTTCATTTATTTTCAATTTCCCGTATAAAAACATACCCATTCAAGGTAGTTCAGCTCTTCCTAACAACAGAAGCCACACTTTCAAATTAACAGTGTTTTCCATGAGACACAAAGAACGGCCAGCTTTTGTGGACACTATGGCCACCTTTGGGCATAATGCTAACTTATAGTTTAGTGTTACATGAACAAAGCTTGGGCTCATCAGCTCTCCATCCCCTCCTGACAAAAAAAATAGGAGCTTTCACTTCCAATTTAAACTAATGGGTTTATTGCTACATCTGAGCTCAGACAAACTGTAGTTTAGGGAAACAAGTCAACTTCAAAGTATGATTTCTGATCCTGGCTTCTTTCCTTAAACGTCAGCTCCCATCAGCCCTAACTTGCGTGGCCAGTGATCAGGGATGATGGGAGCTGCAGTCCAACAACATATGGAGACCACAGGCTCTGCATTCCTGCTATATGACAAACATGGGATGAATGCTGACCACAGTGGAATTCAGTTGTGTTTTCAGCTTGGAGAGTAGGTTTCGCAAGTCCATCAGAATGACTTCTGGCTTGCCTTGCTCTTTGGTGGTGTCCACTCGCCAAGGTCTCTCTACACTTAATGAGTTGGTGACAGGGTCTCTTCAGTTTCTGAGCCTCATGACACTCATGACAGTAGCTTGGGGAGCAACAGATCCAGTGGGCCTCTTGCCAGCCGCTTCTTACAACCCCCTAGGGTTACCTCGAGTGCACTTGTTATACATCTTCTCACTAGATGACTGGAATAGCAGGGAAAACCTCTTGGCAAAGCCCCCTATCCTTCACTGTTGGTAGGGGAAGAGGCTATAGAAGACCAAAGACTTGGTTGTCCCCTAATCCTCTGCTCTTTCTCCAGCAAGCCAATCTTCCTCCCCAACGGTTGCCTCTGGACAATTTAAGCTCGAAAGCTCCAATAGCTCTTCATCAGTCCCAGGTGGTAGCAGATATGTTGCTGTTTCATATTATAATTTATTTTTTATGTGGAGTACCCTTTTTGAGGTGAGGAGACCAGAACTGTACATCGTATTCCAAATGTGGTCACACCATAGATTTGTGGACAGAGGAACTGGTGTATCATGGTGGGTAGGGTGGAAAGTAGATTTTAGGTAAACTATTGGGGAGATTGGATGGGTCTGAAGTGGTCATTGTTTTTGGACTGGATGAGACTGTAGACTGAGTTAACATGATCAGAAACCTTAAAGTGAGGATCCTCAGGCAGAATGGCCTCTGTGTCTATCCCTTTAAGAAGGCCCCAGTCTGTCTCTACAGGAGCCAGATCCTAGCCAACAACATCTGGAGATTTCTGATCCCAAACTTATAGGTTAGTAGGTGGATGGAGGTACATAGTCAGTAGATCCGTATGTTTAAACTTTCCCTTTCTATCACATGTATTTTCTTTCTTCAAAACATCATTGTTTGTTAAGGTAAAGACAACAATTAGTAAGCTAAATATATTCACAGAGCAGGAATGAATTTGTATTTCTGGGCCATCTAATTTACAAGATTCGGTCTAAGAAAAAAAAAGTTGTTGCAGTGAGCTTACCTTGTTCAATATTTCTTTAGCTAGCACTAAAAAGGCATCTTCAATGTTAATATTGTCCTTAGCACTGGTCTCAAAAAAGGGTATTCCATATTCCCAAGCAAGCTGGGGGAAAAAAGGAACATGAGTCTGAATTCAAACACTACTAATGCCTGGAAAGTGCAATTCATAGCAAACTCAATTTGAAAAGAGGCTTGCACCATCCCTGTTACAAACTCTGTCACAGAATGAAATCAACAGACCTCATTTCACAGTCTGTTTAGGGTTGGGAATGAATATACAGGAACCCCCCCCATTAACCGTGTTCAATATGTGCATGACTATGCACATGCGCATTGCGCCGAACCCAGAGGTGAATAAAAAATGTCACAAAAAGGGATATGGTGGGGGTTTTCAGTTGTATCTCAAATATATGCATGGTGCCTCGGAACATAAGCCCACCTAAATGGGGGTTTGCTTTTACGTATATCCATAGACATCATCTATTCTCTCTCCCCTCTGCTCCCCCCCATTATTATTGGATAATAATAACCTACAGCAAGATTTAACCTACAGTAAGTCTCCTTATTTAGCTGGGTTCAAACCAATATGACCCATGCATTGTCATTCTCAAAGACTGCACAGACAGCAGACACTCTCGGCTCTGGGATGCTGTCAGAGTCTTCATGCTACCTTCACAAAGGTTGGTACGTGTGGAAAATCTGTTAGGTGTACAGGTGGAGAAAGTAAATAAATAAATGGAGAATGGGAAACAGTGGGTTCCCCCACTCCCCATTTATTTATTCCCCTCAACACAACATAAATGGGTCTTAACCACAAGTGTCTACATTGTTATGCTTTCAGTCTTGTTTTAAATGTATTTGTTGTTTTGGGGTTTTCAACTGTTTTAATGTGTGAATTGCCTTGAGACAGTCGTTTAGAAGGCAATAAATCAACGATGATGACCATGACAACAACAACAACAACATATTTCTACTATACAACAATAATTTCATTCTAATCTTAGGTTATACTTGTTTCAAACGTAAAATATCACCAATGTATGGACTCTACAAAGCTTTAAAAACATTTTTGCAGTGACATTTCTCAGACATGCTTTTCAAACATGTTTGGCCTTATGATCCCCATGGAGATCTTACAAAGGAGAAAAGAAAGGTCAAATAAATTGAGAAAGAAAAGGGCATGCATGCCTTTTTGAATAGCAAATCTAATAATTTCTCCTGAAATGAGTGTAGCTCCCTAGAAAATGTCTTTCTTCTAGGCTAGTGGGGGAGGGAGGGAGGCATACAATTTATAGCTATTTTGAGCACCTGTAATTACTGGTTTCTATAGTTGATTACAGGAACAAATGAAAAGGATTGAATTATTCGTGCCAATAGAAGTAAGCCATGGGGAAATAAATAATTTAATGAATCACATTAGGAAGATTTTTAGAATCCCATCCAAAACAAAGGCTTGAATCCTAACTACCAAAATTTTGGGACGGTTAGCATGAAAATCTGAGGTGAAAAATGTGTGTTCTTGCGGTAAAAAAGAGGCTTATAAAGATGTGTCCCTGAAAAATCTCACATAGGTCTTCAACCTGGTTAATTAAAAATAATAAGAATTGCAAGTGTTTTTATTTTTTGTCAGTTAACTGGCAAATAAATGGAAGCTGAAGAGTGAGGGAAGCTTGTTTTGTGTGGAGCTGGTTCTCCAAAAGCAATGAAGCAGCTACTCCCCTGCCCTTCTGTTGGGAAACGTGAGAGGAAAAGATGGGGAGGTGCTGCTTTAAGCTGCTCAAGGGACTTTGGGGTCGCTCCAAATAAACCAGCTTCCTTGCCCCCCCCCTTTGTGCTAGAACTTAGGATGCCTTGAGTTGGCGGCTTTTGATGGGCCATAGTCAAGGAGCATGTTTGTTGGGGGGGGAAAGAGGTGTGTATGTGTGTGTGAGTGTGCATGTGTGTGTGGTGATCTTCAGAGAATGAAGGTTGCAGGGTGTGATTCTGGACCCACCCAAGCTCAAACATTACCCTTGAGGAAATGCAGTTCTTTGTGGAAAGAAGGTCCCCCACTGCTCAGTTAAAGGCATTCCTTCCTAAACCAAGGAAAGGGGGCATGAAGTGCCTGTTAAAATGGTGCTCCCAATCTAGAAACAGTGGTCATATGGTAAGAAAGCCCCCCGGGGTCCTTTGGGAAGAAGGACAGGCTATAACATGATTTAATAATAATAGTAATAAGTAGCAGCAGCAGCAGTAGTAGTTGAAAGAAACTTTTAAACAAATAATTGCTGCCTGAATAAGCATGGGCACCCTTTAAGTCAATTAAACATTTTAAAACTGAATAATCTAATTGAAAACACAGCAAAGCACTAATATGAAGACCATTATTTGTTTATCTCAGTAAACACCTGAAAGCACACGGGGTTGTACCCAACAAAGTGGTCCCATTTCTGCAAGGACTTCCACTTGTGCAATGCAACTTATAATTCTTTTCCTCCTGCCGTGCTCCACCAACCTGTTCTGGGGGTTCCCTTATCCATCCAGAGCGGACTTTTTTGTGGTGGTGATGGGGGGTGGGGCCAGCTCAGGAAGAGGAGAGCAGAAGGACAGATTCCATTGTGCAAGCAGAAGTCCTTGCATAAATGGGTCGACTTCACTGAATACAAGCCCAGATCCTTTTCTGAGGCTATTCTCTGAGGGTCATCTGTATTTGAAGAAGAGAGAAGGATGAGGATATCCAACACTTTTTGGTGTAGCACTCCATCATTAGAACACTCTCCCCCAGAGAGGCTCACCTGTTGGTGCCATCCCCTTCCAGTGCCAAGGAAATAAATTGTATTTATTTAGATGTTTGGCTTAATACCTTTTAAAATACAGAATAAAACCAGAGCTAAGAAAGTATGAAACTCCTATTTTAATGTTCTGCTCCTTTTAATGTTCTATACTGTACACGGGTGGCGCTGTGGGTTAAACCACAGAGCCTTGGACTTGCTGATCAGAAGGTTGGCGGTTTAAATCCCCGCGATGGGGTGAGCTCCCGTTGCTCAGTCCCAGCTCCTGCCAGCCTAGCAGTTCGAAAGCATGTCAAAGTGCAAGTAGATAAATAGGTACCGCTCTGGCGGGAAGGTAAACGGCGTTTCCGTGTGCTGCTCTGGTTCGCCAGAAGCAGCTTAGCCATGCTGGCCACATGACCCGGAAGCTGTACGCCAGCTCCCTCGGCCAATAAAGCGAGATGAGCGCCGCAACCCCAGAGTTGGTCATGACTGGACCTAATGGTCAGGGGTCCCTTTACCTTTACCTAATACGGTATCTAGTTTTTTATATATTTCTATTTTTACTGTCAGCTACTCTTCAGAAGCATTTGGAGCTGAAGAGCAGGGACAAAATGGTCCAAATAAATAAAACAGCTATATAAAAAAAGGGGGGTGGGATGTTACAAATAGTAATAAAAATGGTAAGGTTTCTGTAAAGGCAAACAGGATTTCAAAGCTTCCCCGTATAAAGTGCCACATAAAGGTTAATAAAGATGCAACTATCATATTCAAACAAACAACAATACAAACAGAAAACAGGCAGGACATAAATTGAAATGGATAACTACATAAAGGCATGAGTTTTAAAGCTGGAAAATGTTGCCTAGGCGTTTCTGACTGAAAAATAGCACATTTGTCTAGCCTTTAGTATTTCTACCACCCACACAACATATGTCAGAACATCTCATAATTTTAATTAAGGGAATGTGTAAGGTTCTCTTAGAACCTGTACTTAGAGCTTATATGATGATTTTTCAAAAGAAATGTGTTTCAATCTTGGTTTAGTTCACATTCAACACTGTTCCAAAAAGGGAAGTTAAAGACAAAAGGCAGGGATCTCCAACCGGGTGCCCTAGTCTTAGTAAATATTCCCTCCAAAAATCACAATACACGAGAGACTTTGCATTCCTGCTCAGATCCTGTTTGCACTGGCTCAGCCTCTCCTACATTGAACATGTCCACATTCCACTGAACACGGTGGGAATATTTACCAATACTTTTTGCAGGTGCCATGTGGGCAGGCACGGTGGAAAGGGAGGGAGCTACACGTGGGTGGAGATAGAAAGATTTCCCCCTCTGTGAGCTTCCTTAACTTATCTTAGGATAAGTTATCTTAGGATCTGAGCAATTATATATTTTTTGTAATTGGATCAACCGATTAGTATGGGAAATTTGATTCAAATCAAATAATTAAAATTTATCTATTTGCTTAGTGATTTCAATAATGACTTAAATCACACTGCTCAGGACAAGACTAAAGTTCATTTGTGCACTCCCAAAGGCCAATGAAGGATTTTTCATACATTCTATCTTTAGAGTCCTCTAAGGAAGAGGTTTTCAACCTTTTTGAGTTCACGGCTCCCTTGACCAACTACATTCTTTCTGCGGTACCCCTGTGGGGCTCAGGAGCCCAGTTATGTCACCCCTTGCCTGCAGAGCTGGCAGTCCCTCACCCTTTTCAAACATCCTTCCTTGTGGAGTGTTCCCTCAGCCTCCTCTCCTCTCCCCTCTCCTTGGGAGTCTTCCAGGCACCTGCTGCTGCCCTCACTGGTCTCTGAGCTGCCCCACCCCAAAGAGAGATGCCTCTCAGAGGCACCATTTGCCTGGGGAGCTTGTAGCTAGGGCTGCTGCAATAAACAGCTGTGCAAGCCTTTGGAAGGCAGAGACACAAGAGGGCATCAGAGGAGGGAGGGAAGGAAAGAGGGACAGAGGCCAGTGTTGCCCACGGCACCCCTGACCATCATTCAAGGCATCCCAGGGTGCCACAGCACATTGGTTGAAAACCACTGCCTTACATCTTGGTTAAAATGGTGCATAGGATTACAGTCAGGCCTTCTGAATGGTCTGGAGACACCTGATGCTGTAGGGCTAAGCTGCCCCAAAGAGAAGTGCCTCCTCACACTGCCCCACAGGGGCCTGGGAAGAGGATGCCCTCAGCCTTAGTGGCCCGATGGAGACTGGCCAAAGGTGAACATGAGGCCAGCACCTTACTCACCTTGGGAGGCAGCAATGGCAGCAGCGGGCACTGCCAGGCTTGCATGGCAGAATGGCTCCTCTTCAGCACCAGACACTCAACTCCCAGGCAGGCCTTGCACACAGCAGGCACAGCAAGGCCAGCGCAGCACCTGCCTGCCTCTTCAGCCACCCCACTTGTCTGTCCATTTCCAACAGCAAGGGCTGGTGGACTGGCTAGCTGGCTCCCTCGCCCACTTGATTGCTTACTCCAAGGCTGCCTTAGCTCCTGGCAACCAGCACCCCTTGGCCAGCCCCAGAGGTGCCATTTGTCTGGGGAGCTTGTAGCCAGGGCTGCTGCAACAAAGAGCTGTGCAAGCCTTTGGGAGGCAGAGACACAAGAGAGCATTAGAGGAGGGAGGGAAGGAAAGAGGGACAGAGGCCAGTGTTGCCATGGCACACTGGTTGAAAACCCCTGCTCTAAGGATAATAGTGAGCTTGCTCAATGTTTACAGTTATATATGACAAAATGCTACTAATTTATTAGCAAAGCAAATAAAACGTGTCCAGAGGAGGGCAACCAAAATGGTCAAAGGCCTGGAAACGATGCCTTATGAGGAACGGCTAAGGGAGCTGGGCATGTTTAGCCTGAAGAAGAGGAGGTTAAGGGGTGATATGATAGCCATGTTCAAATATATAAAAGGATGTCACATAGAGGAGGGAGAAAGGTTGTTTTCTGCTGCTCCAGAGAAGCGGACACGGAGCAATGGATCCAAACTACAAGAAAAAAGATTCCACCTAAACATTACGAAGAACTTCCTGACAGTAAGAGCTGTTCGACAGTGGAATTTGCTGCCAAGGAGTGTGGTGGAGTCTCCTTCTTTGGAGGTCTTTAAGCGGAGGCTTGACAACCATATGTCAGGAATGCTCTGATGGTGTTTCCTGCTTGGCAGGGGGTTGGACTTGATGGCCCTTGTGGTCTCTTCCAACTCTATGATTCTATGATTCAAATACTACATGATACTACTTGATGAAAGCAGGTAATATTGGTTGTTCTGCTCCCTAGGAAAATTTCACCAAATGGAGAGAAATCAGAATTATTTCCTATATTGTGACAAAGGAATGGAAGAGCAATTCAAACAAAATCTAGAAAGGAATGAGAAATGGTAATGGATTGTTCCATTAACACAAAGTTACTCTGTTAACCATACAATTGAAAAAGGCATTGGACTATTTAGAAGCCAGAAAATGTGATACGCCAACACTGCCCCCTGGTTGAATATTCATCACGATAGCTTTTAGTTGACTAACCACAAATGGTTCCAAAAAAACATGCAGTTTGCTCACCTTCTGTAGGAGGCCTGTATTTACTTGTATAGATCAAGTAAAAACTGTAATATTTGCGTATTCCAGATGCAAGAGACTGATGCAAAATATGCAAATAATGCATTCTTCTTAAAAGGGAACTCTTATATTGAGATACCACTTGAAAAATCTGCCCTTCATACAGATATTGTATTTTATATGTTTATATCAGGGGTAGTCAACCTTTTTATACCTACCGCCCACTAATGCATCTTTCTTGATGGTAAAATTTCCTTACTGCCCACCAGTGCTCGATGGAAGGAGGGTTCAGCTTGTACCGTAGAACCCACTACTGCCCACCTAGAATCCTGAAACGCCCACTAATTGGTGGTAGGGACCAGGTTGACAACCCCTGGTTTATATTATGTATTTTGTTTAAAAAAGAAGAAGAGGTGAAACAATGTGATAAATGCCTTACCTTTTTCCCTCTGTTTTTTGGAATGACACGTTCGGTCTCCTTATCACACTTGTTACCCAGCAGTATTACCTCCACGTTTTCATCTGTTTTCTATAAACAAATGAAGTGAAATGAGTATCACTAAAGTAGACTCCAAAACATGCTGTCCAGCTCTTCCCCCACCCAATAATCATTTCCTCAATAAATATAAAAAACGGAGTCTGAGGCAAGTTGCACCATCATCTACAACTTTAGTGAACTAAGAAGAGACAGAACATGTTGGATCTGGAGCCTCATCCTGATGCAGGGTTCTAGCTTAATCACTATGCAAGGTTAAAGTCCTAGGCCTAGATCAATCCCATGAATTATGGCATTGCACCAGCAACACAACCTTTACACCAATCTTGCATATTCTTGGGGAGCCAGAGGGAAAGGTGCCAAGGCAGAAGTTCATCAGTTACAATCCATAGCCACAAATTAAAAATGGATGATGTGTGCATGAGGCTTAAAAACCGGGGTGGGGGTGGGCTGCAAATATCTAGTTACCAGCTAAATGGAACCGATGGAACCGAAAGATACTATTCTGGGAAAGCAAAATATTTTCAACATGCATTGTTCAGTACAGGTGGGTAAAACAAAAGCTACAGTAATTAAGCAAAATAGCAACAACCTAGACAGCATCTTAAACCTAGACAGCAAACCTAGACAGCATCTTAAAAAGCAGAGACATCACCTTGCCAACAAAGGTCCGTATAGTTAAAGCTATGGTTTTCCCAGTAGTGATGTATGGAAGTGAGAGCTGGGCCATAAAGAAGGCTGATCGCCGAAGAATTGATGCTTTTGAATTATGGTGCTGGAGAAGACTCTTGAGAGTCCCATGGACTGCAAGAAGATCAAACCTATCCATTGTAGGAGTGCAAATATCCAGAGATGTAGTGATCAGGTGGGATTGTTATCAAGAATCATATCAAAATAGTTTAAACCCAGTCAACGCAATGCTTTCATTGCTGACACAGATGGCTTACTCTATATCTGTTATAATTCCTCATAGTAATCCCACCTGATCACTGCATCTCTGGATATTTGCACTCCTACATCCCATTCTGAAGGAAATCAGTCGTGGATGCTCACTGGAAGGACAGATCCTGAAGCTGAGGCTCCAATACTTTGGCCACCTCATGAGAAGAGAAGACTCCCTGGAAAAGACCCTGATGTTGGGAAAGATGGAGGGCACAAGGAGAAGGAGCGACAGAGGACAAGATGGTTGGACAGTGTTCTTGAAGCTACCAGCATGAGTTTGACCAAACTGCGGGAGTCAGTGGAAGACAGGAGTGCCTGGCGTGCTCTGGTCCATGGCGTCATGAAGAGTCGGACACGACTAAACAACAAAACAACAACAACAGCAACAACAACAACAACAGCAACAACACAAACATCCCTGTTCAATACATAAGACAGACAAGATCAGCACCCTAAAAAAGCAACCCATTAGCAGAGCTTCTTATACCACATACACTCAACAGCAGGATATACCTCTCCAAACAAACGGGGTTGTATGCCACTAACTCAGAGTGGACCCACTGAAAGTAATGAACCTAAGTTAGTCACATATATTAATTTTAATAAGTCTACTCTGAGAAGGATGGCTGATGTATACAACTCATTCTTCTCCCGGGGGTTGAAGTGTGTTCTCAAGCCCAGCTACCTCATTTGACTTATTCCTATGGAGAGCTTATAGCTCAGTGATAGTATAGTACTTGCTTTCTTGTCAGAAGTTCCTAGGTTCAATCCCTGCCACCTCCAGCTAGAAGGATCATGTACCAGAGACACCACCAGTCAGAGCAGATGATTCTGGACTAGATGAACAAATAATCTGACTGCCACAAGGCACTGTTCTATATTATTCAGGCCTTCCTGCCCCCTTCTATATTTCTTTGAGCTAAGGAAACTACTTACTTCTTAGTGAATGCCAACACAATGATATCAGAGGCACAAGCTGGAAGATGATTGATAGGTAGATAGATAGATCCTCCACAACCAAGTTTACTACATGCTGGGTTCTTGGTTCAACAAGGACTCATACAAGCTCCCATAGTGCTTCCCAAATCACAAGATCCACTACGAATCACCTGCCCGCCCAATTTAGAATATTTTCCTTGAAAGAGGGTGGTATATCGTAGCACATGCTTACTTGCTTTTGCCCAGGGTGTACCCCTAAAGGCCTTGGCAAAACACATAGAAATCAATGTTAGAAGAGAAACCACTACTCCTATCCAGCAATAAGCAAGGCCACAATCCTATGTACATATGCTATGAAGTAAGTCCCATGCACAGGACTGGGCACAAATCTTTACGTTTCTGTTTCAAGAAAGTCCCTAGCTCCTACTGGTGGAAACTATCCTATCTCTAGTAAAGTATTCACAATGTTATTGTTATTTTTGACTTTCAATTAGGTGTCTCCTTGAGTTAGATTTACTTCTACTGCTTTCTGACAGCTCACAGATCCTAGGTCAAGACATACATGAACCGCAGCAATAATTTCCTCAAGAACAGAGGGTAAAATAATCCCTGTGACTGAAGCATACAATGTGGGCATATAATGGATAGCTCTCTTACTTCAAGGCAATTGATGGCATCTATGAATATCTAAATTAGAAGAAACATGTTCTGAAACAGATCCTGGCATTTACAAATGTATGTGTATTGTAAAGTTAGTGATACTTAATGGGCTGGATACAGAGAACCGTGAATGATGTTATGTTCAAGGAACAGGGCTTTCCCACTCCGTCCTCTGAACTGCAGTTGCCAGAGCCTTCCGAAAAGTCAATCCTGACAGTGTGGGATGTGGCACAGTGGGCTGCTGACAGAGTGAGGAAACGACATACACACACCTCTTGGGCAAGCCAACGTTTCTGCTTGTGCAAATCGCCTCTGGAGCCAACCAATTAAATGGCTTATTGGAACCAGTGGTCTTCTTCAGTTGCAAGAGGACAAATATCCAGATATTTAACACGGACATCAAAACTTGTTCTAATTCTTGACAGGGAAATGGGAGAATTCACTGAATTGAGTGTGTCAAGTTGAAGTGACTTGTTTGGCTTGAGTGAAGCTACAAAAGTCACTTTGCACAAAACATCAGCCTTGTGTTTATGAATTATAAGGGGAGAACAAAGTTCCACCCCACTGTGTTGATGTAAACATCTGAAAAGGCATGAAGGAACATGGTTTTTATTCATGAAACATCAGTAGAGTTATGCCGACTCACAACTATGTTGCTTCATTTCAGCAGTACAGCAGCAGGCAAAATTATTAAGGTTACTGTTTCATCTTTTTAATCCACTCAACTAATCTCATTTCATAACTGCAGCTGATGTTCAGGATAATGTAGTCTTTCAAATGAAGTAAGCTCATTGCAAGGGTGCAAAGCACAAGCTGAAAATAATGAATCAATCTGACCTGGATTAATAGAAGAAAATGATGGTTGTTTCAATGGGTACTGAAGCTTTACTCATTAAGATCATTGATTCTTCTATATAAAATTATATTCTAAGTTCCTAAAACTGCATATAATAGAGTAGTTTACCTTTTTATTATTTAATGAGAGAAGTAGCATGCTTCCTAATAACATTTGATTTAAGCGTTCCACATTTGAAGAGATAGAAAAAAGTAGTACTTAAACAAAATGAAAGTGTGCTTCCTTTTTCCTGCATTGTGAAAGTTATGTATCTTGTTGCCTGAGCTGTTCTTCCAAATTCATTTTTTTAAATCACAAAAAGGCAAAGAAGGGCAATGATAAACAAATCATTCCCCCCCCCGAAAAATGCAATTATACATGTTGCTTCAACCGAAATCTTAAAATAGTGAGTAGCTTCTCTTATAGAGTTTTGCAAAATTCAAATTATTAACATTAGTGTTATGTACTAAGCTTGGATTCTAGAACAATAGGCAGGTAGGATCCTAGAATGCAACAACTGATTGGCTTGCAGGAGAAGACCAATCAGGCTCCAGGAGGGAAGCAGAATCAGCCAATTAGATGAGACTCATTGTGTAAATAATGTATATAAAGGCCTGAGGTTTGGGGGGAAATTCAATCACTGTTTAACAAGCTGCAATAAAGAGCATGAAATCACTGCAGGACTCTGAGTATATTTCAATTAGCTTAAGAAATCTAGGACCAGTTACTTATATTAGCTTCCTATGGTCATCCCTGAAGCCAAGGACAAGAAGATCCTTCAATAAGGGAAAAATTGAGACTGATTTTACAGCTCTGAAGATTAACAACAGTCAGCTCATCATCTGGATTCTATATGATCTTTGGCCACAAGGAGGAGCAGTTTAATAACATGAACACCAGTACACAAAAGTAATAGATTATGCATAGAGGTTCAGTGCAAGGGACATCTTGTACCTGATCAGCCCAAAAGCTGGTATTAAGGGCCCAACAAGTTGCGATGTTAACATGCAGGTTGCAAAAATGAAAATGAAAATAATGCAAAGAGCATTAGCTGGACATAGGGTGAATCAGGCACTGCAGGAAGGGTGCAAGAAATCCCTGCTTCTGAAAGTGCTATTTGCATTGAGAGGAAATCCCAAAAGGGTGCCAATGCAAACAGCTTCAAGAGGAATTTCCCCCCTCTTGAGTTAAATTCATTCTCCCTGTCTGTTATACTCCTGCTAATTATAAGCCCTCCCCCATCTGATGATACTTGCATTTTTAAAAATATGTATGTTAAATGCAAAAAGCACTTTAAAGCATCACTTGTAGGGTGGCCTTTGCAGTAAGGCTGCTTGTTAAATATTTAGCTCAGTATTCAGATTTGTGGGGTACTGAAAAGTGTGAGCAAATTCACCCAGACAGTCTTTACACAGAGGACCTGCCTCTGCCCTGAAAGCTGCAGCTCCCAGGCAGGGGTGCGGGTAGGACTCCTCGGGAACAAGGAGGGCTGGTTGCAGGGAACGCTTTCTCCTCTCCCCAGTTTCTGCCCCACAAACATATGAGAATACCTTTGTGTGTCATAAAATGGCCACCTCCTTCATCTTTATAAATTAATATTTGACTTCAACACCACTTTATACCATGAGCATGCTGTACGATGTTCTAAAACTGATTACAAGTTTGCAATATACAAGTTTGCTTTACAAATTTCTCATATGAGGGTGCGAGATTGATGTAGCCCTTTCTCTCTCACAGGTGCTCATATTTTTTAATTGAGCACCTGTGAGAGAGAAAGGACTATATCAATCTTGCACCCTCATATGAGAAATTTGTAAAGCAAACTTGTATTTTGAAGCAATTTTCCTGTAATAAACATGCTGATTGTCTTGAAACTTGCTGCGATCAGCATTATAAGCGCAGAGTATTAAGCTGTCCTTCATTTGAAAGGTAAGAATGATTTAAATATTAAAGTCCCAGTATATCTTGACCTGTCTTGAAAAGTAATGTTTCCCCACAACAGAATCTGCAAGCCTTGCACATTATTAGCATAACTGGCATACAAACATTTACATTATTCTTTAATATCGCACTTGCTGGTTAACTCTGACAGATCTACAAAGACGTTAGTTGTGACACAGAGGCATTGACAACTATTGGATTAATGATATTCAAAATAAAATATATAAAGTATTAGGATGGTTCTAGACTGCCCAGGGTGGCTGGGGCAACCCAGTCAGATGGGTGAGGTATTATTATTATTATTATTATTATTATTATTATTATTATTATACCACCATGGGTAGCTAATATCTTGTTCTTGGACTCCAACTCACATCAGACCCAGCCAGCGTGACTATTGGTCAGGGATAATTGGAATGCAACAATGGTTGAAGGGCTGCCATTTAGCTAAACTAAAAGATGCAGAAATTCTCTGCACACTATTAGTACTTGCCGTGCAAGCAGATCACCTATTCAAAACAAGGCCAACATATTCAAAACAAGGTCAAATCCCATTCAGTCATCTTTATGATACTTAGGGGGAAAGTTCCCAACAGGAACTTTTTAAACCAAGCCTTGCAGCCATGTGCAAGGTGGTGGAGATTTTCAGGAGGGGTCACTGCTGGGGAACGCAGAAATAACCCTTACCTCCCCACATGCCATAGCTGCATGCTAAGCATTAAGTGTAACGTTTAGCTTGACCCTGATGCATTATGCAAAAATTGCAACCTTTAAAGTCCTTAACAGATTAGGTCCAGGTTACCTGGGAGTGCACTTCTGTGAAGTACAGTCGTACCTTGGAAATTAAACGGAATTCATTCTGGAAGTCCATTCGCCTTCCAAAATGTTCGAAAACCAAAGCGCGACTTCCTGCAGTCAGTCAGAAGCTGTGGAAGCCCCGTCAGATGTTTGGCTTCCAAAAGAACGTTCGAAAACCAGAACACTCACTTCCAGGTTTCGATCGTTCGGGAGCCGATTTATTTGGGAGCCAAGGCGTTCAAGATCCAAGGTACAACTGTACACCAAAATGATTAAAAGGGGGCTGGTTCCCAATGCCTCCTTGCCTGATTGGCAGGGCCTTTTCACTAATAACACCCCCATGACAGAACTCCTGAACCAGCAAAGCTTGTCCTGCTATCTCTCTTAAGTTTTAAAAGAGATATGAAGACTCTTTTTTTAGCAAACAAAAGCAAAGCAGTGGCTGATTTTTAAATATCACACTTTAACCTGAGAATTGGCTCTTCCTACGGACAATTCATAGTTGTTATCGTAATCTAGGTGTGTAGCAACATCAGTGTAAAAAAGGACCCCTGACCGTTAGGTCCAGTCGTGGCCGACTCTGGGGTTGCCGCGCTCGTCTTGCTTTATTGGCCGAGGGAGCTGGCATTCAGCTTCAAGGTCATGTGGCCAGCATGACTAAGCCGCTTCTGGCGAACCAGAGCAGCGCACAGAAACTCTGTTTACCTTCTCGCCGGAGCGGTACCTATTTATCTACTTGCACTTTGAGGTGCTTTCGAACTGCTAGGTTGGCAGGAGCAGGGACCGAGCAACGGGAGCTCACCCCGTGGCGGGGATTCGAACCGCCAACCTTCTGATCGGCAAGTCCTAGGCTCTGTGGTTTAACTCACAGCGCCACCCACGTCCCTGGGAACATCAGTGTGTATGGCGCTTTATCAAGTACATCAGAATAGGTCCCCACCCGAAATAGCTTACAACCTAAAGTGTGATGATCTTTTAAGATAGTTTGCTTGTCTGTGTTCTAAACATGTTTTTCTCCTTTTCTATTATATTTTTAAAGAAATTTATTCACAAGTTGGAAGCTGCCTTAAGGGCTCTGTGGAATCATATGTACGGTGGGACAAAAATTACTGACTCATAGGCAGCTGAAGGAGTTGTATGGCTGAACAGCTTAGGATTTGGCCAGGTGCTTCTTGTTTTACTCAGCAATGAACCCCTCCATATATCCTATGTGATGAAGTCGTGGTTTAAGATCTTACAACAAATTTCAAAAAAACCTATCCACACAGCACATCAGCACTAATACAACACAGGATCAGGACACAACAGGACATGTAGAAATCGCACAACTGGCAGCATAATCCTATCCGTTACATGGAGGAGATAAGACTACACATAAATATTTTGGGAGGAATTCAACACGGCACTAAGCAGATCAGTCCATCGGTGCAACCATTTCTGCTTGGCTGATGTAGCAATCTGCCCTGTCCTTCCATGCCATACTGTTCAGTGAGTTCTCCTGACCCCACTCGCACAGCCAATCTGTGGTGGCACAGAGGGAGGAGATGCCAAGGGAGCCCCATTGTGCTAGAAGAAATCCTTGCATGGGCTTTTGCTGGTGGGGTTCGTTAGCTGAATTCACTGCCACAGGATGCATGATGGCAGCTTGTTGGAAGCAAGATACTGGAGCATATGGACATAGAATAGTCCTTCTGGTCCTTGATTCTTTTTCCTTTCCACTATTCCCATTTACTGTTAAGAAAATAAAACTTTGCCCCATAAAGGTAAAACATGGTTAAGTTGTACCCTGTGTAAGGCATAGGATGACAGTGAGAATTAAGTCTCCAGCAAGACTTTAAAACTTAGAATTCCCTTGAGTGGGTAGGATGTTTTAATATTGCCTTTTAAACACAGGATTGTCTTTTAGATTTTTATTTGTTTTCCGTTTTATGCCAGAAGAATGTATATGTTTGTTTATATATTGTAAATCACTTTGAGTTACCATGGCAAAAAGTAGCCAATAAATGTAATAATAATAATTAATAATTATAATAATAATCCTACAATTTGATATAGAGAGGCATGAGGATACTGAATATTGCAGAATAGGAATGGAAGTCTGACTGTTTAAGACTTAATATATATTTTTGTTGATTTGCTGGTCTTTTACTATATGCGAAAGCCAATATTCTTATAATTAATTTACAGTGGTACCTCGAGTTACATATGCTTCAGGTTACATACGCTTCAGGTTATACTCCGCTAACCCAGAAATAGTGCTTCACATTAAGAACTTTGCTTCAGGGTGAGAACAGAAATCGTGCTCCGGCGGCGCGGTGGCAGCAGGAGGCCCCATTAGCTAAAGTGGTGCTTCAGTTTAAGAACAGTTTCAGGTTAAGTACGGACCTCCGGAACGAATTAAGTACTTAACCCGAGGTACCACTGTATTTTTGTTCCTTGCTCTCCAGGAATTAATCGTTGCATATTTCCTGTGAACATGGGCTTTCTCCTTCCAGAATGACAGATTCAGGATTGTATACAATTTTTTAACAAATACTAAATTTTCTTTCCGCAGGGCCTGTAAGACAGAGTTGTTCCGCCTGGCCTTTGGCTTGGAGCCAATTTGATTCCCTCCCTCTCTTTCTTTTTTATTTTCCTTCTCCTCCTGCGAGGAGGCTACATTTTAATATTTTAATATTTCAATGTTTTAATTTTGTTTTTAAGTTGTAATCATTCAACTTGTTTTTATTATTGCTTGTAAGCCGCCCTGAGTCCTGCCTTGGCTGGGGAGGGCGGGGTATAAATAAAAATTATTATTATTATTATTATTATTATTATTATTATTATTATTATATCTGTAGTTCACCCATCACTTCACCCATGTGCTCAAACCCATCCCAATCAATGTTAACGTGTTTGTGGGACATATGCATGTCCTTTGTCACCACCTCTACCACCCCATGTTCAAAAGCAAAAACAGAAATTTGGCGCAACATTGGGAAATAGTTGGGTAACAACATGATGATGTGTCCAGGATTTTAACACACTGGCAGATGAAATGAGCAAGATGTCTAAGTGAGTAAATGCACAGGTGGAATGGAGGAGTTGTGAACCAAGAGAATAGAGAGCAAGACTGTGGTCCAGACAAATCATGCGGATACTTACCTCTCTTTACCAAGATGCAACCCTTTACACAAGAAAACAGGAAGACAGAAACAGTGATAGATCATGGGATATAAAGTGGATTCCTCATCTAAATAGCAGCAGTAAAAAAAGGGGGGGCACTCTGTTCTGGGTGCATTTGAGTGTCTGTCCCTAGCTTCTATGAACCTGTCAAAGATTATTGTATTTTGAGAGCAAAGACAGAATGGTATAAACGTACCTCATTTATATCTTTCATCCAGTGTGCAATTCCTTGAAAGCTTTCTGTACTTGTGATATCATAGACAAGAACGAATCCATGTGCTCCACGGAAGAAACTAGTTGTAAATGTATGGAATCGCTCCTGACCGGCAGTGTCCCTATAATACATTGTAAGGAATCATTTGGTACTGCTTACATTGTAAGACTGTGAACAAACAGTCCTAAATCATTAATTGCAGCCTTCTGTAAACAGAAAAAAACAGAAGCTGCGCATACAAATAAAAACCCAGTTGGCATACCAGTTGAGTACTTCTGCAGTAAAGATTCTCTCCAAATCAGATTTTATTCAAAATACTATGGATGCAAATAACCCTGGCTTTAAATCTCAGTGTTGTACTTGTGAATGAATGGAACAGTTGGACTGAGTTAATAATGCACCAAAAATATACATATGATTAGGCACAAAATGGCTGCACTACCTGATGATAGTGTTGTGTTTTACCACCATCATCAGCTTAGGATGCTGCATGGAGCCAGTTATAAGGGTGATCTTCAAATATTTAAAAGCTGTCACATGGAAGATGGAGCAAGCTTGTTTTCTCCTGCTCCAGAAGGTAGGACTCAATCCAATGGATTCAAGTTACAAGAAAGGAGATTCCAACTAAACATCAGGAAGAACAGTTAAAGAGCTGTTTGACAGTGGAATGGCCTCCCTCCAGGAGTGATGGACTATTCTTCCTTGGAGGTTTTTAAGCAGAGGTTGGGTGGCCATCTGTCATGGATGCTTTAGTTGAGATTCCTCTACAATTCTATTATTCTGTTTTCTACATTTTACAGTGGTCTCAAATAGGCTGTGGAGTTACGAGTTCTATAGCACCAAACACATTTCTTGAAAAAATATACAGTCGTACCTTGGATCCCGAAAACCCGGAAGTGATTGTTCAGATTTGCGAACATTCTTTTGGAAGCTGAACGTTCAACAGGGCTTCCACGGCTTCTGATTGGCTGCGGGAGCTTCCTGCAGCCAATCAGAAGCCACGATTTGGTTTTGGAAGTTGAATGGACTTCGGGAACAGATTCTGTTCAACTTCCAAGGTACGACTGTACTGTACTAGGATCAGATTAGTTGAGGTTTGCCCAGCTATGTGTGACTCAGTTACATTGGCAAAATCATACAGGAAACAAGATGTAACTGGTTTTCTTAGTTATACACAATGTTGCAAACAGGCAGTATTGCAAGAAAACCTTTTCCACCACCTGCTTTGCTTATAACCACATTAGCACAAACTACTCTGTCTGCCAGTTGCTGCTAGGTGGATTTGTAAAATTGGGATGTCAGGAATCTCTCAGAATTAACAAAGGGTGTGCATTCAAAGGCTGCCCAATCTCACAGCCTACACCTCCCTCCCTCTCTCACACACAGAGTGTCAGTAGATTGACAACAGCAAAAACATTGTCTGGTCTTTTATTATATTGGGTTCTATGAGTAGAGTAGTTAGCAAACCTTTACAACATGAACCCAAGCAGCTGCATGGCCAAGATCCATTCACACACATTTCTTCCTATAGCAGGGATGGTAAACTTGTGGTCTCTCATATGTTCAAATGCCATCATCCTCAGCCAGCATAGCCAATGAACAGGGAAGATGGGAGTTATAGTAAAGCAACAGAAAGGCTCCCAAGTATTTTTCCCATTGAATGGGTTTGAAAGTAATAAAATATAAACTCTGTTTTTGTTACTGAAACCAAAGAAGAAAACTACTTGTACTGGAAAAAAATATGAATACACATCTTAGAATACCAAGAGCAGATTACTAATTTTGATATACTAATTATTCTAAAGTTTGGAATTTATCAGTTATTTATTATGTACACCACTTAGAGATTTTTTTTTTGAATGAACGATCTGTACATTTTTCTAAATAAATAAAAACTCACCATATCTGTAGTTTCATTGCTGTATCATTTACTGAAATGGTTTTTACTTCGAAATCAATGCCTAAAAGAAACAAGGGGGGAACTATTATTGTATCTATAAATATGAAAGGAGAACAAATCAAAGGAATAATAGAAGTGTCAAAGGGTGTAAAAAAAATCCATCATCTATATAACAGTTCGGAATCTCACCAAAGTACTCAGTAAAAGGGAAATTCCCATAGCTGTGCTTCCTTATTAGTTTAGAAAGAACTCTTACCTCTCCCTATATAGAAGAGACTTTGCAACCATCTGAAGCAAACTGCTGCAGAATTTAAAAGATTGTTCTGTATTCTTTCTTTTTTTTAAGTATTATTTAGTTCAAGCCTAAGGGTTGATGAAATCTTACTAAAGCTTCAGTGTAAAAGAAGTGTAAGAAACCTAATTTATTGGATTTATTTCGTAAAATGAAAATCTAGAAGGATCATTACTTTAGCCAAATTCACTTATATGCCCACATCTATAAACAACATTTAAGAGAGGGAAATTTCTCTTTTCACATAGAGCTTGCAATACAATTTTATGTCTGTATACCTTCTGTACAATAACTGGAAAGGCACTGGAAAGGGGCATGATATGCAGTCGAGCACAGGAAGGTCACTTTCAAAACACTGAGCTGGAAATGCTTAAAAATAATAACTCAGCTGGGGACTTCCAGTCCTACATGAAAACATTTTATATTTGACATAAATTTTAATAATAAATTGACATGAGCATTTTATTTATAAAAAGAGAACTAGAGAGTGCTGAATCAGATGAAAATTTAATCTAAATTAAAATAAGGCATATTGACTTCTTAAATCAACTTTACATTTATTGACCTAAAAGGTCAATGAATGTTAGTGAAAAACAGAAGTCAATAAGTATTGCATGCATGAGTTATTCATAGCTTTATATAAAATTTCAAACAAATTTCACAAATGGACAAGGCTGTAGGGAGGGGGATGAGAAATGCAGGGCCAAAGCCCACCGCACTGCTGATAAAATTAAGCCATAGTATTATATGACCATGATAACAAAAGTAGGCTTAATTACTAGCCAGACAAATGCTGTTTGATCATATTGTTTTTGCCTGCATTTTCATCCTAGCTTCTTCAAAGTATCACAAGCATGGGACACAGCAATCCAAACCCAATTCTAATAAATCATTTCAGGATTTTATAATCATTCATTGTATCATGAACACACTGTTGATGCAATTGGTTCTCAGCTGAAGTGGGTACTGAGTACACTAAAGGTTTCTGTGGAAGTCAGAATTTTCAGGTTGTGCTATCTGTTCGGTATAAGTGAGCCTACAACAAATCTGTCTTACAGATTGAAGAAAGGGAGGAAAAAACAACTTTCTTGAGTAACACTGGAACTTCCTCAAATAAGACAGACAGAGGTCAAAAGCTGAAGAAGGGAATGCAGAAGTCTCTTGCTTGATCCCACCGGTTGATATATTCTGGTAGCACAAAAGAAATGAAGTGCTGGAGGGTGTCAGAACATCTCTGTCTGCAGAGAGCTTACAAATCTTAAGTGACAGACCACTGAATGGGCTGGGCTGCAGGTTGTCAGGCTCCATGAATGAGGTGGATGGGTGAGCTGGCTGTCAATCTACTTGAGCCAGAATCAGGTGACTGTTCCAAATCAGCCAGGAGTCAAGGTGCCCAGCAGGAGCTGAGAGGGCCAAAGGCAAGTGTATATAGTTGAGGCAGGGATCAAATCCAATGGAACAATTGTGGAAAGAGAGCAGAAACCAAGGCCATGTCCTCAGTGAGACGTACTGAGGAGCAAGCCTTGAGGAAAGGGTTTCCTTGATCCGAGTGGGCACTGATTTGCCCTTGAAATCAGCTGAGCACTCAGTCACCTGGTACTGAGCCCAGATGGCACTCTCAATGTGCTGAGATCCACCAACCAGGCTTTCAGTAGAAACAGAATGCTGGTGATGCATGGAAGTCCTGGAATCTGGGAGCCCTACTTGGAGACACACACATCCTCCTCTTCATGTTTTACACAAAGACTAGGCAGCTGAGGGCTAACGGACACTGAATAAGACCTTGGGATTTTAACTCTAAAATCAATAAGCAACATGCACATAGCAATAGAGTGGTACCTCGGGTTAAGGACTTAATTCGTTCTGGAGGTCCATTCTTATCCTGAAACTATTCTTAACCTGAGGTACCACTTTAGCTAATGGAGCCTCCTGCTGCTGCCGCGCTGCTGGAGCACGATTTCTGTTCTCATCCTGAAGCAAAGTTCTTAGCCCGAGGTACTATTTCTGGGTTAGCAGAGTCTGTAACCTGAAGCGTCTGTAACCCGAGGTACCACTGTACAATGTGTAGTTTTGCAGTTTCTCAGTGGTAAGCTATTGGCTACACTGATAGGTACAGATTGTTTATCAAACCCATGTCAATCTTAAGAAAGGACTCATTTGGATACAAAAAAGAAAGAGAAAAGGTGAAATCATCTGACAACTGTAGAAAAACAAAACCAGTTAAACATTTTGCAGCCATGCAAATGGAAAGAATATTCCCTTTAGTCCTTAATTAAGACATATGAAGCAGAAAACAAGTTGAAGTAAAGCTACTTTGAATCCTATGGTGAAGTGAAATGAACAATATTTATTTGAACATTTTTATATTTTAGCAAGAGGTTAAAAAAAGAGAAAAGAGTCTTACTTTTACTTTGACAGTCAAGTCATAAGGAGTTTTCTTTAGGATCTGTTCCCACCACTTTAAAAGTTAAGTTTTGCTTCCGAAGCACTCTGTGATCTCTGTGAGTAACTTGTACACAGTATCTAAAAGCACTACAATGAAATCCACTACAAGGAAATATGTCATGGAACTATTTCAAAACTTATTTGGTTAGGCATCTCCATGTTCACTTGGACATGCAAATCTTTTCCCCCCCATAAACTTTTCCCCTGGTGTTCAATGAGGTGCCATTGTTTAAACAAAAACAGTTATTCTTTATAGTCTGCTATTCTCAATGTGATGAGTCTGCCTTATGATCCGTATAAGTTTAATTAGAAAACTATAGCTGCTTATAATTCACAAAAACTGCATAATTGAAGAGGAAGAAGGGCAACCATCCCTGAGAGTTTAAGTGCTGAATAAAGTGCTTTCAATGAAAATTTACTGTGAATGCATTTTTTTTTATTTTTTAAGAAAAGCAAATCTTGAACAACTAAAAGCTACTATCCACAGTTGCAACCCTCCCAATAACGCCAGCAAACTACCAACTTGCAACTATAATTCTGGGGTTGTGAGCAGGACTTGAAATGCCCAAACTATGAGGGGAAAAAACATTGTAAGTACTGAGAAATGACATTTTACCATATTGTATCTTCATCACTCTGTAGTCCTTTGCACCAGGGCAAAAGAGAGGGGATTCTTATTTCACCCAGATCAACGACTTCCCAACAACACACTGGGACATGGGAATAGGAACTGGGAGTGGAAAGAACTGGAAATATGTGCTCTTTAGAGAACTGATCTGCCTTCTTCCAAAGATACACCTTTTGAGTTGGAACTGAGCTCTTGTTATGAATATTGGTTGTATTCACAAAGGTTGCACAATTGCAACATGCCCCATTTGTCTGCAAGATACTGTAAGATTTATGCCTAGAGGAAATCAGAGTATACCAACTAGGTGCACAGAATTCCTCTTCAGTCTTGAAATTCTCCTAGTATAGATATATTTTGACTCTTGCCTGTTCATCTGGGGGAGGTAGCAATCGCATTCGGCAACTGGCAGTGGCAACTGGCAGCCGCTATAGCTATACCCAGTATTTCCCAGCAAGCAAAATGCAATAGCCAGCTAAGGCTACAAGAAGTTGTGGCCATTACTTCTATCCATATGGAGATAGGGAATTAAATGCACTAGCCATAGATTCAACAATGCTTCCTCAATAAAGGAATCACAGCTTGGGTTCCAACCAATTTCAAAAAACTCTGTCACTCTCCCCTTCCTGGCAGAAAGGGGAGGGGTGTGAAAATTCAGCAAGTGCATTATACTTTTAAAATCACAGATAACATCACATGGGACGACCCTGCACTAACACTGATCCTGACACCATGCTGATGTGAGCACAGCAATCACATCAGCAAGTGTTCCAGTCTATAGTGTAGATTCTGCAGTTTGGTTGTGCATTGCTATGTAACTGACATACAACAGATGTACGTGATGCAGATTGCTTTTACATTGGCTACACGGCAATGCACAAGCAATCTGCAGATTTTCACCCGCGCACACCCAGTCTTAGCTGTGCCTTAGCTGGAAAACAATTTGCAAAAGAGGATTTTAAAGCTAGTCACATAATAGGGCTTTTAAACATCAAGCCTAGCTGAAAAGCCTTGCTCAGTCCAAGGCATGCACAAAGCTGCTGTATCTAAAACCTTAAAGAATTAGCTCTGGATGATATTGCCAGTATGATTACTTTAGAGTACGAAATATTCTGATTTTTATCTACTATAACATTGAAATGCTTTCTTGGTTATAACCGTTCCAGTCCTGTTTAATGAAAATGCTGCTTGTTTGTGCCCCTTCATTTCAAATCCAAATGAACTCATTTTATTATATTTATTATACAGTTTCTTAGAAACAATCTCTTGGCCACGCTCCAGCAAAACCTGGAAAAAGGGTAGGACTGGGCAAATGAGAAGAATGGAGCCATGCAAAGCAGAGGGGTGGAATCGACCCAGTAGTCTAGGATAGCCTTCCCCTGCCACAACTGTGCTGGCTGGGGCTGATGGGAGCTGTATTCCGAAATATCTAGAGGGCACCAGGTTGGGGAAGGCTCCTGCAGGAATACTTCCACCTCTTGCTCAATTCCAGGTCCATCCTTCCCCTGGCTTGTTATTCTAGTAGCCATGCTGACAGAAGGTGATAGTCTCCGCCACTCAGAATGACCTAGGTGGGACTGAGCCCCCATTCCCTGGTTGGACTGCATGGGTGGATATATTTTTCTTTCTCCATAAGAATCCAGCAGAGCAGCTTCCACCACAGCATGTCAAGAGCAGCAGGGCATCTATGGTGCTTCACAAGTAAAAGCAGCCTGAGCAGAGAAAGAAAGAAGCATCAACAGGTGCTCAGCTATCACGGACCTTTAGGACTGGCACTGCCTCCCTTTGGGGGTGGCACTGCCCTTGCAGTGGTCCTGTGATTTACAGATGCTCCTCCACTTACCCATCCAAATTGGCATTTCACTAGTATTAATGTGGAGCAAAACTATGTTATTGGTACTCATCTTGGTAATGTGAAATTTGCTATAGATAAATATGACAGATATTTGGTTTTACGAGAATTCCTTCAGTAGTATATTCTGACCTTTTTTTGCTGTAGATTTAAAACAAGGATAAGAAACCTCTGGCCTTCAGGATGTTGTTGGACTACAACTCCCATCATCCATAATCATTGGCCATGCTGGCTGATGGGAGTTGTAGTCCAACACCCAGAGGGCCACAGGTTCTCCACTCCTGATTTAAAAGGTACTTTTCATCATCCTGCTTAATTTGCCTCTTTCCCTTTTTATATTGTTTACTTGTGTGACTAGTGTAACATGGGAACCAAAATCCACGGATTTCAGCTACAGAAACATTAATGCTCTCTGAAACTTCACATTTTCCCCATGAGATGACTAGTGTTGCTGTGGCCAAGACTATATTTTGCTCATGCAGTGGTACCTCGGGTTACAGACGCTTCAGGTTACAGTCTCCACTAACCCTGAAATAGTACCTCGGGTTAAGAATTTTGCTTCAGGATGAGAACAGAAATCGCACAGCAGCGGCACGGGAGGCCCCATTAGCTAAAGTAGTACTTCAGGTTAAGAACAGTTTCAGGTTAAGAACAGACCTCCAGAACAAATTAAGTTCTTAACCCGAGGTACCACTGTATAAAGAAATGCAATGTAATGTGTCGCAGCAGGAGGGAGAAACTCCCTGGCTTCTTCACCAGCCTGACTCATCTCTGCCTCTTGGCCTCCCTCCTCTCTTGCTTTAGCTTCTGACTCCAATTCTGTACTTTTCTGTGCCGTAGAGTCTCCCTGCTCACTAAACCCTGTTACCTCTTCAGCTTCCAACATATCCTCCTCCCAGTCTGCTCCCTCTTCTCCCTCTGACCACTCTGTGTCACCCCACCACCAATCCCTGGGCTCTGAGCCTTCTTCGCTTGGGGGTTCCCCAGCTGGTCTCTCCCACCATTCCTCTGTGTCTAGCCAGCCCATGACATATGTTATCAAGTCTTCTTGAAAATATTTCATGACCAGATATAATTTAGTTTTCTTCCTAAAGATGGAATTCTCATTTAATCACCTTTTAGAACACCCATAGCATCACTTTGCTGCAGGAGTATTGTTTTATAGTTCTAGAAATCATGTTCTGCACTTCAAACTGAAAATTGGGTTGAAGACCTTTTAGACCTGTACATTAAAGAATGAATCATGTATTACAGGAAGGATAAATTTGAGAAATGTAATGCAATCTGGCAACCTTTTCTAGAATTGTTCTCTAATTGATTGTTCATCTTCTGCTGAAGTTTCACAGTTCTCAACATATATTCCCTCTCCCCCCCCCCCCAATTTATTATTTTCCCATTACATTAAAACTGTCTTTCTCAAAACCAACAGTTTCTGAGGAACATTGATTGGGCAAAGATATCAGGAAGGCCCATAAATCAGGAGCTAAAAAAACCCCCTGCCACCTTCAATTGCAGTATCTTCAACTGAAACATTGATGTTTCTGTTACTCTCCTATTAATAATCCTAAAATTAACAGAATGTTGATATGGTGTGGTAAATCAGGATCTGTGCACATGGAGGGAGAATTAGATACTGCTTCTTGGTATCTATAAGGAACCCCTAATATCCAATCTGGTCCCCCAAGAAAATGGCACAAACGGAATGTGAATTCTGTTGGTTTCTATTTCCCTCACTGAGCAGCAACTGCAGTCACAAGACATTGTTTTGCATTCCACAGTCCAAGTTACTGTTGGATTCCCACGGGAATGGGAGACTGGATGTGACGTACACTGGTTTCCTGTTTTTCACTGTTCTCTCGGTTTCTTTGTTAGAGAGACGGTTGCTTCTCTGCTCTCACAGAGGCAAGATGCATGTTTGTATGCTCTCAGCATAGCTTGTAAATAAAGTTAAAGAATGTAGCACATACTGCTTATCCTTCTGCTGTGTGGACTACTCTGCTTGGGCTCAAGATAAGACGAGCCTGTATCAGCTTCAGATGGGCCGAAGCTGGTCAAAATCTCATAAGAAGATATACAAATCAACCCAGTTGGTCAATTTGCATGACGATTCTACATGCCAGATTGCACTGTGCTCATAGCGAAAGGATTGTTTGAACAGCAAACTTTGCATACAAACCGCCGTTTTGTCTATTGCTGCAAACCTTCCTAATATGGGTCAAGCAGCGGCATGTAGAATTTGTGATCTGTACTTGAGACAAATGCTTCAGTTGACAGCTCGGCTGATAGAGGATGAGGCTCTTAATCTCAGGGTCGTGTGTTTGAGCCCCACATTGGGCAAAATATTCCAGCATTGCTGGGTGTTGGACTAAATGACCCTTGTGGTCCCTTCCAACTCTACAATTCTATTATCCAATCATCTGGATAGTGGTGAAAAACCACCCGGCTGAAAAACAAAGACCCAAAGTTGCCTGTGTGAAATGACCAGTCATTTCCTCTGACTCAGCCGAGTTGTAGTTCCTCCCATTCTGAACCCAGCACGTATTCATGCATGAGAAGACTATCTCAGTCCACACAGCAAAAAACCCATTTCATTCTCCATTATGAATTAGAACACCATTTGCTTCTGCGTTTCTTCACTGTGGTTACACAGAGTTGTTTAATAGCATTACAGTGGCACAGTCTGGTTTCAATACATGTCCTGTTCTTTCTCCCATCACAGAACTGACTGCCAATTCTTTCTGATTACTCTTTTTCACAGAGGATGGGCCTATTCGTTCTTCCCTTGCTCCCAGAGGAAGAGGACACTTTCCTTCTCAGAATCAATGGTCTGATGGCAGCTGCTTTAAACTGTAAACTTCCAGATGGGGTTGACTATAAAGAGCAGAGCTTCGTTAGCATATTTACACTAGATTGACGGAATCTAGCTTTAACTCATCTACCTCTCATAAAGATTCTGACATTTTTATTCAGTTTGACAAATCAAATGGAAATCAGTGGGACTCTAGGATGCCCAAAGTACTACTCAGTATACAAGAGGATTTTTTGGTATAATTTTAATGTAAATACCCGGTACCTGTTGCATTTACATATTCATATGCCACTTAAAAATAAGAGGGGAATGAGAGTGATTCCCAATATGAAAAACACATTTACTTTTTTTAAAAGTCATGACCACAACCCAGGACAGAATCAGCTGAACTTAATTTAGTTAATTCAATAATCTTAAGTATCACCAAACCTGTTGGATTGTAGCCCTTAGCTAAAACCACCATCAATCTTAGCTGTGATTCCTGCATTGCAGGGGGTTGGACTAGATGACCCTTGTGGATCTCTTCCAACTCTACAATACTACACTTATCTGAGTCTATTAAAATATACATTATGGCTGTAACAGTAAATACTTAGCCATGCTCAGTTGTAACCATGCTTAAAAGCATTTGTTCACATACATCCATTATTACTCTTTGTTTTCCCTTTCTCAGTTGTTGCTATCAAAATTTAGACAGTAGGGTCCTTGGGGGAAGGGACTTTGCTTATGGAAATCTGCAAAATGCCATTACACTGATGGCAGTGAATTATTATTAATAAACAAGATGTATAAACAGTATATTAAGAAGATCACACCTGAAGGAAGGGAAACACTCCTTGTGATTTGAAGGCCCCAGACTGCTGAGAGAAAACAAAACATGAACAGCAAGGGCAGCAATGGACATTGGCATGAGGAACATGTTTTCCCAGCACACTGTGTATTACAAGTTGTTGCCCACAACATTTCTAAAAGGAACATAAATAAATGTTTCTACTATTAGAAGTAGAACAACAGGATGCAACGTGCAATGGGTAATGTTGCTTCCCTCCTTTCAAAGAGATTTCTTCACCAACCAAATGGGATTGGCTGTCTGAGGTCATCCTCACAGAAAGGCTTAAGGGAAGATGATAAGCCCTGGGAATCTTCCACTGTAACCAGTCCTTTTAAAAATAATTCAAATAGCTGAACACGCACACACATTTTTTTTTGTATGTGCCAATCACAATAATAATCCCCCAAATTAATCACAGACACAAAGTGCAAGCATTACAGTCCTTGGTTTAATCTGATTTTGATTCTCCTGGGCAATGAAATGGCCATAGACATCAAAGCTGGACATGAGAGTTGAAAGGATTAATTGAGCAAATGTCTATGGAATTAAGTCCTCTTCGGGCACTGTAGTTGTAAGAAGCAACACAGTACAGTTGGGGCTGCACAGGAGATCAGCACTGTCAAATGTGTAAGGAGCTTCCACTGAAAACACAAAAGTTCCCTCTGCAGAAGTTCACTAATCATGCAAGAAGCCAGGAAGAACATAGTAGGCTGCCTTATACAGAGTCAGACCATTGGTTCATCTAGCTTAGTATTTTTTCTACAGGTATGGCACCTTCCAGATGTTGTTGGTCTTCCATCAGCCCCAGCCAGCTTGACTAATGCTCAAGACTGATGGGAGCGGCAGTCTAGCAGCATTTGAAGGGCACCCTGTTGACTACCCTTGGTCTACCTATGCTGACTGGCAGAGGGTCTCCAGGATTTCAGACAGGAGTCTCTCCTAGCTCTACCTAGATATGCCAGGAATTGAACCATGGACCTTCTGGTTCAAATGAAGATGTTCTACCAACCAGCTGCACTCCTTATGTAATGAACATTATGGCTAAACATTGCAACCTCAGTATATCTTAGCGAAATAGAACCTGAGGTTAGCTAGTTTTCTTTGTGGATTTTAAAATAATTCATTCAGTACCTTTGATCCCCACAGGTTACAGAGCACCCATGATCAATGGCTCCTTCCACCTATTCACGTAGAGAATGATAATAATCTCAGGCTATCCACAGGGTGGCCAAACTACACACAGAAGAAACAATGTAGGTGCAGATATCCCTGTACCACAACACACCGTTATTTGCAAGTACAGCTTTCCACAATTCTGCTTTTGGACTAACATGCCAACAAGCAAGCATAAAAAGTCCTCATGCAGTAGTGCCCTAATACGGGTCATGTCAAATGTTATTTATGTAACGTACACACCATCACTATTTCACAGCACTTGAATTAGTGATGGTGTGTACTTTACATAAATAGCATTTGGTGTGACCGTATTAGGGCATTACTGCATGAGGACTTTTTGTGCTTGTTTGTTGGCATGTTACTCCAAAAGCACTATTTCACATGTACTGTACACCTGAATGGAACGCGGTTGGTGCTGTGGTTTAAACCACAGAGCCTAGGTCTTGCCGATCAGAAGGTCGGCAGTTCAAATCCCCGCGAGGGGGTGAGCTTCTGTTGCTCAGTCCCTGCTCCTGCCAACCTAGAAGTTCAAAAGCATGTCAAAGTGCAAGTAGATAAATAGGTACCGCTCGGGTGGGAAGGTAAACAGAGTTTCCGTGCGCTGCTCTGCTTCGCCAGAAATGGCTTAGTCATGCTGGCCACATGACCCAGAAGCTGTATGCCGGCTCCCTCGGCCAATAAAGCGAGATGAGTGCAGCAACCCCAGAGTCGTCCACGACTGGACCTAATGGTCAGGGGTCCCTTTAACTTATACACTTGAATATTCAGGAAGCTTGCAATCACATGTTCATGTGGAATACATGCATATAGCAGATTCCAGTGCGACAATGTACACCTCATGTACTTTTAATCCATGAAGTGTGTCCTCTGTTGCTATACAATACATAATGTGGATTATTAGTGCACAAAAGTAGTGGCATGTAATGCTAAACTACTTACAGTGGTGCCTCGCAAGACGAAAAGAATCCGTTCCGCGAGTCTCTTCGTCTTGCGGGTTCTTTCGTCTTGCGAAGCAAGCCCATTAGAGGTTTAGCGGCTTAGCGCTACAGTATTAGCGGCTTAGCCGGCTTAAAGATCAGCTGATAAGCGGCTTAACGATCAGCTGATAAGCGGCTTAGCATCAGCTGTTAAGCGGCTTAAAGATCAGCTGATAAGCGGCTTAGCATCAGCTGTTAAGCGGCTTAAAGATCAGCTGATAAGCGGCTTAGCCATCAGCTGTTAAGCGGCTTAAAGATCAGCTGATAAGCGGCTTAGCCATCAGCTGATAAGCGGTTTAGCGGCTTGGGAAAAAGGGGGGAAAAGGAAAAAAAACCTGCAGGAACTCGCAAGACATTTTCGTCTTGCGAAGCAAGCACATAGGAAATTCGCTTTGCGAAGCACTTCCAAAACGGAAAACCCTTTCGTCTAGCGGGTTTTCCGTCTTGCGAGGCATTCGTCTTGCGGGGCACCACTGTACATTATAACTTCCTACAATGTTTAAAACACACACACACACTCACAGGCACACTTCCACTGAGTCTAGTTTCCAGGTGCAATCTGCAAAGTAGTTACACTTCTCTAAATGGCCCTGACTATTAAAACTGAAACAGGAAACCCAGGAAAGCAAAGTTAAATAGGGGAAATACTTGATTGCTTCACAGTATGATTCTGCATGCATTTACTTGGAAGTAACTGCCAGTGTGTTGAATGAAGCCTGTTACACACGCTTACAGTAGCTATGTGTATGGGGGTTGTGCTCATGGGAATAGCCAGGATCTTTGTTAGGGGGGCAAGCTTTTGTTGGGGAGTGGCAGAACATCAGTTAGTGATGTGTTTTTCTTGATGGGGGAGGGGCAGCTGCCCCCTGCCCCCCCCCGGCTACGCTCATTGGTTGTGTCAAGGGCTTCACAGAAAAGGTGGGTTTTGAGGAGGGTTCGTGGGTGCCAGACCCAAACTTGAGAAGCCACTGTAAATGCTAATAGCCCTGATGCTATTCCATCTGAACTGATCAAAGCCAAGCCAGAGTGGTGGGCTCCGATACTAGCGGAACTATTCACTATGATAGATAGATCTGGTACCATACCTAACTCATGGCAGCAATCTATAATTATCCCAATCTTTAAATAGGGTGACAAAAAGCTGCCATCCAATTATCGGCCAATAAGTCTACTGTCAAACATCTGGAAATTGTAAAGCTAAACATCTGTTAAATAAACTAACTACTTGGCTTGATGAGAAAAACATCATAGGTCCAGAGCAGGCAGGGTTCAGGCCAGGGAAATCTACTTTACGCAACTGTTTGGTGTTATCTCATTTAGCCGCTAAGTACATGCGGCTTCATAAGGAATGTCTTTATGTGGCCTTCCTTGATATCAAGGCTGCTTTTGACCCTGTCAACAGGGGACTGTTATGGTCCAAATTGGAGACAATGGGCCTAGAACCTAGATTACTTTACTTGATCAAAAAGCTTTACATAAAGAACACCTGTCACATAAGAACAACACCAGGGAATGTCATGACAGATCTTCTTTACTAAAACAGGTGGATGCCCACAGCCCAAAACTCAATGCATCAAGCATTCCCATCCTTCTATAAGCAGATGATATGATTTTGCTTTCATGGACAAGAATTGGCGTTTGTTAAATTCCTGCATTGACTATCTGTCCAGAATGAAATTGTGTATGAACTTTGATAAAAGCAAAATGATGTTTTTTGGGAATTCACGCAAAAGTTATAGCTGGGTATTTGGTGGAAAACCCATCCAGCAGGTATTCGAATTCAACTACCTGGGAATCACATTCCATCATAGGCTTCTATGGTCCTCGCACCGTGCAACAGCGGTGAATGCCAGTAAGATGTCTGGGCAGGCCATAATGTGTTTCTTTATAACAAAAGGTAATTCGCATATCCCCTCTGCCCTCAAGGTCTTCAACGCAAAAGTTATAGCTCAGTTGCTCTATGGAATTCCAGTCTGGCTGCCAGGATTTACCCAGCTGGTAGAACGAGTGCAGGAAGCTTTCCTTTTTAAGATTTTTGCTGTCCCATGTTGTGTACCCTATGCAGCCTTGTGTCTAGAGGGAGGTCAACACAAGGTAGAGACTGTAGCCTGGGCGAGATTTCTTACATGCTGGTTAAACATCTGCCTCACAACAGATAAAGATCCTCTCCTTAGTGAAATTTTGCTAGATCCCTTTCTTTCCCCAGGGCTACAACAGTTTAACATAAAGGTACAGCAACTTGGGCTGTCAGTGGGATTTTTGCGATCGTTGTCCCCACCATCTGCCAAGGCTATAATAAAAACTAGGTTGTGGGACACTGAACGCCAGGAACGAACAGCAGCAGCAGAGAAAACATGTTCCCCTCTTAACTTTCAACTTTCTTGGGCACATGAAATTAACTACCATTATCTTGAATTTTTGCTTAATCCTCAAGAAAGAAGGGCATTTTCACTGGCCAGGTTTAATTCAAATCCTTCAAACCTCCTATGGGGAAGGTTCTCGGGAATGGTGGAAGGAGAAAGAATTTGCCATTGTGAAGACCATCAGGTGGAAGCTCTTACACATATGGTTCTTAAATGTAAACTATATGTTGATCTCCGCCAGGAGTTCCTAGATCAACTCTGCATCCCCAAATGGAAACCAGAGTTAGAGGTCATACATTTTCTATTATTGGGGAATAATCAGGAGCTCACCAAGTTAGTGGCTAAATATCTTTATCTGTTTTTTTTTGTCATCGAAACACATTGCAGACGTCTGATCTCCCTGGAGACCTAGAGATGTAATGTTAGACTGCTTTACCTCTTTCATTTGACAAATGTTTTGTGTCACTGGGAAGGCGGTAATTCTGTATTGATTTGCTATGGATGTCTGTATATGATGCCAATAAAAGGTTTGAGAATTGCATTAATAGCTGCGAAGTTTTACCACGCAGTGTTTTCAAGCTTCACAGAGATCTTCAAGCAGACTTGGAAGCTTCTGACAGAACTCTGTGTGAGTTGGAAGACTGCACGCTACATTATAGATGAAACTACAACGCGACGACTGTGTGTGCGCGCGCGCCTTATTATAAGAGGGAATAAACTGATTTTCGAACCCACAGGCAGCGGGTGGGGAGCAGCCAGAACTGGTACGTGGAGCAGATAAGAAAGGAAAGCGGAGGAGGCGGGCAAGTGAATGGCAGCTGCAGGCGGAAGAGCGATTACTCACCGACGGTGGTGATATAGGAAGGGGGCGGAGACGGCTTGGTTGGGCAGAGCTCGGTGTATCGCCTCAGGATCGAGCTTTTCCCCACGTAGGAGTCCCCGGCCATTACTATCTTGGCCTGCAGTACTTTCTCCGGCTGAGCCATGGCCCACGAGCCAGAGAGCGGAGCGGCTGCAGCTGCTCCCGGCGCGGGACTGAAGCGAAAGTTGCCCGTCGGGCGTCGCTCCTTTCCACCTCCAGACACGCGGCCCAAGCAGGGCCCGCCCTTCCTCCGCCGCCTTCCTCTCCGAAGCGTCGCCAAGCCTCGGTTTACGCGAGAGATTGGAGCTGGATTTCCCCTCAACAACAGCGGACCGACTTCTGTTTTGCTGCTTAACTATAGGCCCCCAGAGCAGGGCTCCCTGGGCCTTTGAACAGTGGTGTCTCAGGCAGAAATTCAACTGGTCAAGCTGCCTTCTCTCTCTCTCTGTCTCTCTGTCTCTGTCTCTGTCTCTCTCTCTCTCTCTCTCTCTCTCTCTCTCTCTCTCTCTACCCCCTCCGGGCTGCCTACCACGCAGCTGCTATAAGCACAGAGGGAGAATTGACATGACGGCGGATGTGACAACCCGTTGTCGACTTGTTGGGGGTGATGGTGGTTGTAGACTAGTCCATCCACAAGTCCTTGCACCATAGCTGTCAACGTTTCCCTTTTTTTAAAAGGGAAATTCCCTTATTCCGAATAGGATTCCTCGCAAGAAAAGGGAAAAGTTGACAGCTATGCCTTGCACCACAGCCCGGACTCCCAGGCATGTGGTCCAATACTGAAGTGGCCTTATATGTTACCACTGCTCAGTGGAAAAACACTGAAGTCCTGCTTTCATAGATCATAGAATCATGAGAGTTGGAAGGGACCCTGCAGATCATCTAGTCCAACCTTCAATGCAGGAATAAGCAGCTGCTGTCCCATATGGGGATCAAACCTGCAACTCTGGTGTTATCAACACCACACACTAACCAACTGAGCTATCCAGGCTCCCCTGGTTATTATCTGTCTTATTAGATCATATCTAAAACATAACATAACAGGGGAAATGCTGGAATTGGAAGCCACGATTAGTGTGGAAATTGATTAAATCATAGGTACTCCTAGAGAATTTTTTAATTTTTCAGTTCATTGTTCCTTTCATAAGGTGGATGATGGCTAGGACTTGGAAAAGTTGAAATGAATCACCCTAATGGTTTTGAAGTTAATGTCTAATTCTGCGAGTTGTTTTACTGGCAATAAAACATAACACAACATGTTCACTTGATAAAAGTTAAATAATGTATCCTTATTTGGGGTTTGACAGTTAATGGTAGGCAACTGAATGGCTACAGCTTCAGGTTTGTTTGTTTGTTTTTTAAATAATGTATTGAAAACTAAAGTAGCTTAATTTCCACTCTCATTCCTAAAAAGGTTATTGACTTTAGTTGTCCTCCTTTCACTGAGTTCTAAACTGAGTTCTGTTGTCAGTGTGGGAATCCTGTATTCTTCGTAGTGGCATAAGGGATACAGCATTCTAAACGTACATCTCCTAATTTATGAAATATTATGCACTGTGTGAGTCTCTTTCTTTCCCACCCCTCAAAAATACTCTATTTGATTTTGTACCCTTCCCTCCTGAATCTCCGGTCACTTTCCTTTTCTCTTAAGCTTCTGCCTGAAAAAACCTCTTTAAGCTATTTCCAGTTTTTTTATTGTTCTGATCAATAATGTCAACCACCTGTTGACTAAATATGCTGCAATAGTGAGCAAAGGTTTTTAGGCATTGCATTTTTGTATAGATGTGTGTGTAGATAAAAAGATCGAAAAAAGAAATAGTTCCTACAAAACTATTTCTATTTCTAGCATATGTATGCTTTGCAGAAAAGTGAGGGTGGGGACAGGGTGAAAATTAATAAAAAGGAGAAAAAAGTCTCCACTGCTTTAGATATGGACAGAATATAACTCAAAAGCATACTGACTTGTGCAGGGGTGGCATTCAAAGGAAACTGAACATTTTGATTTGACCCTCTTTTCTTGGAATCTGTCTTCAGAATGGAGGATTAGTAACAAGTTATTTGACCGTTGCATTCTACAATTCTGTGATTCTATGAAACTGAATAGGAAGGCCCCACCTTCATATATGTAAGATAGGAAAATATTGGACAGAAGGAAGGGTCAATAGCCTCCTTCATACATTAATAATTTGAAGGGGGCTCCGTGCAGTGGTCAAACTGCAAATTTGCCCAGTTCCACGGACAATATCCTTGCTTTGCATATGGATGCCTGTAATGGAGAAGCTGACACACTTGCACAGACTTCTGTGGTAGCTGGAAGCCTGTGTGATTAGGTTTCCAGCAGTTGTGGAAGCCTACATGTATAGAGGTCTATGTGTGTAAGTTTGCCTATTGCAGACCCACCACCCATTTAACTATGTGGAGCGCCTTCATGTAAGCTATGTGTGAAGGGGATAATATATTTTTAACCTCTCCAATTTTTCCAGTGGATTCCATTTTGTGGCTTGTGCATGCACAATGGGATGTAAAAGTAGCTACTTGGCTGCTTCCAATGTTCTTCTGCATTCTTTTAAAAATGCAAGTACTGTACAAAAATGTGACAATGGAAATATCTCTCATCCTTCTGGAAAATCAAATGACTTATCTAAAGGGCCAATATATTGATTTAGTGGCTGATTGTAGTCTATCCAACTGAAATGTTCTTGAAGTTGGTCCTTGCCATAAAAATTTCAGACAGAACTGCAGGCATTGGCTTTGCCCATCTCTCCTAATCTTTTATGCACCTACCGTTTCCAGAATCACCTCTATGAAGAAGAATATTCCTAGCTTGTAATGCATGCTTACCTAATGGAATCATGCTTCCAAGAACCCACAAATCTTAAATGAATTCTAAAGTGTGTGCCCTTGTGAATAGCAATATACACCTAAAATATTTGTGAGCAATAAGATCATGTTCTGAATGGTTAATTTTCCTACTAGGGATGTTAGCTCCAATCTGCCTGTTATGAATTACCATACATAAGAAAAAGAAATCTGTAATTCTACTCCTCCGTGTCTTTATTTTGGAGTCTGAAGAGATGCCTGAGAACTGCTTGGATTTCAAAGTGGCTTCTTGCCATATTAAGGAATTGATTTTAAAATATTTTCCAATAAATCACCAGGAAAGATTATGGCCTATGTGAGGGAGCTGTGCAGGATATTCATAATGACTTCATCCCTCCCAAAATTATTAGCAGATACTGTGCTGGATTGGTAAATACCAGGGTTTGCAAAAGGCAGAAAGCAACAAATGCCCTTGCAAACCTGGAGAAATCTGCTTTGGAGTGGTGGTGGAGAATAGTAAGAACTATAGTTGTTATAATGCAGTTAATGGGTGACAGTATGCTAATAAGTCAGATTAACTAAGCAGGTGATTCATGCAGTAATCCTTCTTGAAAGAAAGTGCCCATTTTGAGATGCTAAATGAGAACATAAATGCAGTCAGGCATAGAATCCTTGAAAGATAGAAAGTGTGCAGACCTGCTTCTCAATGTAATGGGTGAAATTAATTTTTTGGGGTGAAAGGGGCTCATTTTTCATATCCTGCAATCATTTTAAAGCAGTAAGGGTCGAAATCCTAAGAGATACAAGTATATTTCTGGCAAATGTAAATGAATGTAGAGACATAACATAGCAGAATTATATTACTAAAATTGCTATGTTGGTCACCTGAGACAGGCCCACATAGACAAGGATGTATGGACAGTGAGAGCAAATTCACAAGGTCAGCACACTAATGTGTCACGACACACGGTTTGGAAAGCTCTGCACTACACCAACTTAAATGTTTGTTCTGCCAGTGCAAGGGGATCTGCTCAACCTATCCCTGTGCAGCCTGTGTAACTTGGGGTTAGCATTATACCCTCCAGAGAGTGTGCTTTAATTACAATTAGAGCTGAGTTGAAACAATCCCCCCCTGACTTCTGAGTCCCATGTTCAGGATGCAAACCTGGACTCCCTCTCTTCTCAATAGTTTGAAGGGGGCCCTATGAAGCTGTGCAAAGCTCTCTCACTCTGCTGGGGAATGAAGTACAGTGGTACCTTGGTGAAATATACTCGGAGTCGAGAGTGGATTTCATGCTCTTTATTCAGCTCATAGTGGTGAGGAGGAATGGAAGTTCCCCCATAGTATTTGCTTTATACACATTATTTACACAATGGGCTGCACGTGATTGGCTAATTCCGGGATTCTCCTGTAGGCCAATCAGGTTGTGGATTCACTTCCACCTGGAGCTGGATTGGGTGGCTCCTGCGGACCAATCATACTGCTGCGTTGTTCTAGGACCAGTCAGACTGCTGCATTCTGAATCCTATTGTTCTAGGACCAATCAGACTGCTGCATTTTGGATCCTATTCAACTCAGTACATAACACTTGGTTTAAGAACAGCCCTGTTTACGAACTATTCGGTTTACGAACTCCGCAAAACCGGAAGTAGTGTTGCGAAATTTACCTCGGTCTAAGAATGGAAGCCGAACGGTGGAAGGACATAGGTGAAAGGCATAGGCAAACTCGGCCCTCCAGATGTTTTGAGACTACAATTCCCATCATCCCTGACCACTGGTCCTGTTAGCTAGGGATGATGGGAGTTGTAGTCCCAAAACATCTGGAGGGCTGAGTTTGCCTATGCCTGGCATAGGCAGTCAAAATGGCCTCCAAGGAAGGATAGAAGTCTAAGTTGGCCACTTCTGACTCTCTCGAACCACACCCATCAATTCCCCCCTTGCACTGGTATTGTTTCCCTGGTGTGGGATTCTACAGATACCTGCTAGCTCCAGTACAATAGCATTGCTACACCACTGTAAATATACCCCACTGGAACAATTTCAAACAGACATCAGTAGAAAATAGGATTGCATTGTTAGATAAGTGAAATGAACTCTATACAAGTTGCAATCCTGGAAAACTTATAAAAGCAAACCATAAATTAATATTAGAGGCCACTTGGCCCTTTAGTATATAATTAAATCTATCTAATGAGAAATAAATAAGATGGACAGAGAGTAATGGAACTGTAGTGGAGGAAACTCCTCTATTTGAGGCTTGATTATGTTGAGTGATCACTCTTACATTTTATCGTAACAGATAAGGATACTACTGCAAATTTTGCATTTCAGCGTAATATCTATACTGTAACTGGTTTTGATGTCTTACTCAGCTTTGTACCAGTTTGATTTTTAGAAAGAGTGTACATTATTTCCATGAAAACAAATATGAGGATGAGGAAGCATTTTCCCCTGTGTGCAATTCCTACTAAAGAATTTACATTCTTCTAATTTATTGGTTTACTGCATCACTTAGTGCACTCTGGAGATGTGCAGAATGTCCCCGCTGTTAGGAATATGCAGACGAAATTTACCCTTTTTGCACTGAGTCACTCACTGTCTCCTTGAAGTCATCATACTCTTTCCTTTCTCAACCCCACCCCCCTCTGTATGTTGGCAGAGAGAATCACAGCAATAAGGATGAAATCCTTCACCAAACAATGCAGTAGCAATCTGGACTATCAGTAAGAACCAACCAGAGGGGGATGGGATGAGAACAATGGTAAGGGTGTTGTTCATGCACTGTTCAAAGGGTTGGGTGGTTTATGGACAAACATACTACATTTTTTTTTTAGAGTGGGTATAGACCATGGTAAACACCTCATTACTAGGATAAGTGAAGATAAGCACTCAATTACAATTTCCAGGATCTGGAGGTGTGAGATGATCTAATTAATATATGCAGACACAATTCAATTAGGTCTACCAGGATGCAGAAAGTCTCATTGGTGGATTCTAAGATTGCATCTTAAACTTTTTAGGCAAGAAGAGATTTAGCCATAGACAATTCAGGTGCAGAATCACTATGGTTTCTAGTTTCCTGTGCTTCTCAAGAGTATTTCAGGAGATGGTTGTTGCTGTTGCTGTTTGGTACTTCAGAAACCAGAATCAAGAATTTGGGGTTGAGTCAGAATTTTCCAGGCAGGCAGCTGCTCCTTTCTGAATCTGGAAATGCCCATGTTTTCTCACCACCAGCCCCACTAGGAGTGTACACAACCAATGGGAGATGAGAATAATGCATATTCCTTTAAGATCATCTTCTTTGTATGCAAATCTTTTCTTCCTTTATTCTGTTTGTGTGAAAAAGATGGGTCATGTACCCTTAAGTTCTGTGTACAAATGAAAAAGAACAGGAACCTTGCAAATTATTTTATATGTGAAAAAGATTGTGTCCAAACTATGTATAAAAATATGAGTACTTTCACCTGGTATAGAACTGCATGTTCTGGTAATTAAATGTTACACAGAAATATTACTACAGGGAATTAGAAAATGATGTATACACAAAACTCACATAACAAAACGGAAAAACTGGTATTCAAGTGAAGCAATGACACATAAGCATAAGGAATTCTACGATCTGATCCCAGCAGTGAATGATATTACATTTGTGAATTCTAAAAGCCAAATGCTGTAACACACGTACTGTGTAGTTCAGAAGTGTCACATTAATATGGAATGGCATGAATTTAATCATTAATCTAGTTCATAATTGTAATACTTCAGACAACCTATTACATATGTAGGGGGGTAAATTACATTAAGCGAAACCTATGCCAGTTGAAGATTTGAGCAGTCATCATTTTTGTGGGAGAGCAAATATATTATTCTTTTGCTAATGAAGTATCAACATCAAATCCTGTTTTGGATCAGAAGAAGTTCAGTAGCCCCAATCCAGTGATCCTCACCTATCTCAGCTTGTTGGGATGCTGCTTCTCTTTGACAAAGTTAGTATTATCAAAAGTTGCATATATACAAAGGGTAGCTGCAGACTGTGCACAAATCTTTTCTAAGGCTTGCCCTTTTCACACCTGCTATTTGCAGCTGGTGCCAATGACAGCTTTTCTTTCATTGCAAATAGAGGCAGGCAAATTTTGCCCATGACTTCAGCCAGGGCAGGGGGGTGGTGTAAGAGATTTGAGCCCACCTCAGTACCAGCTGCTTTTTAAAAAACCAGCTCCAAACATTTTCACACCAGGGCTAACCATCTGACAAGTGTCACATTTAATTTGGTCTGAGAGTTAAAATAGTCTGTGTGGCTTCTAAATGCTGTTTGGAAATGCCCTTCACCCCCTGTCAATTATAGCATACACTTCTCCTGCATAATACAAGAGCAAAACTCTAATCCTGTTGATATTAGTATTATATCTGGCCAAGAGCTAGAAATGGGTTTTGCAATCTGTCCACTTTCCCCATCTTGTACCTACAATGTTCACTTCAAATATTGGGAGCACTTGCAAGCCTTGAGCAGCTATTTTAGAATTTACGCCAGCAGTTCTGCTGCTGCTGTGATTTCACGGTGTAGCTAGATCTATGGCCAGGGTGGGGGACCTTTTTCAGCTTCAGTCCCTTTGGGAAAACCTGGAGGCCCCTTGCCAGTGGTGGATGTGCTCAGATGCAAAAGTGGTCTGAGCAATAGATGCGACTCTCACCTTTGCACCGAAGGCTACATTCTAGCCACACAAAAGTGTGGTTGCATACACACAGTACCTTCAAAGCGCATTTGAAGCACAATCTTTCCCTCAAAGAATTCTGGACACTGTAGTTTCTTGAGGGCTGCTGGGAATTGGAAGTCTGTGAGGAGTGGACTGCAATGCCCAGAATTATTTGAGGGAAAGAATGCGCTTCAAAGGTATACAGTCTCTGCAATCATATAGGGCAAGGTGACTTCCTCAATGACTTCCAGGCACTATTTGTCAGTGAAACGGGGCAGGGATCAACACACTCACCCCCTCCCTTCAACCCATCTCCCTTCTTAATGGAAAAAGAGCAGCAAATATACCTCTCCCACTTATCTAATGACACTACCTTATCTAGTGGGAGAGGGAAAATATCTATTCCCACTGCTCACATTTCAAATTATTTCATTACGTTTACAGCATTTATTTGGGCAGTGAACTAGGAAGCAAAACAGTCTGGAATCATGGGATGCACAAAGCCATTTATCCAAAAACTACACAGAAAGTGTATAAATGTGAGGGGAGATGGAAGAGAGGAATAGCATTGCTTCTGAACAAGGAGGAAAAGGGAAAATAAACGCAGCCGAGCCATGGTTAAGTCACCATGTTGACTTGTAAAATAGCAACTTTTGTTTTCCAGAGAAGTAAAATGAATGAAAAAATATATATCCACAGCTGGTCAGAGGCTAAGCCAATGTGATAATAATGCAATAAAAATGTGTTTATATTCAGTACCTTACAATTAAAATAATACACTGAGTGGACACGTCTCTCTTTGAGGTATATGGTCTTCTTTTGCTTCAATAAGGGATACAAAAGATAATGTCCTTGCACAGCTTCTGTAGTTTTACTTTGCAATTCATGGCTGCTTTATTAATCAACACAAGATGCATTCATTGAACTGGATTAATCCTGCATAAGTAATTTTTTGAAATTTCCTGCTGAAGTTATTTTTCATTTCTGTGAACAAATAATTTATTTGGATTTTCATATATCAGGATCATAGAGATTTGCCACAGTCAGATTTTAATTTTAGTTACATTTGAGTTGGCTTATATATTAGGGCACAGAGTTTTGCATGAGAGCCTCTTCTAAAATCTGTAATTGGTGTGGAACACTGACATGCACGGAATAAATCTGACAAGGTCCAGGGAGCCAAGTTCAGTTCCACTGATCAACATCTATGCTGCAGATTAACTGAATCTTTTATGGCATTACAAGCACTCTAGAATTCATTAGTGCATCTTCCCCTCCCACTAACCATTCTGACCTCCAGTACTAGTAAGCCTTCTTTGGGTGCCATAAATTTTAAAAACTTACAACAAAGCAAGAAGAAAATGAAATGTCCTGTTCTGTTTCTTCCAACACACATGCACACACCACCAGCCTCTCTTAAGTTTACGATAATTATTTTAAAAATATAAATATACAGCTACTTGCACATTCTGCTGCCTTCTTTCTTTCTGAGACAAGGTCTCAGTTGCAAGGATAGACTTTGGAGTTGGCCTTTTAGAACAACGTGTTAAAAAAAATGACATTCAATACCTCAAAAGATTTGGTCTTCCATGTATTCATGAATAGGTCTACACAGTCATTTACTCACCTAACTCAAATGTTCACACACCTACATGACAAAAGGATCTCAAAACATTAAGTGTTAGATTATTTAAACTCTTCAGCAGCAGAGATTTGTCAGACAGATGCATTAGTACATAAGTTTTTATTTAAAGTCCCCTCGCCCTACAAGCAAGCTTCATTTACACATTCTAGTACTGTACAAAATTTACATTATTGGTTACTTGTATGGTTTCCTTGGTCATGCCTTCCCAAAAATTAGAAAGATTTACATATATTCCTCATAAATGCTTTAATTATCTTTGCCTTTTTTTAAAAAAAGAACTTTTAAACGGACAAGAAATCCCCCATCTTTCCCATTAAAGTGGCATTTTAGCAGTGGCATGGGACAACATAGTGGCAAGTCCTGGTATTTTTAAACGCCATAAAATGTTCTCTCATTTGGAGTGGTAACAGGTTTCCTTTCCATATATTTATATATACATATAGATTTCTAAAAACCCTCCCCCCCCCAAGTTATGATTGCACAACGTATTATTTTACAAGTAATTTTTTTTGATCGGAACAACACAAATAAATACAAAACTAACAGAGATTGCACTACGTAAGAAAAATGGGTTGAGTTTCCAGGACAAACACTCCAGTTTCAGGAACTCTGTAACAGGGACTTCACTATTTTTCCTTTCTTTCTTTCAGATACAGTTCCCTAAACAATTCATTTGCAACATTTGAAGAGACTGAATCTCTGCTAGTTTTCTGCAAGTGACAACAATGAAATTAGCATTAGCAAAACAACAGTAGCCGTAGTATTAAGAAATCCAGTATTTATTGTTATCCGTTTTATTACTTTCTTAGTAGCCTAAGTCTTATAGTTTGAGTTTCCTACCTTTCCTTTTGGTCAGCTATGATGTATGACTTCTGCCTACTTGTACCCTGTGCCTCTTTGTTGTTCCCTTACACGTCTGAGATTTGAACATAAAGGTGTTTTGTTTTTTTTGTAAAACTAGATTTGATTCTATATTGTCTTGTATTTCTGAGCAGACAATTTTATTTTTCATACAGACTATAGGTTAGTGTGTGAACTGGCTGCTGAAGGGGTGGTGCAGCTTGTAGGATCTGACATAAGAGTCCTAAGAAGGGCAAAAAAATTGAAAAATTCTTTCCATCCATTGGTAGCAAGAATCAAATCATATTCTTATGCCCATACTCTTTATTTCTGTGCAAGAGGCCCAATGGGACTTGGATGGAGATAGGTAGGGACAAAGTGTCCCATTCTACAAAAGCCTTGCACAGCACTAATGTGAAATAGCTGTGTCTAGCACGCTACACAAATATGACAAATACAGTGGTACCTCGGAATTCAAATGGAATCCGTTCCGGAAGACTGTTTGACTTCCAAAACGTTTGAGTTCTGAGGCGCGGCTTCTGATTGGCCAACAGCTAGGTTTTTGCACAGTGGAAGCCGTGTTGGATGTTCGTGTTCCAAGGAACGTTCAAAACCGGAGCACTTATTTCCGGTTTGTTGGCGTTCGGGAGCCGAAATGTTCGAGAACGGAGCCGTTCGAGTTCTGAGGTACCACTGCATTAAAGTAGAAGAAAACATATAGGGCCTAACTTGATGTTAAACATTAGTGTGACTAAACCCTGATGGCCCTTTTTAATTTAAAAGAATCAGCAGCTTCTAGAGAGTGTAATTTATAGACTGGGAGGCATACTAACTGTTCCTGCGCGCACTGCTTCTCTGCTCCAAACCTCTCCCACCTACATTTCTCCTTGTAAGGTCACAAATGAATGTTTATCCTCAACACCCCTTCCATTCTGGGCTCAAAATTGCCTCAGTTGCACTGCCTATTGGAATTGAGTTGAGCTTAACTAAACTTTATACCTGTTATGCCCATATTTCTTTTCACCACAGGTACAAAGCTAGTTTATAAATATTTCAGTGTAGATCAGATTAAGGAAATACAGCTACTTGCCAATGATATGTGATACCACATAATCCACATTTTAAGAAAGAATTTGTTCTTTGGTGTTAAATAGGGGGAAAATAACAAATCTATTAGTCAAAATGACTCAAATATTTGTTAATTTGTATCTGAAATTTATGAATTAATTTAAGGAATAACTTAAATCTTAAAAAAACAAGAATTACTTGTATAGGCCAGAATGTTTAAATCAGAATAATACAGAATAATATACAGGATAATAAAATGAGGTTCTATGGATTACTCTGGATTTACACTAGTGCAAATAAAATCAAAGATTGGCACCAGTCCTAAAACCTCAATTGTGATACATCTGAAAAACTTCCACTCCCCGCCCTACACTTAGGCATGGGGATTTCAGAACAGACTATATGAGGGGCCAATCTGTTCAGAACAGAAGCATTCTCTCTTATGATCTGTTGTGTTACTTGCAGAACATGTCAGCAGCCACAGATTAGGGTTAAAATGGGGAAGCAATTCTGCAGTTCAATGCATTTGGGCATCTCAGTTTTGAATTAATCGTGAGCAACATCACCATGACTTCAACACAGATCCCATGCAGGTAAAATACAATGCACAATAGTAATTTTGTTCGTTCAGGCAGTGTTTGGATGTTTAGAATTCTTCTCTTTAAATTTAGAATTGATATGAGGGTTTATAGCAGAGAAAAGTGAGGATCACTCTGAAATGGTCATCTGTTAACATGTGCAGTGTTCCATGCTTTCAAGCTACTTGTTTGACAAGATACCAGTCTGTCTGAGGTGGGAACTATACTTAGTCCTTTTTTAAAATCATAAATGCAGGTATTGGGGATAGGGTCTTGTTGTATGTAGTACCAGGAATTCTGTCCCTTAAAATATTTAAGTCACCCATCATTTAACAGTGTTCATTTCAGTACTTCCTGTATGTTATTTATTGTACGGCACACACGCAGGTAGTATGACAGTGGAGCAAGCAGGACCTGCCAGGGGCTCAGCTACATCTCCTTCCAGCTCTGTCCAGGTTCCGTTCTCAGGACTGTAGCAAATGGTAGAAGATTTGTAGGCTCCCTGTAACACAACATAGTGTTGTTGAGGTAGCAGATAAATGACATCCAAGCAAAATTTGAACAGCTTCAGCTAGAAAACAACTGGTCCTTGGTTGCTCTGCAACTTGCAATGTATTCACCTTTACAACTAAGATGAACACACACTGCCTTGATTTAGTCATAACTTCAAAAAAACTATAGTAGAGGCATCTCGAAAGTAGGGCTTTGGGTGAGTCAAGTGCAAGGTAGTGGGAGCTTGAGCTCCTGACAGTCAATTGGGGGGTTCGGCAGGATGCTGGAAGTGATAACAGATAATCTAGTCAGCAACCCTGCTTTCTCTTTGTGAGAGACTCAGAGAGAGAATGCAGAAGGCAATAGCTGCTGCTGCTGCTGCTGCTGCTCCTTCTCAGGAGTTGCAATGCATCATGACAGAGTGCCAGGGGCTTGGCAGGTGCCTGATAAAAACCAATCTCTGTCACCAGCCTGGATAATAGCGCCCAAGAATAGTCAGATTCCCCCACATCATCTCTTCTCCCCATGCTTTTAGGGATATACTTAGTCTCTTTCCTCTCAAAGCAGTAAAACTGCTTGATTATAAAGTTCATATCTGGAATAAAGAACAAATTCACCAAGGCAATAAATAACTGTAGCATAGATTGTTTGCATATTCTGCACATACAACTTGGCATGGTTAGAATCTCACCCCTCAATTCAGAATTTCATTCTCATGTAAATAGCTTTGCAGCCATGTGTCTGGAAACTGGACAAAGGCTGCTGGAAACCAAAGCGTGGCTCACCACTATAAAATTCTGGCTCTGCCTACATTTCATGTCCGATCTGGCTTCTTTCATTTTCCACATGCTGGCAGAATCCCGCCACTCCAAATGGCTAACTTGCATTGAGAGCAAAATCAGAACCTGTGGCCTAAAACTTGAGTCACTACTTATGCTCCCACAACTGGAAGCATTCCAGACAATCAAGTGAAGAATTCTAGAGATTGAATTTCAAACCCTTTGCAGTGCAGCCAACAAAACCTGTTCCCCATTGGGGTTGGGAATACTACCCTCATTTGGCCAAGACACTCCATATTCCCAGTTTCATTAACTGTGTTGTGTTCTGATCCATGTATACAATGCACTTTTTTTAAGCCAGTAAAGGAGATTGATTGATTGATGTTAATAGCTTAAAAAGAAATAATGACTACTGATTTTGCAAAGCAGGTTATAAATCAGCCAGATATTTTCCATACATCAAAGATTCTGACAGCAATTTATTTAGATATGTATCATTCCCGCAGAATGGTTGCAGCATGCTCTCAAATGATAACCGAGAGATCCATGTACAGACAAGGGATACATACCATACTCCAGCTGTAGCCTCCTACAAGGTAAATGCTGTCATCAAGAACTGCACAGCCAGGACCACTGCGACCCTCTAAAATAGGAGTTTGCAAAATATTCCATTGATCACCTTTTGGATCATAGCATTCCACGAGCATGACATCAAGATGCGAAAAACCTGTACAACACAATTATCAAATAATGTGAAACCACTTATTTTAAGAGAATGAGCATATGGTACTTGATCAATGACATAAAAAACTTTGCCCCCCTTAGTAAGTTCATCATTAAAGACTAAATTGTAAAGAACAGGAGAAAACCTCTCAAAGTAAGAAAGTGAAATACTTTCCTTTTGTTATCTCCATCACAACCTACAGCACTGAGCTAACATTTGCTTTTTTCCTTAATAATAAACAACATATTGGCTGCCATTAGCTGCCAAAGAACATTCATGGGGAGTTACTGATATATGAGATTAGAGTGTTTTTTTCTACTCCATGATACCAGGAGTGAAATACCAGGACCGAAATGTGAAGGTACTATGGAATATTTGAGTGCTCCCTGTCCTTTATCTCTCTCACAGAGGCAGCTGAGGAATGGAAGAAGGAGAAATTAGAGTACAGAGATAAGGGAGAAACAATGAAAGGGAAGAAAGGTGTGTATTTTAGACAATAGCAGACATATGAGTAAAGCAAGAATGGAGAAATAATGAGAGGGGGAAAGTGGCTATTTTAAACAATGGCAGAAATTTGAGAAGAGCAATTAGAGGGTGATATTGAGAGGGGAAAGTAGCAGTTTAAAACAAGATTTAAGTACAGCGAGAAGGGAGGTGAGAAAGGCTCTATTGTGTTAGCTTCTGTGTTATACCTATTCCCCATTTCTCCTTGTTAAAGCTGTTTTTTAAAAATAAAACAAAAAACCCTCAGTGTTCTCCATCCCTGCTTTACTCAAACCTCTGCTATTGTTTTAAACTGAAATTTTCTTCTCAGGGTCTCTCTACCCTTGCTTTACTCAAACTTCTTCCATTGTTTAAAAGATGCATATTTTCTCTTTCACTGTTTGTCTCTTCTCATTGTACACAAGCTTCTCCTTCCATGTGTGAGAGATAAAGGATGCGGAGCCATCAAATATCCTATAACAACCTTCACACAATGTATTTCACCTCTCTTTGTTCCAGATTCAAAGTAGCTATTTAGAAGAGATAATTTATTAACAAAAAAACCCCCAAACACACATATATGTACAACATCCATCAACTGAACTTAACCTTCTCTAACTGAACAAGCTCACTTGACAGTCATGTTCTTAAGATTCTGTCATTTTAAAGATACAGTAACATACACCATCATAGCATGTTAGCACAAAGAGGGCTGCTGAAAAGGAGAGAGCAGGAGGGATAGAAATGGGTGTGTGTGTGTGTGTGTGGCCTGTATGCAAGGGAGAGTTGAAAAGGAGAAATAAGGTGGTAGGAATGGGGATGAAAGGTGATAATGGTGTACAAAGGGAGATGCAGAATTTAAGAGATGATTGCTCAGCCCCTGCTCCTGCCAACCTAGCAGTGCGAAAGCACGCCAAAGTGCAAGTAGATAAATAGGTACTGCTCCATCGGGAAGGGAAATGGCTTAGTCATGCTGGCCACATGACCGGAAGCTGTACGCTGGCTCCCTTGGCCTATAGAGCGAGATGAGCACCGCAACCCCAGAGTCATCCACGACTGCACCTAATGGTCAGGGGTCCCTTTACCTTTACCTTTAAGGCATGAAAATGGGGATTATCTGTGTGGAAGAGAGAGCTGAGAAGAAGACGGGGGGGGGAGAAGAAAAGGGGGTGAAGGTGAAAAAGGTGCTTAGCAGTTATAAGGTGTGGGAGGAGGAAGGTGCAGGAGATTACCCTGGTGGTCGTTTGTGCAAGGTTACACAAAAGGAGGAGGAGGAGGAATAGACAGAGGGGTGAAGGTGAAAAAACGTGCAAGGCAGGGTTGCAGAACAGGACAGAGGCTTCAGAAATGGGATGGGAAGATGAATAGTGAGCTTAGTAGTTACATAGAGTGGGAAAGGGAAGCTGTAGAGGGTTAATGGGGGGAGGTCAGGGGTGTTGGCAAGTGGAGCAAGCAGGGGTGTAGCCCCTAGTAAGATGAATGCAAATAATGATTTTTAGAAATAAATTTTGTAGACAATTTTTGAGATGAGTGGGGGATTTTAAATGTTGTTAAATATTACCCCTAAAATTAAGGACTTGTTTCTTTGCAAAGCCTTAGCACAGCTTCTTCTCCAGCTTGGGAAACGATTTACAGAGGGAAATACTGTTGGCAATTTGGGTCAGAAATAATCTGTTTGTTACAGTGAATTTACGGTGATGACAAATCATCCATGCTTCTGAGTAATGGAAGTTCCCATTTTTGTATTATCTAAAGCATTCATTACTCATTTATTTAATGTAGTGATATATATATATATTCAAAGATGCTGTCTCAAGCATCATGCTAAATTGTGTGGCAGGGTTTTAAACTTAGTTACCTAACCTAGCAAAAATAGTCTGTATCAAAAGACAGAATATTACATTGTTTTGCTATTAAAAATGTGACCTTTCAAATGATTTCCTCCGATTGCATACAGTCGATCATTCATTACAGCCAATGCATGGATTGCTCTCTTTGTGTTCATATCTTGTTTTCTAGCCCAGACATCCATTACAGGGTCATAGCAGTACAGCCAGGGAACGTATTCACCATTGTGGACACCTCCTACAAATCAAATATACCTTCATTAGTTTAAGGAAGCACACCACCTTAAAAGAATAACTGGGTTTTGTTTTGCGATGAAGGGGAGTTTAGAAAACAACTTGCCAGAAATATAGATTTTGCCATTATGTACAGCTCCTGCATGTGCCGCCAAGGGCTGTGGTAGGGAAGATACATAACGCCATTCATTTGTCTCTAAATTATAGCATTCCACACTTGACAAGTAGCCAGTCTCATTTCTCCCACCTATCACATACAGGTTTTTGTCAAGCCGACAGGCATAAAAACTGGCTCTCCTAGAGAAAAAACAAATAGAGCAGTTAGTTTCTAGTGACTAGAATTAATTCCATCATTCTGTCTTACAGAACTTATCACCTGCTATTCTAACATGAATCCCCCCACTCATTTATCCCTGAGAATATGGGTGACTTTTCCAAAAAAGGTTACAGTGCACTCCCAACTCAGACCACTCCCCACCTCCCCACCCCAAAGTATCACCCAAAATTTCCAAAACTATTCACTTGTAATGATTTCTGGATTATCCATTGCAATTTCTTATTTACAAAAAAGGAATCATTAGGAAAAATCAAAATGCCAACATCATAATGACTTTATGGAGCAGCTACATATGGAATACAAAAAAGATAGTGTGGAGTTGGAAAATGTACCAAAAAGGCAACCAAAATGACCAGGGAGCTGGAGCAACTTTTCTACAAAGGAAACTTAAGAATTGGGGCTTATTGATTTCAAAAAAATGCAAGCAAGGATGGTGTGTGCAGAAAGGAGACAGAGAGAGGATGTAGGGTGTTCTGTGGGTATTTTGGGAGTTTATCTTACATGTGAGTTGCTTGAGCAACAGCATTTGTTAGTCCTGGCAGTTCAGCTTTGGAAAGTGGACACTTAAAAAGGTCTAGGTGGTGCTTCATTGAAGGCTATTGTGAACCAGCATCCTCTGTGATATCACAAGGGCTCATGAGGCACACTTCTCCTAGTATGCCTGATTAGAGACACCCTTCTGCAGGATTCTGGAGTGCATCCCAACATTCGTCCACTATATTGCTCCCCTTGCTAGATGTACTAAATGATTAGGACTTCTTCTAGAATTGTTCTGCCTCAAGCAACTGCTTGGAATACTTGTTGCATTGGTTCAGGTCAGGTCACACCTATACAAGGGGTTCCAGCACACGCACACACAAAGACATTCACACGAAATGTCTGATTCGCTCTTTTTACTGCAAATGCTCCATACACATGCTCCTGCTCATGTTGACCTCAGTGTGTCCAGTGGCCTATTGGTGAACTGGGGTATGTGACTGGACTGTGAAACAATTCCCTCTGAGCATTCTGTGTGTAGTCTTTCAGAAGAACAATTTATGTAGTATTGTCAATTACCACACAATGACTAGGTGAAGCAGAAGTTTAACTTAAAAGCAATTTTATTGGCAGTGAAGATTTAAGCAAGAACTCATTAATGTTTAGGATATTTGGTTCCATGGAAGGATAACAGCAACTCAGTAAGATAAAGTAAAAAAAAAAGGGGGGGAGGGGAAGGATAGATAATGTAACAATAATAAATTATCTTGACATTCACTTTCTTTATAGTCCTTCATGGGTCATTGTTCCCAATTTACTAAGAGAACCACATCATCAGATTTTTTTCTTCAATTATCATTTTTTTTCTTTTTTCTGCACTACTGCAAATAGAACAACTTTCCTTGTATTACATTCTTGCCATCCAGCAAAGGTTTATCCGGCTAACTCTCAACAAAGTTTTGAACATCTCCTTAGATCCAGGGCAAGGAATCAGTGTTTATGGAGACTGTCTTACCATGCTGTGCTTTCAAGTCATTTTTAGTACAGTACTCCTGAACGATCCATTTCTAAAAACATAATAGGAGACACTTCATTTCCCACACAACTATGAAAGCACCTTTGAGCCTTGCAACAAAGTCCATTTTTAGTCCAAATATGTTTTCTAGCAAATGTAGTATATCTTTCATTTTTAACAGGAAGTTGAGGCGATGAGTGCTATCAGGATCACGGCCAACATGAGGCCACTGAGAAACACAAGAGAAATCTCAGCATGTTGTGGGAAAGCCCTGAAAGTTTGCAGAAGCACAAGAAGTCTTTAAAAAAGACAACTTAAGACAAGCAATCCTCACACAAAAAAGCACCCTCCAGCTCAATGAGGATTGAGCGTATCAGAATAGGGGAGGAGTGGAATGTCCTAACTGAAGAGACTAGTTAGCTAGAACCCTGAACAGAAGCACTCCTGTTAGGAAGGAAGATACATCTCAACATTTTTTGCAGGTTCCACTGGTTACATCTGCATAGCAGCTTTAAGATTTGCATGTGAACATGCAAGGACTCACTTCCTTGAAAAATAAAGAGTACTGTTAAAATGCTCTTGGATTCTCAATGACTCAGGCTCTCAGAAATGCACACGTTCTCTTCATGTTATGTGTGTATGCATTACATTGCACACATCAGCGTCAATCATTTATTTGCTCCTTCAGTATGAAAGCTTTACTTAATACCAAGGGAATTTAAAATGTTATGAATAAAACACTTTATTATCCTGTGAGAAATATGTATGTGAGACATATGCTTATTTTTTTTATATAAAAAAGATATGTTTTAACTATCCAGATTGAGTCACATTATTTAAAACTTCATCTGATGGAGGTTATGTCTGTTTGACTAAGACGATAAATGGTTGTTTTCCATTGCAGCTATCTTTAGAAACAAGTTTCCTCATAAATGTATCCTCTATGTGCATTCTTGACTTCATCCACATAGTGTCACTGTTAGGAGCAGAAATGTAACAGTCAGCCTGCTTCATTCTTCAGATTAAATGTGTATTTTATGGGCAAACTCCCAATAGTAAAGATTTTAAGTTTCCCTTATCCTTCTTTTCCACTAAATAAATTACACTTGAGCCATAGAGCTCTAGTTAATTAATGTAAAATTTAATTGCTATAAAAAGTCCTCCATGATAAAATATTGCACTAAAAATTCAGTTTAGAAAAGAAATCATCCCCTCATATACATCTAGTCCTGAGAAATATATTGCCATCTCTAGTAAAAGAAATTACATCAAATTACTCTTGTGGATCAGGATATTAGTCCAGCTACAGGTCCTGCAGTGGCTTGTGAAAAGTCTCTGCAATGAACTTAGCTAAATTTTACAATGCAGTTACATGGGAAAAGTAAAAGAAATTCTTTCCTGATCCCCAAAGGCAATGAATTTATGCCCTGAATCTTGAAGTTTGATTATCAGTCTTAGATTGAAAAGCTACCAGAGTTATTACTGATCATACCAATGCCAAGAACCCTTTTAGAGAGACCCTAAAATCAGCTGAAGTGATTTTAATCAAAAAATATATGTTATGTAATTTGACAAATTAGTCTTTCTTTGCTTTAGTGTGAACAATGAAAAGTGGGTATGCTGGAATATAGGAGAATGCACCTGCATAGACTACTGGTGAGACTTTCTAGAAAGCTCTGGAAAAAAGACAGCCAAAGAGAGCTACCCTCCAGATGTTGTGGACTGCAATTTCCATCCTATCCAGCCAACATAGCCAATGGACAGGGGTGGTAGAAGTTGTTGTCCACAATATCTGAAGGGCACCACATTGGCTACCCTATCTCTGGAAGATTAGGAGCACAGGATCCTGCCAGTTAAGTGCAGTAGCAAGTTTTACATGATGAGAGGGCAGAGACAGCACCTTCCCACTTAGTTCACTTCTCTGACTGTGGCAGAGAGCACAACCAAAACCTAGATCATGGCCTTCTAGACAATCTCCTACTGTAGGGACAGAAGCCAGGATGTGTTGCTGAACACACACCTGTTACAGGGAAACAACCCTAAACCCCACAGTCAATCTAATGGAACTATACTGCTCCATCAGACTAAATAGGGGGATAAGGAAGCTGCTCCTGGAGAAAATCACAGCTGGTGGAGTCCATGAGGATGCTTTTGCCTCAAATATCATCTTTAGGGAGGACTTTGCCACAGTAATTTTTGCAGGTATAGCTGTCAAAGTCAGCCAGGGAATATGAGAGTCCATTTGAGATTTCGGCATGCTTTATTATCTGGACTTATGGTAAGGGATCACTTGTGCAGTTCCACTAGGACATCACCTCACCATCAACCTGAGTCTTGAACACACTGTGCAAGAGGTTCACTTTCTGGACATGAATGTGCAACTATTAATGGACATATAAGCACATCCTTATATAGGAAACGTACTGACTGTTACTCATACATACATGCTTCCAGCTTCCACCCAGAGCACACTAAAGAGTTCATTGTTTACAGCTGAGCTCTATGATACAACAACATCCATTCAGATTCATAGGATTGGACAGAGCCTCACAGCTAAAATAATTCACATCAAACACCCAAAGTGAAAAATCAGATCAACGAAGCCAAACTGTTCTTAGGTACCAATCTTCTATACAACAGATCTAGAAGAGAAAATGACAAACTACCACTTGATGTCACAGCAGCCAAGCCAAAGCCACTTGAGCCTATCATCAATAATCTACAGTTCATCTAGGACAGACATGTCCTACACATAAGCCTTGGGTGGCAGACCTCCAATTGCTCTCAGACATCCCCCTAAATAGGACAGCTACTCAGCAGCAACAGTAGGCCATACAAGAGGTATGGACACAGGGGCCAGCTCCCTATTAAAGACCAAGAAGCTGACTCTGTCTACTCCATTTTATCAAACCAACAGTTTTGTGATAGGTCACTGTTAAATATGTAATTATCTGCATTACATTTCCTTCTGACCTCACTGTTTACACCCACCCACCCACAAAACCCCCCCATGTAACATGCAATCCAGCAGCCTGTTCTTATGTAGAGGTAAGCTAGCTCTACGGCAGTCCATGGAACTGGTGGTGATGAAACAGTAGGAGTTATAGCAGAAGACTTACAATGGATTGAATAAAACAGAGGCCAGGACACATTTTATAACTTAATCTGTGAGACAGTGATAATGGTGAAGATGGCTTTTGTGTCACCACTGTATCTGCTCAGAATCACCCAACATAGCTTTTCTAGGTGGTCAAAGAGGTATTGCAATGGAGCCTTTCAGGATGAGTTTGCCAAATACTTTGCAGGAAAATTTGTTCCACTCATTCCAATTTACAAGCCACCGTTTGGCCAGGGCCATATTGTGCCTCTTTTATGCTACTCTATGTTTCTATGTGTTTCTTGATGTTTTGAAATTCTGGATGTTATATTGTGCTGTTTTTAACAACTGAAAGCTAAATTTATTACATTGTTACCTTCCTTGAAGGTCTCTTGGAATACAGAAGAGAAACAAATCTTCCAGGGCATGGAAAATCCTATTTGTGTAGGCGCATCCCCATGTGTGGGACTGCAGAGAACTCATAAAAGAAAATATAGCCTTTCAAATTGTTCCGTCCGTGCTGCTTTAGACAGCCATTTTCTCTGATGTTTCTTCGCTTCCGCCATGCTTCTTTTCCTGCTTTCATTTTCGGAACCATTTCTTTGGAGGTGGTATAGCTGTGGCCATTGGACTTTCTGAAAGTCCACGGTGGAGAGGCAGGTCGCTGCCCTCCATCAACGTCTCAGCAAAATGGCCCCCCAGGTGAGCAGAGCTGACCATCTGTTACTGCTGGGCTGGCTTTGTATGGAAACTTGCTCATGTGCTAAAGTGGGGTACATCTAAGTCACAGATTTTCAGCCTCATCAGCATTGTACCAACTATGTCAATAGCTAGGACTTCAACGCAAAGGCCAACTTATGTAACAAAGAGGGTACAATTACACTTGAAGTGCAGTACTATAACAATTTTTTTAAAAAAATGGAAACAATCCAGCAAAAAATAAAGTATTTAATTTGCATTAATTTCAATTGGAGGAAGTTAAATGCATACTTAACCCTCCCGATGAAATCAGTAGGACATAAATGGAGCATGTCCCAGTTTTCTTAACTAACAAATACTGAATCTTCATTGCAGAGGCCCTTTTTATTAGTATTCAGCACCCAGTGCAGTGCTGTGCAGAGGTACAGACTCTGCAATGCCCAACAGATGGTTGGCTGAATACTTATTGGGGAAGAAGTGAATCCATGTTCTCTCCCTCCAGAGAATGATTCATGTGGATGGGCTCTCCAGACAGGGTCACAGAATTTTATTCCCTATCATGTTTTAGTGTTACTGAATTTTTCTCGAAGGAGTTTTTATTTGCTGTGCTTTCTGCTGCAGTGGGTCTTGGTTATATTTGTTTTAGTTTCGAACTTGATGTCTGCCTGTCTTATTATTACTGGTTTATTCATTTTTTATTTGCGATTATACTGCATTATCTTTACAATTGCTGTTTTTATAGAAGCAATCTTGAGGGAGTTTTGACTTCTTAAGGCAGCATACAAATATTTTAAATAAAAGAATAAATATATTGTTAAACACATTCTTAATAGTTTTGTTGTTGTCACTCATCCTGAGAACTTTGCTATAGAGCAGTCTATCAATACTCTAAACAAACAAACTATTGCTTCACAGGAGGAGAAAAAAAAACATCCTTATTGCACACATTTTGTCATAAAAAGGAGAGCATAAAAGCTCTTTATTAAAGAATATGAATGACTAAAAACTGTCTTGAAAGGCACTTGACTTAATAAATTGGAAGTCTCCAAAGAAGTCACAAGGGACTAGTCAGTAAACAATTCACATATTTTAAAATGTCTAATCACATTTTCAGCAATACTGTCTTATCCTCAGAGGCTCGTACAACACTGAAATAATTGATCACTGTGAATTATGTAGGCTCAGCTAAGAGGGTGAAGGTTAATTATCTCACTTTAAGAGCCCAGCAAAGAAGGGTTTTGATAATTAGAACACCATTTTGAAACAGAATTTGGGCTTCTAAATACTTCAAATGATATTTTAAATATCAGACAGGGTTATAAGAAAAATCTAAAGCTGTCCATTTTTTAAAAAAAAACCCTCATGGTACAAGCTCTACAGACACTAAATCTGCCTTAAGTTAGAGGCAGTGAGGCTGTGACAAGTAGATTTGTTCAACTGGATAACGAGCTGAACATCTTCAATTTTTATGGATGTCCTAGCTAAAGTGTATCCCCAAAAGCTTTATATACTATGCATCTGTGTTGTATTAGGAGTTGGATAATGGCTTGCATAATAACAGTACATATTTATAACCATTCCCCAACCTAAAATCTAGGGAGTCCCTAATCAAGTCTCTCTCTATGGAAGAAGTTGAACAACATGGTGTAGATGTGGATTATGCACACCCACTTTAATCTGGTTTAAGGCCCAGTTTAGAAGTGGAACTTTTACTCTTCCAGGCCCAAATTTTAGAATACACTTTCCATTGCTGTCTGCTGGTGCTCTTCCTCATTCTCCTTTGCAGTTTTGCAAGGCATTTTATACATTTAGGTGCTTGATTTCTGGTCCTTCACTGTTCTTTATTTTATATTTGGCTTCTTTTTAGTGTCATTACTGAACACCTCCATGCTTACCTGAGGTCTGAATTTTGCACAGTCACCTTGACATTGTATTAAACAAGACGATAGATTAATACATTACTTTAATAAGTAAAATGGCTGGGGAGCAAAGAATGCTTATGGTGGGTGGAGAAGGTTCAGGACAAAGGGAGAAAGGTACCACCTTTGGTACCTTTCATCTTCCCCAGTGTGCTTCTGCCAGCTTCTTCTACCACCTGATTATGTGGAGTGGGCAGGCAGAGGGACCCAGCAGGTACTGCCATTACCAGCCTAAGTGACTAAAAAGGCAAGGAGTGGTTGCTCTGCCAATGCACGCTGAAATTCAACGAAAGCAAAGCAAAAATATAATAGGAAAAGGTAATTGTGAAATATTTCGGAGACTTGAAAGAAACACTGTTTCTACAATTCTACGATTCTATGAAAAGGATGTAGCAGTTCAGCTTTTTACTTTAAAGTACCTTCTTGTCAGCAGAAAGATAATCTAGCACTATTATATTTTATTTGCTAGTGCAAATCAATTTCAACACTTTCACCATTCACTTTTTTCACCCTAAGTTAAACCCCAACCATCTTCCTCTCTTAGGTAAAACAGCCACCCTTTCCCCAACCCCAAATATATAGCAAGCATTTACCTCTCTTGCATGGGTGGAAGTTGTATCCAGCTGTTAAATCTAGGATCATACCGGCTAACAAAGTTTGTACTGTGCTTTCCTGTAAAGAAATTAGTTTCACATTTAACTCTCTGTTTTCTGTCATTACAAATCACTGCAATAGTATATTCCTTGCACTTGTCAATCTTTATGGAGGTCTTCTCTCTAGAGCAAAGCACGTAAACACACAAAATCAACAGCCTCTAACTACAGTTCTTAATAGGTATCTATGGAAGTAGTAAAAAACAAAGTATTTTAGCTCTGTCTCATAAGGTTCTCTACAAGTCTCTCTTTAAGACAGAAACCCACTAGCATTTTTTTTAAGTGTCATAAATCTTATGACAATAGGAAATTATTGTTCTGAGGGAGATGGGCTTCTAGTGGCATTTCATGAATATTTTGTAGCAATCTGTAGAACCATGGGTATATCTGACATTCTTTCTTGTCTCCTCAGTTTGCAGTGGGAAGAGGGTGATGTTGATTGCTGATAGGGAGGTGAACACATCTTTACTAAGTGCTCAGGCATCCTTACATTAGGGATTTGATGTTATAATCTTGAGATTTTCCCTTATAGGACAAAGAGGAAAATACATACTGCCTTTTATAATATTGCCTTTTAGAAGGATTTATATGTGCCATCTAAAAATAATGTATTTCTACTGTCCCTAAGTCACAAATAAAGCAAAACAAAGCAAAGGCTAATTGTGGAAGTCTACATTATCCTAACTACTAACCTCTGGCACTGCATGCCTTCAAGATATTAAGATTGCAGTATATTTTACATACAGATTGACATCAAAGCAAGAAGACTGGAGCAAGGGAGTGCATGGCAATTTCTGTTTAACACCTGAGCCTTCAGCACACAAGTATCTCAAAAAGCCCTCTTGTTTCTTGTATGTGTGACTAAAAAAATTGAATCACAGCTACATGACAACCCAATCATGTATCTCACAAGGAAATAAATGTGTAGTGGGTAGTGCACCAGGTAAATAATTTTAGTGTAAAGGAACCCCAAATGCTTACAACCTCTTTCCTTTATACACGGAATTTGCATTAATCAATAAAATAGTTTTGTCTCTTTTGTGTTTTTTTTAATTTCTAACAGACATTCTTACCCAGCAGGCCTTCAAGGTTTGATCTAAGAAAATGGTTCATAGTGAAATGAAAATTCCACACCTGTGAGGGTGAAAACAGTGTGTTCTCCATCCAGCATAGGTAGATGCTATTTACGGGACTGAACATGCAAAGCTGACGAGTCCAAACAAGTGGAGAACTTAGTTACCAGACAATTTCAGACTACACATATAATGTGCCCCAAATCTCATCATTCTATGCTAAGGAAAGCATAAAGTCTGTAAGGAGAGCAAATTATGCATTCTGGTCTTGTTATCGTATTTGAGTACTTAAGATAATATTTTAGTAATGTTAAGCAGCTCTCATATATGAACGTCTAATTACACAACAATTCTAGGAGTGGAAGTTATCCCAGAGATTCTGTTCATCAGTAATCATATTCAACGTTTTTCTGGAACAATGCTTCTCAATTCCCTTCATGTACAAAACCCCCCTTCCAACCGCCCACAATTATACTTCTCCCTCTTTCCTTCTTCACCTTCCATCTATGCCTTCCCCAGTCCCTTCTTTCAACACTTACTGGTACTTACTTGTATCTTTCCTTGGTTACACCTGCTCTGATCTCTAAACCTTCCTTCCTCCTCTTAATCCCATGCTGGAAATTGTTCCTCACATTCCTCCTCCCCTTCCAACTTAGCACTGAATGGTGAACTACATCGGCTTTTGAAATGAACGGTAAAGAAGCAGCACCACATTTAATAGGGAAATCAAGCAGGGCTCCTTTGAATAATAGGGAGCTTGGCTGTGCTAGATGGACCAGTGATCTCACTCTGGTGATGCCCTCTGTTTGGGGAGGCAGGGCTAAGCAGACTCCCACCCCGCTAATATGCTTCCCTGTTAGGTAAACTACCTTGCCGCTATTAAACTACCTTGCCACTATTAAAATGAGAAGATAGAAGGAAAAGAAGTGGGGCAAAGTAGCCCAGCAGTTAGGTGTTCCTGTACAATGCTTCCCTTTGCAGGTCAGTGCTCCACATAGCTCTACTCTAGCCATCATGAAAAATCAGAGGGAACTCAAGTGTGAATTCTAAGGCTGGGGAGATACCCCATCCATGCCACTGGTTCTGCTAAGAGTGCCATCTAATTTGGGGGGGGGGGTCAAGGGTATTTTAATGTGGGAGAAGGCTTGGGGAGTTGCAACAGAAGTCTTCAAACTAGTTCTATAGGTTACAGTTCTAGAAGTAATTATTTGCAACCTTTTGTGCAGTAGCATTTCAGGAATAAAGTAGAAAAGCTATTCTTCCAAAACATTGATTTAAATAATTTTTGTAAAAAACCTACTGGATACAGGCTCATGGAATGGGCTGGTTTATCTCAGTTTTCAAGGAAAGGAACAGATGTAACGCTTCGATATAATTTGGTTTAGTGCAGATGCTGAAATGGGTCTTTCACAATAAAATATATGCAGTATATGTAATTTCAGCTGGATCTTCTGGCATTTTGAAGTGAAAATGTGTACCTGCAAGCTGTTTTATAGTTTGCCAGTCATAATTATCTCTGTTACACAGACTGCTACAACTGCAACTCTGTCCTCATGTGCAAGCTCTTCAACAATGTCTTGACAATATTTTAAATTTTGCAAGGCATACTGTTCTCTTTTGCTTTGTTCAGAAGTCTGTTAAATTGTTTAATTTCTCTCTGCAGAAAATTTATGAAGTAATCAAATAAGGAACACATACTACTAGATAATCTCTATGTGAATCCCTTGCACAAGATTAGAAATAAATGTGTAGTGGAACAATCAGGAGTTTTTTTGATACT